CGTTCTGTCTGGATCGTGTTTCTTTCTAGACTCGCTCCGAAAGGACGAGCAAGGGAAAGACGAGGTCTGACTGAGGCTGCGTTGAGTGTTTTAGGGGATTTGGATGGGATTGCGGATTGTTTTAACTCGTCTAATTAGCGTTGATGAGATTCTTTTCAAAGCCGGTCTGGAGAGATACCTTACACAACCCTTGGCCGGCGTGTTTCATTATTTTGTGTATTTAGAGTTCAAAACCTGATTCTCGACATCTTTTCCTTTGTGATGTGTTTTTTTGATCTGTAGCTTGTATCGAGTAGAGTTCTGAGTGCATTATGTAGAGGGTCTTTGCCCAACAAGGATAGTAAGATACTATGTGGACGATGTGTCCCACCTTTCCAGGGCTGGGCTCTTCGTCTACATTGCCAATTGAACAGCTACTGATTATTTCTATGACTTGTTTGATACCTGGAGACACTTGAGTAAACTTCCACTCCCTAGATGGATATGGGATACATTGAACTAAGTAGATAGGCTCACAACAAATTTAATTAGGGACAGATGCAATCTTTGCGCGAAAACAAGAAGTATGATGAATAAGGGTGTCACAGCGTCTAATGACAGAAGTTGTTCTACAATTCCTATGCAATGGAATAGAACATGCACATTACAGGGTGTTTTCCAAAGCCAGGACCTGGAAAAAACAGTCAGTGATATTGCACAACACAGAACAAGAAGAATCACATACCAAAGCAGTCCTCGTGGGGATGTACACCTGCACAAAGTTGGACCTTCCATTCCACTCGAGATCAGTAGTAAAGAAGCGAGTCTCCTTCACATTACGTCCCAGTCCACCAAAGGCCGTATCATCAGTATCAAGAACGATACGGTAAGTACCAGCGACATCAACACCGACACGGTAATCCGTGAAGCTCTGCGTGGGGTTGAAGTTGAAGATCCAAAGCAGACCCGCGCGTTCAAAGACAAGGACCTTGTCAGACTCGTTCTTCAAGCTGATGTAGGCCTGTGGCGAAGAAAGCCATCCGTACTTCTCTTCTGTGAGCTGCATGCCGCGATCGAACTCGTTGAGGAACTTGTAGCGCAGCAGGGAGTCGTCTGTTAGGTTGAGCTGGCGACGGGCGTACCAGAAAGAGTTGTTGTTGCCTTCGCGGGGGAAATCGAGCCATTCGGGATGTCCGAATTCGTTACCTTCGAAGTTCAGGTAGCCTTCGCCTCCTAGGCCGTGGGTAATGAGGCGGATCATCTTGTGTAGGGCCATGCCGCGTTCGATCACGGGCGTGAACTCGGTTAGTGTCGACATGTGTGTGTACATCTCTTTGTCGCAGAGCCACATCATGAGAGTCTTGTCACCGACCAGACTGTTGGGAGTTAGTTATGGGGTTGTAAGAGTAGGAGTATTGGACTTACGCTTGGTCGTGGCTCTCGGCGTAGGCAATAGTCTTCTCGCCGTGTCGGCGGTTGACCAGAGTGAAGGATAGGTTGCCCATGTCCCAGTCACTGTCTTGGCTTTCTTTCAGAAGCTTGATGTACATGTCTGGAATGGCCATGGCCAGGCGGTAGTCGAAGCCAACACCGCCCAGGGCGTGAGGCAGACACAGAGCAGGCATACCGGAGACATCCTCGGCGACTGTGATCACGTCGGGGTAGATGTCGTGAAGCATCTCATTGGCAAGGGTGAGGTAAGTCACACCCTCCTCATCGACAGCTGGTCCGAAGTACTCGTGGTAGCCACCAGAGAAACCACTATACTTATCGTCAGTAAGCCGCGTAGAAGACAGGAAGGATCATTGTACATACGTTCCGATACCGTGGTGCGTGTAGAGCATGCTGGTAACACCGTCGAAGCGGTATCCATCGAATTGGTACTCCTCCATCCAGAAGCGGAGGTTACTTAGGAGGAAACGCAGCACTTCGTGGTTTCCATAGTTGAACAGACGGCTGTCCCACAGCTCATGGCGGCCCTTGGCGCCGCCATGGAAGTAGAGGTGGTCTGTTCCATCAAACTCGTTGATACCATCAATGACGTTCTTGGAAGCGTGGCTGTGCACCACGTCAAGCAGAACCACCAGCCCTAAGCTGTGAGCGGTGTCCACGAGCTCCTTCAGATCCTCTGGGGATCCGTAACGGCTGCTTGCTGCGAAGAAGTTGTTGACCTGATAACCAAAGCTTGCGTAGTACGCATGCTCCATGATCGCCATCAGCTGGATCGCATTATATCCAAGATACTTGATCCGGGGCAGCATGTTCTTCGTGAACTCCTTGTATGTGGCAACTTTGGTCTCTGGAGATGAGATACCGACGTGCGCTTCGTAGATGCGCAGGCTGGCGGGCTTCTTAGGCCGTGAGTGCTGGAACTTGTAGACCTCTTCCGCGGGCGGGTTCCAGAAGACAGCGTCGTATGCAGGCGACACTTTCAAGTCTTGGACCACGCGCTTGATCCACGCGGGCAATCGGTAGATGCGCTCTCCGCTGGGGAGGACCATTGTGATCTGGATGTATGTGAGTTTCCTAAAGCAAGTCATAACTGGAATTTCCCACGGACCTTGATCTTGCTGTCGTGGGGAATAGCAGCTGCGCCGTCCTTTGCCGGAACCGTTACGTTCCAGACTCCAAAGCTGTCTCTTGTCATGGGGTTGACACTGGGGTCCCAGTTGTCTGCCGGACGTCAGTCCAGGAATCGTTCCAAAACATCATAGAACATACTGTAGTCACCCACCAACGAAGCCTCCTTCGCATTGGGTGCCCATTCCCGGTATGTGACGTCGCCGTTGGGTTGCGCATGGAGGCCGAATGTTTCGTAGCCCTAGGAGAATCAATCGCTGCACCACAGACAATTTGGGGTTCCTTTTACCTTGCTAAACTTGTCTAGACCTCCCTCATGGTCATTGATGTCCTTGGCCCATTTCTCGACGAGCTGGTACCTTGACTTCAGGACGTCGCGATGGGGCTCCAACCACGGGTCTAGCCCGATCACGCCTGTAATTAATTAGCATGACATTCAATTCCACGGATCCAATGCTTATTACCTGTGCCATCAGTGGGAATATTCTCAGAAGACATAATTGAGATTAGGGGGTGGGAAAGATGTGGAGAGAAGAAGGGGAGCTGGGGAGTGTCCAGATCAAGGAAACGCAGCGGGGGTCCCTCAACATGTGACATTGACCCCTCAACGCTTTGTCCCTCGATTTTCATTTCTTTTTTTTTCTCTTTACTACTCGTATACTATCTGCACTCTCATTTTGTTTCTGCAGTACAACGTCGCATAGTCCATACGCATCTGACAGAGCTCCGGTGGGGATGTGGGGAGCTTGACGGGAACGGTGCCACTTTGGTTCCTGGCCTGTTTTCCGCTTCGGGGTTTCTCTTAGGTTCTCTTCTCAGATTTGTGAGATCTTGATTCTTTTTCTCTTTTTTTCTCTTTTTCTTTTCTTTTTGTGTTTTCATATTAGTATCTCCCATCTCGTACTTTGGCCAATGGCCTGACGAGTCGCCATCTCGGAGAATTAGCGCCGATCTCACATTCCTGAGCATTAGGCTTCGTGCAACCTCTATACTTCAATGCAGGTACCCCTGGTTAGGCCGAGATGCAGCTGATGAAAATACTCTCAGTCAGCAGGAGGTTGTCTAGTCAGGAAGAGAATTGAACTGGCTACCCTGGGTTCAATGCCATTGTGGACTGTTTCTTTGTTAGCTGCACGCTGAGCTGCCCAGTATGGGACCTCAAAGCTCCAAACAAAGACGAAAGTCGGCTGTACCCATGAAAGATCTAGCTTCTTTAACAAGGAAAATAGACATTGTCCGTTCAATGTCTGTGTCTACAGGTCTGCCGACGCCCTTGGGCTAGGGTGGTAGCATAAATAGCCGACAATGCACTACATCACCCGTACAATTACAATGCCACCGGGCCAAGAAACTGTTTACCGAACATATGAAAATGACGATAACTGTGAGGGAGTTTATCATGGCTCTACATGAAAGTACAGGCTATCAAACCCACCAGGAGCATTGGGCAGCCTTTTGGGTCGACTATCAGAACGAATACCCCACGGAGAACATGCATACCGGGCTACAGTATACCGTAACATGTCAAGACTTCAAACTGGCTCTTGAACAGCATATCATGTTCCTTTGGGCTGGAGATCTTGACCGCGGTCAGGATATTCTCTATTTAACGAACATGGAGCTATTGCTGAGAACAATCGTTGGTGTTGCGCAGCGCATGAATCGAGAGAACCCCGACCATCCAGCGGTTATCAATAGAGGCGTGAACCACTGGGATGGAGAGTTTGAGCGCCTATGTGATGAGAGACTTAGGCGTCCTATGGGGGAGGCGGTTACACTACTTCTCCGTGACGACAGGATCTTCCCTTCTGCTGAAGTGGATGACCAGGTTGCAGGTATTCTGCAAGGGGCTCTTGGTGTTGCTAACATCTTGCTCTCCGATAATGAACTTCCTGAAGACTTTGGCCATCGGGTTGATGGGGTTTCTCCTGACTATGAGCGTCTTTCAGATGTGCTGCCCTCTGACTTTGGGCAGGTAGATCGTTGACGAAGGCGCGAAAGATGGCGATAGTAAGGATACCGACTGTAGGTAGGATTTTGTCTTGCAAGGCTGTCCATTATCTTGAGGGATTAGATCGCATAACAAAATACACAGCCCCCCAGAAAGAAAGGGAGCGAGGGGACAGGGGAGAAAAGAAGTAAAGGTGGGGGAAAAACAGATGCCGCTCTTGACCCTATTCCCATCCCACGCTCATACTTCAAGTAAACAGCAGATTACAACACTAATATAAACCAAGAATTTTGAAACAGATCTCACTTGTGGACACTCTCTCGATCATCTCTTAACCTGCATGAATGACATAATCATAGAGAACCCCCATAGTCAAACAGGGGGCCAAAAGCCGGGGCAATGGCCCCCGCTCAGCCTCCAACACTGACAAACAGGTCGCATTCCACTCCGTCATAATCCAGCCTTGTTGCTTATTCAAAGCTCTCACAACATGTCGTTACGGCAAGGAGCGACAGGAAGTCGACCGCCGTCTCACCAAATCGCCGCAATACGGCTACTCGCCGACTCTCTCTACGAGGCGACATGCGGGTCCCTAGCGCTAACGAACCAGGCCCAAAATGAGCTTGGGCTGCTTTTAGCTGTTCTGGGAGCAACTGAAACACATACTTTCTCCATGGGTGCAGATTGTACTCATCTCCCGGTTCTCAACAAAAGATTGCACAGTTGCCATAATGTCCTTTTGGACTTGCAGAAGCTACACTTGCATCCAGATGCGCTTGGAGCCCAGTCTCAGATCAGCGATATTCGGGCGCGATTGTCATCTGCGGTTTTTGGTCTTAGTGAGCTCAATACAAATATGATGATGTGTGTTCAACGCTTGATATCCGATCGTATTGGACGTGAACTTAACCCTGCTGCAGATCGTCTCAGAAACTCATCAATCGTGCTGTGAATAGCATTGTTGATGACGTCCATGCGGGAGAGATAGAATCCTCTATCGTATCTGATGTCTTGAGGAGAGGGTCAAAGTCTGAGGCGGATGAGAACTGGTTACCGCTACGGGAGAGCTTGTCCAACAGAGGCATTTCGACTGAACTGGCAGATCAGAACCGAGATTCTATCATTTCAAACCTCAGGGTTAAGGTGGAAAAAGATGCTTTGCTGCGTGATACCGACCAAAAGCCTGTTCCAGTGAAGCAAAACCCCGAATCTATAGCACCAGCAGCACCAGCAGCACCAGCAGCACCAATACCAGCACCAATACCAGCACCATCAGCACCAGCAACACCAGAACCGGGACCCGACAAACCATCAGACAAACCAGCCAGCCTAGATGACCAAGACAATGACAGTCTACTCGCAGATGAGCCTAGTGGACTGCCATTTCTTCCCTTACCCCCGATTGGATTCTCATATTCTTCATCATATTCCAACCAAGTAAGGTCACCTCTTACAGAACCACAAACCTCACCAATCGACGATTTCCCAATACCCGTGGCAGTGGAAGACATGCCTAGTGATACGTCCAAGTATCCAATACAGAAAGAAGCCCTACCATTCGAAGACCTCCCCATCCCGGTCGCAAAAGAAGTTCATATATCAGACCGAAACAACCAAGACCTCAACTCCATCCCAATACCCGTGATAGTCACCAGCACAAAACCAAATCTAGACCCAACATCCCTAAAAGTCGCCATCCGAACCAAGAAGACCAACCGCCTCAGCCGACTTCGCTGGTCAATAACCAGCTCCAAAGAAACATTCATCACCCACATCAAACAAGGCCAAAACGAAGACGTCCAACTCCTCCTCTCAAAAGGCGCAGACGTCAACGCCCAAAATGATTTGGGCCATACAGCTCTCATGGTCGCCGCCTCCTTCGGCCACGAAGACATCACCCGCACACTACTCGAATACGGCGCAGCAATAAACACAATCTGCCAAACAGGCGAGACGGCACTCACCGTCGCGGCAATACGGGGTTACGAGCGTCTAGTACGGATGCTTGTTGCTTCAGGCGCAAGGGTCGACGAGGGAAAAGACGCCGGCAAGACTGCGCTCTCTCAGGCGTCTGCATACGGACAAGACCGCATTGTGCAGTTCTTGCTGGACTCTGGGGCGGATGTTGATGCTTTTGGTTGGCACGATGAGACGGCACTAGGGTTGGCTGCTGTGAATGGGAATATGAAGGTTGCAAGGCTATTGCTTGATCATGGTGCGCGGGTTAATCATATGCGTACTCACTCGCAGTTACCATTGTATAAGGCTGTTAAGGCGGATTGTGTTGAGATGGCGAGGCTTTTGGTTCAACGTGGGGCGGATCCGCTTCTGAAGAAAGGGAGGCTCGATTCGCCAATGGAATTGGCTAGCAAGATGCGGAGGATAGAGATTTTGAGGGTTTTTGCTACTTATGGGTTCCACCCTGTTAGCACTGCTCCATATCAGTATTTCTGATTTCGATTTCAAATGTTTTTTAGCGCTTAGCGGATTCATTCTACTTTCTGCATCGTCTCTTGGAATCTTGAGATTACAGTTCGGACTATGATATCATGATTCATCGATACTACGAGTATAAGGGCAGGGAAATATTGAACACTGCCAAGTTTGTCGCATACAGGTGCATACAAGTGGGTAATTTATTCCACCAGACAGATCACCTCGCCCGGGTTAAACTGAATCTGATTTGGGGGCCAAATGTCCCGTCTCCAAAGATTGACACCACAGCCTTGCGCTCAGCCTTCATCTTAAATGCGCCCCCAGGGGCCAAAACGAAAATGCTAACTTTGTTTGCCCAGGCGTTTAACGGGGTTTGCAGTATTCCGGCTGATGTGAGATCTCAATGTCAAATTTTACTTTTATACAGTGGAAAGAGAGCCAGAGGGCTGCATTCCAACTGCCATGCAATGCCTCCGTACTCTGTACTCTACAAGTACAGCCTTATGGTTTAAGGAGGGTCCTCGCACAAAATTACCACAACGAGCATAGTGATGAGCCTCAAGTCTAAGGGACTTTAACCCTTCACCTGTATTGTATTGTAAACCCAACTAGGGACTATAATGTGGGGGCGTAAATGCAGTGCCCTGCTGCCTCCACTCTATTTTTATCGGTTTTTGACATTTAAACAGCCATCGCCCTGTCGAAATTGCGCAAATTATAACACTTTCTATAACTAAGAATATGTCTGCATTCCCACAACACACCGGATCCACGAGTATGCTCCCCATTCCTGCATCCTTCCACAAAAACTGACAACCCCCTAGCTCCCGCCCCAGTCTACAGCGAAGCTCCCGAACCCATCTACCCTACCCCAATCAACCAAGAGTCCCACCAAACTCCAGACCAAATCTCACCTCAACCAACCGCCCAATCTCCCCAAGCCATGCATAACCAGCCCCCATTCGTCAACCAGGAGAAGCAGTACCCATTCCAACCCGACTCCGTCGGCGAAGTCCCAAGCTACGATGCGTCTGCGCCTCGCGACAAGGAATACCCAAACCAGCCCCCGCAGAACCACCCGCAGCAGTTCTACACGCCAGCCGGTCACCCCAGTGGGTACATGACAGCCGTGCCTCTGCACAGCGTGCAGTCAGCACCATGTCCAGTGGACTGTCCGGTTTGCGGACAGCGCGAAATGACGCGCGTTGAGGCGGTTTCTGGTGGTACTACACAGTATGTTGAGACTTGATATTCTGTTGGTGTTATAGTGTTGTGCGCGTGCTAACGTTTGGTTTAGTGGCTGGGCTGCGATTCTTTGCTTCTGCTGCTGTCTCGGGTGTATTCCGTACTTGATGACTTCGCTGAAGGACGTGGAGCATTCTTGTGGCAAGTGCAGTGCCAAGCTGGCTACTTGGCATAACAGTGGACGTGTGCAGGTTTTGCAGAACGGTCCGAGGAAATAGGTCCCGTTCCTTGCGTAGTTTGTTTGTTTGTTTGTTTCAGGATACCACTTTTGTTTGTACTTTCGTTTAATTTCGGTCTCCAGGGCTGTATATCCCCGTTTGAATATGATTAATGTGTTTTGAGACAACTTGACAATATACGAGACCAGAAAATAGAGAGCAGAGAGTAGATGACGACAGAACAGATGACCGCCAAGAGCATCAAACCTTGTGCCCGATGCGGTCACTTGACTGGGATTTTTTTGGACACTTCGACAGTTCGAACATTCCTGAACGAAGTATAGACAAGACAGTATTTCAAGATGATTCGGTTGATAATTACGGCAACAGCAATTCTAACGACCTCCTCGGCTCTGTACTTCTATATTTCTCACGCAAGGCTCTCAAAGCGAATAACCCACACCACCCACCAAGGGACACTCTCAAGACCAACTGAGATAGAATCCATCCCAAAATCCATCTTCACCCCTCAATACTTCACCATCCACGACAAATGCTCCAAATCTGTTCCGCGGGCTTGCCTGCCAGAAGAGTCTCCGCATCTCCTCTTCACCCGTCTCGTTCGCCGTAACATGATTGCCTTTTCGCGGTTCCCGCAAGCACTCATGTTAGCCATGGTGAGCAAGACAGCCGGGCAGAAGAAGAGTTTCCAGGCGGCGCATATTCATGCGCTCGACTTCCAGGAAGGGGACTTGGTATGTGGTGTTTATCAGGTGAAATGTCGGAGCAGGAATAAGGTCGAGTTTGAAATCAAGATGCATGGGATGGATTTTGTGGAGGGAAGATTGGCGATTAGCTATAGGGAGGTTGATCAGGATGAGTCAAATGTGGTGATGTTTTGTAGTGAGACTATCATGTGGAGGAAGGTTGATGAGAGTCGCTGCATGCCCTTGGAGCGACCGGCTCTTAGATGGATGCACGATACTGCTGCGTGGTGGTTGCTTGACTCCGGTGTGAAGTACTTGATGGATTTGGAATAATCTTTTCTGCTCTCTTTATTTGGATATTACCCAGAGACAATGATACCTATTTTTTTGACTATCCGCTGACAAAATTAGTACATCAAACATTGGATGGTGAAAGGTCTGCTCAAGGGGATTTCTTTCACGAGGATATAGCCTTTGTTGATGGTTCCCAGATCTATCTCAACAATGCTCTTCACTCACTTTTCTTTGAAAAACTTCAAAATTCAAAGCTTTGTTCATTGACTCGGCTCTTTGTCCTCGCGTTTGGACACTCACTGGGTGAAATGGCTATATAATAAGCCTTGTTCCTCTCAAGGAAGCTCTCATCCCATACAAGTCAAGACCACTCCTCTCTAACACAGCTTGATATCTATAGATATTTATCATTTCATCTCTTACAACATGTGTCACCACACTTACCACCACTACCCTAGCTGCGGGCACATCTCCAACTGGAATATCACCAGCTGCCAGGAGTATACCAACAAGCTCCGCCTGGCCGGCCCAGACCGGAGCGCACTGTGCGAGGCTATCTCTACCTCCCACGATCTCCTCCAATCAACCCAGCTCAGCATGTGCATCAGATGCGAGTCCGAATGGGCCTCCAGCATCACCGAGGGCAGAACTCAGAAGGTGTACCAAGCGATCGAAGGCATGGACCACCCAGGATGTATCTTTGAGATCGAGGCACGTATGGTGAGTACCCTTGACTGTAACTCAGAAATCGACACCGATGACAAGGACGGTGAGATTTCCCTGTACGCCATCAGCGGCAGTGACAAGGACTCTGGTTTCTCGAGTGCTGGTGATGGTTCGACTTCAGCTCCAGGCTCGAAGGCACACACAGCCAGAATTTTGGACATGCTGGACTGTACATCCGATAGCGATGAGTCTGATGACGGGGCTTCGGTGTGCTCTGATAACAACAGTGAGCAATATTATAGCTTCTATGATGATAGCTCTTCGGTTGACGATGAAGATTCATGCAGATCCCCGTGTGACCGTGCAGGATGCTGTGCTGACGCCTGTGCGACAATCCCCTCCCTGCCCCCATTGGACTGGGACAGCCTCAACCTCGAGACTTTCGGCCTTCATGATAGCAACATCCTTGCTGAGATCACCGTTCCAGTCACTAACTCACAGTATCCCCAAGCTGAACTCCCTGCTAAGATTAGTAACAGGGAAGAAGACCTTCCTGAGATTGACCTATCCTCGATCCAGGAGCGCATTGAAGCATCCGTTCGCAGGCGCCTAGATGAGCAGAACGAGAAGAAGACACAAGAGAAGAACTTATCGCAGCTTCTCGACGTAGCCCTTCTAGAAAAGGACAAGAATGACCGACGTGAGCGCGAGGCCGCGCAGGGCATCGAAGAAGACCCACACCTCTGGGACACCGAATCGATTAATGACTTATTTACTCGTACAGCAGGGCCATTGGAGATCTACGAAGATGCCAGCGATGTCTCGCCACGCACCCAAGTCAAGGCCCGAGGGGACTCCCCTCGTTCCGGACCTCAGCCTAGAATGCACATCTACCGGGGAACCATGTTTGCCGCCACTGAAGAGCAAGCATACCAGAATGGCCTACGGGATATCCGACCATATCTCAACCACTCAGGTCAATGGGAAGGCCAGATGCGGGCCTTCTCAGCTGATGACGCAACTGATATGGGTCTGTTCGACGCAGTCCACCTTCGTAGGTGCTGCGATGTGCGACCGCTTGAATGGCACGCATATTACGGGATGATGCAGGCAGATTCAGAGTTCGAGGCTGAGCAACGCCATCTGGAGAATATCCAGATCGTGCCTGGCTCCAATAACCAGTTCTACGGGTCTATCCTGGCGGAAGGCCTGGCACACGCTAGAGCGATGGGCGTTTCAAACCCGCAACATCTTTGGGGCTGTTGTGTTGATGGCCAGTTTGATATGCCATTAGCCGTGAAACACCAGTATAATGGGACGATGAGTGCAATTTCCCTGGATGATGGGGCGGATAAGGGGCTGCTGGATGTCCGTGAGAATAACGGACTTTATTATGGGCACGTCGTAGTCGAATGTGAATTGGAAGCCTGGAATATGGGGCTGCGGGAAATTAAGCATGCTGACGGCTGTGACGGTTGTGCCGCAGCCGAGCCGGTTGACTTGGAGATGGACGCGCTGCTTCCGAACCCAACGAACACATTTTTTGGATATATGTTTGGACACACCGAACAGGATGTTATTGATCGTGGCCTACAGCATGCGCTTTTAGTCCCGGGATACACAAAGAAATATTCAGGCAACTTGCAAGCAGGATCTGCTGAAGAAGCTAACGCGATGGGGCTAATCGGGGCTTCGCGTATCGAGTGGGGGTTGCTGCAGGGGTGATTTCGATTTCACATTGATTATCGATCTGCTTAGGCTGCAGAGGTTGCTTTTCTTTACCTTTCTTTATAGACAATTCCAAGATTCCCTTTGTGATGACAATTCTATTCAACTCAAATATCTGCCTTTGTATGACCGGGGAGTCTCCGTAAAACAATAGTTGTATCAGGATCTCCCCCCTAAACTCGATTTGGTGCGTGGTTGACTGACTTTTGGGGCCAATAATTCACTTCGAAGTTGGACCGTTGACTATTATATTTATACCTTTTACGAGAGTGAGACTATGGCATTTTGACTCTTTTCTGAGCCCTGGAGGTAAGGCTGAAATATGCGGTTCGTGGGAATGGCTTGGGCACGAGGGGCTAGTATAAAATTGATTTATCACATACTTTATCGAAGGTTAACACGCTAAGTATAGACACGCGCAGCGTGCTGAATGATCGGCCTACAAATGCCATCACATCTCGATTGTGATGTCAAGATCCATTTCACTTCGCAAACGGATTGACCAGTGGACCTGCCCCTTGGAGGGAAGATCGACTGTTTTCCTCACGGAAAACCAGAAACTTTTTAGGGAATCAATAGTGTCAACAAGTCAACAACAGAAATTCAATAGAGCCTCGGGGTTTCCCCTGCCAAGAGATCTTAATCTCGACTTCCCCATCGAACGTGCCAATCATCGCGAACTGTCGCAAGTGACAAATACCGCAGCGCGCGCAAGCTCCGCCATCGCGGACCAAGCAGCTCTCCGATCGGGTGGTTGGAGACCCACCGTAATGTCCCAAACGGCAGAGAGATGGAGTCGCACTGGAGTTACAGTGGACTCGTAGTGGACTCGCACTGCACCGTGACTGGGTACACTGCCCTCGCGACGGGTCGTGCAATGGACCACTCTCAGGTACCCAAGGTGGTAACTTCAGCCATGATCTTCACATCCTGAAGCCAAAAAAACTTGGAGGGGTTCCACTTCCTCGTGCGAGTGCATGTGCTCCCCGTAATCCCGGGAGAGGTTTCCACCTTTTGATGTTCACTTAAAAAGGTTCCAGGACCCGGAATTCTGGGCCCTAAGCGCTATCCAACTTCACTCACTTTCCTTCAGCACTACTTGCACAACCTCAATATGGGCTCAGAATTCGGTGCCACAGCCGAATCCAAGGCTCAAATTGACCTGGGTCCGGTCACGATCTGGTGGGCCGTCTGGGGATGCCTCTGGACGATCGTTGTGGTCGCCGGCATGGTCTATCTCATCATTAACCGCAATATGCCAACATTGCGAATCCGGGGTCTCGGTCTATCACTCACTTCGATCGTAATCCTTCACTTATATTGGATCCCTACCCAATTCGGCACTATGCTAGGCCCAGTCTTGCCTGGAGACTGTGGCTATTGGCTCATGGGGACCTTGCTGCCTTGCGGCATGGCCCTCTTCCATGGCTCTAACACTCGCTTCCTCCACGTCGCTAATCAGCAAAAGAAGTTCGCCGTGGACGCCGACTACCTCGGCGACAGCGCCCCCGTTGCGCCCCCATCCGGCTTGATCGGCCGTTTCAAGCGCGCCAAGTATACCACCAAAATCCTTTTCTGGTGCGCCATCGCCATGTTCAGTCAGGTCTTCCTTACTATCTTGATGTGGCTCATTTCCCGCAAGTACCACAGCTCTTGGGGTATTCCCGGCACCCAGGTTACCGGAACCCCAATGGAAATCCTGGCGAAACAGGGTGCCGGATGGGAATGGTGGCCTAGCCTGTGTATGCAATTCTTCTGGTCCTGGCTCGTCGCCCCTTTCGTTCTCTGGAAGTCCCGCAGCATTCACGACACCCACGGCTGGCGCATCCAAACCATCGGCTGCGCTGTCGCTGGTCTCCATGCCACCCCAATGTGGCTGGTCGGTATATACGTTCCCCAGATGGCCCCTGTCAACAAGGTCTGGGTGCCCCCTCAGTGGATTTGTCTCTCCATCATGATCATTGAGATCTTCACCGTCCTTCTTCCATGCTGGGAAGTCATGCGCCATCAGAATCTCCGCCAAGAGACACTCGACTCCATCGCCCGCTGGGAACTGAAGGTCAAGTCCACTGGCTCTGAGGAGAAGTCCGTTCACTCCGAATCCACCATGGTGGCTTCCATGATCTCCGGCTGGAAGTCCAACAGCTCAACCACCACCTTCAACTCCCGCGACAGCATCCTCTCTATGGGTGCCCTCGAGCACGTCCTCGAACGTAACCCCGGCCCTCTCCAGGAGTTCTCCGCTCTACGCGAGTTCTCCGGCGAGAACATCGTCTTCCTTACCAACGTCGCCGAGTGGCGCAACAAGCTCCCGGAGGCCATGAAAGACCGCGCTGCCATGGGAGACAAGAGCAACCGCGACATCATCCGCAGCGCTTTCAACCGCGCCTTGCACATCTACGCTGAGTTCATCAGTGTGCGCCACGCCGAGTTCCCCGTCAACATCTCTCACCAGGAGCTGAAGAAGCTGGAGGACATCTTCGAGAAGCCTACCCGTCTGATTTACGGCGAGGAGCGCGAATGCGACCCCACCAGTCCCTTTGACAAGTTCGCTTTCGATCTGCCCTCCCCCGCGTCAGCCGACTCCGAGAAGACCATGCAGTCAGCCATGGCTGCGCCTATTCGGGATCGCGTGCAGTACTGGGGAGACATCCCCGCGGAGTTCGAGGCATCGATCTTCGACGCCGCCGAGGCGAGTATCAAGTATCTCGTGCTCACCAATACCTGGCCCAAGTTCATCAAGGACCGCCGAGGCTCGATCGAATCGTTCGACACCCTCAAGGGTATGGAAGTCTAACTGGCTCTTTGAGCGCCATGTGTAAATGAGTATAAGTCGTTCTGATGGGTCGGGCCTTTTGTATACTTTTGCTGTTTTCTTTTTCTTTCTCCTGATCTTTTGGAAATTCTAGTCGATTTTCCAAAGGTCTGTACATACTAATTGACCAATTTGTCGGTCTTAACATTCGGGATACCCTCACACAACATGTTTTTCATATTGATATCACTAAAAATCACTTTCTACATTTGGATAGGAGACCGTATCACGGTCGCCTTCCATTAATATTATTTATCCAACCGACCCATTGTTCCTTTAATTAGAGCTAATTCCATAGGGCTGTACTTTGTAAAGCGATCTGTATTTCAATGATCTATGAACAAGTATCATATGAGTATTCTAATTTCCAAAGGTTTTCACCACACTAGCGCTTCCTTCAGCACCCAGCCCGGACTTCTTTGCCAGGTACAACACGCTTAAAGCGGAATTTCCCAGGTTCAGAGGACAATGCAGATCTCGCCCTTTCTGCACAGCCTTTTCCAGACGCGCAGTAGCCGCATCGAGCGTCTCCGATCCTCCGATCTGCCCCTCGATCATCTCTAGCCCCTTTGTCATGAATTGCCGACTAGCACCCGCAGCATCGCTGACGAGCGTAAAGAACTGCTTCAGATCAACCTTGAGATATCGCGCAAAGGCAATCGCCTCAGCCGCAGCAACAAGGTTCGTAATTTCCATCAGATCCAGCACCAGCTGCAAATCCTTCTCTGACTGTGCCGATACCTTCATAATCGGCTCACCGAAGTACTGCCGCACCATCGACGAATCATCCATCGCCCCATACCCCTGTAACAAAGCAGACAGATAGACCTGCTCAGCAGTCGAAGATAACGGAGTCGGGAACTGACTTTGTCGCGCCGATGTCGTGATAATGCCCTAAACAGGTCAACTAACCACACTATTGCCTGCACAGAAACCAAACTTACCACATCCTTCAGAATAATAGTCAATGCACTAGCGCCGGGATTCCAATCCTCATCCAACATCCTCTGCAACCGGTTTTCGTGCATCCACGACCAAGCCTCAGACCCCTTGATCGCCTCCGCAGTAGCAACAGCCCCCAACCCAAGTCGCGCAGCGAATCCCATCGCTTCACTCGCTCCCAGAATGTGGATTCCTGCAAGAACCTGATGCACCATCTTCATATTACTGCCTGCCCCAATACCACCGGGGACAAGATAGAGCTTGTTCGCATCTGACATTTCTTGGAGCAGGAATCGGCCTTTCTCCAGTGCTTCGTCAGATGCGCCCGCCATGATCGATAGTGTTCCCGCTGCGGCACGCAGCGCACCACCTGAGACAGGCGCGTCAATGAACTTGATATCAGATCTTCCGAGTGTGACTAATTCCGCCGCTACAGATTGGGCGTATGTTGCCGGGACGGTGGAGCAGAGTAGAAGTGTCGCGTTGGATGGGAGTGCTGTTGCGATTTAGTTTCTCTTCTTCTTTTCTCAATCCTTCATAACATTCTGAATGCTTACCTGCGACTATACCCCCCTCACCGAATAGTACGCTCTGTACCTGCGGGGCGGAGGCAACCATACACACGTAGAAGTCCTTCTCCCGAGCTGACTCTTCGAGAGAAGATGTGGGAATTCCACCTGCTGCTGCAAATCGTTCTACTGAGGCGGGGAATACGTCAAAGCCGTGGACTGAGTAGCCTTCTTTCACGAGGTGGGTGGCCATGCCAAAGCCCATGGCTCCAAGGCCGACGAACCCGATTGATGGTCTGGACATTGTAATTGACTGGATTTGCAGAAATTACTGTCTATGTACATGCGAGTCGGAGGCTTATGAGGGGAAATGGGGGGATTGTTGATCGGGTGAAGTCCGAGGTGCCGGGCCGAAGTTTGACGGCTTCGCAGGGCCCGTTGCGTCGTGGGGTTGTCTGATCGTGGGGGTGGAGGATCGGAAAGTTGTCCGAGATTGTTCATGGAACAATTAGGCTAAACAAGTATTCTGAATGCAAGTTCTATGTCATTTTGTGTTTTTTTTTTTATTGGTGAAATCAAGTAGAACACGACTAATTTGTCTCGCCCAAAAGATCCCTCAGCACATCGGCAGGGCGAGACTTGGGGGCTGCGATCTGTAGAACTTCCTTGCTGGTTGTAGAGGTTGTGCATTTTCCTGCCCATGCGGTATCCAATGCGTATTTGGTAGTCATGATCACATTCTTCGATTGACCAGCTGCCTTGTACTTGTATTCCCATAGCAAGTCAATGGCAGTGGTGTCTTGGTAGATGACTTCGTCAACTTTGGTACCAATGTACTGCTCAACCAGATCAACAATCTGCTTCCCGGTGATATCCTCAGGACCATTGAGAACGTATTTGGCCTTGTTATACACAGTGGTATCACTCTGCGCCAGAAGATGAGCAGCAAAGACTCCAACTTCCGAGCTATCAATCACGCCAACGGGCGCATCCTTTGCTGCCATTAATCGAAGAGGACCCTGCTTCCCAGTCTGACGGTATTCTTGAATCAACTGCACTGCAGAAGAGAGCCAGAAGCTCGCAAATACATTGGATTGCAGTGAAGTCCAGTGCAAGCCGGCGAATTCCGGCTGACCCAGAAGACTTTCGATAGCCCAGTGTGAACGAGGATAGTAGGCCTTGCAGTCCGGGCGAACATTGGCAGCGGTGGTTGAGATTCGCACGACGTACTTGACACCGGCATTGAGGGCGTTGATGTAGAATTCGGATTCTTCGGCGAATTGATTGGGCTCGTTGTGCGATGCCATGAATGCTCTGACGACTTGTTGCTCCTGGAGCCAGTCGGAGGTGATATCAACCCAGTTCTGCTCGATAACTTCCACACCGGGCAGCTTGGCAAGATCCTGGGCAGCGGGGCTGGTTAATGAGCGAGTGAGGGCAATGATTCGGTGGTCGCATAGAGCGTTGTTGGCTTTCAGCAATCCTGGCAAAATCTCCGTGAGGCGGCGTCCGGTGTTACCGGTTGCACCGGCAATGAGAATAGTAGGTGCCATAGCTGGAATGAAGATTGAGAGATGAAAGGATGATTGACTGTTCTCTTCTGCTTCTATGCCGGACCAGGTGTTTCTTATAGTGCATCCGGAAGCCCACCGGACACCCACCCCCGGACGCCCACTTGATTACACACTGATTTCGCATCATTCTATGTCATCTCCATCTCGCGATGGGAAGGAATGGTGTTAATCTCTCCGATATTTGCTTTCTCTGACACATCTGTCCATGGCTCCTTTTCTCTCTTTTTCTTTCCATATCACTTTCATTTGCCGCTTTCCTTTAGTTAGCTCCCCCCAACAACCATTTTATCATCTAAATTGATGCATCCGCCCAAGATATACTAACTTGGCCTCTAAAAGGGTCATCAAGGTCCCTTTCCTCTCCAAGGACATTTCCCAGGTCCATCACCGCCGGCCTTCCACGCCTAAGCCAACTGCGATGATGGTTAGTCAAGCCAACTGAGAAGGCTCGCTGCCACAATTAATGAGAATGGCGAATATTTAGGGTGAGTTCCGTGATCGCAGGACGATATTGAAGTTGGTACTTTTTCGCTCAAGGCTGCGTAATGCGCAACTGCCTGGAGAATCTGTGTTGCCTACTTCGCTCGCCTCGATGTTTTAAAACCAGCGCCATCTCTTCTTGAAATTCAATTTTCGGCACCCCAATCATATCATTCAAATCAATTCAGTGCTGCGCGGAGTTGCTTGCACCACGTCAACTTCACATTGGCCATCCATCAATCCAGGCTCATACTTCGAACGAGACTTGTCGAAACTGCAAATTGAAGTCATATTGCTCATCACGAGTTAAATCAACGAGGCCATATCAAAAAGCATAAATCTGTGACTTATGCCCATGGACATGACAAAGAAACCTGAGGTCTCTGGTCAGGCAGCGGCAGCAGACCTAGATCCCATCGCCATAGCGGCTCGAGGAAATGAAATCTTAGGGCTGGATATCTTCCGAAAAACAGATGAGGATATATCAGTTCCCAGGGTAATGACTCTCCTTTCCGAAATGAACGCCGACAAACCCACCGGAGGCACCGACATGGTCTACGGAGACAAGGAGTCGCAAAATCTCCGCCTCTGGAAGCCCGATACTTCCAAGCCTCCGGTTATCCTGTTTGTCCACGGCGGAAGCTGGAGATCTGGTACGAACTTGGACTCGATCGGCTCAGTTAAAGTGAATCATCTCGTCTCTCGCGGATATGCCTTTGCCTCTGTCAATTATTCACTTGTACCCTCTGTGACCGTCGAGGAGCAGGTTCAGGAAGTAGCAGAGTCCGTGAGCTCCCTGGTTCAAAATGCCAACGTGCTTGGTATCGACCCCGACCGAATTATTCTCATGGGACACAGTTCTGGTGCGCACGTTGTCACCTTACTTGGTACCGATCCAAGCTACCTGGCAAATGTAAATGTCAGCATTGGCACAGTGCGCGCGGTTATTTCGCTTGATGGCTCAAACTACAATGCATTGGCAGAGATAACCGATAGTCCTGGACCAGTGGCAGAAAATCTGATCAGTGCGCTTGGGACTGATCCAAAGCGACTGGTAGCCATGCCGCCCACACACCATGCCCGTGGACTTAATGCCGGTGCATTCTTACTTCTCCATGTTCAGCGAAGTGGTGATATCCGCCAAGCGGTGGAGCTGAGTTTGGCACTGAAAGCATCAGGAACTACCGCCGACCTGCATGTCTTCGAGGGAGAATTCTTCGAAGGACATATTCAGTTGCTTCTTCGTCTGGGGGACCCGGAATATCCTGCTACTTTGGTGTTGGACAACTGGCTGGAGTTACATGTTCCAATCACGCCCCACTAAATCGGATACTGGGATGATTCCATGGGGTGAGCTTGGATTAGTCGCACTCCAGCGGTTCCCCAAATATGTGCCCCTAGAATAGTGCATGTAGATCCCCATCTGAAAATGCCTTGCCTCGATCTTATGCAGCTCTTTACTCCGTAAACCTGAAAGAATAATGTCTCATAGTTATAGGAGAAACCCATTAGGAGAGTGCACAATGTAAAGCGAACTAAAATGGTGAAGCTTACGGAGTATAGAAAACTACTTCATTCTGTAAATGCTAGTCCAGCAAGGGGCCTCGTGTTGGTCCCGGCTGTACCCGGTAAGCTCGCCGAGCCCAAGATCGACATCCTCAGCTCGTGGATGCAGCTTGCATCCTACTTAAGTAAGTTACAATTCCTGTACCAGTGATTTAACCCAGTGAGGTTTTCTGCGTCGCAACATACTCACAACGATTTGCAGATCGACTAGATCGGAATCCCCTGATCCTCCAGCTTGAACATGGAGTTCCAACTCTGACCAATAGATCTTCCCAAGGCCTGCTTTCGGCTTGCATATGGTGGGCCTACAATGCAGTCACATACTTGGATCGAGCGAATGGACGTGCTGGCTCGGCGTGCATATCGATAGTCGGCGCCAGGTATCCACAACGCCGGGTGCACCCCGTATGAGTATGTAGCAATTTTCATGCAAAGCGACATCTGCTTTACTTTATCAATTCGAATCGGTTGGATATTTGGAAAATTACTCTATAGCGATACATGAGTTCAGTGGGAAGAAAAGCATCGGATTTAAGGCTTAGATGAATGAAAATACCCCGTACTCCGTATAGAGTACGTTGCCAATTCATGTATGTGCGATTGTAACCTTGGAGGCATCCAGGTACCAATCCAATCAATACTCTACGAGTACTTTAGAGCCATCTGACCCTTGCAGCTACGCCCTTTGTACGAGTAGACGTGCATCTCAATAGTCAATGCAGGCACTGCCCCGCATTCCGGGATGCAGTAGCGACTTGCATGCATGAGTATACGAGTAGTGTATGTTTTCAGCTCATGATCAGCAAGCCCACTGTGTATCTGAAGCGCTTTGAATGTAAGTGTGATCAACAGGGAGAAAAAGCAAACATGGATAGGTATAAATAAGGAGAGCTCGCAATTCACATGGACTTTTCTTTCCAGTATCTCTCCGCCTCCCTCTCAGCCTCCAGAATGAAAGCCTTCTTCGCTATCGGTGCCATTGCTTCCCTCTGCCAGTCGGCATACTGTCTCGACCCCGGGACCTACTTCATCGGCTCGGCCATAAGCGACTCCGATGTCCTGACTGAGAAAGGAGCCAACCTACCACTCGCCTTCGAAAAGACCGGGGCAAGTAGCGGGCAGTACTGGAGCCTCACTCCCTCAGATGGCGGATACTTCCAGATAAGCACCGACGAGGGCTTGTTCATCAACTGCGCCAAAGAGGGTACCAAGACCTGTTACGCCGGCCCGAATCCTCAGAGCTTCCTCCCGGAGTTCCAAGGCGACAACAAATATGAGCTCGTGGAACAAGGCAGTGGATATTTCCTCCGCCAGGCCGAAGATGGCTCTCTTCAGTTGGCTGAGTACGACCAGAGTATCAATGAGCAGTTTAGACTGAAGCCAGTGTGAGTATATTTACTCCATAGAGTGGGAGTCCTCTCGGCGCTAACCCTGGGTTTTAGTTCAGCCGATGGCTCCGCATGAGAGGTTGATTGAGATGTTTGTAATTAAAGCTTCAAATATAGACAGCCATCAATCAAGTCGTTGTTCCCGCCGGAGAGTCCAAAAGTGACGTAAACAGCACGGAGGAACTCCGAGGGTCGGACATGCAGCGAACCACTCGGACAGCTCCGAATGTTGATATTAAAGAGACTATGACCTGGATATTGGTGCATAAACCACTCACCTCAATCACTCAAGACTCAAAATGCCCCTCACCGAGAATCGCGCTCTGCGCATCCTAGACCACGCCGCCGAGAACCACTATGGCATTCCCGCAATGTGCTGCTACAATGTCGAAGGCATCCTCGCCACTGTCCGCGCAGCAGAAGCCAAGCGCTCAGCAGCAATGATCCTCCTCTTCCCCTGGGCAATCCATTACGCCGACGGACTCCTCGTACACGCTGCCGCCGAAGCCGCGCGCAAAGCCACCGTCCCAATCACAGTCCACATGGACCACGCGCAGACACCAGAAATTATCCGGTACGCAGCGGATCTGGGCGGCTTCGACAGTATCATGGTCGATATGTCACACTATGAGAAAGCGGAGAATCTGGCGCTAACGCGCGAGTTGGTGGAGTACTGCCATGAGCGGGGCATTGCGACGGAGGCGGAACCCGGGCGCATTGAGGGGGGTGAGGATGGGGTTGCTGACACAGCTGATTTGGAGGGATTGCTCACCACCCCGGAAGAGAGTCAGGAGTTTGTTGATACTGGGATTGATTGGTTGGCGCCGGCGTTTGGAAATGTCCATGGGGAGTATGGGCCTCGTGGGATTCAGCTCGAATATGAGCGTTTGCAATCCATTAATGAGGCTGTTGGGGGGAAAGTGAGACTTGTGCTTCATGGGGCGGATCCTTTTACCAAGGAGATTTTCCAGAAGTGTATTGATTGTGGTGTGTCCAAGATCAATATTAACAAGGTGTTGAACAATGAGTATGTGCGCGTTCAGGCTGAGAAGGCGGGTAAGGTGCCTTTGACTACTTTGTTGGAGGAGGCGACAAATGCCATGCAGAAGGCAGTTGAGGGTTGTATTGATAGACTGGGCTCTGGTGGAAGATACCCGTCGAGTTAGTGGATAGAAGATGAACTAGAATAGATCGAAGTGAACAACGAGGTGAAAATGCCTTGGGAGGTTGAATGAGGAAAGTCTCAATTTTTAGTAATTAATTCCTAAGATAAATCAAAGTATGAATTCCGAAAGAAGGGCGCCGCCAACCTATTGCCAGAGGTATTGAATTGAAAAACGAGCGGAAGTGACCAACATAAAGACGAAGACAGGGGTAGTAATCCAAACACATAAAGGGAAATGACTGAGCCGCGAGCTTAGCGGCGAAGGCCAAGACCAGCAATGGGGGCACCGACGAGGCCTCCAACAAGGGGTAGACCCTGAACAAGGTCACCAAGAGGACCAGCGGGGGCAGCTGCGCTGGGAGAAGGAGCGGCGCTGGAAGAGGGAGAAGCAGAGGAGGAAGCCTTAGCGGAGGAAGGCTTGGCAGCGGAGGGCTTATCGGATGGCTTAGCGGATGGCTTAGCGGATGGCTTAGCAGAGGGCTTAGCAGAGGGCTTAGCAGAGGGGTGGACAAGGCCATGGCTGGCGGAAGACATGGCGGAGGGGGATGCCATGGCCTTGGCAGGAGCAGGGGCTGCAACTGGTGCCTGGGACACGGCGGGAGCGGGGAAACTCATGGGGGCGTGAGTGGCCTTGACCATGGCAGCATGGGTGGCGGAGGTAGTAGGAGTGGCCACTTGGGCAGACTCGGCCTGCTCCAAGGCTTGCATGGCAGCAGGGAAGGGGTTGTCGAATCCATCACTGTCGGGGTCCTCGACGGAGGATGAACCGGATGGGTTGAAGGGGAATCCACCAGCCATATCCCCGAAGCCGCTGCTGGGCTTGGGGGCAGAGGGTGCGGCGATAGCGCCGATGGCAAAGAGGGCCAGAGAAATGTAAGAGGCGTGCATTATGTTGGTCTGTTGGGAGGGACTGGAGGAAATAAATGAAAGTAAGTGACGACTGTCTGGATGGAAATGAAGGACTGGCTCGCGATTTGCACGAAGGGGTCTATATCATTTTATATAAAGAGGAACTGGCATATATGAGAGGTTGTTTTGCTATCCTCCATGCCTCACGCTCTTATTGATGAAGATCAGCATCGCTGGACCGAGCTGACGACTGTCACATAGCAGGATTATGCCCTACGGGCATGAGCGGGTTGGAGGAAGGGCTCTTTACGAGCTCAGGTGTCGGGTATGTTGAACTCCTGTGGAATGATCAGCCAGGGACCTACCCAGCAAAGATAAGAGCGTCTCTTACAAAGATCCACGGGTCAATTCCAGCGATGATCGTCGCGTTGTTTGGTTTGAGCACAACACCAGGGTATCGATACATGCAAGTACAAAATAAGCATGGTGATATGCTCTTGTGATCCTCGTGTGGTCGGTTTTCATCGTGAACATTGTCGTTTTTGTCATATGAGACTAATGGACTTTCAGCACTGAATAGGCGTGCGTACAAATCTCTGCCCTAATCTGCCCTAATACAAGTACAAGTAGAACAAAGGCGCTGCTGCACCTATCCTGGAAGGATTTCCTTCTTCTCCCGCTGAAGCAGCCGAACATCCCCACCTATGGGGATTCCTAATTCCTATTCAAGGAATTGAAAATAAGCTCCTGGAAGTGGCTTGGTACGTGGGAAATATCACCCTGGTAACCCCTTGCAGCCCCTTACAGTGGGGATCCCGACCAAATCCCCCGAGGTAGCAATCGAGCTCCAACTCGTGGACCTTAGAAGGCTTATTGCCAGAGTGATTGGTTGCAGCTACATACCCAAGCACATATCGCGTCAAATCAGCCATACTGTTATCATATAATGAAACGTTGGTTATGGGTAGCACCAAGTTGTAGCTCATAGGGTTGCACCCAATCTCTTACGGGAATGAGTCAACCCCTCGATTCTAAACTTTAGAAGCTAATAGCCATATTGCAAGGTGATTACACTGAAAACTTGGAAGTTGTTCTATGGATGTAGTTCTCGCCCGGGCGCATGTAGCCAAACACGTACAGGCGCTTTCCAACTTTAGAAGGTGAAACCGGCATAATCTTAGGCCCATATGGACCATGACAACCTTGGAATCACGCTCACATCAGAGGTCCATGGATATGTTCGGGGAGAGAGACTAAGGAAGCAAACGGGAAAACGAGATGGATTTGGCTATTTGAACCCCATCCCAACCCTCAAGAAAATCCCGTGAAAGTACCAAAGGCAACCTTGAGATAAATATCTGTGGATGAATATCGAATATAGGAAAATGTCACGAGTCCGGGTGCTCCTTCATTCACTCTTCTACGATACCACTTACCGTGGCACGGACATTAAACAGGCCAACCTCAGGACATCCGATTGCCTTGTCTCGATAAACGGTGATATTTTCCACCGTGGTTTCATATAGAGTGAAGTCAATGCGGCGTGCAATATGCGCGAGGGCCAAGTAAATCTCCGCGTATGCCAGGCTATATATTGTGTCAGTACTTCCGCAGCCCACTTTCTGACCCAGATGGCAGTGTCCTCGTGGTCTTCGGAAGTGCATATGACTGCAGTCTTTCCTACAGACAAGGACCTCCGATGCAAGGGATAGGTGGACTCACTTCATTCCTAAGCATTGCCTGCTGCCCTTGGTGAAAGAGACGATGTACCGACTAAGATACTCGCCATTGTCGGCGGCACGCACCCAACGCTCCGGGTCGAATTTCTTCGGCTCAGGGAAGAGTGTGGCGTCCATGTGAACGAAGTAATTTGACTGACTGACCGGTGTCTGAAATCCGTTGTATTAGCATTCCACTAACAATGTGACTGTTCTCGAGAGAGATGAAATCATAGCATCACTAGATCATCAACTACTTACACCAGCAGGAATTGTCCAATCCTTGTAGAACATGGGCTCATTCGGCGAAACACGTGCCAATCGCAATGTCATACCGTGGCTGAGGCGGAGACCCTCGTTGACAACGCCGGTCTAGTAGAATATATACATCAGCAATTGAAGTGAAATCATCAACCATATCCTAATCTATACTCACCAAGTAAGGCAACTTCTCCAAATCCGACCATGAAGCCCTCGACTGTGGTGTTTCCAACACAGTTCTCAACTCGACCCGCAGTTTCTCCAAGATATCTTTGTTCGCAATGAGGTGGAACATCGAGACAGCAATAGCCCGAGCAGTGGTTTCCGTACCAGCACCAAGAAGCAGCGCAGATTCATCTTCCAGGCGATCTAGTGTTCGCTCATGCGCTGGGATGTCCAAGTTGGTCAATGCATCGAAAACATTCGGTCGACCCTCCGTAGCGACTTTCTCCAAGTCCCGCCTCTGTAGTGTGCTTTTGGCTTGGCGACGGAGACGACCTTTGAATTCGAATAAATCAGCCATTTTTGGCTGTAACCAACGGACCAAGGAGGGTGGTGCATTGCGGAAAACCGTGATCAGAAATGGGAAAAAGCGGTTGATATGAAACATGAGCATCAATCCGTTGACTGCATCGACGAGATCGTTGCTGCGTGCTGGCTTTTCATCATCCAAATATCCGTAGCTCCAGCCATAGCAGTAGTCTGTGATAATATCGGTGGTTAGGGCTGCCAAGTCCAGCTGGAGGATAAGCACCGAGCCGGATTCATAGGCTTTCTCGAAGCGACGGACGAGCTTGCCAACCTTTTCATGAATCGATGGCCCGAGTTCCATGACTGAACGCTTGGAGAAATAGTTACTGAGGAGGCCACGACGGAAACGGTGGTGGTCATGGTAGGTTGTTCCCACGAGAGAGAATGGTGCACCGTAAGCTACGGAGTATTGGACATCCTTCGAGCGTTTGCGAGATGATCCTGCGTGTATCTCATCATAGTAGGAGGGATCTTTGATGTGGAGCTCTCTGGGGTTGATGCGGACGATTGGGCCTGCGTTGAGAGTAAGTTGATGACTCTGGAAATTGGAGGATGCTCGAGGATGAACCCCAGAGACTGTACTGACCGTATTTCTCATGCATACGCTCAACTTCCCAGATATACATCCCACCTTTCCAGACGTCGTAGTAGAACTCGTAGAGGAATGTTGCCGCGGCGAGCCTGGGCCCGGGAAATTTAGATAACGGGTGAAAGTACAAGTGATAGACTGTACGCAGCACCAGTAGCCCTAAGGCTAGGACTGCCAGCGATTTGAATAGATTCAGATTCTCCATCGTGAATCGATTGAGAGACTCGAAATGATGAAGAGCAAAGATTAGGGCTAGTCAAATGAAGTAAAGGAAGTGAGCTGTTCATGGAAAAAGAAAAGTGCACCACGAGGGAACCACATGGGAATGTAAAGTAATCGTTTAGTTAACTAAACAAAATTGATTGAAATATATTATTGAGCCAATGCAAGTTCACTTCGATCACACTTGGATGCCGCTGAAATCAGTCCGGAGGAATCCGTAGTCAACGCTCAATCGACTATTCGTGGGCTTCCTGCGAACTCATCCACACTCACAGATGCAACTAACACTAGGGTCTGATGGAATGAGACAAGACTGCCCTGTTCCTTATGACTAGGTCATAATGGGCAACACTCAATGTGACAGGTCAAGACGAGGTGCATTGTGCATAATAAACTAACCACCTCGTGCGGTTCTAGCGACAAAGACGGGCCAATTAGAAATTGAACAATGACGGCTTCGGCTAGTCTACAATTTCGGGCTTCATAGCCCCCATTGTAGTCGCAGTACCAAGGCATAAGACCTGCTTAGTTGCATTTAGGAGACAAAAGTACAATGAGATTATCCTGGACGTTAGCTGATCCTGTTAAGCCGTTGGAGCCTGAGGCCCCATGAGCACCTGACCAACGCTGTCCAGCTGAGTAATCCCTTCGCGGGTGGAGGTTTGGGGAAAGCATATAGCCGGCCCCCACAGGGATAAATGTTCTGGGGTTCGCTTGTCAATTTTATGGGGTTGAGTTGATTGAATGCTATACGGGTAGTATATTGTGAGGTTTTGTATGTGAATTTGTATAGAAATAACATCAGGCATTGAATTTGGTACAATACAAAGGTATGGTTGCGCTATCATCATGCAGCCGAATGAAAAACCAGTGCATTCCGGTAAGAATTCACAATTTACACCTATGAAAACATCCGAGGGATCGGCAGGGGAAAAAAATAGAAGAAAATAGGAAATAGAGAGACAAGAGGGAAAAGCAACTGGAAAGACATCGGACAGAGAAAAAAGAAATCCGCGGTACTCCGTTTTATATCCAAAAATTTAGACGGCCAACATCTTCTTGACCTCGGCGATTGCGCGACCGGGGTTAAGACCCTTGGGGCAAGTCCGTGTGCAGTTGAGAATGGTGTGGCAGCGGTAGACACTCATGCTGTTGTCAAGAGCGGCCTTGCGCTCGAGGGTCTTCTCGTCACGGGAGTCGGCCAACCAACGGAAGGACTGGAGGAGAATGGCGGGACCGAGGTACTCCTCGCTGTTCCACCAGTAGGATGGGCAGGAGGTTGAGCAGCAGGCGCAAAGAATACATTCGTAGAGACCATCGAGCTTCTTGCGGTCCTCGGGAGATTGGCGGAATTCAAGACCCTGATGAATGTTAGATCATGCTGTGAATGGTAAATGCGAAGACTCGGGTTCAACTCACGTCCTCGGTGGGGGTGTCGCGCTGGAGATATGGCTTAATGGACTTGTATTGCTTGTAGAAGTGGGTAAGATCGGGGACAAGATCCTTGACGACGTAGGTGTGAGGCAGAGGGTAGATGCGAGATTCGCTCTTGGTATCGGTGGGGATACGGCCTGTATTGGATGAGGTCAGCTTTGGTCGCAAAATCGCTGGATGGTCCCAGGTAGTGGGTGTGGCGAGTACATACACAAGCAAGCCAGAGTGTTAACACCGTCAATGTTCATGGCGCAAGAACCGCAAATACCTTCACGGCAGGATCTCCGGAAAGTCAGGGTAGGGTCGAGTTCGTTCTTTATCCGGATGAGAGCATCGAGCATCATGGGTCCGGTCTTGTTCAGGTCGAGGTCGTAGGCGGCCATCTGGGGCTTCTCGCTGGGCTGGTCAGGGTTCCAGCGGTAGACCTTGAAGGTCTTCATCTTTGGGTTCTCAGAGGGAGTAGGCTCAACGGTCGCGTAGGTGCGAGCGAAGGCAGGACGGAACATCGGCCGCGATGCGGCGAGCAGTCGCGAAGTGGTGCGGAGGGAGGCCATGGCGGGTGATCGGAAGGTGAAAAAGCACCTGAGGAAGAGAAGAAGGAGAAAGAGAGAAGATCGATTAGATTACAAGGCGCAGAGTGGAGAGAGTCGAGATAGAATCAAAAGTGGAATTCTTTAGGCACGAATTCTCACTTCAAAGAGCCAATTGCCAACAAAATGAAGTCGTGAAGTCCAAAGGGAGTCTACCTCGGGTTTGCCCAGTCGAAATCGGCTATATGCTGACTCACTCGTCATGCAGCCAATCAGCACCGACCTAATTGTCAAGTGTCGGGCGGACACGGCGTCAAAGGAAATGTCTACTGCCGGCCACTCTCGTCCACAGCTTCATTTCGGATTATATTTCCAAGTGGATGTGGAAGATTACAAGATGGCAGACCTGTGTTGAAGTCTATTCTCAATTGGCCTTCTATATACCACACATATCCTTCGAAGCAGAAAAAAATCCAGTTGTTGCCTGAGGCTGTCAAGTCCCGGTCTGGGTTGCCGAACAAGCGACTCCCGAGTCTCCCGCACATGTCATCATCGGCATACACTTGGCCAACCGGCAAGGAGTTCAAAGTCTTTGGATTCCATTCTAACCACGTTTCGCATAGTTTTGATGCCATTTATAGTCCCTATCTTCCGTCAACATCCCCCGGATCGCATCCCTCGGGCTAACGGGATCCCGACCTAACAAATCTACCATCAAAGGGTCGACCGCGGCAGTCTCTCCCTTCGCAATACCATCGTACCACGAAACCAAGGCCTTGAAGAATCCCGCGGGCTTTCCGCCTTCGTCCTCGGCCTTGAGCGCCACGAATTCTTCCGGAGAAACAAGCTTGAATTGAACATTGCGCCCGGTCGTCTCGTTGATAAGATCAACGATCTCGGAGAATGTGATATTCTCTTGTGCAGTGACGAGGACAATCTCTCGGTCATAGCCACCGCGGATCATCAACCGTGCCGTTGCTTCGGAAAGCTCTGCGCGCAGGGTGAAGGCTATCGGTCCGTCGGAGGGCAGGTAGACGGTCGACGTGTTCGGATACCACCCCATGAAGACAGGGAAGGCATCAGTGTACAGGCCCTCGCGGATCGAGGTGAAGTTGATATCAGCTCTGTATTTAATCAGTGATTTGGATCATTTGGCTCGGTCTCGGTCGGGTCACCACTTACTGGCGCATCATCTCCTCTGTCATCAGATGGGCTTGCTGGACATCGGCCTTGGAGTTGGATTCAAATCCACCGAACGCGAGTGATGTATACCACACCTGATGCCTCTCGGTTAGCTGGAAGAACGTGCTAGGAGGAGTGAAGACTTGCATGTTTCACGTTCATCTTCTTGGCTGCGTCCACGAAGCTTTGATGCTGATTGCGTCGCTTCTCAACATCGAAGGTATTGGTGCTCACAAAGAATAGGTTCTCAACGTCTTCGAAAGCGGACTCCATGGATTGGGGATCTTCGTAGTTCACCACTCGGAAGGCAATACCTTGGTCCTCGAACCGCTTGCGGTTCTCCTCTCTCGAGGATGCCGCGGCATATTCGCTCGCTGGAAGGTTTGCAACCATGTATGATAGCACGCCAGCTCCGAGGCCCCCCGTGGCTCCCGTAATGAGATATTTCAGTGTCATTGTCGAGAATCAACACCTATGTACGAGTGATTGACAAAGTACTTGTATGAGTAGATCGGCGTGAAGTTTATTGCAGTAATTGGAATCGATACAAGCACTCCCGGGCTCGAATTGCAGACCTCTCGAGTACTTCCAAAGTTGATGGCTTGCGACCCTAGGAGCTTCCCAGGCGCCACTTAAGTAGTTGAGTTTCTTTGTTCGCTGCCATCACATCGACAGGGGTATTCCGCTTTCCTTTTCGGGCACATCACCAGTCGCATCATATTAATCATAAGATCTGCATCTCGAGACCCCTTCTTAACGGTAGCGCTGGCCGTTCAGCTTCATCGATTGGTTAGTGCGACCAGTGCTCCATACACTTATCCTATTCTGGGGTTGGCCCTGTGCGTCATTGGTAATCACCTCGATTGATAATCATGTTGAGCCTACACCGCACAGAGCTTGATCTGTCTAGTTCAAAGCTTTGGAACGAAAATGCGTCATCTGAGCATTAACATGGTGTGTTTGATCCCCAAAAACACGTCGAAACCCTGGTGCCTGAGGTCCTGTTTCATCTGAACCCCTCGATATATATCTTACGGCCACCGATCACACCCTGACATACTCCGCATGGGAACCCACACTTGGGCAGACTTCAGGACTTCAGAACCCGCGGTCAAGATCAAAACACGTGAACCTGGACATGGGCGTTTCCATAATCGACTTGGAATGAAAGAGCTTTTGATAATTAAGTCTATGGTCTATATGGATCTATGATGAACACCTGGGCACGGGTCTCAAGTCTCCGTTGAAATCGCCCTCCCAGGCCTCCTGTCCTCCTCCCGACTGATATTAATCTCATCAGTCACCTTAATCCCAGGACTGATCGACCCCTCCCTCCCTTCCGAAGAATTACCCCTGACCTCTCTAGTGACCGAGACCTGGGAAGGCATCATTTCATAATCATCTTTGCCAATTTTGGACCAGTTGATCAAGCGTTTGCTATCCCTGTTACTGGACGCAGCACCACTAGCCGCGGTCTTGGAGTGTCCGAATCCATGGCTGCGAAGCTTCGTGGACCGAGACCGGGTATGACTCGACGTGTACTCTGTCAGGTGGGCAAAGAGGGAGCCGAAGACGGGCTTCAGTGCTGGAACTGAGAGGGCGACGAGGGTTGCTGCGATTTCGGCATTTTCAACGCATAACATTGGGTTGTATGCCCAACTTCCATCGGGCTCCCATTGGCCTCTTGCAACGAGCCAGACGCGGACTGCGGATATGACGATTACACTGGATGGTGTTAGTTGGGTTTTTTTCAAATGATGTTGCGAAATTGGGATACTGACAAGACACCAGGGAACATGACGATGGAAAGTTTGATCTTTTTGTTCATTGAGACGTGCAGTTGTTTGATCAGCATCGCTGGGAGGATGAACATCATCACGTCGCAGGCGAGCGATATTCCCGAGTTAACGGAGTACACCAAGCCCCATGACAGACATGTATAGGTTTTAGGCTCTGGTTGCCATTCGTACGGCCATAGACCGGTGACTGGTTTGCAGTGGAAGATCAAGAGGAAGATCTGCGGTAGGAATGCGGCGAAAAGGAGAGGGGCTGCAATGAGGATGCTCAGGTGCAACTTTGTTGAGCGTACACTGAGTCGGTAGTAGAAGGCCAGACCTGAAAGGCGACATAGGAAAAGTGCTGTTGTGTAGAGAATGTGGGCGACGAAATCCAAAATTTCTGTATCCCGGACTGTTGGAAGTGATAGCACATATTGGATGTATTCCATGTGCCGGCCGCTTCCCAGGTTAATGAGGACGATGGATAGAACGACAAACACGATGTACAGCAGCTAGAGAGACATCGTTAGTGTCTATTGTGTTATATCAATTGCAAGCCCATATTATTTGAAGACCTCCCACGAAGGATCTCTAGATTAATGTGGACACGTGCAGATCTGGGGGTGGATAGTGGACATACCAGTGTGAGGATGGCCAATGCATCATCCAAGCCGATCTTCTTTACAATGAAGAGCCGGGCATATAAACGCACGATCATCAAAAGGCCCGTAAAACAGACCATGAATACAATTCCAACGATGGCTGATTTATCTTGGGATTGCGCCAGGAATTCCAGGGAGACATCCTTCGGAATGCGCCCTGCTGCATCAGCAGCCAGAATATCGGAGGGTATAGTCATTGCAGAACGTTCAAAAGAGTGACATGATATAGTAATTTGGAAGGTCAACGAGACATTGCAGACTCATGCGAAAGGAAGAAGATGGCATGGGGATCTGGGCCATATTATTGCATCAAGCATGTGCGAATGGGTTCCATAGAAGCACACGATTTATTACGTCCAGTAATCAAAGACCGAAAAGTTAAAATGCGCATACGAGTACCAAAAGACTTAATTAATTAATTTTCCACTCCCCTAATTGTGTTATTCCAGGCGTTTACCAGGCGTTTACCAGGCGTTTACCAGGCGTTTACCAGGCGTTTACCAGGCGTTTTCCTCGAATGACGTGGTCCATTCGGAAAATCCGTGAGCGCTGCGAGAACTCTCCATTGAGGCCATTACGTGACAATACACCCATTGACTGGGCTACTCGTACTCGTAGTTACAGATGATTGAGATTCTTCATCGAGTGCGGTACGACGGAACGGAAAGTTGAAGCGGTAGTGGGGGTCAAATTCCACCAGATCCAAGACCGAGGTCTTTTCTGGCGAACGAGAACACTCCTACGGATGAGACTGATGTGAAGTGCCCTCTAGATCCAAAACAGCCTTGATCCTGTGGAGCCATGAACCAAGGCCCGGAGGCGAAAAAGAAAAAAAAAAAAAGGAAAAAGAATCCACCACGACCATTAAGGAACATCAATTACTGAGTTTGAGGCAATTAAGAGAATCAAACCTTGGAAGCTGTGAATAACAAGCCGATGAACCATAAAATCCCTGGAACTTACGAGTAGAACCTGTAGGGCTAAACTCGGGAACAACAAAGATATGCTAGTCAATGCATATGCAGGGTTAAGTCGATACAGATCTGTCCATCGGAACGCATACGTATGCCGGGTGCCAATGGATGAGACTAGATCCATACTTAGGTAGTGCTAGACTGTTATTGCAATGCACTTCATAGGCTTTGGAATTAAATGAAATCCTGAAGTCGCACTAGTGAACCTCTGGATATGGTTTCCTCTTACGAGTACAAGGTATGTACATACTCGTACGAGTAGCGACCCGGCTAGTTCCAGAGCTTTTACGACGGGAGCACCTTGAGGAAGCTGAAAGCCAGTAAAAATGCCCTTAGTGGGTCTAAATCGTGCGATCGTACGGGCCCAACTCGGTTCCGACGGTTCTTGATGGAGTCTGCAGATTCTGCGGGATTCAAGCTAACGTGCAATTAGGCAGGTCGGTGGTGCGGCAACGCACCTCGGCGTAGATTAATATATTGCATAGCCATTAATGGCACGGTATTTCCTTTAACTTGAGATAACAAGCTTAGCCCTAGCTCCTTGATTGGTGCAGTGGGCGTTCGCATGAGACAACCGTCAATAGTCGCCCAGAAGCAATAAACTAGAACACCGTAGAAGCATCAATTAAGATGTGAATTGCCGGCGAAGGAGCTCGCGTTTAAGCGAATAGAATTCTACTAAAGTTCAGGCGAAAGAGGGCCAAACTTAGTCATTGGCCAAGGGGGCCAAGGGGGGCGCTTCAAGACCCACGATGGTAACCTGCAGGCCGACAAGCACAGGGCGAATATAAACATCTCACGAACCCCCCAAAAAGATCATCGCTGCCACATGGTATTTTGGTGGGGTCTTCTCTAATAATATACACCATCATGGCGCCTTTAGTGACCTTGTTGAGCGGCCTTGCCTTGGCAAGCTCGGTTGTTGCTCTCCCGCAATCTGCCACTGAGACGGACATTCTGGTCGAATCTCAGATCCTGAACAGCCCCTACCAATATGATTTCCCTCGCCTGGGAGCCCCAGGGGCTTCCCAATTCCCCATGCGCCGTTGCCAGGGCTTCAAGCTGGAAGAGGCCACTGTTGACCAAATCCAAGAGCGCTTGGCAAATGGTACCTTCACTACCGTTGAGTTGCTGGCGTGTTACCTCGACCGCATTCACCAGACTCAACCTTATCTGAAGTATGTCAAAGACCTCGCGTCGGATTTTTGAACCTCGACTAACTTTTTTTGCAGTGCCATCTTGCAGCTGAACCCCGATGCTTTCTCCATCGCCCAAAAGCTGGACGCTGAGCGCTCCATGGGTAAGGTTCGTGGTCCCCTCCACGGAATTCCTTTCATTGTCAAGGACAATATCGCCAGTAAGGACCGCATGGAGACCACAGCTGGATCCTGGGCTCTGCTTGGTAACGTGGTGCCTCGCGATTCTTATGTTGTCAACGGTCTGCGTAAGGCCGGCGCTCTCCTTTTGGGCAAGGGTGCCCTTTCCGAATGGGCTGACATGCGCTCCAACAACTACTCCGAAGGCTTCACTGCCCGCGGTGGTCAATGCCGTAGTGCTTACAACTTCACCGTCAACCCCGGTGGTAGCAGCACTGGCCCTGGTGTTGCGGTTGGTGCCAACCTGGTTCCAATTGCCCTTGGAACAGAGACCGATGGCAGTGTCATCAACCCTGCGCAAAGAAACGCCATTGTCGGCATCAAGCCCACTGTTGGTCTGACTTCCCGTGCCGGTGTCATTCCCGAGTCCGCGCACCAGGACACTATCGGTACCTTCGCACAGACTGTTCGTGATGCTGTCTACACCCTCGATGCAATCTATGGTGTTGATACCCGCGACAACTACACCCTTGCTCAGGAGGGTCTCACCCCCAAGGGAGGTTACACTCAGTTTTTGAGCAAGAAGGATGCCCTCAAGGGTGCCGTTTTCGGTCTGCCCTGGGAGTCCTTCTGGGCATTCAACACCGCCGAGCAGAACGCCCAGCTTCTGGAGCTCATCGAGCTGATCAAGTCTGCCGGTGCTACTATCATCAACGGCACCGAGTTGCCCCACTACAAGCAAATTGTCTCCCCCGACGGCTGGAACTGGGATTACGGCTCCACCCGCGGCTTTGCCAACGAGTCCGAGTACTCCTACATCAAGGTCGATTTCTACAACAACCTGCGCGACTACCTGTCCGAGGTCAACAACACCAACGTGCGCACCGTCGAGGACCTCGTCCAGTATAACATCGACAACTACGGCTCCGAAGGTGGCTTGCCCGGTATCCACCCCGCTTTCGGCTCTGGCCAGGACGGTCTGCTCGCCTCCCTGGAGAGCAAGGGTGTCATGGACGAGACCTACTTCCAGGCTTTGGCGTTCTGCCATCGCACCACCCGTGAGGAGGGTATTGATGCTGCCTTGAACCACAACGGTACCAAGCTGGACGGTCTTCTCGTTCCCCCCGATGTGGCCCAGAGCATTCAGATCGCCGCTCAGGCTGGTTACCCCGTCATCACCCTGCCTGCCGGTACCGACAGCGAGTCAGGAATGCCCTTCGGACTTGCTTTGATGAACACCGCGTTCTCTGAACCTACTCTGATCAAGTATGCCAGTGCCATCGAGGACCTGAAGAGCCAGTCCGGCCCCAAGTGGGAGCGCGCCCTCCCCCAGTGGAGAGGCTACCTTGAGCGCAACTTGCCTGTTATCATGTAAAATAGGGGAACGGCCCCGAAGCAGCGATTTGATTGTATATGTTTTCGAAATTACCAATTTTGTATATCACATATCACACATTACTAATGATTTAGACTACTCATCAATGGATACCCTGTGAAACAAGCACTAGGATTAGCTGGTTAGACTAGCCCCTTTTTGCAAACTTGCATGCAACTGTAATCTCTGCCACTCTCCGCGGACATGAGAATTCGTGACCGCTTCTTTCTAAAGTTATTGCTGTGGCTCGGCGTAATCTCTAAGAGCACTACTCGTATGTGCACTGTACTCCTGCGCCACGAATGATTCCGTGGGAAGCCGGTGTCATTCCAAAAAGGGTATTAGAGGTGTAGATCATGAAAAAAAAACTTCACTTGGATAGCAATTAATATGGCAGCTCAAGACATCCGAAATTGCCGTGGCACTCTAAACTCGTACTCGTAGAAGAACTTTACGAGTAGAATGCTCAGGAGTAGCGCGGAATAAGAATTGCCAGTGGATCTCGACCGTGCGCTAACGTCCAACTTGGGATCTTCTTGATCTTCATGGCTGATCGTCGGTGTTTGTTTGAATACTTTAATCTGATTGATGCAAAAGATCAATTCCGAGCATGGACGTGACGATCAAGAACTGCTCGAGTACTGTTTCGCCAAGCCCAGGAGAATCTTCGGCTTTTTGCGTTCGAAACGAACCTGAATCAGAAGAGCTCATACCGGACCAGCTAACCCACTGAAGACTGAGTCTGATGAATAATTGCAAAAAATGGGCTGACAGGTGAAATTGAGCGAAGCAGTTGGGAGGCCCGGCGACCAACCCATCCGAGTAAAGACCCCGATCCGAACAGGCTACGGTGGGGAAATGCTTCTTGCATGAAACACTCTTGCATTGGCTCTAACTTTACTCCGTACTATTGCTCACAATCACATTGGGTCGAGTTCCCATTCCTGGAATTCTTTTCTGCAGCAATGCGCCAGTCGTGACAGCTTATTTCGCCCCTATTGGTGCGTCTCATGGAAATCCCGGTCTGCCAGAAAATATTCCACCGAATCTGTGTCTGATTTACCCCTGGAAACCAGCAAGCCCTGGTTCTATATCCATTTCTCCGCAAAATTGTGGATTCTCATGTCCGGCCAAGGTGTGACCCATGCCTACGAGTAGGGTTTCGGTCTCTCCGCCGGGTCGACGGCTGCTTCACCATGTCTTCAATCGTGGAAATGAACCAGGAGATTGTCCGGCTGTGGAGACGGATCCTCAAACGTCGCTGTCTTAGCCGCTCGAGCTACGAGACTCACATTCGACGCTAGAAGACTGATCAACACTATATATAAGATCAGTGCCTGCGCCCTCGTTTTCTTCCGCCCATCTTCATTCATTCCAACTACTTGACATCTTCTGAGAAGTATCAAGTTATCAAAATGAAGTTCTTCGCTATCGCCGCAGCTCTCGCTGCTCAAGCCGCTGCCGTCAGTGTTTCTGGCGCTGCTGAGGGTTTCGCCAAGGGCGTTACTGGTGGTGGCTCCGCCGCTGCTGTTTACCCTAGCACCACTGCCGAGCTGGTCTCGTACCTTGGTGACAGCTCTGCTCGTACCATTGTCCTTACCAAGACCTTCGACTTCCGTGGTACTGAGGGGTGAGTTGTTGATCGTCTTGTGGAAGATGAAATCGGACTGACATGATCATCTCTTTAGTACTACCTCCGCCACTGGTTGTGCTCCTTGGGGTACTGCCTCTGCTTGCCAGCTTGCCATCAACAAGGACAACTGGTGCAACAACTACGAGTCCTCCGCTCCTTCTGCTTCCGTCAGCTAGTATGTATCGAATCATTCCACGACAAGGTCTGAATACTAACCATTCTTAGCGACAATGCCGGTGTTCTCGGTATCACCGTCAAGTCCAACAAGTCCATCATTGGATCTGGATCTGCCGGTGTCATCAAGGGCAAGGGTCTCCGTATCGTCAGCGGTGCCAGCAACGTCATCATCCAGTAAGTATCCCGAGAACACATTAGGGTTATAGGAACAGACCCTAACAAGCTCAACAGGAACGTTGCCATCACCGACATCAACCCCAAGTACGTCTGGGGAGGTGATGCCATTACCATCGACAACGCCGACATGGTCTGGATTGACCACGTCACCACTGCTCGCATTGCCCGCCAGCACATCGTCCTCGGCACCAACGCCTCCAAGCGCGTGACCATCTCCAACAGCTTCATCAACGGAGTCAGCGACTACTCCGCCACCTGCGACGGCTACCACTACTGGGGTATCTACCTTGACGGATCCAGCGATCTCGTCACCATGAAGGGCAACTACATCTACCACACCAGCGGTCGTTCCCCCAAGGTCCAGGGCAACACTCTCCTGCACGCCGTAAGTCAACCCATCAAACCCCAAAACCTCCTCTCTAACCCAGACCCAGGTCAACAACTACTGGTACTCCAACTCCGGCCACGCCTTTGAGATCGGTTCCGGTGGCTACGTCCTCGCCGAGGGCAACGTCTTCCAGAACATCCCCACCGTCGTCGAGACCCCCATCTCCGGCCAGCTCTTCGCCTCCCCCGACACCACCACCAACGCCAAGTGCAGCTCCTACCTTGGCCGTGTCTGCCAGGTTAACGGATTCGGATCTTCCGGTACCTTCAACCAGGCTGATACTAACTTCCTTTCCAACTTTGCTGGCAAGAACATTGCTTCTGCTTCTGCTTACGGCACTGTTGTCTCCAGCGTTACTGCCAACGCTGGACAGGGTAAGCTGTAAATTCAGCTAGGCTAATTGATTTAGCTTCTGGCATGCTGTGACTTGCCTTGGGATATTTGCCTGTTTTTTTTGGGTATTTATTTACTATTTATTTTGGTGTGTGTATTGATTAGTCGTCTGTTTCTCTTCTTGTCTATCCCTTGAACAATACTTTTTCCATTTGGACTTTTCTATCTCCAAGGCTCGTGAGTTAGCTTTATCAACTTTAGAGCTGCTTTTATAGATGAGTAGATTAAAAAGGGTGGTCACAAGGCTGGGCTAAGAGTCGGTACTAGGGACTCATCATCGTAGTCTATGTGTGAGTGCAAATGTTACCATGGGAAATTGGAAAGGTAAGAAGAGTAACGAGCGGTTTCAAGTTTTCATTGAGAAGAAGACTGGTATTCATTCGCCCAATATGTAATATACTGCGCTCACAGGCCATAGGTTAGGTCGGCAATAATGATAAGTGTATGTGCAAATCGCGCAAAAACCGACACAGGACTAACAGCATCAATCAGTTGATGATGAAAATACCTGGACCAGCAATAGTAGCCTTAGCCACGGTATATGCATTTGCGAAGGGTCCCTCGGTCGCAGTAACCACAGCAAAAGTCAGTCCGTTCATCTGATATGCGTCCCAAGGAAATAAAGCCTCGGCAACGACCTCATTGTCTTCTCGGGAGATGACATGCAGAGGTTCAACAACGGGGACGTTTTGCTGATTGATGTAGACCATCCACAGGATGCTTTCAACGGTCTCGTGATGATGGTCGAAGAAAGATACCATGATGTTCCCGGTCTTCGCAGTCGGAGGCCTGATGACATTCAACGGTTCGAGTGTTTCGAGTGGAATAGAGCCAATGTTCGGACAACTGTTCGGAACAATGAAGCTTTGAATTGCCGTAAACGCAAAGTTTAGGTCACTGGTTGTCAGGAATGGCAGTTCGCTAGGGATCTTTCCCTGCATGATGCGGAACCAACCCTGCTGTTCACCCTCTTGTCCGATGATTGATGAGACCACGCGCGACAATCCAAAATCACCACCAATAGCGAAGCGCTCCACGACGTCCTGCAGAGTACCAAGAACCACGTCTGTGAAGGTGCTGGCCAGAAGAATGGCGGAATCGAAATCCTGGACGGGGAAATTGTACTTGCATGGCTCGATGGGATCGATACTAAAGTGAGCAAGAGCATTGTTAGCATCAAGGACGTGTAGCTCCTCTTGCTGTGAGAGAGAAGAAAATTAGCGATCGTCGTCCGGAAGAAGACCCGAGCTCATATCATACCGCCAAGATAGCTTTCAAGCCACGAAGAACAAAGTAATAATCATCTTCATTTGAGAAGCGGTAACCCAGGACCTTGTCGGTGATGTTCGTGATGAGTTCATGAAAGAAAGCCACCTCAAACAGCTCATTGAATGCCACCAGTTTGAGGTTGGTCAGCCCTCCTTCACTGATGCTGGGTGGAGGAGGTCCGTTGGGCAGAGTTCCATGAGCTCTGTCTTCAATCAACTCTAGCTCACTCGGACTTGGAACTGGCAAGCCATTAGGGAGGATTCGAGGAATGGTAGAATTTGTGATTGGGGCCGCGAAGGATAAGCATGCTAAGCCCGAGAGGATAGCAAGGTGAAGAAAGCGCATTTTGACAACGCCTGCGGAAAATCTCGGAAAGTGTAATCTGAATAAAGAGACTTAACAAGAATATACTTGTGAATGAGTGGGTGAGTAAAAGACGGATGAAAATGAAGAGCAGAATGCAGAGAGGAGAGCGAGAGACAGAGGAAGTTGAGGGATGTAGGCAATTATAGGGAAGGAGTGGACGCAGGAAGGTACGATGGAAATAGAACATCGAGTCCTTTGGATACACTTGACTTCTCCCATTTGGGCATCAAGAAGTTCTGCACTGTGTCATCAAGCCTATGGTTGTGGATGTGTTCCTCGGGGCTTAGAGCATCTCCTCGCTCTCGCTCTCGCTCTGCGGCTCCTTTGCCTTGGCCAAAATTAGCATCTTAACATGGAGCTTATCATTAAAAATAAGCATTCTCCCCAAGGAAAACAGTAATTCTCATTTCGCACCGGCCATCGTATCGGCATGGGGGCGGAGCATGGCGCCCGTCAACGCCATGTAGGAATCTCGTATAGTAGCTCAGCCCGAGGATGAGGGCATCAAGCCAATTTGAAATCATCACGCCATCCTATTTCGATCAGCTATTCGTGATATTACCTCCGTCAGTGTGTGGCTACATGATAGATCAAACATTTTAGTTGGTTGATGCCCAGGCGGCTGTCTAGATTTATGCCACCATTCTCCATAAATGAAAATCAGTGGCATTACTGCAAGTGCAGCAAACGCGAGGGCTGAGGCTACTCATCAGATATAACCATCGAAAATATTATTATTCGGGAAGAGTAAGTATCAAATTATGCCGAACGCGAGAAAACCACAAGCACAGAATTAGACACGCTCCCGATAACCAGTCGTCTCTTTCTCGGTGACATGAATCTCCTTCTCGACTTGTTGTAGATCAACATGCGCGACAGCCGCATCATCGCCGTCGAAGATCTTTGCGAGCTCTTCCAGAGTGGGACCACGAGTTTCCACGTAGAAGAAGTAAACGAACAGGAGCTCAATGAAAATCCAGATCGTGTAGATCAGCGACAGATTCCAGTGGTGAGGAAGATTCTCCCATGCAATCGGGTTCGTGTAGCTAATAAGATCAGTATGCTTAAAATAGAGTGTTGGGGGATTGTATTAATAACATACTTTCCAAGGACCAAAGATGCCTGTACAGTCAGATTCATGATCATGATTCCCTTGGCACGCAGACGGTAAGGGAGAATCTCAAGAGCATAGGCGACGAGCAGACCCGACCAGGCGATTGCGTAGAAGACCGAGAAGAGCCAAACGAAGACGACCTGGGGATAGCCGGTGGTTTTGACATCCTGGGTTCGTTCGTAGACGGAGGAAACAATGGTCCACGCAAGGAACATGAGGACCATGCCTGAATGAAGATCATTAGCACTTTAGAAGGTCACTTTTGCTACCGTGGTTACTTACCAACTGTTGAAACCAAGAATAGAAGTCGTCGCCCAAACCGGTCAACAAAGAACGCACATGACAGACTGACAATTAGACTCAGCAATGTTTGTCCGCCGTTCAACTAGAATCATTAGTTGGATGAATTTTCCAGGGGCCATGAGAACATACCGGAATCTTCTTATTCTGATCAGTAATACCCATACTGTTGTAGATCAAGCTCATATAGTTGCTGAAAAGGGCATTTCCAGAATATTGAGAGATGATACCAAGCGAAATGAGGAGCGCAAGACGATATCGGTTGCCCTTGGTCTTCATGAAATCAAGGTAGCTGCTGTTGTTCTTGTACTGCATCTCCAGACTAATGGTCTCCTTAATTTCACGATACTCAAATTGAACGGTGGTGTTGTTCTGGTCGCCGTTTCCGTGGTAGTAAGCGAGTGTGCTCAGTGCTTCCTCGTAGCGTTCTTTGGAAACAAGCCAGCGAGGAGATTCCGGGACCCCTGTTGATAATTAGCAGAAAGATCGAGAGAGATAATTGCAAATTCCATGGAGCTCACAGTAAATGAAAACAAGTTGGATAACCGCTGGGAAGATCTGCAGGAGGGTCAAGACACGCCATGACCAGTCTGAGTGGATCTGCATTGTTCCCCATGCTAGCCAGGCAACAACAAGAGCACCCAAGTTCCATAAACAGTTATAAATGGTAGTGACCTTTCCACGGTGTTGCGGGTGGGCGATCTCTGTCAACAGAATCGGCGAGGCCATTTGTGCCAGACTGTTTCCAATGCCGAGCAAAAGTCTACCGGCGACGTACATGCCATATCCGTTGCAGAAAGTTCCTAACAAGCCACCGAGGATCATCAACAAGCAGCCCACAAAGATAGGAAGCTTGCGACCCCATCGATCAGCGAGGAAAGGACTTAGGAAATTAGCGAGCTTCCGTGACATGATCTGGAAACGAGACTCACACAAAGGGAAAACTGACGAGACTCCCAATCTGATAGATTGCATTCATCAATCCCAATTCGGATCCAGTGGGCGTATTGAAGTAGTTTTGCCAAGCGTCCAAGTTCTGAGAGGTATTGAGCATCATGCTAGTAGATGTCAGCGAAACAGATATCGATATTAACGTGAATCAAATGAACCAACCCATCGTAACCAGTAGTCGCAGACGCAACGCAAAGGACGGCAGCCCAGAAGTAGAGCTTTCGCAACCCGGGCTCATGCCACCAGTTAACCTTCTCCAACTCAGGCTTCTCAGCTTGAGCTGCATCGGTATTCAGAGTCGATGCTCCGACGGCTATACCCATGATGTGTGGATGCCCTTCTTAGACGGACAATATAACAAAGAGGATTGGATTTGACCAGGGGCTTATAGCACAGAATAGAGGAATGTTCGCTGGAATGACGGGGATGCCCAGTGATTTTAAGCGATCGAAATTTGCCATCATGAAGCTCACAGGTCAACATCAACCGGCTAATCTCGAATGATGGCTTGGCCAGGTTGCTTGGGTCAATAGCCTTCCCCAGATTTGACGGCTGAGTCACAGCAAATAGGGTAAAGGGAGCAACTTGTGGTACACGGGTGGACGGTTGGATAGATCACTCAAAGCGCCCAGGCCAAAAAAGGCCTATTATGTGTTGACTAGCCGAGATGGTAAGTGTCAAGCCCGCCATGCCCTAAATGTCTTAGCATAGTCACATTGTTGCCCTGGCTTCGGGTGCAGCTAATTTAACAGACCCCAAGCCGCCATTGGGCAATGTAATTGGCGAGTGAAAATGCGCAAAAGAACTTGGATTCGATGATTCTTGAGTGGGCATTGCACTTGCTGCATATCCGGCGTAGTACATCCCTCTCTGGACCCTGTTAGAAATGCCCGTCCCCCACATCGAGGGAGCGGGCCGAGGCCCACCAGAGAGCCAGAGAGGCAAATCGTTCATGCTTGTTCCGTGTTGATTTGAGATTCCCACATCGAAAATCTCGTATATGTTGGATTTAACTTTGCAAAATGGACAAAGAGGTTAAGGGTTCCACTTGACACATACTCCGTGCCCAATTCAGCAACTGGATTAGCCTGGGATCTGGCAAGGAACGGAGACCTCGTGATGCCAAGTAGCGAAAAAGTCTTGGCTGTCTCTTAATTTGCGGGGAGACTGGCTCTTCGCTAGTCTTCACTTCTCGTGTCCGACAGTGGCGTGCTATTTAGCCGGAAGCTGACACAAACACACAAGGATTTGAGCACAGGTCCCGTTCAGCTGTAAAATTGGATAAAGTCTTGAGCCCAGTGACAAAAGAAAAAGTGAACAGAAAAGATCGATTCAAATACTCTGTAGCCAGGAGAGAGAGAGAGAGGAAGAAGGAGGGGAAGGGGGGAGAAATGGGGGTTACCTACTAGACTGCGGGTCTGGGGTTCCAGCAGAACATGATTTTCCATATTCCAACGGGTTTCTCATACGATGCATGGATTAATTGTAGACTGACTTAAGAACGCCTCAGGCACCTGCAAACTGCAGAGATTCCCATCAAACCGAGATCTTTCGGGATGTATGCACGCAAACTACTCCATGATTGCCCTTCGCCATGACCTCAAGATTATCGCTAGGTGAGCCTTCCATAAGTTCATTTACGTGGTCCTTAGTATTGATTAATACGTCCTTCCTTCAAACCTCCGAGGGTAAAGATACAAAGCTGCAAAGATACTTAAGTAGGGGATTGATGCATCGACATGACACCCTTGGTGCCTGATTTTGGCCTGACTCCACCACCTCTCTGCCCAGGTGCTTTATAGCATTAACCCTGAATCTGTACAGATTTCTCCAAGTCATTTCAAGATACCTATATTACTAGACGAGCCCCTAGTAAAATCAAGTATTGTTATTCTAGATTTTGTCAGTGTTCAATCTTTCCAATCCCAGGCTCTTGGAATTAACTCTTTCGCTACCCTCACAGAGGGAAAGACCAGATGAATTAGGAAAGTGAGGATTTGGCACCGGATGACGCGAATCTGATAACACAAAAAGACCGTCTGAGTGCCTTCCCTGTGAGCAAACTGCCACTTCTGCTGCAAAGCCGAAGTAGTATTTGCTTCCAATGTTCCCGTTTCACAGTGCTGGCTCTGAGATTCAACACCAAATGGAACCCCAACCAAGCCCCGTGCTTTCTGAAGAGCAAATCGGGCATTTCATGCGTCATGGATTCGTCCGCGTGCCTCAGTGCTTTTCACAGCAGCAAGCTGACAGATGGGCCGGTGGTGTATGGGAAAGGCTCGGTTTCTCGCCCACAGACAAGTCAACCTGGACCGAGGAAATAACTCACATGGACGAAACCAAGATCATGCCCATCAAGGCGTTTGCCCCGAAGGCATGGGCTGCCATGTGTCAGCTTCTCGGTGGTGAGGATCGTGTTGCCCCGGAGTCAGCTACCTGGAACGACGCGTTTATCGTCAATCTTGGCTCACCTGAAACAGAGGGTACCTGGCCGAGCCCTGCAGATCTGCCTGGTTGGCACGTCGATGGAGACTTTTTCATTCACTTCCTGGATTCGCCTGAACAAGCCTTGTTGGTCGTTCCACTGTTTACGAGCATTCAAGAGCGTGCAGGTGGCACCATGGTTTGCTCTGATGCCACCAAGGCCATTGCCCAGCACCTGGTGAGTTGGAAAATACATTAACTATGACCGTTTGGCCCTGACCCGATTCAGTACGACCACCCCGAGGGAGTGTCGCCTTATATGCTACCTCGCGGTCAAAAACCTGACGGAAACCCGATTGACACACCCTTCTATTCTGATATTGTTCAGAATTGCAGCGAGTTCCACGAAATGACCGGTGATGTCGGCGATGTGATTCTCATGCACCCGTTGACGTGTCACTCGGTCGCCGTCAACAGTCTGCGACACCCACGCGTTATCACCAACCCGCCAGCGTCACTGAAACTACCTTTCAACTTCGACCGCGATGATTCAGGGCAGTACAGCATTGTGGAGAAAACAACACTCGAGCTGCTTGGGAAGGATAGGCTCCGTGGTTGGAAGATTCAGGGAAGGAGAGAGTTTGTTGTTCCTGAATGGGCAAAGCAAACGAGATGAGCGTCAAGTGAAATTTGCTGTCCCCTGAACCGCGAGACGAGAAGTGACTGCATGGCCTTTGCTTCCTATCTTATTCTAGCATTCCGAAGTGCTCATTCTTATCATCAATTGTTCTTTAGCGTGTGAATTGAAACATCTTTATTGTGTCAACATTGCTATGCGGGTAAAGGACATTGGCCGAAGATTGCACTGATCAATATGTTCAGAAAGTGGTCAATTTGACCGGAGTACTATGAACTATATTACTTTCTGGAATTCTTTCGCCACAGAAAAGCCGACGAGAGGCCCCCAAGAACTGCAATGCCAGTGATGACCCCCCATAATGTCCGGAACGCAGCAACGGAAACAATACTAACCGCTTCTTGTTGTTGATCTGCCAGAGTGAAATTCTTCATCAACATGAGATGCCCATTTGCTGAATTGATCAAACTTCGATTCAATCCAACATCGGCCAGGCCGTTGCCAAGGGAGTTGAGCAACACACTACCCCCGACAGGTATAGCAAATGCCCACCCCCAAGCTCTCATGTAATATGCCATTGTTGTTGGTAGGATGGAAGGTGGGGTATCCTCATCCTTGGGCATGTTCCGGACGCGAACGTTATAGCTTGAGAGCAGAAGACCGTGCCCAAGCCCAGCTGTGAACAACAAGAGAACCCAAGCAATTGTGGGAGTCTCACTGTCCAAAAGAATCGAGCACCCACTTGTGAGAACGACTAGAATCCATCCTGCAGATATGATCCACTGGGTACATTCCTTTTCCCTGGCAAGAATCATGCCGACGATTGCCACAGGGCCGATAGCAAGTCCAATCAAGGAAAGCAGCGCCATCCCAGAAAGCGTTGCGGACATATAATGCGCGGACATGAAGTAAAGAGCAAAGAACTGCAGGTGGCAAAAGAACTAAATTGAGATATCAGTACGAGAAAACATGGAGCAATGTGCAGGTACTTACCACAAGGCCATGCAAAAAGCACCCCAAGTATGTCATTATCATCATTTTCGAGCGAAACACTCTCCGCCCAAACTGCGGATGCAAAGCCCATTTGAACTCATAGAGACCCAAAGCCAAGATGGCAACAACTCCAAGCACAATGGGGACGATAGTCTCCCACTGCGACCAAAGGTACGAAACACCACCCCAGGAGAGACCAACGAGAATGACCCCGGAACCAAAAAAAGCCATGGTCACACCTGTCCAATCCAGAGTGCGCAGTTTGCGAAGGGGTACATGTTTCGAAGCACGCAAATCCACTGCGAACGGGATCCCCAATAGGCCCAGGGCACAGAAGACGAAATTGAAGTAAAATGACCATGTCCAGTGTCCGTGATCCATGAAAAGACCACCGCATACCAGACCTAGCATTGCTCCACCCATTCGCATGAGTAAAATATAACACGAGTATCGCGAATGAATAGCTTCTGGTGAATACTCTTTCATTGCCACGAAACAGAGACCCATTGCACCACCGCCACCGATACCTTGGATCATGCGACCGACGATCAACTCAGAGAGACTCAGTGAGCCGCAGCAGACCCCGGTGCCGATAGTTGCGAACAAGACTGCTAATATCCATACGGGCCCGTGGTTGAATACTTCGCTCAACATGGTGAAATATAGGTGACTTGCTGCGCTGAACATAAGGTATATTGTTGAGGCCCAGAAAGTACTGGCTAAAGACATGCTGAAAGTGTTTGCAAGGTCCTAATATGATTTTCTGTCAGTCATGATCGAAATAATCGCAAAACATTAAGACAATCTCACAGGAATGGCCGGGATCAAGATAGTCGCATTGAACGAGTCCATAACTGCCAATATAATGATGCAAACAAAGACAAGCCATTGTTGTATTCCGACTATTCGTTCTTGTTCAACGACTGTGCTATGTTCGATATCAAAAAGTTGTACTGAGCTCCCCAGACCCAGACCTGCTGGAGGGGATTTCACATCCTCGATTGTTTTGTTCGGCACACCGAATTCAATTACAGACTCATTGTCAAAGATTTCGGAGGAAATTGAACGTCGTCCCATTTGAAAGAGTGGTGCGTATTGACGTGCGATGGTATGTAGTTCCGATCCGGGGTATCTGGCAAATTATAACCGTGGGCACTGTGAGAGATCAGTCGCAAGTGAAGGAAATCTGTCGGACAAATCATATCTACATAGGCACGAGCTACCGAAAAGCGGGATAGGAGATATAGTCATTGTATATAGGAGTTCCTCCCTTGGCCGCTAAACTTGAAAGGAGGTGCTTGGATGGATTCCAAGAAACAAGGGGATGGTAAATGCACGGTGATAGGTTTGAGATCAGATTTTCTTACCTCAGAGAAGATTGAAAGACCTTTCTACAGTATCGCGGGGATTAATCTAAGTCAAATCCCTGAGAATGATGGGTTAAAGGACCAAAAGTGCCTTGGAGTTGTCGACATTCCCCCTCATCCCTTGCGTTGGCTGACGTTGTAGCCGCACCGTCCCCGAGAACATTCCAGGTTTGAGCACCGGAATCTCTCTGTGTGACCTCAGAAAGACAAAGCGTCGACGCGGGATGCTATACTCGTGACTAAAATGTTATAGAATAAGATTGATTCGCGTTGGGAATCGGACACAGACGCGTCTCTACGCTACCCCGTGTATAGGCACATCGACTCATTTAAGGGTATCTCCTGGACTCCCTATACGGTGTTTGATTTCCGACTGGGATACGAGATATTGAATGCAGTCCCAACCCTGGAAGGGAAAAATCACAATATGTCAACGTTTAGGTAGCACGTAGCCCCCAATACTAACAAGGAATTGCATTGCGCTCGCCATGAATTCAGTGACTTCCTCACCCAACCACGAGCTGAACAACTTTGTTCTGGTTTCTTCAAGTTCCCGGAGATATCTCCCAGCAACCTAAGACGACATGTCAGTTCAAAATTATCAAAAATTCACGGTCGATTGGAAAGCATACCAAAATGCAATGGCCCTGCCGCGCCGAGTCCGACGCAACCAAAGCGATAGCCTCAGCCACGCCATCCGGAGTATTTCTTTCAAGGCCTGCCTGACCCCATCTCTCTGAAAATCCCGCAGTGATGTGAGTAGGCGTAAAGAACGGCGCAACAGCATTAACCCGAACTCCATTTTTGCGAGCAACATCTTGAGACGCCCGCAAGAGCCCCAAAACCCCGTGCTTCGAAGCGATGTAGGCGCCCACCCCTGTTCCGCCAAAGTAACTCGACGTCGATGCGACAAGGAGAATTGACTTGTTTGATCCCTCGGGATCTGATTTCATATAATGAAGTCCTAGACGCAGTGCTGTTGGAATATAATTAGCCCAGCTTGATTAGGCGATCAAGGGAATAGGAGGTAGGAAGGGTTTACTGTTCAAAGTCCCTTTTAAATTGACGTCAATCACCCTTCCTGCATCCTCGTTCTCGAGGAGACGCCCATCTTTATCCACTGCATCTAAATCGAATACAGGGTGAGACTCCATTATCCCCGCATTGGCGATGACAATGTCGATGCTGCCGAATTTGGCGATCGCTGCTTCAAAAGATGCGCTTAATTCTGTCCAGTTGACGATGTTGGTGGGGACGAATTTCGCTCGCTCCGGATGAGCAAGTTGAGTTTGTAAAACTTCGGCGGCATCTTTGAGCTCGGCGAGGTCGGCGAGAATCACATTTGCGCCAAAGTTGTTGAATAGGCGTGCGGTCGCGGCGCCGATACCGCGGGCGGCACCTGTTATCAGGACTGTTTTCTGGGCCGACTGCTTCAAAAGGGATCGGTCAAGTTTGACTTGGGCCATTTCGATGTCAGAATATCGGATAACTTTAGAACCAGCTGGGCAGTACGGCATGTAAAACTAGTGATGCTGCGGGGTTTGATGACGAGATCGACCGCCATCATTTGTACAAATTGGTACTTAGTGATAGTCTTGGAATAAGATATATTCGTTACAATATTGTGTACAAGTCATCATAATCGACTGGGCTAAAGGGGTTCTGGAGGCAGAGTCAATGAAAAACATGAGAGCATGGGAATCTATCAATCGGTCTTGTCTCGATCACCGTGGCTCGAGGGCGGTATTTCACCGACATCGACTCTCGACCCCATTCGAGAGGGCATACGAGAAGCAGCCATGGATTCTGTCGTGGTCACGGCGTGGAAAGAGAAATCCAACTCCCCTACTAAGCTTTTGACGTGTCTGACAGATAGATGTTAGCAAGACTCACGAGGTCATACAGTATCAAGCGGGGGGTTCTATTGCAAACATACCGGAGTAGTCGATCCACGTCCCCGACAATACACCGCGTCGAAATCTGCAGTACCGCAAACGCCGCGAACCCTGGCTCGGCAATGTGCCGAAGACTTAAAATGTCACTGTCAAGTGCCTCTAGCCGTTTGGTGAAACTGTACGGTCGCGGAGCCTTGAGATAAGGCGGAAGCGGTTGTCGATTGGTGATGCTAGCAGAGAGAAGACACAGCAAAGAGGTGACTTCATGGGTTGTGACCTTTGCTGTACCGACCAATCGTCGGAAATCATGCATCCAAGCGGTGTCCGAGACATCGTCCCCGTCGCCGAGGTTCATGAGCGTATCGGATGCGTAACCTAATAAACTCAGATAGTTGACAATACTGAAATAGGACCAATGTTAGCAAAGACCGAGAATAGGAGAGAATGTACGTACTTCTCCACACAGAGAATGATCGAGTCATACTGCTTTTTGGGAAATTGTCCACCAATTGGAACCTCCCATCGCAGAAACTCGGAATAGGTCCGCAGGCCTGCTAGCATCAGCATCTGCTTCGAGAACACCTTGTGCCGAGCCTTTTCAAGTTTGCGACCCGCAGAGCTCTTGAGTAGATAGTCGCCCTCATCCCCACGCATGCGACCGGAGATTGTTTCGTGGATGATGGAGTAGTAATTGGCAAGAAGATATAATGACGCTCCCAGACTCTGGCGGAGGATAGAGTGCTCAGAAATCGGATATGGGAAGAATGTCCAGAAAAATGCAACGGCTATACCACCTGAAACCGTAGCTAGACGGTACGGTGCCAGTAAGTATATGGGATAAAACGGCTGGCCATTGGAAGTTGCCACTGCCTCTCCAACCCTTCGGACCTGAAGCTCATAGCCAATGATCATGGTAGTGGTGACGATGCTGATCATACCCACTACTCGGAACCGGAAGAGCTTGATGGGAATGTAGAAGCCCATCGAGACGAATATGAACAAGAAAACGATCACACCAGGTGTCTTTTGACCAGGGATGTACCAAATCAACAGACTAGCGACCATTGCAATGGTAGTTCCAAGAATTCGCAGCACAAAACTGAAGATACTCTGGCCTGAAGTTGGTGACATACTGAGATTGACCATGATCATGGCCCATACCAATCGCTGATGAGTGAAGAAGGTCTGGGTGTCATGTAGGAAAGCCACTACAGCAATCGTCATGGTCGCCAACGCAACTCTGAATCCATAGGTCGACTCAAAAGAGCGCAAAAACCAAGGCAAGACCCGGATTTTGTCTCCACACTTTTGAAAAAGCGTTGTAGGCGGTAGATGCTCTGGGTCTTTGCGAAGCCTATATGCCTCACCAAGTTGAAGTATGTTGTTCTGAGTATGAATGTCACCTAGGTTGTCGTCGTCGTGCGCGTCCTCCGCACTCAAAAAGGATCCCGCCCACTTCCAGATGCGTTTACCACCCGGGATGATGAGTCGAGTTCTTGACAACTTTCCCTTAGCCTCAACGTGGTTGGCATACCGAACAAAGTCTAGAACTGTTTGACCGGTTGAGTATAGCAATTGCTCCATCTAGATATTATTAGATCAACCGAGAACACACCATGCAATGAGACTTACATATAGAAACAGATACAGCTGTCGTCGACTTCGCTCTTTCTGCGTAGCCGATGTATCCAAGAAATCGGATTGGAGGATATCAGGGGAGGTGGGGTGATCAAAGAAGTCGGGTGGTAGTTTGATACCCTTTTCTTCTGCCCATGTCTGTAACGCAAGACGTTTCGCACTTCGAAACTCCCCGAGCTGTTTTTCGAAATGCTCGGTAAATGCCTTCTCACCGGGAGCACTGTCTTCAGCCGAGGCCTCGACATCTTTGTTTTCATCACTTGCGTTGTCATTTGTAGCAGAACTAGCGGCATTCGTGCGCTTGGGGGGCTTTGTGAGCCTGAAAACATACGATGTGTGCAGTAAACCCTCATCAATAGTTTTGATCATCATTGCAAATGGATCGTGAACTGCCCGCATGATGTCATTCCATTCGTGCACGACTCGCTGTCGCACATCTTCCGGTACAACCTCGATGTTCATGTCGATGGGCTGGTTCCATCGATTATAGTCAGAAAGTCGCTGGAAGATATCGACCACGAAGCTCAAACCAACAACAGGGATCATGATCTGGCGAAGGTGACGAAAAATCGCCTGCAGGTCATCCGGTCCCAATTTGCCCAGAGCAATCTCACGCTTAGCGAAGGTAAGGTCACCATGGAGCTTAGCATGGACATCCGTAATCTGTCGAATCGCACTCCGGATCGCTTCTGCCTCGGGGCTGTAGACCTTGCCTTTCTTGCCAAATTTCTCACGGGCGTCGTCGAATGTCTCCGCGCGACCGAACATATCGTCTTTTTCCAAGCTCTCGAAATAGACAGCGTGCGCAGTCAAGGCCGAGCGGAGCCCAGTGATGTATCCGGACATTTGCTTGAACACAGCCTGGCGCGAGGTCATCGGAAGAATGAACATGGATGTCGCCGTGGAGATTCCGAGGCCCGTGAGAAACGCCTTCAACATTCGCTCTACCAAGCTGATAGCCGAAGCCATGTCCATCATTGTCGGGGCATAGACAGAGGAGACATTCGCAAAAATTGCGTAGATGATCACGGGAAATTGCAGTTGCGGGTATTTGGCGCGGAAGGTGTGAACCATCCAAATTTGGAAGAAGAGCCATACACCACTCACTGCAGATGCAGAGGAGTTGTAAGTATCAGTGTCATTGGTAGATGTATGCTGACGGGCCTTCACGCTGGAGTACATCGTCAACAGGGCAAAACATGCCGCGATGCCAATGGCCAAAACATCGAAAATCATCATTTGAATGAATTTTGCTCTGGGCATTATTGCGAAGCCCAGAATAGAAATAATAGCCACTAGATATCCCAGAGTGGTATACTCATGGGCAACTGGCATTGCTTGGTATCTTGGCTCGTTAGCGCAGTCTCACCAAGCTAGACCCGAAATACTCACATGGCCACCGCTATGGTCGGCGCGAGACCGCCCCTAGGCTGTGTTAGTGAGACAACCCTATGCAAACCGTCGAGATTGGACATACTTCATCATGAGGAGAACCGTTGGTCGGTCCAAACCAGTCTTTTGCCATATTTTCTTGAAAAAGCCGACGGAGGACTCCTGCGTCTGTGGCGTGGACCCGAAAGAGGAGTCTGACTGGCGCGACGGCGATCGCGACGCCATGTTGACAGTCACACCAGCGCGATAATGCAACCACAACAAAAGTCAGACCAAGAGCTATAGCGAAGACATGAAGCTCACAAAGAGGAGGGAGCTGGAGAGGGGAAATAAAGAAAACCGAAGGTTAATGGAAGATCCTGAAGTTCCCGCTCATTGGTCCACATGCACTCCGCATTTCCCTTGTTTTATACCCGAGATGATCTGCTATTCAGACATTAACTACAAGTAGTATTCTACCAACGTCAGATTTATGGGCAAAGGGAAAACATGAATCAACAATAGATCGCCATGTTTACTCGTATTTTCTGGACCTCGGCGTTCTGCTCACATATAGTCTAAAGTGAGTCAATTCAAACAATGCGTCTCTTTTATAATGTACATTGAAGTCCAAGAATCCTGCGAGAGGAAGTAGATAGATCTAGGAATTCACATTTCATCTCTCAGTTCACTTGTCCTCTCTACCACCTTCGACCATTTGACAAGTATTTATACCTCGTTCCCTTTCCCTTTCCTCCTTTCTTCTCTCTCCCTCTTCCATCCTTTTCTTTTCTCAACTTCAAATATCAGACAATTACCAACTCTCACTATGAAGCTCTCTTTGATCCAACCCAAGCTTGGCAGCAAGCTTATCACTCTCATGGCCTTGACCTTCGTTCTGCTGATGATCGGAGCTTCTGGCCTTGCCATCGAAGTCCCTGATCTGGATCGAATCCAGTCCGGACTCATTGATGGTCACTCTGTTACTCTTGCTGGGGCACTCCCAGTTCCCACTGCTTCCTTCGACTTTGCTTTGAATGTGCCGGCTAGCTCTGAGCTCGTGCATGTCGACTCTGGATCCGCCAATGCCGATTCTCTACAGCCGCTGTCAGTCGAGGCCATTACTTCCTCTCTACATCGACTCGCTCACCATCACCTTTCACTTCAAATCCGTCCACCACAAACATACCAACTCCACACTCTTGCCTCAATACCTGCTTTCCGGTAGCAGTATTTCACAAAACAATATTACCCATTCCTTCTCACATCGACCATGCCTCTTTCCACGATCTGCCTGCACTTCACTTTGCCCCTCCACCAAAATTTGCCATACTAACCCACTTGGAGGTCCGATGAGAACTCCAACAAACCAGGCGCCGAGAACTTCAACGCCGAAATGACCTGGTACAACACTGGCCTTGGATCCTGTGGCCGATGGAACAATGAAACCGACCACATCTGCGCTATCTCCCAGATCCTCTACAACTGCACCAACATCGACGGCAATCCGAACCACAACCCAATCTGCGGACGAAAGATCCTCCTGAAGCGTGGTGGGCGCAGTATTGAGGTAGCCGTTATGGATAACTGTCCTGAATGCCCGGAGCTCAACATCGACGTCACGAAGAGTGTTTTCCAGGCACTTGGTGACCTGAGGGAGGGCCGCGTGCGCATTGAATGGCGGTGGATTTAGATCCACAACGGTCTGTGATGCACTCATGGATGGAACGCACAATTCAAGCCGGTATGAGTACTCCGTCTGACCTGTTTTTTGGTCAAGCTAACCGATCATACCAGGCTGGAGGCTTTGGGGAACCCATTGCATGATACTTGATCGGTGGCGGGTGTGTTTACTTGACTTGGGATGATCACAACGTACAAACATGGTGTTGGGAACCCGATTGGTTAGATTTGTGGATACTCGTTAGACATAAATCTCATTGAACATGGTGTTTTTTGCAATATGAGTCAAAAGCGGTTTGGCACTTCAGTATTCAGGCCATTCAGGATCTACCTGCTCTTTCCACGAGCGTAACCCTCCACTGATATCACCTATGAATCTCTTCCCGTGTTGGTCGAGTCCAAGCTCTTTCATCTTCTTGACTACTATTTGCGAGTCATTGCCCAGGCGGCAAACCACATAGATTGGGTTGGTCGAATCGGTATCGTTTGTAAGTTCTGGCGGAACCCACGGGGGTATCTGGTTAGCTTCCTGTCCGTCTGCTGGCTTGGCAAAATTCGACGCCAGAACACTTGATATAGGAATGTTGATGCTATTTTTCAGGCTGCAAATTCCAAATTGAGCCTCATCTCTCACGTCTATCACCGTGTGCGACGGTGGTGATTCGGAGGGGACTGAGTATTTTTGATTATACTCCCTGGCAGAGATGCGCTCTTCCGGGCTGAGCAAAGAAGGCAGACTGGCAGATCCACAGAAGAAAACATAATCCGTGGATCCTGACTTTATAGTGTCCAACGAGACGGTTGCTTCAGCAGAGCATACCGCGCAATTCGCCCGACGCGAACGGAGGCGAATCGTGCGGACCAAAGGTGAAGAACATGCGGAAAATATATGAAGAGATGGAGGATCGCGTGGGCGAGCGGTGCCCTCGACTACCTCCGGTGCGGTGATGACCTTGATCGCCTCGAGCGCCTGCAAGACTCCCATGGTCCCAACGACCGGTCCAATGATACCTCCGTCCGCGCAGCTCACCACGCTATCTGCTGGGGGTGGCTTGGGGAAGACGCATCGATAGCACGGTCCTCCAGTTTTGTCACCCGGTGCTCGAGGGGGGTTGTTCAGCACCATCAGCTGGCCTTCCGTCCGCAACGCCGACGCGGAGACCAACGGTTTCCCGCAAAGTACGGCAGTGTCCGAGATCAGGTATCGCGTCGCAGGGTTATCGGTGCAGTCGAGGATAATGTCATAGTCTTTGAAGATTGCCGGGGATTCTTCGGGGGTGAGGTGAGTACGGTGCGCGACATACTTGGGATGCGGGTTCAAGCTGTACAATCAAGCAAGAATAGTTAGCATTGCTCGAAGCTCAAAGCTCAGGCTGGGAGAACCTACTCTCGCAGAGACTCAATTGCACTGTCCACTTTGTATTTCCCCACATTTGCTGTCCGGTGCAGCACCTGCCGGTGCAAATTGGATACCTCGACTGTATCCCCGTCAATGAGACCGATGGTTCCAACACCAGCACCGGCAAGATACTGCGCAGCCGGACATCCCAGGCCCCCGGCTCCAACAAGCAGGACTTTCGCCGATCGGAGTTTGAGTTGACCTGTGCACGAAATCGCGATCAGCACAGCTCAGCAACAGCACTGAGACATGTTCACAAACCTTGGAGACCAACTTGAGAGACAATCATCTGTCTTCCATATCGTTTGTACTCCTCCGGCAGCAATGGCCACCGCCCTCCACTCTCCTGGTTTTCTCTCTCCGTTTGCGCTTCTGCGAGAGCGAGGTCGCGTTTCAGACCAGCGAGCTGCTCTTCAGTCGCGGAGATCTGGGCGCGCAGTGACTCGCATGTTTCCTCAAGAGACCCCATCACGTTGACGCGTGCGAAAGCTGAAAATGACGCGCGAGAGAAACCGAAAGTTCCCCGCGGCATTTGTGTGGGGCGCATCACTTCCGCCCTTTCGTTCCGCTCCGCACTTCTTACACAGCAGGTACAATCTTGGTCATGTATTCCGGGTCTATCCCGGTCGTGAATTTCTATATGATATACAATCTATAGATTTATTGGCCCTCCGCACGGGTCTTCCCGACCTCTTCCTCTGCATTCTCTTGGTGCATGACTTGGGTCTTTTGCAAGGTGTGCTCGACATCAGCACGTCTTTGCTGCTCATCGACAGCCCCGAAAATGAGGTCCATCTCCTCCAAAGTCCGTCCCTTGGTTTCCTTGAAGAAAATGAGGACGAAACAACCCATGGCGAAACAGAAGATACCAAACATGAGGAAGGTCCTCCATCCAATCTCGTTAATGGCCCGAGGAGTGACCTCGGTGATGACGAAGTTGAACAACCACTGAGTAGCTGCTCCAAATCCAACACCGTAAGCACGAAGACGAGTTGGGAAGATCTGAAAGTCTGCATTAGTGGAATGAATCAAGCCATATGGGATTGGAGATCTCACCTCGCCCAGGTACACCCAAGGGGTTGGTCCCCAAGATGCGGAATATCCAATGACATAGAGGTAAATCATGGCCACCATGGCGATTGATGCTGAAGAGACCGAGGCGGCATTCTCCTTGGGAGGATGGGTGACCAAGACGGCTCCGATGATAAACATCATGCTGGCCATCCAGGCGGAACCGCCGATCAAACTGTTCTTTCGGCCCCAACGATCGATACCGATGATCAGGAAGACGGCGGTGGCGACGACTTTTACAGTGCCATAGATACCAGTGGCAAAGAGACCGGCGTTAGTCTTGCTCAATCCGACCTATGAATGGCATTAGAATTGTCGGATCCTCCAGATAATGGGCGACTTGTCACTTACACTTGCAAAGATCTGTGGTGCATAATATCCAATGGAGTTTGTTCCACTGAACTGCTGAGACAGCATCAAGACGAACGCCAAGAAGAAGCGGTATCGGTTGGTGGGCTTGAGACATTCCTTCCATGTCATTCCCTCGGTAGCCTGGTTCTCTTCGTGAATCGCCGCAGTGATCTCGGCAAATTCAAGCTGGACGGCTTCACTGGTCTCCGAGTCATTGCGGATATAAGCAAGGGAGTTAAGTGCCTCCTCGCTTCGGCCCTTCTTCATCAACCAGCGAGGGGATTCCTTGAGGAAAAACAATCCAAACAGCATCAGGCCAGCAGGCACGAGCTGGATTGCTACAGGGATGCGCCATTGGCTCGTGCCCTCGGGAATATGTAGAGCAACACCGTAATCGAGCCAATAGGCGAAGGTGCTACCGATGACCAAGAATTCCTGGAATAATCCAGCAACACGACCACGGATCTCGGGTGCACAGTTCTCAGAAACATAAACGGGCGTGATGGCAGACATGCCACCGATGCCCAGACCGGCAATGACACGACCTCCGTAGATTAGGCCAATCTCATGATGGGCGGCAGTCTGCAGTGCAGCTCCAACCATGAAGATCACCACCAGAATCATCAAGGAGTACCGACGACCTAGTTTGTCGTTCATGTATGCCGCACCAATGGAACCGAAGAAACATCCAGCTGTGAGCAATGAGACAACATTGGAGGAAATCTTGGCGTTCTTCTCGTCGCTGAATCCGGATGAGCCTACAGGTAGGCCGAAGTCTTTCTTGAAGCTTGAAAGGGCCAGCACAGAGCCCATAACACCCGTGTCATAACCTATGAAGATCAATGTCAGCGAAAGCCCCGTGATACTTGTTAGAATTGTCGGGATGACCAACCAAAGAGCAGCGAGCCCATGTAGGCCGTGGCCGTCAGGATATAGAGCCGATAGTTCTTAAAATTGACGAACCCCATCTTGAAGGAAAATCGGCGGAATACCCCGTCGTGGTCACAAAGGGAGAAAAAGAGATGGCAATGATGACCCTGGAAGAGTCCGTAACGAAAAAAAAGGAAAAGGAAAATGGGGGTGCCAGATTTATAACTTACTGTTGTATCAATGCAACGCCAAGGGAGATAATCTTTACAAGCAATCAAGTGGCTTCCTCGGTATCCCATAAGCCCCCAGCTATCGAGTCAGACAGTCCGGGGGCCCGGCAGTGGAGACCGGGGAACGAATTGGGGAAATTCGTAGCGGGGAACCCCACTCAATAGGAGCAACACCACCAATTTCTCCATCCATTCAATCCTGCCGATAGCCCTGGGGGCAGGGGTGTGCGCCTTGCCGCGGGAAATGGCGATTGGCGTTGGGAAGTACGGCATGGGCTGAGTGGAGCCGCCATCACTACCGTCATGCAGTCGCTGATTGATGGAAGATTTATCGACTTTGTCCGACCCCATTCTCCGTTTGAGTTGAAATGGTCAAAAGCTGGGGTTTAAATATGGCCTGATATGCAACGTCACTTGTTTTCTAATCAATGGCATATATGACACCCCCAGAAGTTGTTCTCTGAATATTTCTATTTCCCACACTGCAAATTCATAATCTGCCAGAGAGTGTGATTTGGTCAAATGCCGCCGCTGATCATCTCAATTGCCGATACGGTGCTAGTTTGCTAAATTGCGACGGTGGCATGGAGCCACAAGCCCCAGAAGCTAAACACCAATGCCGACCATATTGCCACTGGGCATTGAACCCTAGACAAGGGTCTGTATGAAATGAAATTCTTCATGCCAAGTCGCCATGCAGACATAAAACTTGCCATTTAAGTTCCGGGGTCGGAGTGAGTGTGGGATTTAGGTTTTTGCCGAGTTCCGGCATGATTCTTATTTGCGAGAAGTGAGAAGCCTAGAGCCAGCTGAACATGGGGGGCGGAACGGCTGTTGAAAAAGCATTGATATTACGATTCAAAATCCACTTTATGATAGCCGATGCGCTGAATGCCGTGTCCTCGTGGGGTAGCGGAAGCAAATCATCTGGATGAATACTAATCTACTGGCCCGGGTAAGATTCATCCATGGATGTTCATGAATAAATCTGAACGGGTTTAATGATGTACTTTCTCTGTGAAGTGCAAAAGTTCAGGGCGGACCTCGGGGAGTACTCGCCTAAGTTCTCTGGGCCCACTGTAGATAATGTTGTGGTACCTACCTACGGGTAAGTATCGCTGCTCAACTGCGTAGAGTCAATCTGATCAGGCTATGAGACGGTACATCTTCCAAGTCATCAATGCCCGTCACAATCAAATTCATTCCTGAAGTCTGATATAGCCACATCCATAGATGCCACTTTTTGGCTCGATGTCTACTAGGTCTCGGGCTGTTGGAAGATAGAAGCGGAGATACATTGCATTACTAGCCTATTGACTGAATAATAAGGACATGACAGTAGAACACTGTGCAAATGTAAATGATTGCATTAATGCAACTTTTCATGAGGCCCACTCATGATAAGCAAATTGCGCATGCCTTTGAGTCAATTCGCTCTCCTCTGTCGCAGTTCCAAACAAATGTGATGTTATGGTCCATTCAAGGGGCTATGACGATTGTATTCCACATCCCAAGCAGTATTAACTGTGATGCCTTCCGTGTCATTGTTGGCTTGTTTCTTGAGGCTTGACAATGGGATTGCAACGGTCATTTTAGTACGCGATCGGTCGAATGTTGAGTGATGGTGTAGTCCTTCTTCCATATGACTACTCGTAGTGGAAAAAGGCTGCGTGTCTTCGCTCTCGTCGGTATTCGATTTAAGTATCCTTGTGGCCCATGATGGGGCGTGAGTACGTTTCAGTGAAGTAGCCCTAGCAGGTTGATCGGCCGGTTGATCGGCCGGTTGGGAACCAAAGAATTTCCGTCGAACTGTAATCCATACAGGACGTAAGGTTGGAAGGCAAGCTTTGATGCAGTTAGAATCAGGGCTTATTTCCTCGGCAAAAAGAGAGCACATACCTGAGACAATGGCCAAGTCAGCCTCGACGGTGGCCCAAATTGCCTGATTGACCCAGTTCCAACTGACGTCCGCATCAGTACCCTGAGTTACCACCGAGACGAGTCGCACTATGGATGCGATACAAACACTGTAGAGTTAGCCAGATGTTCCAGAAATCCAACTGAGATGCCTACTTACAAACCACCCAGAAGAAATATCGAGATAATAGCCTTTTTATCCCTGCTCGAGATTTTCAGCTTCATAATGTAAGGAACAGGAAGTAGGAGAAGAGTAACGTCAATGAGGATGTTTGGGATCGAAATTGCGAACAGAAACTTTTGGCTGTCGACCTTACAAGAGGCCTCAACCGAACGATCCCAGAATCCCCGGGTTGGTATACATTGCAGCAAAGTGAGCAAAAGCTGGAACTGTAAGAGATAATCCTTGACTTGAGGCCAAAAAAAAGACTTACAACAGCGATCCCCCACATAGAAACTCCTGTGGCCAAAATGCTGATGGGAATCTTTATATTCGTCTTATTGAATATACGCCAGTACAAGGCCAAAATGGAGAACTTGACAAAGACAATAATGCCGGTGTAAGTCAGTTCACAAGAGAATAGTCCGATGTACGCTTTTTTCGTGGCGTTGGGTCCAAAGGTTTGAATATGCCTCCCAAGAGCGCGCGGTATCCCTACATCTGTTAACTTCCACAGTTCCAACATTTGTGTTAAAAATCAGACATAGCCTTACACCACAATAGCGAAGCTGTCAGGCCAACCCCGCAGGCCTTTTTAATAGTATTAGAAACTCTCAATCTGAAACAGAAGCTACCATGCATACCAGCGAGGCCAGAATTAGCCAGTCATCAAGCCATAAACCTGCTGTGTTCTTCCAGCGGCACCAGAATCGAAGACCGACACAGAGAAATGCGATGGCGAAAGGTATTGTTGAAGAAGCATACAAACTAGGTTGATGAGTTTGGGAAAGGTCCACAGAGGGCATGGAATTAGACGACATAGCTATGGGGACCTTCGAGTTGCGACCTTGGGAAGCAGATAAACTTTAGAATCCTTATATAGACATCAAGGCCCTTCCTCATGGAGAAGAAAGAGAAGAACAAGGTCACAGTGAATAAAAGAGGAACAAAAGCCCTGGAAAGAGCCTTTTTGTGTGTAACTCTAGAATATAAGATTGAGTCTCGAACCGACAGGTGGGCCAATACTCAAGTACTTCCCGCCCCCGCAGATTTTGCGGCTGAAAGTGACACTGAGGGCTTCTAAAGTTGGAAAGAAAACCCAGACCGAGGATTGGTAAGGGATAATTAGTCTACAATCTTGGAAGACACATGAAGTAATAGGAAATAGTCGGAAATATAGATATCCATGGATAATGATTACTTGTTACGAGTGGAGTAATATTACCTATTCAATTGCCCACTTTGGATTCTCGATGTTTGTACTTTCCATTTCTTCCTCTATACATGCATGTTGTGGGCAAAGAGTCCTATTAATATGGCAACATCATTGACTAGCCCTAGTATAGATGTTATGGTTGCACACATGTATAGCCTTGGAGGGCAGTGAAGTGATCAGACTTCAGACTCAACTGTATTCTCCCATAATGAGTGGCTGGTGTTTTGGGTAGCATGAGGATTGCAACCTTAGAAGCATCTCATAATGCAGCATCGAGTCGCAGCCAATAATACACAGATTCTGGTGCTCACCACTCACAGGTATGTACTACCCTGGTGTATATCAGTATCCTGGTACCTGTAGGTAGCCGTTGCAATCTGACCCGAATTGATGCAGCTGAGTGTGTCGCGTAACGTTCCCAGTGAAAGAAACACGAGTTTCAACTTGGAAGATAGAGCGCAGACTTTCAATCGGCGGAAGATCTCGCAAAAATATTGAAAATGGCAAGACCGTTCAGCCAAGCCTTGACCAACAGCTGCCACGAAATCCACCACTCTGCTCTTTTGGTTTACTTCTGGTAGCAATTAGGGCTTTTCGGCTTTTTTTCTTCTCGGTATTAATGTTTGTTAGGTCGTCGGGTCAGGTGATTACTAGTGCGTAGATAGATCTAGCGTTTGTTACTTCTCTCTCACTCTCATCACTCTCACTCTTTCCTTCTTTTACTGCTAGTCACTCCACCACGCGTGCTACCTCTCCTTCTTGCTCTTGCAAATATTCAAAACAACAAGATCGAGCCTCAATCTCAATTCAGAATCACTTCCGCTATGTCTTCAGCGAGCCTCCCAGTGATCCTTCTCGTTCCAGGTGCCTTCGGCACACCTGAAGGCTTCGATGGATTGCTGCCGTATCTGACCGAAGCCGGATATGCCACACACCCCGGATCATATCCTAGTTGCAATCCTTCTGATCCAGCTCAAGTGTCCTCCTCTGAGGATATCGCTTTCTTGCGTAATAAAGTTTTACTCCCTCTTTTGAACGACCAGGGTAAAGATGTCGTCATCATCGCTCACTCATACGGGGGTGTTGTTGCAGGTGGTGCAGCAAAAGAACTTGCGAAGCAGACCAGGACAGCTCAAGGTCATAAAACTAGTGTCATTGGCCTGATCTACGTGGCGGGCAACATTACACTTGATGGGGAGTCTCTCTTCACTGCTGTGGGCGGCGCTTACCCCCCTTTTATTAAAGTCAACACGGTACGTTCCACCCAGAACAACAGCAGTAATTGTCAAAAAGCACTGACAATTTTATTTACAGCCATCTGAGGGGCTTGCTGTTATTGAACCAGCAATGGAGATTCTGTACAACGACTGCGACCGTGCCCTTGAACCGGAACTGGGTAAGCAGATGCAGCCACACGCGCTCCGAGCTTTTGAAACACCCGCCACTGCCCCAGCCTGGGCGGAAAGTGCGTTTGATGGTAGGAGGGCGTATGTGCGCACGCTAGATGACTGTTGCAACCCTTCATCGTTGCAGGATATATGGCTGGAGAAATCCAAGGTCGAATGGCAAGTGGTGGACTTCAAGACCGGACACATGCCATTTGTGAGCCAGCCTAAGGCTTTGGCGGAGCAAATCACCAAGTTCATTGACGGCTTCATTGCGAAGTAAATTGGGATTTATTCAGTGCCCCCTGGTGCAGAACTCGGAAATACACACCTGTCAATCTGACTTGCCCCACATTTTATCTATCACCAACTGGTCAAATTGGAAAATCTTTCAACGATGATTACTTCTGAAGTAACTTCTAAACCTTTCTACCGGCTAGTGTGAGCCAGAAATATAATTAGAATGGCAAGTACATGTGTCGGTAATTATGAAACTGGATGTGATTCTTCTTTCTTCAAGAAAAAATAAAACAAAATGAAAAACAATGGTTGCACTTTATTTTCCAAAGGCGAGGTTTATGAAGTGGATTTCCGAGGGAGATTTCTCTCGCTTCTACACCACCAACTCAGAGCTGACCTGCTGTGTCAATCTTCTTCGCCACCCATACCAATTTTGGGACCATGATCGAGGCACCATTCAACGTCTCGATCATCGCGTTGTGCTCCAATTCCCGGGATGCCTCTGGAGTTTGAAGTGCGTTATCCGCAAATTCTTTCCATGTGCTGACGTATCTATATGCAAGTCAGATACTCCCATACCTAGCTGGGGTTAGTCTCCATTGTAACTCACACATCACTCCAAAACCGGGCCATTCCGAGTCCGTACTCGTAAGTATACAGCGTTGAGTCAGTATAGCCATTTTCATTCATGATCTGCGTCAGCTCATATTTCCAGCTGTGGCAAAGATTAGCTCGCACCAGAATTTTCGAAGATTGTGTCTCAGTTTACTCACGTGTCGTAGCCCTTAAGCTGGGAGAAGAGTGCATCAAGGCTAGGCGCTGAAATCCCAGGTACGGTCTTGATCGAACATCCAATGGTGTCAACCTCGTCCCATTGAAGGTAGCCGCCGGGTCCTTGACACAAGAAATCGTCAGCACAGCTATATGATGCCGACTCATACGTACTGAGTAGCTTCTTCAGGTTCGCTAGAATTGGCCTGGGGTCGTTATTCTTGACAACGACAGTTATCAGACGAACGTGTACAATGTCGAAGAATCCCACGAATTCATCCGGCACATCCTCAAAGACGTTCCAGACATGCATGTGTATGTTTGCGGGTAGCCATGGCTTGGGTCCAACTTGGTCTAGGCTTATATCGAAGCCGTGAAGATCGACGGACGGCGGTTTTCCACGAGCAAAATCGAGAAGCCAGATACTGATGTAGAGTCAGATATTAGTGTTTCCAAAGTAGGCTGATCATTCTAAGGCTGTACCCGTTTCCAGTAGCAACATCGGCAACTCTCAGATCAGTAGCCCGAGTATCAATATCGGGATGAACCAGAAACCCGAGTAGCTCTCTCCAGAGATAATGCTGCGCCGTGAGCCTGTTATGATGTTGGTAATTATCCCTTGTCGCTGCCTGAGGGGGACGAACCGAGAATTTGCATTACAATCACGCATGAGCACATAAGGATCCTTGGCTTTCACGATTGTATCATTCCAACCGTTTGCTGCTGGTAGATGTGGTACACCATTGGCTTCTGGAATCTTGCGATCCACCGAGTTTCCGATTTCGCGAATCAAGGTATTGCTGCTGCTACTATCGACTTCAATCATTGTGCTGATATTATATGTGTGTAGAGAATATTTCATGTTACCTGTTAGTCGAAGGGGTGTTGGCTTTTAAAGGAAATTACGCGGTTCAGAAGTAAGACTTGTAAGAAAATTGGGATATTATGGAACCGTCAGCGCTGATATTCAAGTCAGGGAAACTATTTGCGCTCCGTAAGCTGGGCTTGGTCGTCCAGGATAGAACGTGACGATATCCAGCCCATTGAAGGACGCGAATGGTATAGTGTTTCGTAGGGAGTACTTGGTGTGACTATTTGTGGAACTTCAGCATCAGTACTCAGTAAGCAGAACAGTTTCATGTGTCTTAGCTAAGTAGTTCCAGCAACTGTTCCCGGCTTGATTCATGATGGTAGCCTCGCCGAAGAGGTGGGAGCAATCAGCCTTGGTTTGCCTGGCGCTCTTGGGGGCATTGCAGGCGCCAAGGGCCCTCCAAACGGGGCATGCAGATTCCTGAACTTGTGCCCCGCAGCGTGTAAGCCGCAGCTCGCCCACGGCAGGTTCTTCATAAGGCTTGACGACTCAAATACCAGAGAAGAAATGATGCATAAGATTGGTTGAGGAGGAACGTCTAGCTCTGGAGATCTATAGAGCTGACCACAAAAGTGGGAGCAGAATGAGCAAACATTGCAAAAAGAGGCCTGTTTGAAAGATTTGCTACATTAGACCTTTCCCCTTGTGAATCTTACTGCTTCTTGGTATTTTGCCTCATGTAATTCAACACTCCCTTACTACGTACAAACTGATACTCTAGTTTGTGAGGAGTGGGTTGATTGACAAAGTCTAGGATTCTGGCCAATCAGGAACGAAGCAGTGGTTGATTATTACATGATCAGGCCCCTTTGTGTATTATGGCAGTAATCATGTGACTATCTCTGTAAGTTACACGAGTGCAAACTATGCAAACTATGGTGCCCACTTTTTGGCTTCCGAACCTCTTTTCTCCTTTTCTGTATAGAGGACTGGAAAGAACGAGATCTCTTGCTTACCATGAATCACATGGTTGAAGGAGATGAAATTTGATTCCAGTTTTAAGGCCTAAGTCGAGTGTCTATTCTATCAAATTCAACGTTTATCCTCCTCTGTAGCTCACGTTACCTCCGCAGGCGGAAGTGTGGAGGTACTCCGTGCTCCGTCAGATTAAAACAAGTTACTCGGTGCGGAATAATCTTGGAGTTGTTATTCGAATCTGGTAAATGGGCTTCATTCTCGGGATTCCTTTGTCAGATGGCCCCCGAAATCTCAAATGTAACGTACATTTCAGGGCTGATAGCTCCATCTTGGCGCAACCAGCGAGATGTGATCATCGAAGACCTGAATAGCATATGGGTTTTGAACTGGAGAAAAATAAGAGAGGATGGGTTTCTATATATCCCTTTCGCATTATACCTCATGTGACTAATATGTCCCTAGATTAATCGCGTTCCTAGAATGTTAGATGATCTGATAAAAGTGAGGCCAAGAATCTAATTTTGCCAAGTGAATCCACGAGCATACCAAGACATTATGCTCCAGTCAAAGCGATGGTTTTGTACATGGCCCCCAAATCTTACCTTGCAAGAATACTTCGTACAGCACTCCTAATCAGCCAACAACCTTGGACCGTCTATAAATGATTCGAGATCCCCTCATCTTCAGATATCTTTCACTCGCAAATATACACAGAAACTACGCCAACCTTGATCTTTCCAGAGCAGCATACTCTTCAACCAGCCCTACAAAAGCAAGTATTTTCTTCAAAATGGTTGCTTACAACATCGTAAGTATCGCTCAATGAGTGAGAATTAGAATTCTAATGACAGACAGGGGACTGCCATCATGGCAACTCTTGCATTTTCCCTGGCCGTACAGGCCGCCGCTCTTCCCGAGGCCAATGCAAACATCGAAAAGCGCCAATGCGTTGGCGGCGGCCACGCAGAATGCGTCCCGATCGTTGCCACCCAATGTCAGTTGAGATGCAACTCCAGGAATGCGCTTGCGTTCACAATCTGTATGGAGCAGTGTACTGTCAAGGCAGGCGAGCAGTGTGTCAATGATTGCTGAAATTTCAAGTCGAGAAGAATACACATGATGCCGTTATTTTTCCCCGCAACATCTTTCTGCTTTTTCTAGAGATAGGCCATCTTATTTGACTAGCAGAAACATGTAGCAATAAATTGATGTTGCCGTCAACCTCGTTCAATGTGCTATGATGAGGTTCCAAGTTTGGAGCCTCCCTGTAGATAAGGATAGGGCTAGCTAGTATTCTTAAGTTGTCAGAAATACGACCATTCTGACTGTTAAGCAGTTGTGTATTTGGTCTTCGAGTTCGTCTTCCGGTAAAGAGGGGAAAGTTCGAAGGTTGATCAGTGAGATTGAAAATTCTACATTTCAACAATTTCAATAATGAATTGATTCAAGATGTTTATTCTCTAGCTCTTTAGTATATGTACCAAGGAGACGAAAATGCGACTCTTGGGAGTATGAAATTGTGTACTCTTTACTGCGGCAGGCAACAGGTTCCGAAAAAGGAAGGCAACTTGTAGACACACTCTTGCGCCGTCCATGAACATATCAACGTCACTTTCGGATATAATTCTGGTATTTCAAATTAAATGTGCTTTATATAATGTCTCAACGTACAGGACCATCGCTTTTCTTTTCATCACAAACTTGTCCTGCGACCACTAAACACCCGGGGTGACCACTTGTGTTATATTTTCATCATGTCTACAACAACCACCACCTCTTCGATTCAACAACTCACAGTTCCATCATGGCAAGACAACCCCCCAAATGATGCAACAGACCAACCATTCCAAGCACTGGCACGGGGCGACCGAATCGGGGTTCTAAAACTTCGTGGAATCCCATCCTTCAAGGACCCCTACGCGAAGCGTCAATGGATTCGAGAACACATGGCAGCCGCATTCCGCTTCTTCGGTAAGCAGGGATACGGTGAAGGTGTGTCGGGTCATATCTCTGTTCGCGGTAAGCAGACACAATCCCCATACTCTACTCAGCAAAGAGCCAGATCTAAGATTTGCCAGATCCAATTCTTCCACACCACTTCTGGATGAATCCGTTTGCGATGCACTTTTCGCTAATCAAGGCATCGGACATGGTCCTTGTGGACAGTCAAGGATATGTGGTCGAGGGTGGCAACCAGGCCATGATTAATGAGGCTGGCTTCATGATTCATTCGGAGGTGCATCGCGCGCGTCCTGATGCAGTCGCTGTTGCGCATGCGCATAGTATCTATGGCAAAACTTGGAGTGGTTTTGGAAAACCAATCGAGATGCTTACTCAAGGTATGTACTTGCAGTCTTGTTGGTGTCTCGAGATCCTATCAAATGCTGATAACATTTCACTTCGGATTTAGATGCGTGCAATCTATATGGCAAGCTCGGAGTTCATGCAGAGCATGGTGGTATTGCCCTTGCGCAAGAGGAAGGACGTGCTATTGCCAACGCACTTGGAAAGACGAATACTGCGGCAATCTTGCAAAACCACGGGTTAGCTATCCCTCAGATTGAAAATTTTGTTTGATCCTGTGGCTTACCGATGATTTCTAGATCGATTACACTTGGACAAACGGTTGATGAAGCTGCTTTCCTCTTTTATAGCCTCGAGCAAGCATGCCAGTCCCAACTGCTAGCTGAGGCTGCGGCAGCGAACGGTGTTGCGAAAAAGATCATTCCTCATGAAGTAGCTCAATTCACTGCGGACTCGGTCCAAAATCCTGTATGTCCTTTCCCCTCGTATTTGATAAGACAAAAACTGACTATGAAAAGAACAACTTCTACCTAGAGTTCCAACCCGACTTTGATTTGATTGTCGCTGAGTCCGGTGGCCAGGTACTCCAGTGAACTGACAGCTATACGTCCAAGATGTTGCCTGTGAATTTTTGCAGGTACTACTTGAGCACAGCACGCTGTATTTAGCTTTACCTGAATTTTTAGCTTGAATTTCAATGTTCTTTTTTACTTGGTTCAAAAAAACATAAAATGAGCCCCGGTGTGCGTACAGTACCTCCGAAATTTCATGATTGAAAATACAGACGAGGGCCTTGGGCACGCGCGGCACTCTCCGACTTTTGAAATAAGCTGGGAAATTGTACGGGGTATATAACATCAGTCATTCTATGGGCAACCGGGGACTCATGGGACTGGAGGATTAGAATTGGAAGAGGTGTAGAATAAAAGGAAATTATTTGAATTTACAAGTTGATTCAAAGATCCAAAAACAAAGATGGTTGCAATGATCCAAGATTATTCAAAATTTGACGAGGTCTATAGAAAATCCAAACAGCTTAGAATTACCGACCAAATCAACGAAGAATCACAGGTCATTTCCCATGTTGACGTGCACTGCCTTGACCTGAGTGTAGGCATCAAATCCAGCCTGGCCCAACTCTCGGCCAACACCACTCGTCTTGTAGCCTCCAAACGGAATGCGGTGGTCACTATCCTGGCTGCTGTTCAGCCACACAGTACCAGCTTCAACCTCTGCTGCCACACGGTGACCTCGACGCAAGTTCATGGTGAACACAGCAGCGCCCAGGCCAAACAGTGTATCGTTGGCCATTTCGATCGCATCTTCTTCTTCATCAAAGGGAATAATGAGACCAACAGGACCGAAGATCTCTTCCTTATAGATCTTCATGGAGGAGTTGACATTGGTGAAAGTAGTGGGTTTGACGAAGAATCCTTTGCCGTCAGGTCCGGCGAAGGCTTCACCACCAGTTTCCAAGGTCGCGCCCTCTGATTTCCCGACGTTGATGTAGTGCATCACACGATCATACTGTGCACGAGTGACCTGTGGACCTTGGAAGGTGTTAGGAGATCACTGATCACCGATAATCGATGCAGTTCGAACACGCTCCTTGAAGAGGGTAAGGAAACGATCATAAATGTCTCGGTGCACAAAGATGCGAGATGTAGCGGTACAGATTTGTCCCTGGTTGGACATGATACCAGCATGAGACCACTTTACAGCTTGGTCGATGTCAGCATCGTTGAAAACGATTAGAGGTGACTTGCCACCGGTCTCGAGGACGATCTCCTTGAGCTGGCCAGCTGCTGACTTCATGATCTGGGCACCTGTAGTGGTCGAGCCGGTGAATGATACCTTATCAATCAAGGGATGTTCGGTCAGGGCAGCACCGGCTTCACGGCCATATCCGTTGAGGATGTTGACCACACCGGGCGGGAACCCGGCCTTTTTGATCAGCGTAGCCATTACGAGAATACTAAGAGGAGTCTGCTCTGCGGCTTTGATAACAACAGTGTTTCCTGCTGCGAGAGCAGGTGCAACCTTCCATGCAAAGATGGCTAAAGGGAAGTTCCTGGTCTTCGTCAACTATTGCCCTAGAGCGCGATGATAGAATTTGTCTTTAGTATTGACTTACCAAGGAATGATTTGGCCGACAACTCCAAATGGCTGGCGGAGAGTGTATGCGAATTTCTCGGGGGAGGTCTCAATCGTTTGACCAAAGCTTTTATCAGCCCAGCCGCCGTAGTATCGGAAGGTTCCAATGGTATCGGGGAGATCGTCCTCCATAGCCAGCTCATAGGTCTTGCCTTTGTGTCCAAGTATGTTAGAATCGGCAATCCATTCGGGATGTACGGAATACCGGTCATACCGTTATCCCACGCATCAATGCTGGCAAAAAGCTCCTTCTTTTCCTCGATCAATTCAGAGAGGCGAACCAACAGCCGTCCCCGCTCAGTGGCAGGGAGTTTCTTCCACGAAGGGGCCTTGAAGGCAGCTTTAGCCGCCCGGACAGCCGTGTCAACATCCTCAGCGCTTGCTGCTTCGACGGTCGCGATTTCCTTCTCGGTGCTAGATGCAATTAGCCGGCCGCCTTCAAAGCAGCAATCAAGTAGATAATTACTCACGCCGGATCTAAAGTTGCGATTGTTTGTCCGCTCGACGCCCTCACGAATTCATTGTTGATAAAGAGCCCTGTGGGTTGCTGGTAGGAGTGGCCATTCGGAGTAGTTAAGTTGAGAAAAAGGTCCGACATTGTGAAGTTCTTGAGGGTTGAATTGTGAAGAAGAAAAAGCGTGAGAGTTCTTCAGAGGCTGGAATTCAACCATAATATATGTTGTATCCCAGGCCCATCGCTCGGAGAGGCCTTCTGTAAGGCTCTTGGCTTCCCCCTCTTGGGAAAACGCAGTTAGTAAGAATCCATTCGAAGTGACGTGAATAAGTCTTCGTTAGGATCGGATATGAGGGGAGTATAGATTGATAAGCGTTGCATGCCTTGTTCGAAATGTTGGAGAGTGAGGAGATGAAATGGTGGAGAGTTGCCTTCCTTTTTGCGGGTTGCCTGCCGCTTTGGGGAAAACACCTTCTCACCACCATCTCACTGTCAACCTTCTTAGAGGAATCAAGATTCTTGGGGCGAGAGGAGAACTCCTCGATGAGGTTATAAAAGAAACCAGTGTCTCAATCAAAATGATCATAAACAACATCATCTTCACTCCCAATCCAATTCCAACTCTCACACTATAAACGACCATCATGTCTAACAAGTTCTCCGGGGTTCTTGCTGCTCTCATCACTCCCTTCACAGATGATGGAAAGTCTGTTGACGCAGGCCGCTTCAAGGCTCACATCGACAACCTGTTTGACGCCGGCATTCACGGCCTTGTTCCCGGTGGTAGCACAGGTGAATTCACCGTGTTGAGCCTCGAGGAACGCAAGCTGGTCAATGAGCTTGCGGTCAAGTATGCTGCTGGTCGTGGGCCTGTCATTGCTGGTGTTGGAAGTACCAAGACCGAAGAGGCTGTGGACCTCGCCCTTCATGCTGCGAAAATCGGCGTGGACGCCGTCATGGTCGTTCCTCCTTACTACGACCCTGTCAACTATGAGCAGCTGAAGGAGCTTCTCTCGGAGATTCACCAAGCCTCTGGACTCCCCATTGTCTACTATAACATCCCGTCTATCAGCGGCTTGACTCTCTCGCCCGATGAAATCGCTGGCCTGAGCTCCGTCGGCGTCTCGTCATACAAGGATACCTCGGGTAACGCGCCTGACTTCACCGAGCTCGTGTTCGGGCATGGAGATAAGATCGCTGCGATGAATGGATGGGATACCCTCACTTTCTATGGTATGGCTGCCGGCAACGAGGCTATTATCTGGGGTGCTGCCAATGTCATTCCTGAAATTGCCGTCGAGCTGTGGAATGCCATCGCGGTTCAAAACGACATTCGCCAGGGTCGGGAAATCTGGAAGAAGATCTGGCCTATTTGCAAGTTCCTTGAGGCACACAACTACTCGGCCGCCATCAAGACTGGAATGGAGCTGCGGGGCCAGAAGACTGGAGGTGTTCGGAAGCCCTTTGCTCTGTTGGACCCTAAGCACCACGCCGAGTACCGCCAGCTCCTACTCAACGCTCAGATCCAGCTTCCTTGAGTGATCTCCATGTCTCGGAACTATGAGATGTTAAATTCGAAATGATTGTTTTGGGCTGCGGAGAAGATTGTACATAGCATGAGCAGCCGATCTAAATATACACTTGACGCTTGATTGATTGCCCAGGCGATGAATTCGTATCTTGATTCCCCTAAAACTCCCCTAAGACGCCAGTACTTAAATTACCTTATTAGAAGACAAACTGTCCCGGAAAGCAGAATGGACTCTAGGGATCGTCTGGTTGTAAGGGAAAAGAAAGCAACAACATCCAAAGAACAATCAAGATATTCAGGAGACGAACCTTGGGAGAAAGACCTCGGCAAGAGGAGAGGCAAACGAGAAAGGGCTTTAGAAGGACTTCAGGAGCTTTGGAAAGAGCTTTAGCAAGAAAGAAAGAGAGAAATTTCCAAGGTCGATTAATATATCAACAGAGCACAAGCCAATGCAAGTTCTGTCTAGAAAGATCAGTCCAACTGAATGACATCTGCCCACCAAGATTACTCTGTGGTGAGTCGAGATTTTCAAAACAAGTGTCTCTTTTCTCCCACACTTCTTCCATGATAGACCTTGCCGTAGAATAAGTCGCGAATCCACTTTGAGCGCCTGCATTGTCAAGCCATCCCACCAGAATCTGTCTTTCATCAACACCCATAGCTTCACAACCAGCCATGAAGGCTGGCCATGCGGTGCCTGGTCCAATCATATCATTCTGCACAAGAGCCTCGTCCCACTTGTGTAACTCGTCAATTATCTGTGAAACATGTCCTTGTAAAATACAGGGGCTGACGCGCCGAACACGCCGATAAAAATAGATGGTGAGAGCAAAGTTCAGAGCCCGTAGCATGTGAGTCTTTGGTTGGCCGTCCGAAGTGGGAAGCTTCCGTGATGTCAACGAGCAGATCATATTCTCGAGATATAAAGACCGCCGATGGAGAGCCAGTTGCCTCTCGGCTGTCATGGTAGAGCTGCCGTTATTGAGTTGATCCATCACATTAGCCAGTCGAGTGGTTTGAGACAGAAGGCCCAGCCAGGCCTCTGAGACACCATTGACAATACTGTGCTGTTCCTCGGGGTCAACACGTGGGTCTGTAAGGTGGATATCACCAAGGTTGGTGTTTAAGTCTTTGGGATCATTCATTTTGAGATCCCTTTCAGATTCTGCAGGTGTCACACGAAGAAAGTCGTCTAATCTGCGATTTTGATCGAAGGGTGGAATCGCGGCGTTTCGCTGTGCAAGTCGACTCATTTCTTCCATATCTAGCCGTCGAGACCAAAGAGATTTGCATGGCGCGGTATGCAAAATCTCATTGTGTATGACCAGAGTGCTTTCTGTCAATATACGGATCCATGTGTACATGTAGTGCAGAAGACGGGCTCGCCTCGAGAGTTGTGGTTTCACCAGGCCTCGTAATCGGATAAGATATTCCATGTTAACTAGGTGACATCGTGTATCTCGTTGATCCTCGGAAATTATCTACCCAGGGAAATGATATGAGTACTTGAAAAAAAAAAAAAAAACGGGAAGAACAAAGAACTATAAAGGTCTCTTACCGCAAAGGTCACAAGACTGAGATTGGCCATCAATTGCTCCTTGTATTTTGCTTTGCTTGGGCCTTGAAATTCATGCTCCAAGCTCATACTCATATGGTGTTTCGCATCAGCGTATGCTATCGTCGTTAATTGATCCCAGTGTTGACTCGGTTTGTCGGAAGCAAATCCTGGATTCATTGCGAGGTGGTAGGAAGCACATGCTAACATGGCATACAAGTTGGCAAGACTTGCGTGTTTTGTAACCTGTCGCTTCTGCCGCTTCATGTAAGTTAGTTGATCAAGTGTGATCATTGCAAAGGGGATATTCAGAATGGTCCATGGTGACTTTTGAGTCATGGGCAACCAGGCTACACGAGTCATGACGTGCTCCTGGAAATGCCGAAGAAGGAATGTGGCATCAGATAAGATCAGAGATTCATGCGAGGTATATTGCACTGACGCCAGATCCTGTGACAGGATATCATATTGGACTTTGCTGGGTGATACCTCGGTCTCTATAGGCGAGGACCAAGCGGTTGGATGCGTTTCATATCCCCATATGGGTGGTGTCAAGTTAATGCCCATTGGAACTGGGTCAAGGTTGAAGATATCCGTCCACTGCAAGGCACTGTTTAGATCACCTAGCATTTCCTCGGCGGTCGATAGTTCAGACATGGGCGCGTTCGGCATCAGGGACGCCTCATCTATCATTTCCAGATTCGAAGTCATCGCAAAGTCTGAGCCATCCATCTCGAGAGGCGGAGAATCTGCAGAGCTTTTGATCAAGTTGAAAACCCCGAATGGTCCGAAAGATAAATCCCCTCGCTGTTCTTCAAGGTCCTTCGATTGGATGTCGATCTCGGTCAAAAATTGATCGACCGAAGATGAAGCCATTCCGTCAACTAGCGCTAGAGTCATGACTTCTCTTTCTTGTTCTGCTTGTCGAAGATGCAGCGCTTCATTAGCGAGCTGCATACTCCCGTTGGAGATGTAAACCACTCACCTGTGTAAAGATGCCGACGCACATTAGGACCCGAGCTGGTCTCGTAGTCAGGATTTTTGGACGATCCAACCCATTGGATTTCAGTTGTGAGTCCCTTGCATACTATGTCGGCATTTTTACAGGCATTGCAAACCGGTCGCGTTTGGTCGCACTTGACGTGTCGCTGTCGACACGTTCTGCAACCACCAAGCACATGAGTCCGTCGGCCGCGAGACTTCCGAGATTTGATTTTGACCATGCTGATGAGTGAACATCTTTGAAATGGCCAGGAGTGTTAAGATGGACATCTCGACGTTATCCGGAAACGCCTGCCTCCAGCGTTTGCGGGGAAATCTCCAAGCCCCCACTATGAGGACGTGTGTACTGAAAAGAATATGTGTGGCTCTAAGTCAACGAGTTCAGGAATCAGCAATCAGGAATCAATTATCTTAGGTATCAGCGAAATTGTGCGTTGTATGGCCAACTTCAGCAAAATAGCCGTCAACTGGCTAAGAAGTTGCCTCAGTCAACGGTATTTGTTCGAGCCCATTTGGGACCCATAGCCAATGTCCGACCACAATGAGTTATGAGTTTCGAGGCTGTGCGTTCGAATTAGAGCTGGCGCTTGTTTGACTGATGCAACTAAGCTCAGGGTCCACCGCACGGTCTCATCGGTTTTTCATGCGGATACGAGTATTTCGTACTCCGTATGGACCACGGAAAATCCGAGTGCCGGAATCGACATCGATCAAAGTGATCAATTTGGTTTCGAAGGGCCTATGTCTGCAAGCTTCCAGCCCATAGGATAGCATACAACTCATAGAGAAAGTAGTATGATTCTGTTTATAATCGAGGATTGAGATGTAGCCGACTATTAAGATGTAGCCGATCGTTGAATCCGACAAACTGAGGATCATCGGTGCTGAGTGCGGGACACAACAGCTCATCTTCATGCCCAAGCCTCAGCTGGGGATGAAGTTTTTTCCCTCAGGTCGATACTTTGAAGTGATGGTGTGCAAGCCGTCAATGCGCTAACGCTGTACGAATATAAAGCGTCCTCTTGCATACAGATTACGTGGGTAACATCAGTGCACGCACAGATCCCTGGTAGAAGCGAGAGCAAGCCGGATTTGCAGCTAAGACAAATAAGTCTAGGGGTCTGCGATCAGACGAGGGTCCTGAAATGAGATTTCCGGAACACATTTCCAGTGATCGTGAACTTTTTGTGGAGTAACAAAAGTGGCCCGAAAGTGTGAAATCGCCACAACTGGTGCGGGAATATTGGAACTCAATTTCTAATCATGGCTCCTACGAAGGAGTAGAACTTTTTAGTGTGAGAGTAGAGCTGCGACCGCGCTACTCATATGTGGATCGCCATAGCCGTCCCGCAATCCACCTCAGGACGCGTGTGTCATGCTCGATCACTGAACTCCTAGGCAGGGAGTGATTTTGTTCAACAGCTGTGGTGTTGTTGACTTATGATGGGAGATTGGTGTATGAGCACAAAAGGGGTCTTTTGATTCGATATTCGACACGTTCCATCTCATTGGCATCACCAAGGCCAGCAGGTTAAGATTGGACAGTTAATTGACGCGAGCACCAAGATTCCACGGGACAGGGAATGTAGCATCCCGACAGTTTGGTTCATTCAAGCCAAAGGACCTACTCGTATAGAGTGTTGGAGGAACGAGTTGATCAGTAACATGCACAACCGATCTCCACTTGCCTCCGTAAAGAGTCAATCCTATACGCAAAGGCTTGGCCCGGAGAGCTCGATTACGATACATTCGTACTGGGCAGTTTCTCCGTAGATATTCCGTACTACTCCGTACTACTGAAGTGTTAGCTCAGGGCGAAGCATAAACGCAAGGGTATTCATGTCCCCTTCTGTCGGGATGGGGTCTCGGAAATTGGCAAGTCGGGAAATCCATTGGCTTGTGGGCCAGATCTTTGACAGTAGGATCGCGTTCGGTGAAACCAAAAAATCGGGAACGAATACGGAGTAACTGTACGGATAGCTGTACGAGATACTCGCACTAGGAGTGCAGTAGTTACTCCGTGCGCGCACCGCGTAGAAATCCAGCGATTGTGAGGACGGAAATCCCAGCCGGGCCCACTCGAGGCACCTGTGGCGGATTCTGATTGACAAAGGGGATCATTTCCGAACCCCAATAAAACACCCCAAAACGTTCAAATCATCCAATCGTGAGTGATTTGTGAAGGTAACAAATATTCTTGGCGTACAGAGTTGTTCTGCTCGAGCCATTCTGTTAAAAGACAGCTCCGTCATCGACGTCCGATGCTGTGGGTTCTTTTGCGGCAATGGATCTTGTTCATTGATTTTGACGGTACCTTAACATTGGAACCGCGCGTGTATTTGATAGGAAAGATTTTCGTGCCCGAGTCAGTGCCCGGATATATGATTTCACCGCGCACGTCGCGAAACTCGTCGTTCGACTACCCGCAATGATAGCATGTGCGATTCCTGAGTGGAGCGTGCACGATGGCTGACTTCAATAATCGACACTTGTACCCGCACCCTACCCCTAGTTCAGGGCAAACTTCACGGCCTTCCACCACGAATCTGAAGCGAAAAAACGCCAGGGTGGCATGTGAAAACTGTAAGCGGCGGAAGTTGAAGGTATATTAACCCCATCCTCCCAGCGCGTATTTGGAGCATCATCGTTCAGTTGAGTAACGAACGCAGTGCTCGGGCGAGGTTCCATGCGAGGCCTGTACAAGGAACGGCGCGCCGTGCGCGATCGATGGACAGAGCGACCAGCGACGCAAGCAGGCACTGAAGCGCAAACTGTCTGACTTGGAAGATAAAGAAAAACTCCTAGAACAATTATTACATGTTCTTCGGGACGCAGACGATATTTGCGCCGCTCAGTTAATTGACCTAGTCCGCAATGATGCATCGGTCAATGAGATCCGAGCGTACCTGGACACTTTCTATGAATCCGAATCGAAACCAGAAATGGTGAGCGCCATCGAAAAGGCTCTGAGCCTCGAGAAAGAGTCGAGGGAAAGTTCACGTCCTCGGTTGGACAGTGTGAAAATTTCCGAAAAGCCCATATTCCGGGTGCCTGCCGCACCTTGGACGACTGTCACCAGCGATGACGACTTTGTTTCTCATTTGATATCTCTATGGTTCACTTGGGCTCATCCGTACCTGAACTGGATCGACCGAGATCTTTTCATTCGCGATATGCAATCTGGAGACATGAACGCCAAGTTCTGCTCGCCATTTTTAGTTAATGTCATTCTGGCGGATGCCTGTGTGAGTAGAGTGAAAATTGTTGAATTGTGAGATATTGCTGGCTGACGCATGCCCCCAGGCATATTCTGACTACCCCGAGGCATATGGAGTTGCGAACGGGGAGTGGTCTCGGGGACTTCACTTCTATCAGGAAGCCAAACTTCTCCTGGGAGAGCAGGAAGGCAAGATTAGTATCGTCAATGTCCAAGGCCTTTGCGGGCTATATGTGGTGTAAGTTTCCAACTACCCCAGAATCAGGGATAAACCACTCACATCTGGTCACAGGTCTTGTATGGTTGGCAAAGACAGAACTGGCTGGGTGTACTATGGCCAACTAGCATATGCTGCTCAGGAACTTTCTCGAAAACATCGAGCACCACGGGAGGACGCAGACGAAGAGGAAATGGAGGAAATTCGTGCAGTCGATAACGCCATGTGGGGGATATTCAACTTTGCGTCGTAAGTGTGACCCGTTTGCATCATTGCTCACTGGATCAATAACATGAGTATCAGACTCACATTAAGGTCTTGGGATTTTCTAGGCTTACCGCTCTCGCATATCAAAAGGGGCCGTTAATTCCCCCTCCTCGGCACAGGCATAGAACACCCAAACGCGATGTCCATCAAGACATATGGCACCCCTTTCCAACAAGCCCGATAGGCGTCGAATCGCACCGAGAATGTCTGTTCACGGCGTTGTGTGACATGGGCGAAATCACTCATGAACTCAGCATGAGCTTGTTCAGAGACAACAAGCAAACACTTGACATAGATTTCGCTCGACTTGCAGAAGGGTTATATGCTCGACTGCAAGCATGGTTTGAGGGCATACCAGATTGCCTGTCGTCTGTTGATGCCACACCACATGTTATGAGTCTCCAGTTCGTACCTCCACCCAGTGTCGTTTCGATCGTCCCTAACTTGCTTGTTCCTGCTCAGTTTAAACTATCACACCACTGTCCAAACAATATTCGGGTGCCTGAAAGGGTTGCCGACGAGTGAGGAGGCCAGTGAGAGCGAGCATGCTGAGCTAGAGAGGATGAAGCAGCGAGCACAGGAACGCTGTATCGACTCAGCACGTTTGACTGCCGACTTGGTTGATCAGCAGCGACAAGCTTGGGGCTTGGAGTACATGCTGGCAAGCAACATTCACTGGTTCACAGTCTCTATGTACACCCTGCTGGATAGCCTGTCAGATGAAGAGAACCAAGAGGCATTTCTCGCCCTGAGTATCGCCGCCGAAGCAGCCTCACACCGCTGGGTTCTTGCGAGAGGGATGTTGCGGTTGGTACAGTTGAGGTCGATACAGATGGAAGTGTCACTTCCGTCGAAAGCCGAGGCTCTGTTCTCCGACTTCGAGGCCCGAGTATGGACACACCAGGACCGCAAAGCCCTGAGTAGCCAGTATCCTCAATTCTCACATTCCACGAAGCGCAGCGAGGTGGATAAGTATGACCTCGACACCTTTTTGGAGAAATTCGATGATCTGCACGTCACGAGGAAGTCGAGTGAGGAATCGGATGAGCTAGCAAACAGGGGGGATGAAGCGTCGTCGGATGGTGGGGTGGAACTGGATGGGAAGGGAAAGGGGGTCATTTGGAGTCTTGAAAGTAGTAACAGTGACAGTTGAGTGGTAAACCGCAACAGTGCTGGTGCTGTGTCAATGTGTTTTGACGCAAATCTGTTCAAGTGTTCGTAGTGGGACTCAGATCCGAAAGCCATACAGACGATTGCCGCTCTCCGGAGATTTTTTCCACTACAAACCTTTTCCTCTGTGGGACTCCCTTGTTCATTGTTGCAATGAGTCTATAATGCATTCATGGGAAGTATCTTGCTGATTATTGGGGGTGACTAGGCCAACTTCGCGAAGGACCTGGGAGAATTGGCTTCATTACTTGGGATATAGTCTAGGGCCTCGATGTCTATCGCTTTCCGCATTACCACGCGACACGCTTGTGAATTACTATGGAAGATGCGTTCAGATCATCTCAAAATGCGTACAAAGAGGTGGTCAACAGACAACACGAGAGACAACAATAGACCATGACGACGATTGGGGATACAGAGGGAGTTGAGACGAAAAGATGTGGAGGCAACACCGAGACCAACACTGAGAGCTCTCCCCCCGAAGAATTCGCACTCTCGGTCATCCCCAGGTCGATGTATCATTTGCCTCTCATCCCGAATGGTGGCAGTGCACGTCGCCAGGTGAGCCGAGGAGGCGAGACTCTTGGGGCGGGGGGGGGGTATAACTAATCACTTGTCGTTTCATAGGACTCCTTGTCAGCTTTGCGCTTCATCCATCGTCGGTAAACAAACAATGCGATAATCCCAACGGCAACGAGAAACACGATACAGAAGACAAGTACGACGCCCCGGTTCTCATCTGCCCAGTTGCCTCGTCTGACGATCGCGTAAAGAGACGGTGCGACAGTGGTCTGAGGGACTACTCCAATGGCAGGCATATCGTCCGATGTACACCACCAATGCTCGGTTTCTAGTCTGCGTGTTAGCCCTGAACAAACCACACAGCCCAAAATAGGAGTTGTTTCCTATCGAGGCGTGGCGCGCCTGTTGTGAACGGAGGGCGTGGCTCACGAAAGACTGTCGACTCGATAAGACCAATTCTCCTCGGGTTCTAATGTGGCCGTGACTGCACTGAAGATAACAAGTTTTGTCAGAAGCGCATTTCATCTGATTGTTGGCCGGCCACCATGGAGGCAGCAGGTAACCACAGGCACGAACCTGGGGTATCGAGGCTGGCTTTTGATGCTGCAAAGCGCACTTACACCCACACCGGTAGCAAGCCACTGAAAGAGGGGGGTGATATATGGTGAAATGCAGAGTGAATGATCAATGATCACAGATACTTCAACGAATAAGTTGAATTGGTAAGTATATGGGATGAATTTACAAATGACAGCAAGCTCCCCGGCTCTCGACGGACTTTGAAATTGAACATGAATGATGACGACCGAACGTGTATATCCTGTTGTGCCTGTTCCGAGCTTTCGATCAGATTATGGATATTTTGATTGGTTTCTGAGCCATGTTGGACCGTGGATATCTGGACGACAGTAACAACAACCACTGGAACAAATAGAGAAGCTTGAAGTATAAAGCTCCGCAGAGCTCCGATGCTGCGTTCTCGGCTTTTGCGGTCGAGAAAAAGAATGTCATGCACTACTATGATTTGGGATAAAGTGTCTAATTCTCTCGGTAGAGTGAGTCATCCAAAACCCTTGTCGCCGTTGATGATAGGACAACTATTCGAAATCTGGATACCCGTCCCCGAGGGCCTCAATTGTTAAGCAATATGGGTCGGCCAGTCCCAGAAAAAAATGGTCACCATCGAATGGACAATGAAAGAAGAAAAAAAAAAGTCATTAACTGACTTGTGGGCGCCTAGCATATCTGAAAGATTCCTCGACATCAACTGAAACCAAGTCTGGAGATGTGCCAGGTTCAGCACTTGACACTGACCAGTTGACTCCTCGGATGAAAGACTTTCTCTTCTACGTTAATCTTACAGACAGCAGAGCAAGGGCATCACGGTGTATTTTTGGCACTGCATGCCTTGCTCAATTTTCATGAGCAACAAAAAAGTTACCTTCTCCTCGCAGGGTAAGCTAGCGCTTCCTTCGCTTGCAGAAAACCACGACCAGGCGACTCTACTGACTGTTAGTGTTCGAAGCATATACCTAGAACGGACACGCTCGAGGTTGTCGCTTTCAACCGTCGCTACAGAGGAAATCCCTTTACTGATCACCACGCCAAGGCTCCAGTCTGGGACTGACTACGGATCACTGCTTGATGTTTGACAGCACATGTGACAAGGCATCTGAAAAGGGAAATTTGATTTAAACACGAGCCGCACCCCTGCCGCTAAGATGGGGTGCTAAGTCTTGGCGATTGATCGTTCCCTTTGATCCAAGGTCAGTCCCAAGGTTTGGAGCAAGTTTCAACTCTTCATACGCACTAAACCCCCATCGTGGCCTGAATCCACTATTTTATAATGACTTTGTCTTTTCTTTGATCTTTAGAATGAGGCCCGGACCAACAAAGCCGGTGGTACCTTGACCTTATTTGACCTGCCTATCACCTCGTATTCGGCCGACGGGGCACCAATCACCAACCAGCACAGGCCCAATTTCGACTAGAAAAATCTCAGGTTGCAATTTGAACAGAAAACAGACTCAAACAGTTGCAAAACTTCAGGCGGGATTTTACCCCTTGCACCATGTCGGTCATCGGTCGCCTTTGGGGTTCTGAACGGCCTCGTCGTGACAGAATCGTTGATCTACGTTGATTTCTGGCTTTTGCTTGAGTTTAAAAATACTAATCAAAGCTTGTGCGAACTCGAATACAGTTTCTCCTAGATCCCGTTCCCGATCCAAAACAGCATCTCAATCTGCAGCTAAATTAGTCCCTCGGTGTTGGTCGGTGTACCTCCCCACCAAGTATAGATCGACCACTGCAGGAATGCCAGGGTCCACAGACCGGGGCTCTGACTGGAACCAAGCATAGACTAGAAGAAGCCGCGACATAGGCGAGGCTCCTTTGAATACGAGGTTTAATTCTCCATCAATTTGTGGGGGGAAAGGTACCTGCGTGTAGTTTATCACGCTCATCCCCTCCTAAACGAGGCCCCGGATTTTATTTCCTGAGTATACCCACACAGACACTTGAGCACACCCGTGGACTACATTCTATCGAATACTGCTCTCATGATGTTTTTGCGATATATAATCTTCTTCGTTCCGTTGGTGAATGCATGGACATTCCGCTGGACGAACGAAACCAATGAGACTGAAATTATCCGAGGCTCTGAGGAAAGAAATTGTACAGTTGCCAATATCTTCGAGGAAGGGCTGTTCACTTGGGATCCTGAAGGGAGCAAACAATGCGTTTCGATTTACCGCGACACAAAATGTGATTCCATGGGCGGATATTCATGCACTGCATGGAGGAAGAATGCCAGTCGAACATTCATGGCTTTCGATATCATGCCTGAGAACCTAATCATCTCCAAATCTCAGAGCTCTACAGCCGCATCAACCTCGACAGCTTCATCTGAGTCTACATCCATATCCACATCCGCACCCGCATCCACGACATCGTCTCCCACTTCTGCCTCGGCCACACCAACAAGCTCACCATCTAGCCCGGCAGGTAACACAGATACCAGCCCCTCGTCAACCGGTCTGTCTGGAGGAGCAATCGCCGGCGTGGTGATTGGTGTGGTTGCCGCCGTTGCCATCATCATCGGTCTAGTTATCTTTTTCATGAAAAGACAGAAGAAATCATCAACACCTGGCCAGCCCGGTGGATATGGTCCACACGAAGCAGACGGAGGTGCATCCTCAATGAGCGGCACAACGGCAAACGAGCCTCTTGCCTCACTTGGCTTCCGACCTGTGCCTGGGTCACGGTTTGTGGAGCTCAAGGGCGATGCCGGTAGTACTGAATTGGGGAGTAGCCCAATCAGCGAGCTTGATGGAGGCTCTGCAGGTGTGCAGCCTCGGCCTTTCTAGTTTCAGGCTAGGCTAGGGATCTAGGGCTCTAGTGGCTTTGGGAGGCTCTAGGACCGCATGCTTCGTCCTGTCACATCGGCATTTGATTTCACTTGCAGTACTCTGTACTCACTCGAACAATGATCTCGGCTTTGATCACTTCTTTCTTTTTATTTGATTCGATATATCTGCGAAAACAAAAAAAGGCTTTGGGCCTGGACCTTCGCTTATGATGCTGTTCATGTTTCGGCTATACCTGAGCTGGAATATTACCACGACACTTAATTCAATGCAAGATATTATTTTCTTTTCCTACAATACTATGTATGTACCTAAATCTACCGTCAGAATCGATATAATCCGACTTTATCTACTACTTAAGTACTATTCAGATTTCACCGAGCGGGCAGTGGTAGGCTCTTGACCTTTCTCATGAGCGACCCGCTCTTCGGACAGGGCCAGAGACCCAGCCTCAGCAGGACCAGTCTTCTCAGCATATTCCTCATCCGGTTTCCAGAAGTCGCGCTTTCCATGAGCAGCACGGTTAACCCAAGGAGGAAGGAAACCACCCTTAAGCTTCCAGGACCAAGGATCAGACTCATCCTTATTCGGAGGAACAATACGACCACCACTGACTTTCTCCAGAATCCAGGCAATGCCATTCAGCGTGATATAGCTTGTGATTCCGGCAATCAAGCCGTAGGCAATACTGTATGTGAAAGGCATGATGGCGATAGTGAGGAATGCGGGGATCGCGTCCCCGTAGTACCGCCAGTTGATTTCTGCGGCGGCCTTGGCCATGAGTGCGCCCACGATCACTAGTGTGCAGCCTGTGGCCCAGGGTGGGATTGAGGCGAAGATGGGGGCGAAGAATACAGCGATGAAGAAACAGATGCCTGTGGTGATTGATGTAAGGCCTGTTTTGCCTCCTTCGGAAATGCCAGCGCCGGACTCGACAAATGCTGTGACGGGGGGACTGCCGAAGAGAGAACCAATTGAGATGGAGATCGCGTCAACCGTGTAGGCCATGGCGCTGCCTTCGAAATCTTGGGTCTCCTCGTCGATTGCACCGGCAAATCGGGCCATGGAGTACATGGTTCCAGTTGTGTCCAGAATATCCACATACTGCATCCGTGTTAGTTTGATATGTCTCGAAGACGGAAGCGCTGTTACATACCAAGAATGTGATAAAGGCCAACCCAAACTCTCCACCCTTGCCCGCGAGGTTCCAATCTTGGGCCAGGAGGGTATGTTTAATGGGATGGAACGTGACGACTTGTTTGAAGAAGTCGAATTTGCTCGTTCCCAGATCCGTGTAGGGGAAGTAAGTGACGGGGGTTGTTCGTGGCCAAGAAATGATAGACACCAGCAGGATACCGATGATCACAGCTCCCTTGATGCGATACATCATCAGCAACGCAGTCAGGATACCACCACAGAAGATACCGATCCACATCGTCGCACTGCGCATCTTCTCGCTGCTCAGACACAAGCCTGTATCAGGGTCCATCATGCCCTCGGCACATCCAGCCAGCTCAATGGGAGTGTCAGTGCCACCCTGCACCAATCCAATACCAGCACTATAAGTGAGACCAATCAAAGCAAGGTAGAGACCGATTCCGCAGCCGGTAGCTAGCTTGATAGATGCGGGGAGGGCACGTGCCAACCACTGTCGCATACCAATAATTGTCAGGCCGAGGAACACCCAGCCTTCAACAAAGACAGCAGTCAAAGCAGTCGAGTACGAAACCAGGCCGGAACCACGGACACCCACAACGGTATAAGCGAAGTATGCATTCAGTCCCATTCCAGGGGCGAGAGCAATAGGCAGGTTGGCAAAGAGTCCCATGCAGAAGGTTGACAGTGCAGCGATGGCGGCGGTGGCGGTGACGATATCCCGGTTGATTTCCTGGGTGCACAGCGCATATTCGGCGTTTGTAGCACAGAAATCAGCCATGTCCTCCTCCGGGCAGACGCAGGTTCCACCCGTCAACGAGGTGATATTGCTGTTGACGGAGATAATGTATGCCATGGCGAAGAAGGTGGCGAGACCAGCACGAATCTCCGTAAAGAAGTAACTACCCTTTCTCTCCTTGGGCTAAAATATATCAGTCAGTACCTCAGTATCACCCACGTGCAGCTCAAGTATCCGGGGTATGACTTACATGACCACAACCCTCCAGACGAAACCATGTCCCCACGGGGCTACGAGCCACCCGCAGGTTAGTATCGTGGATCCAAGACTTGATTCCCATGATGAGTCGCAGGTATAGATTCGCGAAAGCGCGTCTCAGCGCTATTTATTTGACCAGCAAAAGAAAGAAAGAAATCCAAGCTTCGAAAAATTAAAAAATTCAAGAGAAAAAAAACCGCCAAACCGCGTTTGACACCAACCAACCACATCATTCTGATAAGCAGCCACCAGAAGAAAATTCGCCTTCCATTTTGGAGCTCGAGAATCTCCTCTTTGGGCCTTGGCACCTTGGCGGAGTCGTTTTCGCCCCCGCGACATGCCGACTGACGGTTCCTATTGGCCGTGAACTTGCCGACAGGGTCTCTGCCATGGATCGAGGCTCGGCAACCCGATAAAAAAAAAGAACTTGGAAAATGAGCAGAGCTATACTCGTACTTAGCTATACTTAACTATGTGCAAAGGCTTTTAGCAATTCAAGGAAAGAAAATCCCAAGTTCAAAACAATAAAACAATAAGCATCAGCTGCTGCACTGCCAAGACGTCAAAGCGCCGACGGGAAATTCTCTTATCGCAGTGGGTTGTGCGTGGATGGAGAAGTGTAACTTGATAACGGAAGAACCCGACAAGCTATACAGAATACTCATCACTTGAGCAGCTCAAGTCTCATATCTACTTAACGGCCACATCCGATGTGTTATCATTGGGAGACAAACTTTGAATCCTAACCCTCAAACGGACATGTTCCCGGTCTCACATGTCTGAGGGAGCAATACGCGAATGGCTGAAACGACCACGGGCGTGCGACGCTGTCCGTCGGATAAAGGGGCCAAATAGGCTGAACTAGTTGCCCCGGATGTTCATGCATCGCTTCATGTCTGTAGGTAGACCGGATAAGCGGTGTGTGTTGGAGACAATTTGGCCGAGATATTCTCACTAAGTGAAGTATAAATCCTGAGTCGCTATCGTGCATACACCGTAGGGCTGGCGTGGAGATAATAATTACTTAAGTAAGTACATCACCCGGCAAAAATTCCAGAAACAACGTTTGAAGAGAATAATAATTAATAATTATCGAAATTAGATACGGATGTCAAGGTACAAAATATAACATTCAAACCGCCTCCGAGCCCTTCTCTGGCGTTTCACTCGCTTTGAGATCCAACATAGGGGCGAACTTGGACCTCTTCCGCAATGCAGGACCCCATTTGATAAACGCGAGCGGAATAGGTACCATGATGAGCGCAAGACATCCAAGCAGCGTACCAGCCCACTGGACACCCAAATTAACAAACATCTGTTTCGAGAACAGTGGGAATGCAGCTCCAACAGCAGATCGGATAATGGTGTTCGCGGCAAAAACAGATGCGGCACTACATGTCCGGTCAGCTTTCGGTTCTGCAGACTGCAGGTACAGAGGAACTTACAATGTCAAGTATGAGTCAATCAGATAATTGAAACACTGGAGGAAGATCACGTAGATACCGAATCCAGTCATTATTCCACTGGCAGTTGGGGCCATCCAGTGGATTGATTTGGTCCATCCCGTCCAACCATACCAGAAGAGTCCGACGCAGAAGCAGATTCCGCCCAGGATGGCAGGGGGCAGTCTCCATTCTGGAATGGGAATGTTGTTGTTCGCAGCAAGTTTCTTGCTGTATGATCTTTGATCCCAGAGGATATATGCGCCGGCCAGGAACTCCCCAATGATCAGGCCGATGAACGGGAGACTTCCTACTCCTAGGTTCATTCCATGGATGCCCTGGAACACGACGGGGTAGGCGCTGAGAAGTGCGTACATCAGGCCATATACGAAACTCATCCATAAGGATATCTGAGATCAGGTTAGCTCTCTGTCACTTTCAAATGAAGGAATGTGACTCACTAGGAAAACGATTGGTTCTGTGAATAACATGCGGAAGGGACGGCTGAAGTTGTTGGTGATCAGTTCACCCCAGTCGAGCTCAATCTCCTCTTGTCTGGCTCTGATGCCCCAATTGTGGGTCTGTCGCCTCAAAGTTGCCGCCTTCTCGACCAGAACAGCAGGGGCATATGTTTCTTTCAAGAACAAGAGACAGAGTCCTGTCGCCAACCACCCCATGATAGATGCAATGTACATAGTCCATCTCCATCCCAGATATGACATGGCGATAAAGCCACCAGTGAACGGAGATGCAAAAGGACCAACAAACACAGCCATGGCAAACATGGCAATAGCCACTCCTCGCGTTTGGTTGTTGTAGATATCAGCAAAAACGGCAGGCACGATAGCAATCGGGCTAGCAGAGAAGAACCCAGCAAAGAAGCGAGTGAGCATCAAAGTCTGGACATCTTTACTTGTCGCCGTTGCAATGGTAAAGATAGAATATCCAAACATCCCAATGCAAATTGGCCATCGTCTGCCAATCAGTTCACTTGCCGGTGCCCAGATAGTCGGTCCAGAAGCGAAGCCCAAAACATACAAAGTCACACCCAAGATGGCGACTTCCGTACTGATGTGGAAATGCGGAGCAATCTCTCCAACCGCGGCAGAGTAGATCGCACTCGCGAAAGAGGAGACAAATGTGGTATATGCCAGCGTCACAGATATACCGACTTTCCGCTTCGGTGACCAATTCTGGGGATGCAGTGGGTCATTGGCATCGTTGAACTCGACAATGTATTGTTCTGGGTCTGGCAGAGCAGGCGGATATGGTTTCCCAGCACCGAGGGGAAGCCATTCTTCGCGAGGTGTGATGCCAATTCCTGATCCGACGGTGGAGCGATGTTGAAGTCTGTACGTGTTGATGCGCTCTAGTTCGACTTCATTGAGATTGCTTTCGCGTCGATCGATGGGCTGTGCGGGGATGGATTCTTGTTCCGATAGGCGGTTGCGGGTGCTTGTCACAATGGTGCTTATATCGTCGCTGTCGCTGCCACTGGTATCTCGTGGGCTGTGCTCCATGTTGAGATGCTTCAATTGCTTTGATTCTGAGTTCCAAATATTGGGAATAGGAATACTATATAGGGAACGCTCTAAGTTGACAACCCAGTGAAAGTTGAAGATTTTTCTTTGGAGACGTCATATCACGGCGTCATAGAACTCACCTGTAAACCCCGGTTGATCCGTATAGCCCAAAGCGGTAATACGCTCCGCAAATAAGGTTTTATGTCGATTGGAAATGTCGATTTTAATGAAATTCGGTACTTAAGTGTATACTGGAGTGTATACCATGGGATTCCGGGGGAAATTCACGGCAGATGAGAATTTTTAGAGCATTGTGATTGCAGGGGAAATTGCCGATGCAAGGCTTAAATCTACACAGAGTACACACTGAGGCGGTATTACACTGGTTTTCTGTACTTTCTCAGCATTCACTTCAGCCAAAGTCACCATTATCCAAATATGAATTTGCAGCAGCAATAAATTTTCGGGCTATATGCTATCTCTCATTCTTAGATCCACCAAGCTAACCCCCCAACGAAATAGATTGAGCAATGAATGACGAAATAAATGAAAGCAAATGATCTGACATATGCAATGCAGGCATCAGTCTAGATGTAGAACATCGTCTCTGCGATGTTAGGGTGGATGACAACATCGGCCATGCGCGACATGTCCGCAGTTCCCTCGGTTCCACTGGTGCTGCCACCAGAGTCAAGGGAAAGCGGATCGAAAAGATCGCTCAAGAAACAGCGGGCGCGGGTACAAACAAGATCAGCGTAGTAAGCAGGCGGGCAAACACTAACAGCTTTGGTAGCACGGCCAAACAGATAACACATCTTGTGCGTAAGATCCTGCAAGACATCCGCAGCGCCAGCGCCACCGGGGTTTCCGGGGCGGCTGGGGTAGAAGATCTCGTCCCAGACGGTGAAGTAGTGGGCTGGTCGGGCGGTTCCTTGCAGGGCGGAGTGGGCCTGCAGGAAGAAGTCCCAGTCGCGGGCCTCCGAGACACCACGATCGACAACGGTTCCCGGGATGGGGTTGTCACGGTTGGAGTTCTCTTCGGAAGTCGGGTAGAAGCGAGTGTTGTGACGCTTGCCAACAATGATGATGGCGAGACGAGGAAGACCCTTCTTAGTTTGGTCGGCCGGGTAGATCTTCTTGCAAGCAGATTGCAGAAGAGGTAGTTCCTTGTCAATGACCGTGTTGTATTGACCCTCGGAGACTCCGTCACGGTAGACGATAATGTTCTCCGGGAGGTTTCTGTTGATCTTACGCCAGTGGTTCAGGCGAGAGACGAGAAGAGTCTCGAGGTCAGCAACCATTTCTTGGCGCGAGCTCTGGACGCGGATTTCAGCAGGCCACTGTGCTAGGTTTGCATCGACTGAAGCGACGATGCCGGCGACGGAGGGGGCAGTGCTGGCTGAACCCGGGGATGGATGAGTGACATCAATTCCCACGAGCATAGTTTTGCCTTCGGAAATGAGACCCAAGTCCGACTTTTGGAGGGACTGGTTGGCGCCACCTAATTTGAGGTTGATTTTCAGGCCAACATTGGCGTTATACTGGTCATTAGAGTTCTTGATTTTCTCAGCAAGAACGTTCACGTTGCGGATACCGCAGCGAACGTCGCAAACTTGCTTGACGCAGTTGTAAATGCCAGTGTCTTTAGTGTAAAAGATACCCAGGATAAAGACTGGGTTGTGGGCTTCTTGCAAGTCGAGGATCGCTTTTTCAATATCCGCGGCGTCGTTCTTACCGGTGAGGACAACACGCTTTCCTTGCTTGGGCGGCTCGACGCGCATGCCCATACTGAGGAGGGTTTTACGGAACCCTTCCAGGGCGCCAATGAGGTCGTTCGGGGTGTTGAAATGCGGACGTCCACCCGCCACGTCAATTAGGAGGTAAGTCCAAGACTTCAGTGACGCAGGCTGACAGAACTGGATTTTGATCATGTTCCAGCTTCCCGCATTAGTCCGGATTTCCTTGGTGCGGTTGCCATCTTTGTAGTAGATCTTGGGGGCTGGGAGAACGCGTCCAGGGACAGTGATCAACTCGGTCGATGGGTTAATTCCGAACGCAGTCTATAGACATCATTAGCATTTTGGCATATTCAAAACAGGACACTGTCTTACCAGAGTTGGGTTCAGAGGCTGTCCCAGTCCTAGGACACCAACACCTCTGCTGACAATCGACTGAGCGTTCTGTCCAGGCTTGCGGCCCATAACTGCAAACTTCAGCATGGACGCGGTCTGATCACCGGAAAGCTTGGACTTGGCAGGCTGGCCCGGCTCAACTTCGCAGACCTCGCAGGGAAGATAGACAGGTCTGTCACGGGACCCGACATTGACAACCGGCAGGTTGGGGTTCAATTTCATGTTGTATTCTAGCAAGTATTGTCAGCATAAGTTCCAACATGAGCGACATGTTATGATTAAAAGACCTACCCTTCTGGAAGAACGCAGCCACTGTGATGTAGCGTCCAGCTTCCGCGGGACCAGCTCTGGGTGGTTTCTTTCCCTTCTTGCTTTTCGGCTCTGGCGCGCCAGGAACTGATACCGGCTTTGGGGCAGCCTCGTTCAAGAAAAACTCCACCTCTTCAGGACCGGCGCCGTGACGCGGGACCTTGGGCGGGTTGCCCGAGGCACCGCCGTCGCCGCGATTGGCCAGGCCATGAATAGGCTTGATGCGGGGACGAGATTCGCCGCGGCTGTTCTTCCGGTTGAGGTGAGTGATACGGACGCGAAGACTCTTGAGGAACTTCTCCAGACGGTAAGTGTTATTCATTCTCAATTCACCAATCACATTGGCCAGCGGTCCTTGGTTGTAGCAGGCGATATACTTCACCTGCACGTTCAAAAGAACACGAGCCGTTGCGGCACGAACACTGATGAAGAATCCACGAAGGGCAGAAAGGCCTCCGCCAAGGTTGAAAGACTCCATAGAATCCTGGCGGAGGCTGAAATGCCGATTCGCACCGATGGAGGCCACCGCATCATTCGTCTTGGGGTGTTGCCCCATGATCATGTTCAGAGCGGCAACGATCTCTTCCTTGGACTCGAGCAAGGAGCTGGCGTTGGTGGAGGTGAGGTAGTTGACCAAGTCTGCTGGGTTGACTTCACCAGTGTATTGGACAGTGACCACATGAACTCGTGCATTTTCGGGGTAATCGTCTTCGAGATCTTCCTTGTACCGCACGTTGAACTGTCCCTCAGTCAACTTGGTCCGGGAGATCAAAGTCGAGCGGAAGTCCGACGCGATGCCGCTCTTTTCCTGAGCGAAATGTTCGTCCAACAGCAAGCGAACCATGTGTCTGGCCTTTTTGCCCACGGGAGCGGATCGTCCCGCAGCATCGGCCGCGATGTCAATGTGATAGCGGTGCAGTGCGTTGCTTGTCACAGTAAGTGGGAGATAGTTGGCATACAATGTCACCGGTCTACCAGCAGTTCCGTATCCCGGACGCTGAGGGTATTTCGCCTGACGAGGAGTCTTCTTTCCACTGACAGTCAGTGCCTTGAGAAGATCGTCTTCGGTCTTGGTGACAGCCGTGTTTGGCGGGGGGACGGGCTCTCCCTGTCTATCGGAAAATTAGTTCTCAGGTCTTTTCTCGGTTTTCCTTCTCTTTTCACTCTACGAGTATGTAGCAAACAACATACCTGAAGATGGGTGGGCCATAGTTCATCGCACCTCCGCGACCTCCGCGGCCACCACGGAAGTCACCTCGACCACGAAAATCGCCGCGACCGCGGCCGCGGCCATCAAAGTCTCCACGCCCACGACCACGACCGTCGCCTCCTCCTCTGAAATCACCCCGACCTCTGTCGCCACGGCCTCTGTCACCGCCACGGCCTCTGTCACCGCCACGGCCTCTGTCACCGCCAAGGCCTCTGTCACCGCCACGGAAGCTACCTCGATCGCCATCTCCTCGTCCAGCCGGGCGGAAAGGAAGGTCTCCACGGCCACGGCCACCTCCATCACCACGGCCGCGGTCGCCTCTTCCACGGTCGCCTCTTCCACGACCTCGATTATCACTCATGATAAATCGTTGCAAAATTATTCACAGTACTGCGTACACCGTACTCAGTGAAATGTTGAAGGAGAAAGGAGAATAGGTGGAGCCAGGCGGAAGATATTTCTAACCTTCAGCTCTTTGTTCTGACGTGTTGCTCTTTGTTCTGACGTTGGCGCGTTGGGCTGACCTGGCATACGCAAACAAAGATTTGGCCCGGGATGTTGGGATTTACGAGTCTCGTACTCATACCTAGGTATCTGATGTGTGTTACTGATCGCTGGGCACAACAGACAACAAAAATTATAATTGGCTGTGCCAATACGCGAGAGCTCCGTATGCGTTGCGGCTGTTTACATGTCTACTGAACAGAAGTACTTGATACCAAAAGTCAACGCCAACATTTTGGAATTCGATAGATCTGTTTGTTAGACCCCTGTCTAGCGCCTTTCTATATGCAAGTGGCAACAAGCGGCAACCCGTCAACATGAACGAGTCACAAGGCGTCAATGACTCTTGGCAAACAGTGCAAACAGTGAAATATGTGCAAACTATGCAAACCATCGGCCCGAGGCTTCAGTGGTCAGCGCGGGGTGACAGATGAGCAACACTAGTACAACTCGAGTATTAGTAGAATCCCTTTGTCTGACTCCATATCCGCCAATCCACTGTCAGCACTAGGCTTGAAGGCTGGGGAACGACTATAAATAATTCACGGAATCTCTGCTCCGTGGTCACTCCATAGATTTGAATAAAATCACCATCTTCCAAACATTGATATCGAGTCAAGAAAGATGGCGGTCCAAGGCTCTTGTGATCCTCTGTTCAACCGAGTCCGTGATCTTGTTCAAGAAAGACTAGACCTTGGGGAAGAAACCGGTGTATCGCTGTGCATCAACATCGACGGAAAGAACGTCCTCGATATCTGGGGTGGTCATGCAGACGCCGAGAAGACTCGCGCATGGGAAGAGAACACTCTCACCGTCGTCTGGTCTTCTACCAAAGTGATCACCGCACTAGCAGCTCTCAAGCTTATCGACCAAGGTCTCTTGGACCCTGAGGAGAGAGTATTCAAGTACTGGCCCGAATTTGGAGTTAATGGCAAGGAAGACGTGAGAGTGTGGCACTTCCTCACTCATTCCTCTGGTCTCCCGTCATGGACTGAGCCTATAACGATGGAAATCCTATACGATACTCCTACCTCGACTGGGATGCTCGAGCGACAAGCTCCCTGGTTCACTCCTGGCTCCGCGACCGGATATCAAATGTTGAACCACGGACATCTTATTGGCGAGCTTGTTCGTCGGGTCAGCGGTAAGCCGCTCAAGCAGTTTATTGCCGATGAGCTTGCGGATCCATTGGGTGCAGACTTCGCGCTGGGTGTATCCGACGAAAAGCAGGCCAGGACCTCGGACATCGTCCCTCCCCCTCCTCTGGACTTACCTGAGGGTATCGATATGGACAGCATCATGGTGAAGACGTTTTTGAACCCTGTTCCAGACGCCAAGGCTTCCATGACCCCCGAATACAGAGCGACTGAGATTGGTGCTGCGAATGGGTTTACGAATGCACGTGGACTGGGCCGCATTGCTTCCATTGTGTCTCTGAATGGAACTGTCGACAATAAACAATATCTGTCACCGCAGACCATTGAGAAGATCTACCAAGAAAGAATCAGTGGTCCCGATCTGGTCTTGGGCTTCAATCTGCGAATGGGCCTTGGTCTTGGCCTCCCGGTACCAGAAACTGTTTCCTACATCCCAGAAGGAAACATCGCCTTTTGGTGTGGTTGGGGTGGCTCTATGGTTGTCATGGACTTGGATCGTCGGATGACCATCACCTATGCTATGAATCAGATGGGTTCAGGCCTTGTGGGCAACGCGAACAGCGCAATCTATATCAAGGCGATATACGATATTATGGCGGAAAGTGCAAAATCATCGCTGTGATGTAAATTAATCCTCTTGCATGATCGATTTTAGAGAGAAAGCTTGACATTATTGAGGGAGCAAGGGAAAATGAATCCCCCTTTCAAATCTGCAGCATAGATTGGCCAAACACTCTTTATCTTGACTTTTTCGCCACTGAAACTCGCTGGTTGTTACCACCTGTCTCTGAGAATACCAGCTCATCTCTCTCCCAGACAAGCTCCACTGCAGCACCAACAGGGCCAGCAACAGCAGTAATAACGGCAGTCTTGACTAGCAAGCTGGGCCAGGAAACAGTGCTGAGTATTTGCTTGTGTGCGATACTGTACAAAGAGATAGCCCAGAGCAAGACACCACTGGTGCCAATGATATAATCCCACCGAAGGAAGACATGGATACCATGCCCAACATTATCAACCATCAACCCAGACCAGGGAAGTGGGATGAAAAAGACGCTTGCTGGATGGAGCGATTCCAGGAAACGCTTGTCGAACAACGTAGGCACGATGACAGTTGCCATTGACACTACCAATGACACAAGGTGCGGCAGTGAGGCGTTGATGAAGGCAAATGCGTAGACCCATCGCAGACTAGACATAGAGGCCCGGTGGTTGTTCGAGAAGAAAGGGGACAGCACGTAGTAAGCAGCGGTACCGAGGACCGAAACATAGGCAGGCCAGGGCTGCCAGATGGCAATTGCAAGTTGCTTGAAGTCAACTGAGATCACAGACGGGGCAGGCAAAACCATCATATTAGTTGGCACCATGAATCCGACGACAAATATCAATGGTAGAGCTGCCAGAACTGCGCGTGGAATGCGGATGTTGTCTGCGTGGGGCCGACTGGCTGTGATTGAACAGCCGAGTTGAAGGCCCAGGAACAAAGGGGTAGCAAAGGCGAAAGTGAATACTTGCGCAACCAGACCAAATACCATAGGACTGAAGCAGCCAGTTAGCTTGGCTCCATTAAATGAGATATGCTTGGTGTGATGACAACTTACTATGCCGCAACGGTTCCAGCATTGCCCTTTCTCCATGATTCCAAGACGACCAAGGTCCATGCTGCACCAAAGGACCCAGAGAAAGCAATACTGTGGAGCAAGAGTCCGGGATTCTGCCCATCAAGCGATGGATGAAAGAATGTTGTCAACAGAGTCAAGAGATTGTCGACTGGCTCGAGGCCCGTGTATACTGTCCTCAATGGCTCATTGACACCGGGAAGCTTGCCCGAGTCAATGGAATTGTGTCCAAGAGCATCTAGGCCGTTGATGTACGAGAAGTAAAAGATCGCGTAGAACACGAAGGCACTCAAAGAGAAGAGCACATATCTCATGATGAAGAATGAATTGGTCTGCAGCTCTGCTGTGATTTACCCCCGGAGAACTAATTGGGGCGACTTGCTTATAAGATATCTCGTTAGACGTAGCGTGTGAGACCGAGGCTGGAAATGAACCCCGATATTCACATGCGGAGCTGGTATCCCGTACTCCAAATGTCGCATCGAGTTCAAGTGGAGTCAACCTGTGTTTGTGGGGTTGACATCTTGCATTCCCAAATTGGTCTAGCGTGGTCCGGTGACTCTTGATGCCTCATTTATCAGGACGAAATATCAAATTGTTGCGACAGTGACCTCGAGGCTAGACTAGGAAGAAGTTGAATCAAAGTATACATCACAAATCCTGTGCATTCGTTCGAGTACGATGCGAAATCTGGTCAAGCTATTTGGACTAGCTCCTCTGACTACCACGTGTCAGATGACATCCGGGAAGCCTGAGATGCTGTAGGATGTAGGACTGTTATTTCGCCTGTCTATGGCTCTTTCCTGAGAATCACATTCGCGACATGATGCACTAAACGAGCACCGCAAGAGCATAGGCAAAAGCATAGGCAAAAGCATAGGCAAAAGCATATATAGTATTCAAAACACAATGACCTTGGCGCCCACGCCAAAGGAAGCCTCGTCGTGTATGTGGAAAGCGTCATTAATCCCGCAGTCCGAGTGCGGATAGAACTATATCCAAGTACTGTTATATTGTGTGCCTATGCCCCTCAACAATGTCACACAGAATGCCAAAGTCCAGTTTGAGTCACTCGAGACCACATCACTCCAAAGAGATTGTCCTCTCAGCCTTCCACACACAACCCCTAGACGCAAGTCTTGTCAGTACTCAGAAAAAAGAACGCGAAGGATTCGGGAGATCGGCATGCGCCTAAGAATCTGGAAACGACGAATATCCAATGATCTCTCCAGATACCAAAGAGAACCCCCTCGCCATCGAGCATAGCTCACAGTGCACTCAAATGTTTCCAGTCAACCTGGTAATAGCGCAAGTTCCGCGATGGTCAGCTTCATCATCTGTAGCTCGGCCGGGTCTACCTGGTAGGTGATCACAGGGGTTACTTCGTATGGCATTCGCTCGGTGTAATGCCTGGCCATCCGGCAAAATCACCACAGAGGATTGTGCCGCAGAGCCACAATCTGCATGCAAATCCACATGGACGGAGACATAGCTTCACTATCAAGATTACTCCAACAGTGAAGAGCAGTGACAAAGAATCCAAGTGTACATGCTAATCCAGCCACCGCATTGCTGGGGTTAGCCAACCCGGCGGGAGATCTTCAAGCCAAGCTAGTTCGGTATCTGTGCCATAGCGCTGGAGTCCCCCCTAGTTTCGGAGCTGATCAGGGGAATGGAGGCTCTTTTAGGGTCATGATTCTTGCGATATGATGCAGCTCACGACAACACTCTACCAGGCATGAGAACTGTGTGTCAACCTCGTGGATGTGGTGAGAGGGCGTGGGATCGGAGGGGTCGGTAGGCAAGACATTCTGGAAGCTGGATCTTGTTAATGATTTCGAGTCGCTCGGTTCTTTTTAAGAAGTCCTGGTCGTGTGAGCCAAGGGCATCGCGACCGGGCTGTTAAGCACTGGTTGGTCCTCGTTTGGGACGGCCGTTCTTGAACACCGGCAAAGCCGCAAAGTGGTATTCGAGCTGGTTCAACCATGGGCACTCTCGTCAAGGCGAGACATTGAGCGTGATACGTGAAGGCAGTCATCATGACAGAATATGCAAGCAAACGTGGCATGGAAAGCGCGAGAAGACGCGCAGCTTTGTGATCACCTGACAGTAAGCATTGACCGCCCGGCCGTTGACAACAGACAAATTTCCCCACCATAGATCTCCCCATCACACTTCCTGGTGACCTTCTCTTTCTCTTCTAACTTCCAATCGGATGCTAGCTGTCTTTATCGATTTATCTTCAAACTCGTGGGACTGGCACATGCCGTCCCGTTACCGTTGGGATGCTCAGGGATTCTGATATAGATTCCCTTAATGGGCATCTAGCTTCCTTTTCGTTAGAACAACAGAAACAACATGAGAAATTGCAGGACCTACTAGGCCAGTTCAAGAGCCTGCTTGATGACTACAGCTCGCTTAAGAGTGACTACGAGGAGGTCAAGGATGGCCGCGAGAAATACAAACGACAGGCTCGAGGCCAGGTAAGCTGGGGCCAGCAAGCTGCAAAAGGCCACCCATCTAACAAGCCACCAGGACCGCAATCCATTCGTTCTCGTTCTTGTTGATGGAGATGGCTACCTAGTAAGTTTGGCGCTCACTATGATGCCTAGCTTGGTTCACTGATGATGTCCAGTTCAAAGAGCATTTCCTAAGGAATGGCAGCGAAGGAGGCATTGATGCAGCTCGTGAACTAAGTGATTCTGTGAAAGAGCTAATGCATTCCACAATGGGAATGCAGGCAGAGCAATGTCGAATCATGGTTCGTGTATACGCGAACGTCCTCGGCTTGTCAAAGGCACTCGCTCGTGCCGGACTCATGGGCCACGAAGCCCGGTCTCTTTCTCCGTTTACCTCATCCTTTACCCGCGCCCAGGAGCTGTTCGACTTCATTGATGCTGCGGAGAAGAAAGAAGGAAGTGATTTCAAGATAAGAGGTAATACACAACTTCATAACATTCTGCATGTTGTACTAATCTACGTTTCAAATCAGAAATGTTCCGGCTGTTTGCAGACGCCAACCAGTGCCGTCACATCTATTTTGCTGGCTGTCATGATACTGGATACGGCTCCCTTTTGACTCCATACAGAGGAAGTGATCGTATCACGCTTATCAAGGCAGCTGGTTTCCACCGTGAATTCGAAGCTCTGGGTCTTCCCATCAAAGAGCTTCCATCGGTCTTCGCCTCTACACCCCTAGCTACCACCAAGCCGCCTACCGGTCCAGCTGCTGCTAAAGCTAATGGTAACGGTACAAATGGAATGCACAGTCATTCCAACTCAAACAGTGGAAACCCTAACAAACCAATCTGCAAGCACTTCCAAAAGGTATTTGATATCGGATTCTATGTTGATCAAGGTCTGACTTCTGAATAGGGAATCTGTAAATTCGGAAATGGCTGTAATAAGCAGCACGTCATGCCGAATCAATCACTAACCCACCTTCCATCGTCGAAAAGCTCAGCCACTTCACCTAAGTCATCAACCAAGGCTACCTCGGCATTTTGGACGTCTCCGACCGCGGTAGGCCGGACTGAAGACTTTCTGAGATCTATGCTCCCTCTCCCTAGCATCAAAACCGAGGAATTCATCCCGGTAAACAAAGACGGGGACCGCATTGACCCCTATTATCCTCAACCCCCGGCAGACGCATTCGAGGAGTACCATTCCCGAGCAAAGGAACACAAAGTTTGTAATAGCTACCACCTTTCCGGGGAATGTGGTGACATGAGTTGCCCTTACGATCACACCGATGTCTCGAATATAGTCATCGAGGTACTGAGGTGGATGCTTCTTCAGCACCCGTGCTCACGCTCCGGGGCCTGTCGATCGATCAAATGCTACATGGGTCATCTTTGCCAGAAGCCCGGCTGCAAGGCTGTCAAGAGCTGGCAATGCCGGTTTAATCAGAACGCTCACATCCTCGATCTTAAAATCGCTCGATGGGATGTACCAACTGACCAGGATGAGATCATCGATCAATGGTCTGTCAGCGACAGCTCAATCGGAAACACTTCCCCGAACTCGCTGCTGCTTGATTAAAATTCCGGTCGCTTTTACGAGGAATTACCTTTCAACACTCACCTACACTCAGTCCCTTTTACTTGGGATATTCACGTATGTGTGAGAAAGCAAGCTCGGCACTACAAGCCGAAGTGCTTATTGGCAATTGGCTCAGTTGGCTTTGAATGCTACCATGGGTTAAAAAGAAAGGTGAGCATGATTTAGAAAAGATGTCTAGGATTTTCTACAAAATAGGAATCATTCACCTTGCGACTCAAACTACGCCTAGTATTGTCCCGCGTCTGTTGCACTGTGCTTCCGTTGACATATGTTGGTTGGCATTTCTGATAGCAGCATCAATCTAAACAATTCCATTTGAAGGTCTCTTCTCGCCTAACTTTCACTTTGATATAAGGCCATGTAATGGATCAGATAGCTGTTGAGATGCGGCAAGTCGTGATATATGGTGATTGCCACACCTTCGGGTGGCCATGATACTGGGGTGCGGCGGTGTTCTTCCCAGGGCTTCTGTTATGTGCGTGGCTGATTCCCGATTCACTACCTCTACTACCCCCTTTCTTATTCCAAAGTTCTACTCTATTATATCTACGCTTGGGGTGTTGGCTCAAGTTGCACCTTTAATGGCATCTGGAGCTCCAGATCAATGATCTAACAATACGTAATGGCCACTAGTTTGCCATCTACGCTGAACGATTGACTTCTTGTCTCCTTGACAACTAACCAATGTGAGTGAGACTTCCTCAATCTTGCAAGACTTTTGTCGAAATGGAGCCAACGGTCCATCCAATCTTCGAGGCAAAGACCTGTTCATGGCAATATGTAGTGGCCTGTCCGAATACGAAAGAAGCCGCTATCATCGACCCAGTCTTGAACTTTGAGCCCTCGCTGTTTCGAATCACTACGGAATCGGCAGACGCCATGATCGATTGCATTATGAAGCATGGTTATACCATCAAAATGATACTGGAAACCCATGCCCACGGAGACCATCTCTCTGCCGCCTACTACATCCAACAAGCTCTCTGGACTCGAGGCCAGCCGCATGCCCTGATCTGCATCGGAGAAAACATCACAGTGGTGCAAAGCTACTTCGCGCACAAATATCGGATCCCAAGAGAAGAAATCGAGGACGCCTTCAACCACCTCTTCCAACCCGATGAGGTATTCCACATCGGCGACATCGCCTGCACCGCGCTGCACCTGCCAGGACATACACCAGACCACGGAGGTTATCAAATGGGGAACAACGTCTTTACTGGAGACACTATGTTCAATCCTGATGTTGGGAGTGGACGGTGTGACTTTCCTGGTGGCGATGCTCGGGCACTCTATCAGTCAATGAAACGCCTCCTTGCCTTCCCACCAGAAACAAAATTATACACTGGCCATGATTATCCCCCTTGCAATGAGTCCACGGCGCGAGACCCTCTCCCGTATACTACGGTTGGTGACCAGCAAGTGAAAAACAAACATGTGAAAAACGATTCGTCGGAAGAAGATTTCGTCCATTGGAGGAACGAGCAAGACCAGGTGATTCCGGAACTTAAGCTTGTTCATCAAGCTATGCAGGTCAATGTGCGTGGAGGCAAGATGCCAAGCAAGTCGCATGATGGAAAGGCATATATGCTTTACCTGATAGAAGTTCCGAGTGTGTTGTTGTCGGGTTAAGTATTAGGTAGTGTCTCAAGAGGTTGTGAAGATATTGACCAACTAGGAAATTTACATGGGCATTTTGGTGATGCTGTAGTATCCGATCAAAACCAATAGATTCCTACTGAAAACTTGCTACCTAGCTCATCTTCCCCGCATAGTTCATTGGCTAACGAGTCGGCTCCCGTTGCCCTCATCCCGATCCCCTCCCATCAATATCTAACCTCTGATTCTGAAGTACGCCTCCTTGACTTCTTCGCGAGTATTCATGAGACCAAGCCATTTGAAGATCAACGGGTACTTATCAAGCGAGAGACCAGCGAAAGAATAGCTGCGCACCCAGGGCTCAAAGTGATAATCAACAGCGGTTATACGACCAGGAATGATGCTTTCCCCTCCACTTTTCTTCAGCTGACCCTCGAGAACATCATAGCATCGGTATGCCTGGGCTGTGTATCTTTCAAGCGCATTCTCGTTCTTCTGGGCGTTGAAGTGTCTAGACAGGTATTCATCAGCACTGTTCAGGACTTTCCACACCTCTGTCACGTACTTGAACCAGTTCGTCTGTCCCATCATCGGACCTAAGGTCGATAACAAGAAATACTCCCACTTCTCAAAATCGACCAAATCTTGCGCAGAGTCTCCGGAAGGGCCGATCGTGTTCCCTTTGTCATAAACGCGGCGAATGTAGTTCATGCATGCGCCGGATTCCCACGCGGTAACCCCTGTGTTGGGATCTTCAATGGCAGGAACTCTTCCATTCTCATTAATTTTGAGAAAGGTTGCACCTTTCACGCCATTTGTTGGGTTATCACCAAAATCCCACTGCTTTACTTCGTATGGTACGTGAAGAGCCTCCAACGCCATAGCTACCTTGACCGGGTTTGGACCGGATGAGTGAGCGTGCAGAATGAGGGGCTTAATGTGACCAGCCATTTTGCAAAACTTTGTGAATATGACTCCTCGCAACAAGTTTTGGATTCAAATATCCTCAGTGGCTCGAGATCGAAGGGCAAGATGAGCTAGCCATGATGTAAGCTTTTCGGCATATCTTTGATTGGGCCTTGGAAAGCAAGTGACAGGATGGAATGTGTACCTGATACAGCGAGCACTTGGATCAGAAGTAACTGTACAGGCGATGAATCCTAGAATAAGAGCTTTCAAAGTTCAGATTCTCCCACTTTCCCCACGCAGGATGGTGGTCTAATTTATAGACCTCTGTTTCTGTGAAAAGCTTCTATACAATGCCTCTCTCGGGTAAAAACTCTCATTCTAGAAAGCTTCAGCCATTCTGCAGTGAGAATGGAACCGTCTAAAATCCGTTGGCAACGAATAGATTAATGGCTTCATGGCCACAGGCCTCGATTGCTGACTGCATGACTTCGTATGTGCCAAATAAACAGTATGGACTTCATCGGCCAATTGAATCAACTACCCACGGATAGCTATGAGCCCTGTAAACCAAGAGCTAATGGCAGCATGTAGCTACTGAGCAGTATGTCTTCGCAGATATGAAGCTTGGTTTCATGGATGCTGTGATGTAGCTGCACACTGACATGCAGGTATCAAGTAAGTATCGAACTCATCTTATCTGGCTTTAGTTATGGCAATTTCAAATGATAGAGTAGATGTAACTTTCACGGTGGTACTTGGTTCAATCAGCTCCTTTTAATTCCTTGAAGATCAGGATACCAAAGTAGCAACTGGTCAGGTCGTACAACGCTCTGTTACACCGGCCCGACGCATACCTAGACTGTGCATCCGGGGCTCATTTTCCCAAACGGAACAGTACATGCTGCTTCTCTGTGATTTAGTTGCATGCTTTAGGACTGATTAGAAATCATCCACATCACAAATGTTGAGATCGGATATGTTCCCCGCAAAATTGACCCTATACCGGAACTCGGGTTAGCAGGGGAATGGACGGTGACACAACGATTGAAGCTCTTACTGGCCCGTTCCCAAATATTCAAGACATGAACTCCAATGAAGACGTGTCGAACCTTTTCAGTTGTCTAATTGGAAGGTAGTTCAAGCCAGTGGACAAATGCCAACCTTTTCCATAGCTCTCGGGGCGAGTTGAGTCGCTAATGCCGTTTGAATCCGTGCCACTCTACCAAGAACACAAATCCGGGAGAATACTTGGGCGCGGGACAGGTCCACGTTCTTCAAACCAGCAATTCCTAGCCCAGCGCCCATTCAATTGTCGGGTTGGACTACTGGGGGCGTATCGGATACGAGTAGGAGCTCCCGGAGTCAAATGTCAATCGTATTTTTTCAAGGTGAATGCGCCCCATTCTGCGTGAGATATGTCCCGTAAAATGCTATGATTATCGAATGTGAAATAAAAATGCAAAAAAGTCGTCAATCCAATCTTCATGAACCCTCGATGGCAACTGCGGCAACCAGAGCATCAAGGGCAGAGCTGTGTGTTGATGCGTCTACCGATGCTTGAATGGGGCCAGCCCAGTTTACACCGAACTGGTTCCGTTCATTCCGGTCATTATCCCAAATGCTGTTTGCACTTCTGTTGATCACGTTGCGGTAAATGTCATTCGGAGACACCTTCTGCAACATTGCGAGGTTGCGGACAAAGATTCCCTTAAACTGTGTACCGTCTGGAAGACAATTTGGCTCACAATGCTCGTGTAGCACGTCGTTCGAGTCTGTTAAACTTGCAATGGCTGCCTTTGCAATTCGGTCGGCGGCAGGCAAATATGTGTCATTGGGTGCCACTCTGTTCAGCTCGACTAGCCCACCGAGAACAACTCCCTGGTTGTAAGTCCACCTGAACAAGGTCAGAGTCCGAAGGGAGCCAATTGAAGTGTGGAAAAAAAGCTTACACAGTATCGCCATTATTCTGGCAATTCTCTAGGAGTCCATCGTTGATGGTACCGTTTTCTCCCATAAATCCCTGGGCCGCGAACCAGTTCCATTCTTTCTGTGCCCAGCTCACATAGTATGATTTTCGGTCGGTGACTCGATTTGCGAGATGCGCAGCGACAGAGAGGAAGAGCTCGTTTGTGATCGAATTCACATACGTGCTTGTGGGATTCCAATGAATACCGCCGCCACCACAATTGGTTCCCCACGCATTCGCCTAGATCAATCAGTCAATGCGCCATAGAAATGCGTCCCATTCCAGACATACCAGGTTGTCAAAAATCCCCTCAGCAAGTTCGAGGTAATCATGCTCCTTTGTAATGTCATATGCGGCAATCCATGCCAGAGCCCACCATGCATCATCATCGAATGCATTGGCAAGCCATTGCGTGGCGTTGACAGCGACGGGTGCTTGATTATCGCCTGTGAACGCGACTCTTGCCTCACGCACGGGGTTGGGATTCGATCTTGGCCCCACGTTGAAAGTATTTCTGAAAACATATGTCGCAGTGTCTATCACGGATAAATCCAAAGCAGCTAGATCAGCAACTGTGGTCATGCAATTTGCGCCATCCCACCATCCAGTAGTATCCCAAATTCCACTCGACGCGTTGTACCAGCCTTGGAGGACCTCGAAGGATTCGTGGGCCCTGGAGTGTGCATCATCGGCAATGGCATTGCCTGTCAAGAGTAGAGAAACCAGTGACGGGGCCAGGAGACTGGAGCGTGAAAACAACATGGTTGAAGGATGTTAGTGCCAGAAAACGTACACAATTCTCCCTGCCCAGATATCAACGCTCTCATCAGCAGCGCATTCCATCTTTAAATATGATAGCCACGATAATCCTGTATTGATGCTTGGACACGTAGCTGCTTGTGCAAAACAACTGCACATTCCTGCACCTGATCTTGTACCTTGATTGGCGATTCAGAGGGGGTGATCCACTATAGCGCATCGCTCAACTCCTGATCTGCAATGATCGGCTTTTCGTTGTGAGACTGAAACTCTGCTAAACTCGCGATTCTGCATGGTTTGCATGGTCGGTCATCCAAGGAACCAGCCTTGCAGAAGCACCGGTCCGATCTCAGTCGAGTTATGAATGCCCCTAATTGACGAGGCCAATTAGCGCTCTCACTAGGGACATTGCTAGTTATACCAGTGTCAATGACACCGCCATCCCTTGCAAAGCGAATCCATGGACTGGTTATGAGAGTTCAATGGAGAAACAGAAATGAAATTCGGATAATTCAGAAGTCCGACAGGGGCTCGCTCAACGTCCGGCTTGCGATCAGTGACACCTATTGACAGCGCAACGAGGCTCAAGCCTACATCACAAGGTCGAATGCGGTATTGAGATCTTGAGTTTGTGTTCCAGCACCTGGACATCGCCAAGTACGGCAGCCTAATATGCGGATGTTTGAGACATTGGATGCAGCGCGTACGGAGTACAAATCGGAGCTATCAGTTGACTGACGTCAGCTTCAAGGTTGTCATCCCCGTGGAAGCCAGGTGTCTTGGCGACTCCTGCATCTGCGTGGCCTTGGACCAAAGGGAGAATTCCCTCCATCTTCCCTGTGTCCACACTCGCAAAGGCAGTTGGCGGTCAGACCACTGCGCCGTTTTCTCGTTTCACTCCAGAAGTTGGCACCGCATTGTCTGTTGCCATGAGACAAAGATATCGGGTGGATCTTGTAGTCAGTCACAATCACATCACCCGGCATCTGGTTGCTGCATCTCGATGCATCATGAGAAAAGGCCAAGGTAAGTACGGAGTATTGGGCATTAACAATGGAGAGGCCTGCTAGCCAAGCGAACCAAGAAATTTGGCATCCCTTCTTTCGCCGCGCTCCGAGAGAGGGCTGAAACTGGTTTTCTGTGACACATCAAGTCAAGCAGGCAGTTTACCCTTAGCTGACGAGTCAAAGGAAGTGAGATTCAAGGGAGAAGAGGGGAGCGAGAGGAGCAAAAAAAAGAAAAGCAGGTCCGGTTGCAGATCGGCTCCTTCCACTCCCCAGGAACTTCTTCCAGCACTTCTTTACTACACACCATTCGTTTCATATGCGTCGTGAGGCTACCAAATTTAATCTGTCAGGACAATTTATGCCTTGCGAAAAATTACCCCTTGGCGCTTTTGTTCTTCACTTCTACTTCACTCCCCCACAATTGTGCTAATTGACTATTTGAGGGGTGACTTCTGACTCACAGGACCAAATCGAATAGTCTATGAATTACCGCCATCCATGTGCAACAGATTTCAAAGACATCTACTTGTACGCATCTCACATCTCCTCTAAACAGTGGTGCTCCATCCCCGAAATCCACAATGGCCATGAGTCCCACTACTTCGACGCCCAGCGAGCCCACAATGCAAACAGCAACCGTCGAGGATATAGCTACCATCAAAGCTATGGTCAATGCCGCATACTCAGTATACGTGGAACGAATGGGAAAGCCACCGGCGCCAATGTCCGAGGACTGGGCACAAACTCTCCAAACCCACAATGTTCTCGTTCTAAGAGACAACAACCAAATCGTCGGGTCTATCACGTTCCACGTCGCCCATGAATCCAACTCCCTCAAAATTGATAATGTAGTTGTACATTCGGATATGCAGGGCCATGGTTATGGTCGTTTTCTCATCAAGCACGTGGAAACGGAAGCTCAGCAACACGGGCTTCCCAGCGTTACTCTGTTTACGAACGCGAAGATGATTGAGAATATCGGGATGTATAGGCGAATGGGCTTCGTGGAGACGGGAATGCGAGTCGAAGAAGGATTCGAACGTGTATACTTCTGCAAGAGACTTTAGAACTAATGGAGTGAGCTTGTTCTTCGATTCTTGAACTGTAGTTGGTGTCTTTCTACCTTGACAGTGATCATGAAACTTGGATCAATTTGTGCTTTTTAGAACAAGAGTCACGTTTGGTTTCATGATCATGACTAACAGCATGCAAACTTCATCGTGTTGATGCGAGACACTTGGGCACTAGTATCTCAGGGATTATTGCACATCGATGTCCTCAATCAAAAATTTTGGTTTAAGTGCGGGAAGTGCAAGCATTCAATGCACCACTCTGAATCAAGCATTAATATTCAAACTCAGACATACTTGCAGTTGGAAAAGAATAGATTCAGCCAATAAGTACTCTGTATGCCTCCACGGGAACTGGCATGTCCATTCAATGAGAGCCAGGTTTCAACGAGAGGTGAAAAGTTGAAAAATGACGCCAATGAAGAGAGCTCTATGGACAAGATTTGGAATTTACGTATGGGGGTTTTCGCGAAAACGGCTCCTTGCTTGAATACAATGGCGGTCGATTTGTGAAAGTCTATACGCCATGATTCCGTCCACAAAAATGAGACATTATGACTTGCTTCGGCATTAATCCGAAAGTCCATAATTAAACAGAAAAGACACAACTCGTAAGTACGTACCCCGTAAGCAGAAGAACCTTAAGGTCAGCTTTGTGCGTAAGTGTTCTGGATGCTTGTAGATCCGGAGTAGCCCGATCAGTTGCCGAAAAAGGAAAAAGTACATTGTCAGGGGGGACAAAGCTTCCAGTCCAATAGTGCAGGTTGGTTGCGCCGAGGGAGATCGGTATTAAAAGCGCCAACTCGACCCAAGAGACAAGCTCGATCGAAGCACGAACCATTCTCCACTATGTTTTTTCTTGGTGGGGACCTTTGCCATCGGAATTTCGCCTTTGGTTCGCCATTTGCCGAAAACCGGCCCCTCATATTCGTAGTTGGTCCTTGGTTTGGCGGTTGCTTATCACCTCCCGGATATGGTCAATTCTTCAGCTTTAGGTATTAGGGAAGGATTTTCGTTGTGATGTGTGGTTCATCTTGAATGCTGGCGGTTGTTTCCGCCGTGCTTTACTGGTTCGCCAATGAGTCTCTCCCGTCAACACACATCGAATGAGGAGATGCTCCGAGAGTCTTGTCATTCAGTATTTTTGTTTTCTTGGATTGTGTCAAGGCGTGATGGCAGATCGAACGTGTTCTGTCGAGCTCTGGACCTCGTGGCTCAGGTAGACCAGGGGTTCACCTGGATTTGAGGCGCCGATTATTGACTGCCCCGGCGACTGATCAACATTAGGTGATGCCTAAGGCGGATTCGCCATATCAAGGGGCACAAGTGTAGAAATTGAAAGCATTAGATAGTCAATGGGAACCATTCTAGTTCCTATTGAGAAAGTGGGGTTCGTTCTTTTGTAAGATTATATACAGGTTCTGTCATGAGAAGATAAATGGTAGAAGTGAAGAGACATGAAGAGAAAAAAATGAGTGATAGAAGGAGAGAGAAGGAAAAGGGACATGATGTGGTAACAGGAATCATAAGAGAAAGGTATACATGGGTATCCATGAGAAAGATGACAAAAGTAGGACAAAATCCTGCATCAACAACATTGCTTCACCGAAATGTATATATGGCGAGTCATGAATGTCTTGGGAATAAATAGTATGAAGGGGAAGAGAAAAGAAAAGATGGTCATGGGATAATTCATCGGCGCCATTGGTTATGAGGCGGCATTTCAGAGGGGAAGTCCTCTTTACTTGAGCGCTCGCTGGAGCCTTCATCGGGGAAGGCAGGCTCGTGTGTAATCTCGATCGTCGTCTCTTGGTACACCTTTCCAATAGGTGCCATTTCATGGCCATGCTCCATAGCATGGGGGCTGGGCGAGACAATGTTATCCGTTGATCCATCGAGATCATCGTTGAAAGTGCCGCCACCCATCTTGCGCTTGGGGTCTGCGGTGATGGTAGTCAGGTGAGTGTCTCCGCGCTTGCCCTTGCTGCTGGCAAACTTGTTGTAAGAGCGATCATGGCTAGGCTCGGAATCGATAATCAGGGCGCGACGGGTGAGCGTGTACAGAGCCACATCGACCAGGCCGGAACTGGTAATGATTGCACCGGCACAGCAGAGGAAGGTCAAACTAGGAGAGTCTCCATTCGCAGTGGCCATACGACCTGCGGCGAGAGGGAGTGACAGCACAATGTAGACGATTGGGTAGATGGTCATGTATCCGACGACGCGGCGCAGGCGCTTGAGACTCTCCAGTTGACTGTTTCCGAGGATCGAGGAAGCGGCGATTTGTCGGCGCAGCTGGAAGTACATGACAGCGTAGAGAGCAACCGTGCCGAATTCTGCGACGAAAATCCAGATGTAGTGAGTCCACAGACGGGTAGTTTCGTATTCTTCACTAATCCAGCACCAGGCACCGGAGGGCACAAAGACATCCCCACCATGCATTGCCAATGGGATGATGACCATGACAGCCACGAAGGCCCAAACGCCGACGACGAACCAGACGAAGAACCGGTAGGACATTTTACGTCCCCAAACGACCAAAAGGAATGTGTGAAAGGCGATGGCGAGCACAAACAGACCACTGCCGGGGTCTCCGATCTGCAGCCAGAGCCCTTGGAGGAAGCATCCAGCGCTACCGGACTTGATTTTATCGGTCAAAATCCATCGTAAACAGATGATGAATGCGAGTGATTGTTGGAAATCGGCCAAGACCAGGTTGTAGATCAGGATAATATACTGGTTGTAACCGATGTATCGCGAATAACTGCCGCGCCAGAAGACCAGACGATAGGTGATGAAACCAAGAAGGGTTGCTGTTGCAATAAGAGACAAGAGAGCCATAACTGCAATTGCGATCAAACCTCGTTTGTGATTCTCTGGCAGTGGATCGATATCGAGTTCATGGGAGCTGTACAATCGTGCTGCTATGGAGCTCTCTTCTCCTTTGGGCATTAAGCCCATAAGAATTAGTGAAGACATTCCGGAGACGTCGGTATAGTCAATCCTGGTCCCCAAGAGTCTGTTATCAGTGCCTAGCGGTATGCGCCCGGTTGAGTGTTGAGCAAGGTCGGTGGGCTCGGATCAGTCCTCCGGGTTTCGATGGCGAGAGCTTAAGGTGGAGGCGAAAGAAAATGAATGAAAGCCAGGACTGGACCCACGCTAGAGCTTCCCAATAGATTGGAAACAGGGATGGGGGGAGAAAGCAAGAGACAAAGAGGATTGGGAAAAATGGAAAGCTGCATGCACGAGTAGTTAAAAGGCAGATCCAAAAGAATGAGCAGCCTCACGACAGGGGAGTGATTGAACTTTATTTTTGATAGGCCCAAACAGAAGAATTCCTCAAATTATTCAGCCCTTTGTGTGTCAATGACTACTCACTAGGTTCTCCACGTAGTTTGATTCAGGCGTGCAATGATCGGTGGGAACGAAATACTCGTAGGGGACCGACCAAGAGAGGGATCTCCATAATACATGCTACTTCACGGTCCAGTGCCGTAAAGAGCTGTCGATACTCCACCTTTAGCCGCGTTAGGTACATTAGCTGCCTGGAAGTTGGCTTTAGCCCATCTTAGGACCATCACTCCCCCTCCCAAGGTATCGGGTTGAGTGGATTAGGGGGGCAAGGTTTTGCCACGAGACGTCGAATAAAACGGCGGAATTGTTTAGCTTAGATGGCTTGCATACCCACTTGTCGGCCAAGCCGTACTATCTGGTTAGCACCTGCAATTGCACTAATGAGGATACTGTACGAGTACACCCGTTGCCAAACGGTGTTGCATTAAGAGCGAAAGAACCCCAATTTTGAGATTACAAGAACTAGGCAAATTACGAATGCGATGTTCTCCGCGTATCACCAGGGCTGAAGAACTCATTGGTCTCTTTGGAGTAGGGGGGTCCCAGATCGCCGTCTTGCGGGTGCTGCAGGGGCAATGCTTCTGGAACCCTAGTCCGGGAATTTACTGCGGTGGTCTCTGCGGTAGTACAGGTAATTTTGCACACTTTTCCAATTACCCACAACGACAGAAGTCACTATTTTGAACCGCGCAACAGCACCTTTTGGTACAGAGAGAACTGACAGATCGGCATGACTTGAAACGATGTGGCCCAGAGACCCTCGAACCTTGGAGGGAGGAGTGTATTTCACCCCGCACACCCGTATCCGGTTGCCGGCATAAGCAAAGGGACTCCACGGAGAAATGCACGGGGTTTCTAGAAAACAACGTGTCGATCGCGTGGTTGAACAAAAGTCATTATTTGATAATTGTGGGGTGTCCCCCATCTTGGCGTTCCTATTGGATCTGTACAAGCTTTACTCCACTAAAAGGTGCCTCCAACCATAAATTGCCTCAGTTTGGGAATGGAGACAGGCGGGAGCTGACCGAACTCAGGTTTTTTTCCTTTTCTTTTAGCTGGAACTGTCTGGTTTCATCTTCGCCATGGTTCAATGAGCGGGTACGAGTACTAGGTAATCGGTGACTGGTTTGTTGTTTGTTGTTTGTTTGGTATATCCTTTGAGACCCCTATTTGGACCATATATCAGCCACATGTTCCACCTCGAATAAACTTGTCCAAGGCAGACTAGACTACGGAGTACGGAGTACTCGTACACTAATTGATGTTCGGTAGGATTGCAACTGACTAGCGTGGGCTGGAAGTGGATATTCGCCCCCCAAGTGGATGTGATCGTCAATAGAAAATCATGGAAAGGATGATTACGCACTTTCCACCGTCAGTTCTAGAGCCGCTAGCAGCGATCGTGGAGATGAGAACAACTCACGGTCCGCTCAAAGGAATGTACTCCCCGAAAGAAGCGGAACACTGGATCGGATCTTCCGTAGGATACGTCGGTATACGCCTGCTACTCAATAGACTTACCAAGCACAAATCATGACCGAGTGTCTCAGATTTCCGATACTCGATCTCAGGGGTAAGTCGGGAACATCCGAGATTCAAAGGAGTACACGGTCTACAACGCGGTACTCTTGCTTGCCAACTTCCGAGGCTGTCGGAGTACCGAATCACCGCAGTCAAATAGACACTCCCTGTAAGGACAATATCCCCCACTGTTTTAGCCAAGCAACGCCCACGTTTGCCCCTGGACTCGGCGTTAGGGGATTTAATCGCCGTGTTCTACTGGCGAATGACGGAGGACGGAGTATAATCCAACCGGTTAGGCTTCGCCTGCTTTTTTCTCTCTTCTTAACGCTAGTAACTACTCGTACAGATCGACGGGGCAAATTCCATTCGTTCAGACTCGTATGTAAACCACAAACTGCGTAGGCCAAGGCTCGACTGTCAAAAAGACCACCAACTAAGCAGAGAGTGGCAAAGCTTAAGTGACCTCAAAACTTAGTTGCCTTCTTAACTCCATTGTTTCTATACCTGTCTAGCCCATATTGGGGGGTTTCCCGGCTGCCGGTATCAAACCTTGCCGTCTTCAACCTTCTTTTACGCCTCTCCTGACACCGCGCGATTAGGCCAACTGTCAATAGTCCAGTCCCACTTCACTCCAATTATCAAGGTTCAACTTTGTTCCGCGCAGAAAATTTCCCCCTTTCCATATTTAGGTCATGGAGATGTTGATGAAGATAAAGTTATACTTCACCTCGTTTCGAGGTCCACTATAGGATCAAACGGAGGCAATTCTCAATATCAACTCGGTCACTCCCATCGTGAGATTGGAGATCCTGTGCTTTGGTGAGATTACTCGCAGGCAAAGTCCACTTATTTCTTGAACTTGCCCCCGCTTAGCGCCTTCTGTGAGCCGTGCACACAAGACACTTGTCTCCCCATATTTGAGTGAGAAACTGCATGACTGGCGATGATGTCCAATGACAGAGCGGAGCCCCGATCTTGATCGCCTTGTTTTTGTGAATGCATCATCCCCTGCTCAGAAGTTTACGAGTAACTACTAACTAACTAGGACCAGCGCGTACCAAACATTTAATCCTCATGTTTAACCTTACCTAAAATCACACCCTGATACTTTTTATGATCAATAGCGCAAGATCATGTCTTTTAGATAACCTTTTCTTTAGTTAGACAGCCCATGACATCTGATGGCCTTCAGCCGCGGAGATTTACCATGGAGCCGGTAACTCTAGAATTGACTATTGAATGATGCGCCATGGGGTATGAGATGCAACTGTGCGTCTACTCGTACTCGTACACCTGGCCCGTGTTGCATGTGATCGCCCCGTTATCATTCTTTCAATAAGCAATATGTACGTCTTACAGGGTATTTTCAGACTACTCGTAATCGTTCTGCAATGTAGATCAGCATATTTCATGACGATTCCAACGCAAGGATCCCATGTGGCGGGATCGCATGCTCGTACGAGTACATATGTATGATCTCAACGCATGAATGCAGCAATCAGATTGACAGGTACGGTGAGCTTCAGGGATGCACCCCTGGCCCCACGGACTGCTCAATGCCCCTTGTAGATCTTGTTCCTTGGCACCTATAGATGATCTCCACTGACGGCGGGTGCATGTGAACATACCCAAGCGATAATCCAGGACGGTCCGACGCTTCCGTCCAGATACCGTTGTGGATAGGATGAACCCTCACAATTCATATAAATCTACCCGTGCATCTGATCTTCTTCGTTGACTGATCATTAATCGATGGAACAACGATAATCATGCAGCTGAGGCTCATAATTTGATGCACCGGATACTAAAACTGATATACATACCATGCACCCCATATTAGACCAAACTCCATGTGGAAGGTAGCATAAATAGAACCCCCCAAGGCAATCCACACACTTTACTACATGCGTATTCGTGCATTCTCCAGGGCTAAAGCTCAAATCAACGGGTACACTACTCGGCAAATAGTGCGAGTTGATACTCCGAACTATGGTGGGTCCCTGGAAATGGCACAATAATCTACTTCGCAAATCAAACATGGCCGACATGTAAATCATTGAGGAGCGGATTCCACTTCCATTCTTAGACATAGTACTCGTATGTACATATGTACGAGTACTATTTTGTGATTGTTTTTGAATTTGAGTTGTCGTCGAATGAAAATTTTAGAGAGCTGTAGCCTATTTCATATGTTGATATGTACTAGTATGTCTACGTCTACAGGACCTTAGAAGGACACCTGGCCCCTACAGCTAGAGAATTGTAATCATATCGAGTCTAACGCAAACTCTCTAGACAGAGGAAGATGGGACCTCCCTACAGCTCCAGAAACTGAAAGTACTGACCTGACATTTGAGCATGAGACGACTTCTCACCTGAATTTTGCAGTTATCAATGAAAGCTCTTTCGATCTCTAGATGCTGGTCTGTCCTTGGGAGAGAATCAGGACACTGGCTAGGTACTTAAGTAGTACTTAAGTAACTAAGAACCTTGGAATGATCTTGGGCTGAAGCCCATACTTCTAGTTATATTTTATCTATAGATGGAATCAACCTTGGAAAGTTGCGCTCAGTCTACAGGTCGCCTAAGTAGCGCTGCCCAGGTGTGTGTTCAAGTGCCATACAACTTAGAAGTCTGTACCTAGTATCTCCTGGCACTATCTGTTTCTGACTTTAGAGTTGTCTCAGTCAACATATTCCATGCATCAAGCTCGGAATGAGGAAAAAGGCGAAACAAGTTTAGAATGGCAAAACAATGAACAAAGATCCTAGATTCTGACGCGTTGGGCATTTTTTCTAGTTGGGAATCCTTGGAAATAGAAAAGGGAACGAACTTCTTATGTTGTTGGGTTCTATATACTCTGTGTGAGGGTATATATTCTTCCCGTTTCACTGCCCCAAATTCCCACCTGCGATCCCAGAATTTACACAGAATGATATTTACTCAAGTACTTAAGTAGTACCTTGGTATCGTAGTCTATAGGTGTACATCTTTAGAACATTATCGGGAACCTTGGAGATTCAAAGCAGAAGGTATCCATGGATGCTTTCAAAACAAATTAGATATCCCCGATATCCCAAGCGAACAATGAAGATTTCGACTAACCACCACTGCACCAACGACTCCATGGAAAATCACTTTAACTTCTAGAAGATTGCAATACCAGACGGCCATAGCTTGGAACACTTAAAACTTTCCTTCCATCAAGGATTCAATGTTGTTCCGAGCTGGCCGGGGCAGCCAAGATCCCCACGTCGTATAAGAGACTAAAAAGCCCACAACGGAGCAAAATCCGTTGAAGGCTAGCTTAGGTGACACCGGGGTTCGAAAGTGTGCAACCTAAGTAACAATATCTTCTAACGGCGTGGGTCATTTGCAGGCCGCGCTTGAGCATTGTGTAAGAGTACGGAGGCATCGGACGCGATCGGTTGAGGGACGGGCCGATTTTGAAACACAGAGGAAATGCTTGGTCCTACTCGATGTCTGGATCGTAAATCCAGAGTGTGCTCTTCTCATCTACGGGGTTCTGATCCACAAGTGCTGCGACGGATAACCTTGGAAGGTCTTTACACCTACCTCATCGAGCGACTGATATTATTGCATTGGTGACGACGTGGTTTTAATTGTGACGTTCACCTGGGCGTTGGGAATATTGCGATTCAGGGGTATCTTTTGACAGGTCTGTGGAGCCTCAAATCCACATGGCGTGTCGAATATATGAAGGTCAAAGACATTGTTCACACCGACAACAATTCTGAAAAGAAGCCTCGCAATGCAAGGAAATCGCCATCATAGCGACCTCGGGATAAATGGGATTGTTGGCATAGCCCAGGTTGTCTCAGTTGCTCCATGTCGCACCCTGCGTAATGCTATTTTGTGTCATGGCCCAAGCTCACGCTTAGGAGTAAAGAAGCTCGTGGCATTCATCAATCATAAAACAAACATAGAGGCCATAGGCCATCGAAAATAAGTGCCAAAATCAAAGAAACGTAAAGTGAGAGAAATCAAAGTGCAAAAACCAAAAATCCAGGATGACAAGCGGGTATCATGTGTTCGTCCATTGCCGTTAGCAACAGTATATCCATCTCCCATGCAATCCTAAGCTTCCTCAATGAAATAAACGCTGTACGTCGTATCGTAAACTGCCAACTCAATCCCCCTACCTTCGTCGCGAACCACGCGAGTCCCGATGAACAGGCGACCGCTCTTCTTCCTCGTCTTCTTCCTCCACGGGCGCAGGCGTGCGTCGCTCGGTTCTTCTCTTCGGCCGACGACGACGGTTCGAGCTAATGTTACTCGCCGAGTCATCTGGCGCAAGAGAACGGTCATCATCGAGGAAGTCATCCTCACCACTTTCCCACCCTCCAACGCCAGAGAACGGAGTTCCCATACGAGCTTCGACGTGGGAGCCGCGCCGGCTTTGGTTGGCGACTGCCAGGCCTGCACCGCGCTCGCGAAGCGCCCGACGCACGACTTCGGCTTTGAGGTGTAACGCCTCGAATGCATCCTCGAGAGCTTCCATGCCTAGGAAGATGTCGCGCTCGACTTCGGCTAGTGCGGCTATTTCGGTCTCCTCATCCAATGCGATTGGACCCCCAAACGAGGCTGCTGATGATTGACCACCATTCAGCTGACTGGACGGTCGGAAACTTCCGTCCATATAGTTAGGCGTTGGTCCTCGAGAGATACCTCCACCCAAAGGCGTGTTTGAACGACTACCGGATCTGCCGGAGCCCCCTGTATCTTCTGCGCCGCTACGAAGGAAACCATCAAAGCGCCCAGAGATCAGGATATCCCACTCATCATCACTGATTGCCGATAGGGTGGCGAGGACGTGATGAAGACTGGGGTTATTTAACATATACATAGCAGTATCAGGGTCGCGAGGAAGAGTAGAGAGTCGGTAGAGACGCTGAATGGCCGAAGCGGATGAGACAAGGGAGGAAGGTTTCGGTCGGGGCTTTTCGTCGCCAGATCGTGGGACAGGAGTGGAGGAAGTAAGGCCAAGCAGCGAGCAAAACAAGGAGCGCTGGTGCGATTCGAGGTGCGTGAGCATGGCAAAGGTTAAGGTCTCATCGTCGACCTCGTTGGGAGCACTGGTGCCTGTATCATTTTGCTCTGAAAGCCATTTATCAACAGCGACCTTGGTCTTTCGAGATTGCCGAATGAAATGCTCGCGGTACTCTTCCGGAACGTCAATGTCAAGTTTCTGCATTGGCACGTGCTCATCGCCCGATGCACCGGCATCCACGGTGTTTGGTGCCATCGTAAAAGGGGGCCACATGGGTAGTTCCCTGCGGCCAGACACCAGCTCCAACACCTCACCCCAGCTCACTCCGTCCGGTCGGTCGTCGGGCTCCGCGCGCACACATATCTGACAACTGCACGGCTCCGAGGAGATGTCGCGCGCGAAAACAGCCTCCAGCCGATCCAGCAACCGCCGAGCGACAGATCGATAACCCGTCGCTACCGCGAGAGACCCATTTTTGTGCATGACCTTTTCATAGTCATCGAGCAAGCGGTTATAGGGATCGAAGATCTTGCCAGCCACAGATCGAGACTGGGGTTGCCCGGGCGCGAAGGGATCCGCCTGTCCCAAGCTAGCCAGCAGTGCGCGCGAGACTTTGTGTTCCAGCCCGCCGTTCTTCAACAGATAATCGACTCGAGGGATAGTGGCAGGCATTTCGGGCGGAGGCGGCGGCGGCGGAGGTGCGCCGAACGCGTTCGGGCTTGGTTTGATAAAGTCAATAGACTCGTCGCTGGGAATGCGACGATGGGACGCGGCCGATCGGGTCTGGGTCCTGGAGGGAGGCTTCGTTGGCGGGGTCGTTGGTTTTCGTGGCACCGAATACTGCTGGTTGGGCGCAATGGAGGTCGCGTCAGACCCGTTGGGCGACCCTGCATCCTCCCGAATGGTAACGTTCGATTGTGAGGCGGACATGGTTGAGCGACTCGACCGTTTGGGCAGCTTCTTCTCCTCGGTGGAGGACTTGGATTTGGACTTGTGCGTGGACGAACGGGGTGAAGGGTCCCGCTCCTCCTTCTCCTTGGAGCTTTTGGATCTCGTGGGTGTTTCGGTGCGCGAGGTCTTGCTGGTTTTGGACTTGGTGCTGTCATCTCGTTTCGACTTTAGACTGGAGGAAGATCTGTTGACCTCCGCCCGAATTCTGATACTTGGTCTCTTTTTTGTTTTTTCGGTTTCGTCGTCCACGACACTTCCCTTCCGCGACTCCTGGTCTAGGCCGGTCAGCGGTGGGCTGGGCGGCGCATGGTGCTCGCGGGTAGTCTTCTCATTGCGCTCGGTCAAATCGGTCGCGTCTGGAGTAGGAGGGTCGCCTTTTCGCACATTTTCCTTGCTGTGTGCCTTGGAGAAACTTGGGTAGGGTAAACTGGACCTGGACTCAAGGAACGAGGCGGTCCCTGTTTGACTGGAGTCGAGTCCAGGCATTGAGGAACGGCGGGCCGATGACTCTTCTTTTCGGGAACGTTTTGTTTTCGACTTCCTATCGTCTCGATTAGGTCTGACTGGGAACATGTCGAAAGTCCGCTCGGGCTTCGTTCGGTTTATATCGGTCGCCCGTTACCTGGTCGTTTTCTCCCTTTGGGAGGAGGGGATTTTGTTCCTATTTTCGTCTCCCAATCACCTCGGGCGGTTAGGCTGATCAATTGTGAGTGGCTGTGAAATGCCCGGATCAGGCACCGGTGTTCGTACTGTACTTCTCTAAAAAAAGAAGAGAGAAGAGAGAGAGAGAGAATAGAGAGAAAGACACTAGCATCAAGTTTGCGGTGAAGGAACAATCTCAGCCCCGCTCGGAATCGGATCGAAGGGAATAACCTCGTGGTCCATGCTCTATACATTCTGTGCATGTATGGAGTACATGACATGTACTATTACTCTACTAGTACTCTACTAGTACTCTGTGGATGTTTCTTTTGCATTCACTAGCTATCAGCTATGTAGTCCGTTCTGGGCCTTGACCGGCGATGTCTCCAAGACCCAGTTCCCATCTTCTTCATGGGCTATCCCACCACTTCGGGCTGCTTTCATGGTCTGTTCACTTGCTGCTGTCAAGTCTCCTGTGTTGTGATCCCATGCCCATCCTTCCTTCAACCACATCCATGTAAGATAGGCACGTAACTCTTTATCCTGGGGCAACACACACTTCCATTCGGGCACAAATCCAGCCTCCTTGGCCCCCGTTCCTATCCAGTCCGTGGCCAATCCTCGTAATTCATCGCGACAAAAGATTCGCCAGCTGTCGAGGGAATAGGCCCCAACTCCTGGTAGATGTGCAACTTCCCACGCAACACGTAGATCTTCTGCATCAATACATTCATCGCGACCCACGTTCCGGCCATCATATTCTCGCGGGTAGTGGATCCTTCGGTATCTCTTGTGTGGGGTTGGGGGATCTGTCAACCAAGTTTGGGCCAGGGTGATGCATTTTCGGGCACGTTGGTTCTGGAACCCCAGACATCGGATCATGGACACCAAATCAGACTGGGTTGCGCTTGCCATCGCCTCGATCGTTGGGTATCGTTCAAATACTTGAAACAATACCGGTAGGGCAACGCCCCCTCGGGTACGATTCAGGAAAATTGTGGCAATAAGCAAACGGAAGGGATCGTGTGCCAGCTGTTCCTGTATGAGGCCAAACGAAGGTGCATAAATTGGAGGAAAGGGGAGGCATGATTCGGGGTCAACCTGTGCAACTGGGAAATAGGGGGAAAGCTTTGGGTATCTGCGGCGTGGCGTTTGGGGAGTTGGAGGGAGATTTGGAAGGGGACAATCGGCGGTTCTCTCTGGGCGGTTCGGGACGCAGTCAATCTGTTCGGGTATCAAATGGGTGGGAGAAATAGGGCTGTGTTGTCTTCCAGGTTGAACGTCATCGCGTTGATCGGCTTTCGAGAAGTATTTTGATTTAACCTCATCACTGGGAGTTAAACCTGGCAAATCACTGGTTTTCAAAAATCCACATCCCACTCTACTGGGTTCTTGGAAAGAGGTGAAAAGTAGGATTTTGTTGGAGTCGATGTCGATTTCTTTTGCGGAGTGGAAGGCAAGTTTTCTTTCTCAACGGGCTGATCAACGCTCTTGTCGGTCTTGGCAAGACCATTGCTTGCTTTTGCCCGTGGGTTTGTCGATTTCTTCTGGACTGTGGTAGACGAATTCTCGTTCTGCACGGGCTGATCAACGCTCTCGTCAGCCTTGTCGAGACCCATGCTTGCTCGTCTCTTCTTCTCATTACGACGGGCACGCTTTCGCTGGTTCTTCGCCTTCTTGAATTCTTCCAGCTCATCTTTCGATCTCTTTGGGGGTTGAGATTTGGTATCTTGGTCAGCGAGAGTTTGCAGGTTGTCAGGAACCACATTGTCGGCTGGAGCTACTGCCTCTGCCGACTTTTCCGGGTCACCGAGGGTCGATTCCTCTAGTAGATTGATAATCTCGGGGAAGTTCGAAATATTGTCCTGCTCTGGAGTGGCCGGTTGTTCGAGTGCGTCGACAAACTCCTCATCTGGCGTATCTTGTTGGAATTTTACACGCTTGACAGGAGGGGTGACAGGATGGAGGGGCTTTTGTGCCTCTTCTTGCTCATCTGGCATGTCCTGCTGGATTCGTACACGCTTGACGACAGGGGTGGGAAGATCGAGGGGCTTGTGTGCGTCATCCTGCTTATCTGGTGTATCTTTCTGAATCCGTGCGCGCTTAACAGAAGGAGTGGGAAGATCGAGGGGCTTAATTGCGTCGTCTTTGGCGTTGATGAGATCCATTGGACGATATTCATTATGACAACAACGGCGCTAAACCACCTCAGGTTAGTAACGTAGGAATTAATCACAGATTGAAGGACTGGGTGTATTGTTACGTACCTTGCGCCTCCGACAATCAGCACAGGCAACTTTCTTCGGCTTCCTGGTTCCACTGGAGCTCATATCAGGAGTTTGGTGGGCGGTCCCTGCCGGGGTGCTCATGGCTGCCGGTTGAGTCTCTGGTGAAGTCTCGGCTCGTCGGGAGATCACTGGGGAAGAGGCTGCGCTGCGCCGTCTCTTCTTCGAGGCGGGTTGTTTGTCTTTGACCTCATCATTCACAGGTTGGTTGGGAAGTTCTTCCAGATCATTGATCTCATCTCCGAAGGTGGTAGCATTGCTCTCGGTAGGAGTAATTTCATGTTCCCAGAAGTAAGTCTGTCGCACGAATTCAACCAGAGAATCTACATAGGGCTGCTGGATACCCGCATCATTCGCAAGAGCAATCACTTCACTCGTGAACTTGGTTCTCTCCGAGGTCGTGACTGGGTGTTTGAGCATGAACGGCATCTTTGAGATAGCCACCAAGACCTCAACTCGCTTTTCTTTGCCCACAGAGGCAAAGATATGTTGATCTTCATAGTCGGGGGCCCACTCGTTTGAAGGTGCAGAGGTTGAAGGTGGAGGTGAGCGCGGTGCTGCGCTGTCCTCAATTCGGCTATCAGAGGTGGCTTGTACAGTCGACTCAGATGTGATGTCATCTTTCAGTTCACTCTGTCCCTCAACACCATCTTGCTCGTGTCGGGATTCTTCCATACTGGCTTCCTCAGACAAAATCTTGTCAACAGTGCGATCAAAGTAGTGTTCGTCGAATGGGTTGAGCGGATCGTATTCGAAGGACCGACAGGGCACAACCACAGCAAATTCAACTGGGGTGTCCATTGTAAGAACAGGTGCACAGCTGAAGACCGAAAATAATCAACTGTGCCAAAGGTTTGCAGGCATGTTCGGTGTCACTTGTAGATGCACCTTTTGGTAAGAACGGGTCAGTCATGAAGCTTTAGTTGGATGTTTCAGGGGGTTTTCATACCGCATATGCGTTCAGTTTAGAGCACAGAAGGTTAGATGAGATTGGAATGTATGCAATGAACTTTTGGGGTTCAGGCGCGGGGAGTCGCGTGGATGCGTGAGGGTGGTAGGAGGTTGAGGAAAGTGAGAGGAGGTGGAGAGATCTTATAAGGAAGGTAAGAAGTGAAGATTGGGTGAATTGCAAGATCACATCGCAAAAAACCATCGATCAGGAACAATCGGATGCATCACATCTTCAAATCGACTCTTCGCGAACAAAGACGCGTGTGTGCACGGACCATTCGATAAAGAAATGTGGGCTTACGGCCGCCTACAGTGGCCAGTCCGTTCTTTGAATGCCACATTAGTCCATCATTCTACACTGTTACTCTGTAGAAAGCTCTTCTTTCATTATCATAAGAACTTGTTTGCAGATCCTCCCTAACATGCACTAGATACCCAGGGAACTTCAGGATAGGAAGATTGGAATAATGCCCGGGAGCACGGAGTACGAAGTATAAAGCTGGAGGCACCTGGTTTAGCGCATCTTTCTTTGGACATATAGTGACTGTATAATCTTGTTCTATCTTCATTCTCCCAAGAGGGAGGCTATATACAAGTTTACTAATCTATAGTCTTAGCAATATCTATACAGAGTACCCAGCTGAGTCAAGTTGCCTCGGTTCACCAGCAGCATCAAAGGTCCCGTTAGGCAAGACCCGAATCAGTTGAGCACTGCTCTGTCCAGGCGCCACCCAAGTGACATTGTGGCCAAGATTTTTCATGAAGGCCACTGTCGAGTTGTCAAAATCGTACTCAAAGGTGACCTGGTTTGGCACCAGCTGATCATGCAAACGAGGTTGAGTCAAGGCCTCGGCAGCCGACAGGCCCTGATCGATCGAGCGGATAACGTTTTGGACTGTAGCGGTGATGATGCGACTGCCACCTGCAGAGCCAGCTAGCAAGAACAGTGTACCATCGGGTCGTTCGACGATCACGGGTGTCATGGATGACAGTGGACGTTTTCCGGCTCGAACGTAATTCGCTTCGGAGGGGATGTATCCAAATGAGTTGGATGATCCGGGAATGGAGAAGTCTGGGAGGCGAGCACATATCAGTCATTTTGATCCTGGCTTAGAGGTTGCTTACTCGACTTACCATCCATTTCGTTGTTCATGATGATACCTGTCTCTGGTACCATAACCCGACTGCCGAACAAAGTGTTGATCGTTGTGATTTCCGAAATCGCAAGACCAGTGTGGTCAATTGCCACGATATGAGAGGTTCCTGGACTGGGGATATATATGTATGAGCTTCATGTGCCAGCATTGTATAATCTCAAACGACTCACGTATCCAGGCTTTCCAATCCAGCTGGATCATAGGCTGAAACATTTTGAGTCCGAACATCCGAGATCTTTGATCGGATCTCGTCGATCGTAGCTTGATCCAGCATATCCGATTCATATTTGGGAATCCCATCCACAAACAACGGATCACCAAGGTTGGCTCTCTGTTCTCGAGTCAGCGCTGTTTCTACAAAGCGTGTCCCAAAAAAAATCATTCTTACCTGGCCATATCCGAATCGCATCGCTTCATCCAGTCTATGGGTGCTCAGATTCACAGCTTGTTCGTTGGCAAAGAGACCTTTATATGTCCCCACAATCTTGAGGATACTCAGAGCGACAACGCCACTGGAAGGCGCCGTTGCACTTGTGACCTTATACCCACGATAGTCAATATGGGACACGTTCCGAATCGCCACAGTGTAGTTCTTCAAATCGTCTAATGTCATAGTACCATTGGCAGCTTGCACAGCATTGATCATGGTCTCTGCGATAGGTCCTGAGTAGAATGCATCCGGGCCACGCTTCCCAATTGCTTCAAGAGTATCCGCATATCGGTGTCGGGTGATTTTATCTCCCAGCCCGAGTCGAGTTCCATTTGGAGCGAAGTCAATCGCCCAAGTCGGGTTCTTCGATAGGAAGTCTTCACCATCGCCGACTGCAGATTCCATGTATCTGACCAGATCTTTTCCGACGGTGAATCCTTCACGGGCTGTTCGAACGGCTGGCTGTACGAGGGTTGCCCATGGGAGAGTTCCATACTTTCTGTGGAGGGTCTCAAGACCTCTTATCTCACCGGGCACTCCGCTAGTAATCTTGTCAGCTTGGTAGAAACTTTTAACGGCAATACCCATCCAATCTTACCTTGCTAGGCCACCATAGACAGCTCCCTTGGTGTTATTTTTGAACATGTCTTCGAAGGCTGCCGCTGGGGCGGTTTCCCTAAAATCAATGAATTCATATGTGCCATTCGGTGCCCTGATGAGCATGAAGCCACCTCCAGAAATTCCGCTGTGATACATGCCTGTGCTACGTTAGTCATTCCTCGTTTGAATAGCTTGGTCTACTAGCGAAGTCTCACCGACAACACCAACGCAAAGATTGGTTGCAACCAACTGTCCTATCATCAGCCCCATTCATCCCAAATTTTAGCTGCGAAACTACCGGTATAGACTCACAGCATCGGCAGCATTGCCTCCCATCTTCAGGATATCCACTCCATGCCGAGAGCAGATAGCACTCTCACTGGCAATTGCTCCAAGCTTCCCAGGTGCGGTCTCGGTACGCAATTCCTGACCATTATGAGATTCCCGCTCGGAAAATTCCAGAGGCGATGTATTGGCCGTAGGAAGATATGTCACAATCAAAAAAAGCGATAAGATTGCGCATAGACTGAATCGAATTGGTTGTAGCATAATTAGGGCAAGGATAGATCGTTTTTCACGGGGAATTAACTGTGACTTCGAACAAGCCTCAGGGGCTACCGGAGTCTATCGAATTGTTATATAGACGTTAGTCTATCGTCGAAATGAGGGGAAGCCAAGCGGGGGCTCAGGGAACAAAGGATTCGAGATAGCTAGTTTACCTGTTTCTCCACATCTTGGGCGCCGATCTGGTACATATGCGGCATATCACTCACCGCGACCATTTAAAGTTTTGCTGTGTTGCATTCGACTTGGGTGGTAATGGCCTTGCGGAAACCCTGGGAAAAGAAGAAAAAGGGAAGATATGAGGAAACTAAGTATAAAATTGCCCCGGGATATCTCCCAAATTTGGGGGAAAGCACGCGATAGACTCACACGATAACGGGCACGCGATATCTCCGAGGTCCATAAGCGGGGACCGAGCGGGAAGTTCAATATTGGGGTTGTTGGGGTTATCGTCTTTGAAGATGGGATTGGGCCCATTTTAGTCATATTGTACATGGGTATCATATATTTTGGGACCTAGTGAACTAGTCTTCTCTCTCGGCGGCTTGTCGGATCCACGAGATAGTGTCCGCCCACTCGGGTGGTATGTCGTCCAGTGACTCTAAAGTAGCCAATACTAATCGACGACCCCAGTCACGTACGTACCAGCGATGGCACAAAAGGCGCATAGCTGTGCCATAATGCAGAAACAGAACACGGGCGATCCAGTCGCCGTTTTGGATGAGTGCTAAAAACTCGTCGGAGAGGAACAAGGGCCACGCAAGAGGTCCGCCCTGCGGTCCGATCTTGGGCCACGGTTCAATGGCTTGGTATAGCTGTTGCCAGTTAACTCGGTAGGTGGAGTGGTGTGGCCCTTTGTTCATATCAATAGTGGTGTGTAGTCGATCCAGCGACGTTATTATCTTCCTGTTGCAAGTATTAGCCAATGTCCGGTGTTGGTCTCAAATCACATACGCGTGAAGGTGAAATAAAATATTGGTATCCCCCGTGGGTGTGTCGTTACTGATATGTGTCAATATACAGCCACAGATGCGGTGAGTAATGTGCCATACTTCGTATGTGTTCCGTCGGGCAGACTTTCTTTGGTGTCGGGAACATGCATCCAGTGTTCCAATTGGGCGGTAAATCCACCTTTAACTATTTTGTCGAATAACATGGCGGGCCCAGATATCAATGTGCGTATTTCGCGCACTAATGAGAGCGGGTCTGGTGGTTTGCTATCAACGGAGATCACTCGATAGCCCATGGCGAACAGCATGATGAAAATAGACGAGACGAACGCTGGCTCATATTCCTGAGTCGTTATATCGACAAGTACCTTGCCGAGTCCTGAACAGGCTTGGCTTTGGTATCGTAGCGCAGCATCCAACCAGGGCACTCGGTTGTCCGCCTCAACCGAGGCCAAGTGAAGAGCAGACAGTGCGTATATACTATCCAGGAGATAGACAAAGGATGTGGCTAGGCGGGGAACATTGAGAGAGAGGTGATTTGCTGATAGTCCGTCTTGGGCCAATGTATGGTAGGTCGATGTCATATACTGGTGAAACAATCTCGCTTCAAGCATGCGTGTGGCTGGCGGAAGCTCTCCGGTCAAGGCTGTGCTGCTTTCTAAGTCGTCTTGGTTGATCGAGGATCCTTGAGGGCTGTCTGCGTCTTCATTTGGAGGTGGATAACTGCATTCCAACCTTCGCTTTCTGCATAAGGTGCACTTTGGAATGCCCTCGTCACACTAGAGTTGTCAGTATTTGGGAGCGGTCAAAGTTGTATCCAGTTGAGATTCAAAGCCCATGTCTGAGCTTCTGCAATCACGGATCATCGTACCTTAACATGTCTCCGTTTGCACTCCAAGCACCCTTTCCTAGACTTTGTATGGCTGCGACGGGTCGGCATTGATGGCTGCCATTTAGAAATGGAATGCGTCGGGTATAAATCAAAAACGAAGTTGAATCAAATTAAAGAAAAACAAAAAACAAAAAACAGACCAAAGAAAAAGAAACAAAACGGGCTTGGCCCAGATTCATATTCGCATAAATTGATACCGCTGCCCGACCTCGGTCCATGGGGCTTCCCCGTGATTGGCACATTTGCAACGCCGCCCCTCATTGGAGTTCTACTCCACGGGGTTACCCCCAATTAGGGAAACTGGTAACTCATTTATAGGCACAGGAACACCGTTAGATCCTAGATTGATCGATGGGGAAGAAAAAAGTTCTCAAGACCGGTAGAAACGGCAGTTTTACTAACAGCTCCGATGACATGAAACATGATCGACGTGTCTAAAAGACGGGATCGACGGAGACTATATTATGAGGTTTTTGCTTTTTGCTTTTTACAGCTATGTTTCTACAGGTTCAATTTTGAGATAATGCAAGAGAAATATACTAGGAAATTAAGGCGAAACAGAACCTCCCAAGCATACTGATTCAGGTGTAAGCCCTGGAGTGACGAAAACATCTAAAATACTTGAGTACTCGGGACCTGAGTAAAATACCTCTTAAACGGTACCTTGCATAGATCCATTATTAGTCAATCTAAGTCAAGTAAAGAAGCGTTTAAGCCCGTGACAGTCGAGGCCCACTCTATAGCATCCCAAGATCTGGCCTAGGTTCAACTTCGCCAAAAATTGGGCATCGAGCAGCCTTACCAGGCAACCCACCAATGAACATTCCAGGGCTATAGTTAAGATCCGATGATGAACTACCCACATGAAGATCAGCTCATGGAAGGTTTATATTCAGGTACACTGACCGGGAAATTAAATCAAACCTGTGGGCATGACTTCACAGCCAAGCCCGGGGTCTTAGCCTTGTTAAGGCTTAGGACGCCATATATTATGCATGGTGACTAGTAGGCTAGGCAGGTTCTGCGTTGCCACAAAGCCAAATTTTACGTCACATCTCTTCCGCTCCACTGCATTTTATCGGTGAAGAAGTTTCAGATGGTAGCTCTTTTCTTTCTAGCTGGAGTTCCAACGTCGATCGGTTCCCGAGGCCTGCATGCTTCGCAGGGTCCAGCACTCCGGGAAGTCGGTGACCTATTGATGGCCCCTGCCCTGCTCCAAACTAGGACTAACTGTCGACATGTGTGCACATTGTACTTCTATACTCCCAATTAAGATCAATTCCGTCCTGGTTAACCTTGGAAGCATATCCTGTCGGGGGGCCAAATAGCGGGTCCTAGTCCCCAAACACAGATACCATCGCAGCTGTTGACTTGAGAATTATCTACTCGTACGAATATGAAGATCCCAATGCAGATGTATTGTATTTTGTCGAGATTCTCAAAGTGAGCAACCAGAGGTCCAACAAAAGAGGTAGGGTTGCCGTGTTGCATGTTCGGTGATTTGCAAAGCTTGGCTAGTCTGAAAAGCCTTTTCCCACACGCCATTTTTGAAACACTTGACTTTTTCCTCGATCTGCAGAAATGACCCAACAATTCTGGACGGAATCAGACCCAAAATCAACGGGAATCTCCATCGCGCTTATTGTGCTTGACTTATTTGTCATTGTGGGGCTCTTGGGCAGTTCTGCGTTTTTGGTGGTGCGCCGACAGAAAGGGGTGGATTGGGGGATACTTCCAGTATGGGCCATACTGGCTGCCCTCTGGGCCTGGGCATGGTGAGTCCTATTCTGGTTGGTATCTCCATGGTACTGATTTTTTCTTTTCTTGGCAGGTCTTACATTTGGTATGTGGTTGAGGGCATTCTCAACCGATTGGCTACACCATTTGAATTAGTCGAAGCAAATTCGATATACCACCTTCTCTGTCTGCTCTTTGCGCACGCTGCAAATTGTTTCCTATTTTGCACCTTTTACCGACTCGCTCATATCCTGCTGAGAGAACGCAGCAATGGAGGGAAATTGCCTTTCAAAATAAACGCCATTCATTGGGTAATCATTTCGCTCATTGTTGCCATCAGCATTGCCGATTTCGCTTTATGGGTCATCATCTATTTCGCCTTCTTGGTACTTGAAGGTAACTACCAGCCCGTCGAGATCACACGCTATGTGATCCTTTGGTTGGCTTCGTGGGAAATCACAGCTTGGGCTGCTTACCTTGCCATCAAGGCCAAACGGACACAATCCATTCTCAAAGTACGTGATTCTTCCACACTTGCGGGACGAATTTAACAAAAACAGGGTCCTGCTATTGCTTTACTTTGCGGCAGCACTGCCTACTCTGCGATGACCTTCATGTGGATGGTCGACTTTCTCCGTTGGTACCAACCGATGTACTCGTACACTTTCAAAGAAGACACCAACTCGCTTGCAGCCAGGTCATTCCTGGAGATATTCTTCTGTGTTGGGGTATATGGAGGAATTATTGCATTCTGTGCGATGTCCGACAATCTAAAAGAGGGAGAAAACATATCCACCGAGCTGCAAGGCATGGAAGCCCGCGCTGGCGCGGCCAAATAACTAAACGTACCATCACTTTATGTTGACATTTGACTTGACATGGGCACTCAAATATTACACTAAGGCGTCAGAAGACTTCAGGAGCGCGTGTTGCGCACAGGTAACTCTTGTTGTCCGATTCCTTCGCTTCACACGCCAGACTCAGGGTGAATAAATAACATATTAGGTTGAGCAAAAATTCAAACTCCTACTTAAGTATTTGCGATAGTCAAGAACGAATCTCAATCAAAGCTGAACTTGGAATCGGGGATTAGTTCGAATACGTTCCCCGTACACCCAGAATATAATGGGTAATACACAGAATGCCAATGCAATGAAACCAAGCAGCGAGTTACCCCAACCCAACCCAAGGGCAGCATACATTTTAGGACCGGCAAGTGGAAGCAGCGCGCCGGCAAGGGATCGAAAGACCGTGTTTGCGGCCATGGCAGAGGCGGCATAAACTGTAAACACATCTACCAAGTATGTGGTGATAGTCATCTAAAATATCAAATATCAGTCAATCGATCTCATAAAAAGGGGGAGGGAACTACTTACGAAGGTGATCAACATTCCCACACCAAGAAACGAAGTGCCTATGATGGGTACAATCCAATGAGTATGGTAGAACGCTGTCCAGCCATATATGAATAGCGAAGCTGGAACGAACAATGATCCTGGGATCAGGAGCGGAAGCCGATACTCGGGCTTCTTCTCTCCGCCGTTTTTGGTGGACAGATAGATCAGTAGTTTGTCGGAGGTTCCACCTAGGACTATCAACCCGATTATAGAGCCTATGCCAATACCAAGATAAGACAATCCCACGCTCCCTTGGCTGAACCCGTAGGTATTCGCGAAAACGGAAGTAATGGTCGTGAACACAAGGTATAGGTATCCGTAAACCAAGCCAACGTAAAGAGAGAGGAGGAAGACGATTGGAGAAAGGAAAAGCATCTTAGCCGGTCGGATGATGGATAAAAGAAACAGTTCTTTTCTCGTGAGAGTGGTTTCGAGCGCTGAGCGCAGCTTCGGGTTCCCAGTCTCTTGACGAAGTTTCTTCGCTTTTCGCCCAAGAAGGGTTGGGGCATACGATTCACTGATAGTGAATAAGGAACTGACGGCGACAGCACCGCTCTGCGACAATAAGTATCTTCTAGAGCCAGACAGGGTTCTGCTTGACTTACAGCCATTGCCAGGATGTAAAAGGTCCATCTCCAGCCCTTTGCCTGTGTGATATATGCACCGGCTTCACGTCTCACATCAGCGAATGGATATCAAGAGCGACGAAGAACAGGACATACCAATCGGGCCAATGACGGGTCCTATCAAAGGACCAATCGCCCAAACTGCCATTGCGCCTCCCCTCTTTTCCTGTACATACATATCGGCTATCGAGCCGGCACCGATAGTCAGTGGACAACTTCCGGCGAATCCAGCCAGGAACCGGAACACAATCAGACTGCCTATCTCAGGGGCAACGGCACAGCAAACAGTCCAAACCACATAGAGGACATTGCAGACATGGTAAAGGTATTGCCGGCCGTACATCTCCGAAAGAGGCGCAATGAGCAATGGGCCGAAACAGTATCCCACCAAATACACAGATACGACGAACGATGACAACTCGGTGCTTGTCACGGTGAAGTCTTGCACCAGTTTTGGTACGCCGGGGGCGAACATTGATGATCCCAGGGGCCTGTCATGTGTAACATCAGTATTGCTGATTGAGTATAGTCTGGATATTTTCGTACGTGAGAAGGGTAATCAACGCAATAGACACTGTGGCGCCGAACTTCTTTTTCGATGTCCAGTTGAGGGGGTTTTCTGGATCATCTGGGCCATCCCAGTCGACGATGTTGGGGTCCCTTGAGGCTTCGTCTTGATCTCGGGTGTCCGGCTCACTGATGCCATTTTCGAGGTCTACCTCTGCTGATTTTGTTTTGATATGTCGGGTGCTTGCTGTGGGTGTTGTTTCGGCAGAGGAGGATTCTGAAGAGTTCGTATGTCAGATATTGTTTTGTTCTTCTCTTTGTGGTCTTTTGTATGAAAGTCCATAAGCAGCACAGACTTACTTTCGCCGAGGGCCATTTTGCAACAGCGTCACTTGAATCAGAAAGTCAGTTTATAAAGGTGTAGGTCAACTGCGCCGGTTGTTCTCGTAGATCCTGTTGGTTTTGGTGTTTGGGATTTTTATAGTAGGCGGGGTTGAGCAACAGGCCATGGACAGTAATTTGAACACAGGGATGATGGCTGAGATATCGACTACAATAAAAAAGAAGAGCCTTTTGAAAGAGATGAGAGAAGAAAGAAATGCATTCTCTTTGGGCTTTGGGCAAGGCTCTGTTATGAGAGCACACCCTGGGCACTAGCTTCGGAGGCGCCGTGCGCCAAAACTAAATGGTCAAACATCTGAACCCATGCATTGATTAGTTATGCATCCATCTTATCTGCAGTTGGATTGTTGAGAGGCTCAAGCTGCTCACACTGGGGAAGTCATGCATATTGGAGTCTTGAAGCCGTTGCTCGAATTGTCAACCACATCTTCATTCGGGGCGTCCTCAAGCATAACAGATAGAAATATTTCTTGGAGCACACTGTAGTGGAGTGACCGGGACGAATTTACTCCGTAGCAGGGGGCCAGGATCGAGCAAACGGGATTATGCGCCCAAGTCATCCCACTGTTTGAGGGGCTTGGAGGCCAGCGCAAGAAGCGGTCAAAGCTTATTCCCGTTGCTTTTTCTGGGCTTTGTCTCTAGACAGGGAATATTATTATCGGAAAGAAGAGAAAAGAAAAGAAACGGCTTGGAACAGAACCAGTGTAGATGAACATGTAGGGAAAACTAGGAGATTAGGGCCATTCTTATCCCCGCATAAGGTCCCACCACTTCTCCATATTGAGTTGACAGTTGACAGTTAAAATCTTTAAATTGGACTGGCAGAGAGTCATAAAATTATGCATCGGATAGCTTCCGAAATGTAAGATTCGGCGAGATGTAAGACTCGCGCCTCGGTCTTGGCTAGGTGCCCTCGTGTACTAGAGATTAGACACGTCAGTTGAAGTTGGGTGATTTGGCCACTAACGCTTTTTGGTAGGAAATATCCATTAATGAGGCTCGGTGGCTTTCCAGCACCTCGTAGGTTCTATTTAGGGCGGTGCCCAGGCGCGGGATTCCTCTTACTTGTTATTGGACACGAAATGAAATGCAAATATTGAAGATGTATTTATGTACTCTGGTATCATCCATGATCAAGGAAATAATTACAATAAATGTGCTTTAGCGGCACGGGAATTTTGGCCCTGCGCGGCAGAACCAGGGTCAAGCCGAGTGAAGAGCAACAGACAGAAAGTTCCAACCCGCGAGTCATGACGGGCATACTGTGCATGAAAAGTCCATCTAGATAATCATACGACCCTTGTTCTGCTTCTGGTTGACATTGTAGTTCTTCCAGGCCATGATGCATGGAATGGTCAAGGCCAAGATAGCGGTAGAGGCAATGCAGTTCATGCGCTGGGCATAGCCCCAAGTGTAGGCAACAGCGTCACGAAGGGGTGTGCCGAAGGGATATGTCAACTGTACATTGATGCCATCAAGGTAGATCTGGGTGGCGTTGGACTTCAGATCAGGTGGAAGTTGCTCGGCGAGGGTATCGACGAAGACGTTGTTGTAGATGGCTGCACCGACAGCCAAACCAATGGCTCCGCCCATATTCGAGAATAGTCCGATGAGGGCCAGCATCATCGGAGTGCCCTCGCGACCACCGGCTGCCATGACTGCCATGTCCTCGCCGATAACCAAGGTGCCGCCGGCGAAGGCAATGAAGATCTGACACATCACAATATAGCCGATGCCATGGTCGGAGCCACGGAAGTAGATCATCAATCCGGAGCCGAGGATCATCAAGGGAGCCCCGAAGAACAAGCAAATATACTTGAAACGCGCAGTAGACCAGATGATAGCTCCAATAACCGGAGAGAAGAAGCAGGAGCCGACGTTGTAAATCTGGATCATATATCCGGCATAGACCGTGCCAATGTCGTAAGTGATGATGATAAAGTTGTAGAAATATTGGTCCCACAACTCGAAACTGAAGAAAAGAGTAGCAGACAATATACAAGCACCAAGAATAGTGGGACGCTTGATCAGTTCATATCGAATGAAATGAGTTCGTGCGCACCATTTCTCCCATGCGGCGAACACAAAGAACATCAAGACACCGACCACGAGGGGGGCAATGAAGCTTGCGCTTTTATATGCGGCACGGCCATTCTGCGCCAGACTGAACGGCAATAGGAATAGAACCCAGGCAGCCATAAGGAATAAGGCACCCACAACTAGTGCTCATTAGTGACTGTGGACATTAAGGTGATTGGGGTTTCTTACCATCGAACTCATGAAGGTAATGGACGATCGACTGCATCGTAGTGCGACCACTCGGTTGCTTGCGGAAAACACCTTGCTTGATGGCTTTCTTTTCATAATATTTGAACACCATGGCGAGAGGCAAGAAAACGAACGGGGTCACAATGCAAAAGATGCCGTAGCCCCAACGCCAACCATACTTGGTGTAGATGGAGTTGGCAGCCAAAGAGCCCGTGAAGGCCGTGCAAATAAAAGGAGTCTGCATAAATCCAAAAGCGAACGCTCGGTTCCTGAGACCGGACGTATCGGCAACGAACACATTCAAGATCAGGTATAAGCAGTAGTATCCAATCCAATATAAGGTATAGCCCGCGGCATACCCGCTGGGGCCATTGCAAGAGGCTAGCACAACCATGCCGAGCAGGTACACCGAGACAGAGACGATAGTACCCTCTGCACGACCCCACAAATTCAGCGTCTTACCCAGGGGGAGTTTCATGACCCCACCCACGATATTCGCCAGGATATAGGAAGTGGAGACCTGGGGTGCGGCCCCGAATCCTCCCTGAATATAGTTGATCAAAACGCCGCTAATCGTTGAGTGGAAAGCCAGCATGAAGGTACAGACCCAGATCCTATGATCATCAATTGTCAGACACACGAGTCCCGGAGCTTGATGCGCCCCCTTTTTACTCACCATGCATAAATTCCCACCAAGGCGGGTCGACCCCACACTAGAGCTGCTGCTTCGGCCTTTTGCTGACCCAACTCTGCGTCCGAGGTGACTGCGTCGGGGTTGTGCGCTAATTCCTTCGCATCGTCGAACATGTCGCCCTGGTGCGACCCATCCGAAGAGGTCGGGGGTGTTTCGTGGTCATACGAGGGCGGTTGGCCCTCGGCAGCTGTGACGGATTTTTCATTTTGGTGGTCGTCCTTATTCGCTCCCCCGTTTGTGATCTGATCGGTACTCTGACGGCCTCGGAGAGCGTCGAGAATGCCCATGGCCACAGACTTGATCTGTAGGTCAACCCGAGTTCCAGATCCTCAGGGCGGTTGAAGATGAAAAAGGAGATCTGCGGAGGGGTCTAGGTTGTATATACCTGTCGAGAAATTCCCGCATTCGCCCCCATTTTTTTTCTTTTTTTTTTTTTCTTTTCTCGGAGGTCCCGATGAGAGGATCAGATAATAAAAGCCGTGCTGCTGAGGTGCACATCTTACAGCTGGGCCAATGAGAGACTGTTGTTTGCGATGATCGTCGTATAGCTGTTCCGAATGGGGACTAGCGTAACCTTGCCCCAAAGCTTCCAGGGTCGCAGTTTCCCTGTCTGCCTCCATCCGGTACCCGTTTGCGTCTTCACTTTTTTCTCCCTCATCCTCAATGCTCCTCATATCTTGAAGATTTCACAATATTCTACTACATCCTGTGTCAACACAAATGTCTGGTCAATGCTAATCATGCCTAGGTATGTCTCACGCCCTGCGCTCCTTACATCTCCCACGCGATATTCATGAGCAAGGCTCGCGGGAAGTCAAAATTCCTTTTCTTTTCGGCCCCCAGCCAATCACCCAGTCAAGTACGGTTCTCCATCTGCTGAACCTGTGTGCCGCCAATTTGGCTCAGAAATCATTTCCCTTTTCACGACTTGCCTAACTTTCCGCGCTTATCTGATAATCAGATAGGCCGTTTTCTCGGGATGGAAGTTAAATAACGCTATGATGCCTTGCGTGCCCTTGGTCCCTCGAAGCTAGGCAAGCCTCTCCCGGGCTCGTGGCACGGCCCACTTAGCCTGGGCTTTTTTTTTCGTATTGCGCTTGGGGCGCTTCGTGATGCTTTATTGTCATAAGCATTAGTAGCTCGGTGTTCGACGGCACACTTACTACGGAGTATTTTGATGTGCGTTTAAACGTTTGAAGTATCCCCGTACGTAGTACATACTCGTAGTACGGACTCCCGTACAACGGTCAAGCTTACAATTTCATATTCGGCTACTACTTCTTCCTCGCGTACCACTGTAAATCAAGACTTGAATTAATCCTTGTCGTCAGCGGCGTCATCCTTGCCACCGAGAGACCCATCGTTGGAAACCATCATGTCGACCACGCAATTGGGGATCAAGCAATTGCAGCGATCGGAACGTCAGATCTAATCAGATCTTTGGGTTTGATATTGGAGTCTTATTTGCCACCAATCTCATGATACGGACAGGATGGCGAACTATGTACTTCTAAGTTTTCATCGGGCGATGCAGTCACATTGCCTCCTACTTCGAAGCTGTCGACTTCCGGCCTTTCCGGGCATCTGCTACGATGGGGCGGGAATGGGCACCCAGATCGCTCGGGTGGGTCTTTAGAACGCACACACGACACCTGAGGGTCCGGCAAATCTGCCGGTAATCCGGAGTACGATTTACAGGTCTTCGTGGATTTCTCGGAAGTAGCTGGCCGTGTCTTTGGGGTTGTGGGTCTTCTGTCGCGTATTTGCGATCGCTTAATAAATCTATGCCAATGGCCAAGTTCCATACAATAATTACCTGTAGGAAACTTTAGAAAGAGTGTATTGTTGGGCCTGTTCAAATCAGACGGTGTGCATGTATATACTGAAATGTCCCTTCTAATCTATATGCGTATACCTTAGTGACCAACCATGGCTTGGTGCACAGCTCCATATCTGTTTCCATGTGGCTTGGCTGCATCAATAAGGCTGCGCATCTCACTCTGCTCCTCTGCAGTGAGGTCAATATCCCGAGATGCCCAGTTTTCCTCGAGGCGACTGGCCTTGGTGGTTCCCGGGATAGCGATCATGCCTTGGGTAGCAACCCAGGCGAGTGCGATCTGGCTGACCTTGCAACCCTTGCGAGTAGCAATGCCCTTGATAGCATCCACGATTTCCTTGTTCTTGTAAAAGTTCTCGCCTTGGAATTTAGGGGCTGCAAAAAGTTTGGATTAGCAAGTGTGACTCGGTCAAGGTCAAACATGTGAGGGAGTGATACTCACATTTGCGGCGGAAGTCATCCGGGGCAAAGTCATCGGGGGAGTTGTAATCAAAGTTATCGACCAACCATCCGTGACCGAGGGGACTGTAGGCGACGTAGGCGACGTCGAGTTCCTTGGCGGTATCGATCAAGCTATCGGTTTCATGCACTGTCTCGAAAGCTGAGTACTCGGCTTGGACTGCGTCGATCTTGGCAACTATCAAAATATTAGTCACCTGGGAAAGGAGCTCAACGGAATTTGATATATGCATACTAGAGTTGGCTTTGCGGAGAGTGGCAGCTGAACACTCTGAAAGTCCGATATACTTTGTCTTGCCGGCCTTACGAATTTCATCGAGGGCGGGGATTGATTCAGTAAGAGGTGTGTCTGGAATGATTAGCTATCGTAAGCAACACTTCTCATGGGAAGCTTACTGGGATCGATGCGGTGCAGATAGTACAAGTCAGGAGCAAATCCCAGTCTTTCAATGGTGCCGTCGATATACTGCTTGATGTGTGAGGCAGAGTTGGTGACCGAGCCTGAGCCTTCAAACACGCTAAAACCACACTTGGAAGCAACTAGAAAAGGAAAGTTAGCTTGGTCTCGTTTGGTCGCTTGCAACGGTTTGCAACTCACTAAAGACCTTGTCGCGGACGTTGTGTTTCCTGATGAAGTCACCGAGGAGCTTTTCGTTGACTCCGGCTTGGTACACCACAGCAGTATCCCAGAATGTGCAGCCCAGCTCAATTGCCTTCAACAGAACTGGCTCAGCTTCCTCGAGGCTCAGGTTAGAGCCCAGACCAAAGCTCAGGCCCATTGCGCCAAAGCCTGGCGATGGGACCTGCAAGTTACCGAAGGGGATTGTCTTGACCATTTTTGCTGATAGATGAATCTGCTGATAGATGAATCTGCTGATAGATGAATATGGATGCTGTTTGTAGTTTGAAATAGATTCAATGTGAAGTGCAACTCAATTTATATGGCCTTTGGGGTTTAGTTCGGAAATAAGACTTGATTACTTCTATGTGGGTCTTGGTTATTGCTTAAGTCCGGTTCCCCGATGTCAGCTTGGCAAACCTTTGAAGTGGATTATACCAAAGTGAGCACTCATATCATTCACCAACAGACTATTCTGCATTTTGAAGATGCGATATTTTCAACTACGGAGTTCGGAGTACTGCATTAGACTGAAATTGTGGCCACCCCTTCTGCGTAGAAAAATAGCTTCCAATATTGCTCACACATGTCTGTTCTAAAAGTTGATTTTTCTCCCATTGATTGTCGACCGGGCGTGGCTATACTTGTATCAGGGAAATTTGATCGTGTGTTGAGCTTTGTTCTCGAATCTTTACCCCGAGGTTGTATTCACTTCAAAGCACAGTCAAAGCGGCGAGATGCCAAAAAGCTATACCACACGAGAGCGAAGTGCATTGACTTGGAGATACATGAACCCCGCACGAGAGTCTCCCATCCAGCATTCACACTAGATGGGCGGTCGATCCCACGAATGCGACGTTACAATTGACATGAGATGAACCTCCTTGCAGCAGGTAATTGTGCCTTCTGCCTCTTGCACCTATCGCCTTACCAACGCCCACGTCTACAGGACCCAACCGCGTCACCACGCGCAGCTGATTTTTGTTACTGCAGAGCATCATGGTGATTCTAAAACCAATAATCGGCATTTTACTTCTTCAATACACAAGGGGCACAGTCGCGACACAAGATGACCTGCACTACGTCAACCCCTTGATTGGATCCACGAATGGCGGCAACGTCTTCGCAGGGGCAAGTCTGCCTTATGGCATGGCAAAGCCTGTTGCCGATGTCGATGGTCAAAATACAGGCGGCTTCTCGACGGACGGTAGCAATGTCACGGGATTCTCACACATGCACGACAGTGGCACAGGTGGAAACCCGTCGATGGGTAATTTCCCGCTCTTCCCTCAATACTGCAAGGACAACCTGGTCGACAATTGCAAGTTCCCAAAAGCCGCCCGAGCTATTCACTACAAAAATGATTCTGTTGTCGCCACGCCTGGGTATTTTGCCTTGACACTCGAGAATGGCATCAAAGCTGAGATGACTGCTGCGCAACACACTGCCTTGTACCACTTCGTCTTCCCAGGGGGAAAGGCGGCAGATGGAAATGAGTTGTATCCACTCATCTCATTAGACCTTACGGATCTGTGGGATAGTCGACAGAATGCTTCGATCAGTCTCGATTCCGAACACGGTCGAATGAAGGGCAATGGCACTTTCCTGCCGAGCTTCGGTGCCGGCTCATATCAGTCTTACTTTTGTGCTGATTTCGTTGGCGCCGATGTTCAAGGTAGCGGAATTTGGGTCAATGACCGAGCCGGATCAGTACATGAGCTGTTCGTCACTCGTGGTTTCAACAACTTCTACCTGCAGGCTGGAGGCTATATGACCTTTATCCCCTCAGAAGACCAAACGGTGACCGTCAGAGTTGGTGTCAGTTTTATTAGCACAGATCAAGCTTGCAAGAATGCTGAGGCGGAAATACCGAACCCAGACGATGCCTTTGATACTTTGAAGGACCAGGCAGAGACTGCATGGAGCAACAAGTTGAGACCTGTTGAGGTCACTTCGGGGGGTGTCAGCGATGACATGCTGAGTGCTTTCTGGAGTGGCATTTACAGGACCATGCTTTCACCTCAGAATATGACTGCGGAGAATCCGCTTTGGAAGAGTGACGAGCCATATTTCGATTCATTTTACTGCCTCTGGGATGCTTTCCGTTCACAGCATCCATTCCTCACAATAATCGACACTCCTGCACAGTCGGAGATGGTCCGTAGCTTGCTGGACACCTTCAAACATGAAGGATGGCTACCTGATTGTCGCATGAGTCTATGCAAAGGTTGGACACAGGGCGGCTCCAATGCCGATGTCGTCTTGGCCGATGCGTACGTCAAGAATCTTACTGGAATCGACTGGGAGCTTGCGTACAAAGCCATGGTCAACGATGCAGAAAATGAGCCACTTGAATGGTCCTATGAAGGGAGAGGTGGTCTGCAGAGCTGGAAGCATCTCCATTATATTCCATATCTGGACTTCGACTATATCGGCTTTGGCACCAACTCCCGCAGTATTTCTCGCACAGTCGAGTATGCTTACAATGATTACAGTCTGTCGGTGGTGGCCAGAGGCCTCGGCAAAGACTACTCTACCTACTTGGCGCGGTCTGGGAACTGGCAAAACTTGTACAAGGACGATCAAAAGTCATTGCTGCAGAATGGCACAGACACAGGATTCACTGGGTTCTTTCAGCCAAAATACATCAATGGAACGTGGGGACATCAAGACCCTATTGCGTGCAGCGCTCTGGCGTCATGGTGCTCGTTAACCTCCAACCCTTCCGAGACGTTTGAGTCTAGTATCTGGGAATATCAATTGTGCGTATGACCTTCCCTGTCCAAAATATCAAAGCTCACATCTTCTCAGTTTCGTTCCCCATGACATGGCAAAGCTGATCAAGATGGTCGGTGGCCCAGAGGCCTTCGTGGCTCGTCTTGACTATTTCCACACCTCAGGGTTGGCAGATATGGGCAATGAGCCTGTCTTCCTAACCGTGTATGACTATCACTATGCCGGACGACCAGCGTTGTCTGCCAGTCGAGCCCATGCATACATCCCGTCTTCTTTCAACGCCACACACAGCGGGCTACCTGGTAACGATGATTCAGGAGCCATGGGATCATTCCTCGCATGGAGTATGATGGGACTTTTCCCCAATCCGGGTCAAAACGTCTACCTCATCATTCCTCCATTTTTCGAGGCTATCGCAGTCACCCATCCAGAGACCAACAAGACAGCCACAATCCGTAATGTCAACTTTGACAAAACGTTCAAAAAGATTTACATCCAGAACGCCACCCTCAACGGTGTGCCGTACACCAAGAATTGGATTGGGCATGAGTTCTTCACGCAGGGCATGACACTGGAGCTGACTCTCGGGGATCGAGAAAGCGCCTGGGGCACGCGCAAGGAAGACTTGCCTCCAAGTTTGAGCGACTCTGTCAACATCAATGAAATCTAGGAATTGTGGTTGTGGAGCTATGGGTTGGAACACTCATCACGGACCAAGAACTGTCAGACTTGCTTTTCCAGCTATTCCAAGTACTATGTACTACATTAGTAGTGAAACTGCGGAGCACGTCCGATGTGGGTCATGGCCTGGATGCGCTCTTGGTAGTCTAATGTTTGGCATCGGAATGACTTTCACCATTCAAGTATGCTGGATCTGTTTTGATAGCCATACTGGTAGATAATCGAAATTGAAAAGGAGCGACCGAAATGACCACCATCGATCAGCAGAGTGGTCAGGTGACCCGTAGCGGGCCAGACCAAATACACGTGGATTTCCTTCTCACCATTTCTCCATATCCTCAAGGGCTTGAAATTCCTAGCTGAGACCGTTCTTTCTCGTCTCTGGGCATCTCCTTATATAATTAGTCCCAGGTGCTCCTCGCGACCGGACCCTTGGCGACATTAACTCCGCAACCCCCGACCCCCGACCTCCGACCTCAAGCCCAAGCATGGCCAGCCGCCAGCTTACACGGCGGATTGTCACCAGCGCTGTGATTTCACTATGCCTCATATTCTTCCTATTCCTCAGGCCTCAGGGCCCGCCGAGTCCCGCCGTTCGCGCCCCAGGCCACATTGATCACACCGCACCCGCACCGGGGATAAGCATTCAAGATAGCACACTGAAAGGGGCCGTGGTGATGCCGAAGCTGGGCAATGCGACAGTCAAGTAAGCGCACAGAACTCCAATCACATTGGAAATACCGATATTCTCGCAGTGGAGCAACTTGCTGACCATGTATTGGTTGATTCCCAGGGCTGAATTGGGTCGTGCGACATGGAAATACTTCCACACCGTCATGGCACGATACCCCGAATCCCCCACGGACGACCAGAAGGAGGCGCTGCGCTCTTATATCTACCTGTTTGCACGGTTATATCCTTGGTAACAAGCTCCCCGCCTGGCAAAGGCTATTCCGCATGGCAATCGATGGCTGACATGACCCAGCGGAGAATGCGCGGAGCATTTCCAACAACATCTACACAAATATCCACCTCAGGTATCATCGCGCAATGCGGCTTCGGGCTGGGCTTGCTTTATTCATAATGAGGTCAATGCGATGCTTGATAAGCCTGAATTCGACTGCTCCAATCTAGGAGACTTCTACGATTGTGGCTGCAACGGGGACGAAGAAGGGGATGTCAAAAAGAGTCCAGCCTCGCAGTCTGATGAGGGCACGGACTTTGATGCCCCTGCTGTGGAGATCTCAAAGGAAGCGTGAGTGACTTTCTAGGACGCTCTGTTTACTTGATGGCTAACATTCGATTTAGGACTACCCGCGGTTGACGAGTATGAAGCAAGGATTAATGCAGTCATCCTCATCTCTCCTTGGCGCCTGAGTGTACTTTGGACATAAAATTGTCCATCCTGATGGAGCTGGTCTCCTTGTACAGTAATAGATTGTCGGTTGGCAGTATCACTATCAATATACCCTACTGTTTTGCATTTGCATGTGGCTTCTGTGTTAGAGAGGGGTTCCTATGGTGTTACATCACTGTACCGCTCTAGCGCGTCTTTGGGTGTTCCTCATCTATACCGCCATCTCTAATTACTGGGTACGGGTGCAAGAGTGGTAATTCGACGCATCAGGTGAAAACATTTATGACTTCAAGAACTTGTATTTGACATCCATGAGGGGTGTTAACATGCAAAGTCCAAAGATATGATTCCATATCATTCGGCATAGGTTGCCGACTGGGTGGGATTTCATACAAAGCGGCCATCTGCTCGGTCTGGACTAGACTGCCGATCTCTAGCCACAGAGTGCACCTGAACATTGGAAGATCATCCTCCCCGATGATTAGATGGCGCGCATGACCCGACGGGCCTAGCCGGTTGGTCCTTGGACAAAGTAGGGGACTTTTCCCCGTCGCACTAAATAATGTCTTAGCAGAAGCACTGATTAAACTTTGCGATCCTTCAGAGAGGGTCATACCCTCGTGATACCAGACGCTTTTGCATGTGCGGGAAGATTCCCAGCTCCTGAAGAAGTAAAGATAGCGAATATCATTGATGAAGGATTTGGGTTCGGGCTAGAAATAGCGTCAACTGCTCAGATTTTGGCCGAGCAAATGAAAAGATAGGGTCTCCTGACAGGGACTAGCCAGCCAACCATGTTGGATGTAGCCCTCCGGTTTATGCGGGTTGTAACCATGACCAATCTGACTTGAATTCTTGCCACTTGGAATCAAGTGGAAGAATTGAAAAAGGTTCAAATTAAAAAATATCAGCAGAGGGTAGTAAGGCTAAGCGATGGGCTCATATTTCATGGATCCAGCATCCTCGGATTGTGTACTTTGATGAGACCGGAGACGACAATAAATTATTTGTGAAAAGTCCACTATGCAAGGTAAAAGAAAAATCAGCCTGAGAAGCATAGCTCAACATTGTTTCACTTTAGCCTCGAGGTCAAGCGCATAAATAGCGGAGTAAACTGACTGTGGTCTTGTGTTTTGCGCTGAATCACATTTCATACTTCCCAGAACGGACTAGTGTTGTCCCAATCCAGCCTAGTCAGTCGCGCGCGCGCTTCCAAATTTCGCGGGAAAAAAAAGTTAAGCCCTGGGAACATCATTGCGCCAATCTCATATTTCTTTCAAGGGCCCCTCCTCCTGTGGCGCAATTTCACCGTATCTTGATCGCTCTCACACCTTATATTTATCCCTTTGCCCTCTTTTCCGTTCACAAACGGGGCGACATTGATCAATATGGTCTCCTTCTCCTGCGAGGTGAGTAGGATGTTGTACCTTTGGATGCTTATGGCCGACATTTGCCATGGCGACGCATTTTGGTTACTTGAGACGTTGCTGATCATGGTAGGCGTGTGGTGATGTTCTCACCAAGAAGAAGCTCGACCCTCATCGCGGCCAATGCCGCGGCGCTTCCTTCACCTGTATCGATTGCATGGTGCATTTCTACGGCACCGAGTACAGAGCGCATACTGTAAGCTGAATCGCTTCCCCATAGAGCCCTTGTGGCTGCTGCGTTGGGGTTCGAGTTGGCCCAATCCAAGGGAGGCATCTACTAACGATATTGACCACTACAGTCATGTATGAGCGAAGCGCAAAAGTACCAGGGAGCATTGTACAAGGAGAAGCCCACCAAGGGTCAGAAGAAGGGACAAAACAACCAAAAGCCAAATGTGAACGCCAATGCGAAGCAAGCCCCCAACAACCGCCACCAGCAACCCCGTGTGGAGGAAGGCTCCGAGGGCGAAGAATCCAAAATCGCTCCTCCTCCTCCCTGCCCCACACCCCCGCCTGTTGGTGAATCGCGCGCGCCTGCTGTGGCCCCTACACCGGCAAACGACAAGGCTGTCAATGTGTTTGATTACCTGGTCACCGAAGAGACCCCGAACGCCTCCAAGGTTACTATCGCAGAGCCCAAGGAACAGATGCAGATGAAGAAGAACGCCAAATCGGTTTTCGAAACCAGCGATGCCCTTACCCGCTTTGAGGCCAACCCGACTACGGATGACGAGGGTAAGAATTACGATGTCGCATACAACGAGCATGGCTTTTCCTACGGCACTGGCAATATCCCACACTCGGACCCTCACCCTAACATGTCTACAGAGTTTGTCACACCTGCACCCAAGAAGAAGAAGGATCGTAAGGAGAAGGTACCTGGCACTGCCAGCGAGAAGAAGCGCAAGCGCGGACAGGCAGATGTCCTTAGTACCCCCCGTGAGGAAGTCGATACTCCCATGATGGACGCACCTTCCAGCATCATCAACAACGCAGGCACCCCGATGCTGAATCACTCTGGTCTCACTGGTGGCTTGAACCGCATGATGCGCTCACCCTCCCCTGGCGACGACAGCCCTGAAACCACCCGCCGTGCCTACCAGGATGCTTCATCCCCCATCAAACGCAGTCGCCGCAATGGAAAAGAAGCCAACGGAAGTGTTGATCCAGGTCTCGGAATCTCCATGAAGAACCGCGCTGGGCGTCTTGTTTCCTCCATGTTCGGCGGATCTGTTGTTTCCAGCGCCAGCGGCAGCACAGAAGCCAACCCCAAGGCCGTAACACGCCCTCGTCGCGGAAGTGATTCCAGCGTAGACGGCCAACTCGACGTCCGTAAGAGCAAGAAGTCACACCGCGCACGCGATTCCCCCGAAGAGATTCGTAAATCCAAGCGCAAGAGCAGCAACCCCAGCGACGACCGACCTACCCGTCGTCTGAAGCAGATTGACGAGCGTCGCGGCTCCATTGAGTCGCCCAGTCACCAGGTCATGGTGTACAAGAATTCCAAGCCGCCCGCGCGCGCTGATGAGGACCTCCAACGTGAACTTGCACACCAGTTCCTTTCTATCGTGACCCCGGGTAGCACACGGGGCTGTTCGATTAACAAGGCTCTCAAGCGATTCCACCGCGATCTGTCGAATGAGTACGACGCTGATCAGAGCTTTGAGCGTAGACTCGATGACGAGAAGGACCTTTGGAGGACCTTGAGGTTGCGACGTAATGATCGTGGTGAAATTGTGGTTTTCATCTAGAACCCAGGGCTGGGCTTGGGCTCTGAGTATAATCAAAATTCGATGGGCTTTGAGTGGTTCGGGTCTTTATGAGGTGAACGGGCTGGATTTTTTTTGCATAGCGCCATATGTTTCTCTCGATGCAGCGGCCAGGATGTCGCATATTGTTCATATTAATGTGGGACGGGACTAAATTGCATTGATAATGTCTACCTTGACTTGTTCTATTTTGTTACATTGACGCTTGCGTGCGGAGTACTCCGTAGGTGATTTAGTGTTATCTCTACTCGGGTCATTACTCCGTACCTAGTCTCCCTGTCTCAAAGCTGGACTGGTATGAGTCAAATCGTATTATAGATCGTTGGCCTGCACTCTTCCAAGCACAGCCCCACTTTTAATGACTCATGTTATGTAAGGCCTGAGTCATCTACGTCACCGCCCTTGCCCCACCGCCCCATTCTGCCGTGAGAGCTTTTATCGTTTTCTAGATAGTTCGTTGTGTTGCGATTCTGTGATCAACCTATTTAGCAGGCTATCGCCTTGAATTTACGCCATACACACGGTTCTTTGAATTTGCGCTTTTGTCCAGCATACTCGCATCTTTCCTTTATCTCCATTTGGACCGATTCAGTCGATCATCAGATCTCGATCAGCCAATCACTTGGAAAGGCAACAAATTACAGCGCGAGAGTATATGAGCACGCCAGGAGTGCTCATATCAACTTCAGTTACGCCCACGACTATGTCAGCACCAATTCCAGAGGCAGCCCCTTCAAGCGGGTCAAGACCCCCACGTTCATCGAGACCGAGACGCCGAGGGCGGGGTGCTACAAATCGCGATGGGCAGCAACAACCCGCCGCCACAAATGAGACCCAAACTCAAGGTGCGGCTCAATCGCAGCCAGCACAGCCTCAGCCGTCCTCAAATTCAAATGCTCAGCCTGGTCAATCCAACGACCAGCGCGCACCGCGAGGAGGGAAAACGAGAGAAGGAAGAGGGAAGAGACAAAGGAATAATGGAACTCCACGACGAGGCCAGGGTCAAAATGAAAATATTGAAGGACAAGACGCACGGCCTGAGCCGCGAACTCGCGGTATGAGGGCGCGGGGTTTTGAGGCTCAATTGACTCGGCCAGACCAGGCGTCTGGTGATACAGCTTTCGGCGGGGCGGGGCAGCATGATAACTCTTTAAGAGCCGATGTGCCAGCCTTTGTCCCAGGGATGCCTCCTACTCAATCTGGACATCCTTCGGAGTCAGCACCATCTGTAAAAGGGAAGGGGAAGGCTAGACAGCCCAGGGCACCACCGCAACCACCGAAGGTTACGACTAAGTCCATAGCCCCCGATCTGGCTACCCGAATCCACGAAGACATTTCACACAATCTATACGAATGTCCCATCTGCTGCAGCGAGCTGGGTCGCAGATCTCGAGTTTGGTCTTGTGAACTGTGCTGGACCGTCTTCCATTTGAGTTGTGTGAAGAAATGGTCTAAGAATGAAGGCGCCTCGGCGCAGAGGACTTCAACACTGGAGGACGGACAAGAAAGTTCCGTTCCCCGTGCCTGGCGCTGTCCTGGTTGCAATCTTTCACATCAGAACTTCCCTTCCAATTACTCTTGTTGGTGTGAGAAGGAAGTCGACCCTAGACCGCTCCCTGGTCTACCCCCACACTCTTGTGGCCAGACTTGCTCGAGGCCTCGCAAAGGTTGCCCTCATCCTTGTGACACGACCTGTCATGCTGGCCCGTGTGCACCCTGCACTGCCATGGGACCGACACAGGATTGTTTCTGTGGTCTGAACTCGTCAACAAAGCGATGCCAGGATACAGACTATGAGAATGGATGGAGCTGTGGTGAGATTTGCGGTGAGCTTCTTCCGTGTGGAGAACATACCTGTCCACTGCCCTGCCATGAGGGTCTGTGTGGAGGCTGTGAAGTCGACATCGAGGCTCGCTGCTATTGTGGAAAATTGCAGACAGAAATGCTGTGCAAGTCCACAGATGACGAAAAAGACAGTCGAATCATTCACGAGGATGGCTCTGACGAGGAATGGACCGGCTGCTTTGGTTGCGGGGAGACTTGCAACCGTCCTTTGGACTGTGGCAAACATACTTGTAAAAAGGATTGTCATCCTCAAGAGGCGCACCCTGCTCACTGTCCACGGTCACCAGATGTCGTTCTGGACTGCGCCTGTGGAAAGACGCCACTGTCTGAGATCCCCGGGTACACACCTCGAACCTCTTGTGAAGATCCTATCCTGAATTGCCAAAAGCCATGTGGCAAGAGCCTACCTTGCGGCCATCCTTGCGAAAAGCTGTGTCACATCGGTCCTTGTGGCGCTTGTTTGCGTCAAGTCCACATTAAATGCCAATGTGGTCGTACTGACAATCAGACCATCTGCCACCAAGGCTCTATTGAGCCTCCCATGTGTCCGCGCCAGTGTAAGGCGAATCTGCACTGTGGTCGTCACACGTGCACTGACCGATGCTGCCCTGGAGAGCAAAGAGCGAACGAGCGCCAGGCTGCGCGTCGCAAGCTCAGACCTCATCTCCGCCCTGCTGAGGAGGATATTGAGGCAGAGCACATCTGCACTCGTGTGTGTGGTCGAACGCTGAAATGCGAAAGACACACATGTCCAGAGCTTTGTCACAAGGGTGCTTGTAATACCTGCAGAGAGGCGGTGTTTGAGGAGATCGCGTGTAATTGCGGAAGATCTGTACTCTATCCACCTCAACCATGTGGCGCGAAGCCACCACCTTGTCGTTTCCCCTGTGAACGTCCAAAGCGATGTGGTCACCCTCAGCCTGCCCATAATTGCCACACGGACGAAGAGAGTTGTCCCAAGTGTCCGTTCCTAACGGAAAAACCGTGCTTATGCGGTAAGCGTGTCTTGAAGAATGTTCCTTGTTGGCTCGCAGATGCGCGCTGTGGACAGGTTTGTGGACAACCGCTCAAATGCGGCTCTCACTTCTGCAGGAAAGACTGTCATCGCCCGGAGGATTGCGAGGACGCAACTAAACCTTGCACTCAGGCTTGTGGAAAGAACAAGTCCATCTGCGGCCATCCTTGCACTGAGCAGTGCCATGCCCCTTATGCGTGTCCCGAGAAGACACCATGCTCGTCCAAGCTCGCTGTGACATGCGGCTGCGGACGACTCCGGCAGGAAAGGCGTTGCAATGCCGCCAAAGCTGTAACATTCAAGGGTCAGGTGCAGTCGCCTCAGCGCAACCCTGAGCTGACTCCTCTGACTTGTGATGACGAATGCACTCGTCTGGAGCGGAATCGCTCCCTGGCAGGTGCTCTTGGCATTGACATCAACCAAGCCACCACAGCACAGACTATTACAGCCGAGAATCTCCCATATTCAGAGGAAACTCTCAACCAGTATATTAAACTCGCAGCATCCGCTCCTCTCTCAACATTGCAAACATACGAAACAAACCTGCACTCCCTTGCCACAGCAGACACTTCCACCCGCTCCTTCCGCTTCCAGCCCGCAAAGCCTACTCTGCGGGCCTTTGCACATTCCCTCGCTGCAGACTGGGGCTTCGTGACAGAGAGTCACGACCCAGAACCACACCGTCACGTCTTTGTCCTCAAGCCTGTCGTCTGGACGCCACCTCTTTTCGGCACAGGAAGTGGATCGTCAATTGGAATCGGCGGCATGAGCGTGCGTGAAGGCGTCAAGCTGCGCGAGCGCGAGCGTACAAAGGAGCAGGAAGCTCGTCGTGTCGCCGCTATTGAAGCAAAGGCTGCGCGCGAATCTGCCAAAGCCCAGGCCAGTAGTGGGGACGGCGGATGGGCCCAGGTTGCCTCCAAGAGTCGAGGTGGAAGTGGTGCCAGCACGAGAAGCGGCACGCCTGTTCAAACCCCTTGGGTGAGCAAGTCTATATATGCTGCTCTTGACGGTGATGGGGCGAAGAAGGAACGTCTTGTTCTTCGCTCTGGAGTTGGGGCTGGAAAGTCTTTGCGCGCGAAGACTCCTCCCGTTGAGGTTGTTGATAATTGGGAGGATGCTGAAGAGGCAGAGGAGAAAGAAGAGAAGCAGGTCGAAGGTGATCAGCTTCTGGAGCAGGAGAACCTCGTTGAGGACCCTGGGGACCATGTGGGAACCGAGCCTGTGGCTGACCCTGAGTCCCAGCCGCAAGGTCAGTCAGAAGATCAGTCTGCTCCGACTGAGGTTTCTACGGAGAACGTCGAGGCTTAGGCTTCTTTTTGGAGACGATGATTGATGACTTCAATGAACATGCCTCATCATTTGCACACAATCTGCATGACATTGGAGTTGGTATTTGCATGAATGATTACATGCACTATTTGTTGGTTTTATTATTACAGCGAAGCAAAAGTTAAAAACTTCAAAAAATCATAAAGCATTGCATCTTCACCATAAACAGCCAAACTGCTAACAGCTAACCGCTAACTGCCAGTAACTCAACAACAATCCGTCGTCAGGCCTCCAGGGCTCTATTTTGACGGTATAATCTTCACGAACTGTAAACAGCCTTCTTTGGCAGCCCGATAAGGCCCATGCTTCATACCCGGCTGTCTATAAGCATAGGCACCAATACCCCACGACTGCCCGAGCGTAAGATCCTCCAATCCTCCACGCAGGGTGCACACCTCTTCAATGTATGTGTGTGTTATTTGCTCGGTCTGAGCCGAGATAGTATCGGGCTCCCACCATTGTAACGCGGCCTTTTCTTGCGTGTCGCCGTTCAAGAGGAATTCCCATACTCCTGGTGCGATGGAGTACCAAGGCAGTGCAGATTTGGAGTTTTGTGGTGTGCCAACTGGTGGATGGGGTGGTGGAGTACTGAATTCTTTCTCGTGAAATGGCATTGCTGCAAAGTAGGGGCTTGAGGCGCTTTTGAGGGCTTTTCGAGGCAGCAAAGGTGTTGAAGTGTTGAGGGGGTGAGGGGATATGCGATTTATAACCTTCGGTTTAGTCGTATAGATCGCCATGGATTGAGCTCTAGAGGTCTCAGGTACCATGGGTGACAATTGTCTTTCTACAGAATCTACAAGTGTCAAATGCTTGGACAATACAATTAGATGCCATTATGAAGGATAGTGTATCGCTTTGTATCGAGAATACTCAAGTGAGAGTGTTTTGACCGGTATGAACCCCGAGGTCAGGGCCAAAGGGACCCGGGACACGCCGATCACTTCACCTATCAAAACGCTGATGCCCACATGTTCCCTGACCAAGATCTGGATTCTCTACAGCAGTCCGAAAAGGTTCAAAAATCAATTGACGGTTTTAAAATCAGAATGTATAAAAATGTCCTGCTTGTAGACATGAATTCCGGAAGTAGTCCGTATTGCACGTATCCATAGATCCCGGCCAAATCATGCTTATGTCAGACATTATGTCATCTCATATTTTGGCTCAAATCGGAGATTCACTGCATTGATACTCCAGACTCAAAGATGCCATTCCGACTACAGGGTTTCCAATCTGCTCTCCGTGGCCAGAGTGGCCTGCTGCGCAACCAGCAGCGCAGGTGGGCACAGGTTCACGATGTGCGCTTCCTTGCCTCCCACCATGACCCCAAATATGTCCTCGACAAGTATCGGGCTAAGCTGGACCAGAAGGCAAAGGAGTAAGGTCTAATTGAAAGTTATATATCATCTCAGAAACTAACAAATATGAACAGAGAGGGCCATGAGTCCGTCGAGTCACTGAAGGAGGCATACGATGAAAAGATCCAAGACCTCCGCCGCAAAGCATCCACTGTCGCAACCCCAGAGCCTAGTGCCCCTACACCCACTGCTCCAGGCACCCCCAAGGCATTCCAAGCGCCTCCTCCCCCTCAAGAGTCAAAGACCACCAGGGCTGCGCGCTCTGTCTCCGGCGACTCCAGTCCCGTCAAGCCACTAAGCACATACCTGGACGTTGAAAAGATCCGCGAGCTCCCAGCCAAGGAGATCGAAGCTCTCTGGCGTCTGCGCCACGCTGATAACGGCCATGCCATCTCTGCCGCCATCCCAATCGACACATACAAGCGTATCGTCGCAGCTGCCCGCCAGAACCCTCAGTTCATCCTGCCCCTCCCGCGACCTCAGACCCCCGAGGAAGCGCAACAGACTCCCGAAGGTGCGACTGGTACCGCTGCAGACATTCACTTCCTGCAGTGGGGCTTCCACCCTCCTGCTGAGGGCTCGACCCCAACTGTTTCCAACAGCCATGCATCCACTGTGATCTTCACGAATCTGGGCGCTTACAAGATGCATGGTGCCTTTGCTCAACCTCATACTACAATTACGCACCATTTGGATCTGGCTGATAAGGGTCTGGTACTCATGCATGGTCAAATTGTTCCTGATGGCGGTGTTTCTGCCCCTGAGGCAACTTGGTTGGTTAGCTGCGTGCAGCGTTTCTATGACTTTGAGGGTCAGGCTAGCGGTCGTAAGAGTGAGCTTGTTCGCATGTTCACCCGGGGTGACGTTGAGAACTTCAAGGTTGAGGAACTGCTTGAAGAGTCTGAACGACTCCAGTAGATTCTTGACCCCTTGTCACTTGTATTATATGTATCTCACCTATTTATGTCGGTTGCAATTATAGACCTCATCATTGACAAATAGATGGATATTCCAAGCAGAAGTTTATGGAATACTGCTTTTCCATCGATGTTCGCTTTATAGATAGAACTCAGACCCTGCGGAGTAAACTAAATAGAACTTTAGAAACGGGATGATAATTAGTATGGTCAAGCGAAGGAAGAAGGCTTTATTGATATACCATAAGAATACTATTAGTCAAAGTGTTGGTGGAAACAAGAATACAAGGATAAACAAGACCGTGAGTCTCCACTCGATAGATCGTTCGCCTGGACCCTTCCGGGCCCGGAAAGCAGATTGCCGGATATGCAGCTGAGCACGCGTGCTTATTTGGTAGTCGAAAGAAGCTGATTATTGAGCGGAGGCGAAGATAAATTCGTGTCTTGTTTGCGTGGCAAAGGGTATCATGGTCATAATTGACGGCGTCAATTGCGTCTTGGGGTGAAAGGGCCGGAGCCAGGGAGTCCGAGTCGGCCGTTAAAAGCCAGCATTAGAGCCAAGCAAGTATTCGCACTTCTTGGCGGGAATAAAAGGTTGAGTGGTAATCATGATGATAAGGCCATAGGGCCAGTAGCAAACACTCAGGCCTCACGATAGGAGCGATTCACCGCTTTTTTAGTTTTTATGTTTCAACACCTCTTCTGTCACAAAGGAGTGAATATGCTCGAAATAACCCGGTTCAGCAACGGAGTCATTGTGGCCGCCATTCGGGAGTGTGCGCCAGAACTTGGACTGAGTCTTGCAAACAGCAAATAATTGGGCCATATTCGAGGGGCTATGGATAGTTAGCTTGGGATCAAACATATCAGGGTGAACAGACTTACGGGACAAGCTCGTCTTTGAGTCCACTTAAGAAAAGAATGGGAGTCTTCTCAATCTTAGGTAGAATGTCTTCACTGGTCCAATATTGATGGCAGAGACGCGCCAGATAACGCGCGGGGGGAAATACACTGGTTCGATGTCAGCCTCTCGATCAGACGCCGAAGACACAATATGACGTACTTAGGGATCAGTTTGCGGATGCTGAGGAATGTGTTCTCCAGAATAAGCCCACTGATATCTCCTTGCTCCTCATTATGCGCAACAAGGTTGATAGCCACGGCGCCACCAAGACTCTGTCCGTAGACAATAAGTTCTGTGTCTCGTGTTTCGGCGCGCTTTCGCAGGTAATCAAGGCCCGTTTGAGCATCAATCTTGAGGCCTACCTCGTCTGGTGTGCCAGTTGACATTCCATATCCACGATATTCCAGTAGGAGAACATTGCACTGGAGCGTATCCTGCAAAGCTTTGGCAATGGGAACGCGGTGGCCGATGTTTCCAGCATTTCCGTGGAACATCAAGACAGTCACATTGCGAGCGAATCGGCCAGGTCGCTGGCGCAAGAAGAGCGCATGCAAGGACTCGCCGTCGGGGGTGGGGATTTGCAGATCCTCAAAGTCGGTGATGCCGAATTGGCGAGGGCTGGGGACATTCGTACGTGCATCCACGGGGACATTGCGGGGGTAGATTAGTTCACTGGGGAAGATGTTAGCTCCAGTTGATGACTGGTCCAAGATTCCGATGCCGTACTTCTGCTTAAAATATAGCAGTCCACTTGCAACCACGGCCAGACCAGAAGAGGCCAAAACGGGTAGTCGCATGAACTGCGCAGCACTGTTGGCCATATTGCTGATGCTCCAAGACGGAGGCGGAGGTGATTCGGACATGGCGAGTTAATATTGACCCAGAAAGTGGAGGAGAGAAGAAAAAAAAGTTTTGGTATTGCGAAATTAATGAACAAGTTAAGGGCAATGTCAGAGATACAGGTAGATCAAATAGGGACAACCCCAGGTAATCGAGTCGCAGTTTCAGGAGTTTGTCGCGATAAGTCCAAAACGCCCCCTCACCGCCTTGCCGCGTTATGAGCTTCTGCCTTCATGATAGCATCACAACCCTCCCTTGCCTTCACCATCTTTCCTTGCCGCAATATCTATTGAATTTGTTTTTTTATTGAAGTTTCTCGACATCTCAATCTCATCACAAAATGGTCTCTTCGCACGGAACATCAGGAATGCTCGGTGAAGGTGAGAGCTATCGTCATCCGGCCCGACAGCACCTAGCTAACGTCTCCAGATGGCATTCACGTCGACATGAACCACTTGAAGTCTGGCGAGGTCAAGTAAGCTTTGAATCCCACTGATATCATGAAGCTTTGAAGCTTTGAAGCTATCCAACACTTGCTAATCTCTCGTTCTCCGTCTAGCTTGGGTACCTCGATGTGAGTTAAGCCGGAGCTCTCGAACCTCAACCATCTCTGAATATCCCATTAACCCTGTACCAGCATGGCAATCAACTTCAAAGACGGTGTCATTCTCGGCGCTGACAGCCGCACAACCACTGGTGCTTACATCGCCAACCGAGTCACCGACAAATTGACACAGGTGCATGACACCATCTGGTGCTGCCGATCTGGCTCGGCTGCCGACACCCAGGCCGTGGCCGACATTGTCTCCTACCATCTCAACATGTACGGTGTAACGAACTCCGAAGCCCCAACAACCCAGGTGGCTGCATCGCTCTTCCAGGAATTGTGTTATGAGAACAAGGACGCACTGAGGTCAGTACCTCTCAATCTGTGATGGTCATCAACTTGTACTGATCTGATTTCTAGTGCTGGTATCATTCTTGCCGGTTGGGACCCACGACACGGTGGTCAGGTGTACTCGATACCTTTGGGAGGATCCCTTCACAAGCAGTCGTTCGCCATCGGTGGTTCTGGATCGACCTACATCTACGGTTACACCGACGCTCACTGGCGGGAACAGATGACGGAGCAAGAGGGCATCGACTTCGTGCGGAGCGCTCTGCAAGAGGCAATCAAATGGGACGGTAGCTCTGGTGGTGTCATTCGCCTCGTGGTGCTGACCAAAAACGGCGCCGTGAGACATCTCTATCTGCCGGACAACGGCTACACTGGGCCGGGTGTGACGAATTAATAAGTTTCCTAATATTGCGTCGATCTCCGAATGAAATGGGTTCATGATTCCAGTGTTCTGTTCTGTATGAGATCTCCAGGGCTGTCCAGTCTTATGGCGCACCCTGTCAAAGACTGGAGGTTTTTTAGAAGAGACCAAGAAAAAAAACCGTCCGAGAGGTCAGAAAAGACGGAGGATTATTGCAGATGAGACGAGTCTGGGGTGATACTTGTCCCTTGGCATGAAGTCAACAACACGGTCTCAAAGCCATGAGGAATTTATGTATAATGGACATATCTGTAGTACGCAGTACTCCGTACCTGTCCAATGTACTACTCGTACATGTATCATGCAGCAATCGGGAAATAGATCTATATCCAGTGGAAGCCTTCGTATATCAGCAACGCTCCCGCCACGGGCGCTCAACACGTCGTATCATTCGTCCAAATCACATCTACACCGTCTTTGATTTGACAACTCTCACTCTCCGTTTCTTTTCACTTAGCCTCTAACTTGGCTAACTTGTACGGAGTATCTGACGCGTTTCTTTCCTTCTGAACATGGATTTGATCGTCGCTCGCTGATCCCTCGACGTGCCTGTCCGGTCTAGCCTAGTCACTTGGTAATCGTATGCAAAACCCCTCCTTGACTTGCAAAATTCCGGGAATTCCTGGAATCCTGCGAGATTTCCCCTACGGCTTCTTGTATAGTGGCAAAGTGCGCTATGCCCGCATTGCGACCGCCTTGCTGACTTGCAGAAAACCAGAAACTCCCCAGAGAATACCGAAGTTGACCCATCGCATCATGTTGGGAGGCATGGTCAATTCGGATTCGGTGTCCTCACGGTCGAGATCCAGCACCCCCACCTCTACTGCCCCGCCGTCCGGAGGTTCTGCTCGGCCTGCGAATGATGTCCCGGCTTACATTAACCCAGTTTCGACGCGCACTCCTTCTCGCCCGCCTTCCATGACGTCCCATGCCTTTCCTCCGAGCTCGACACATGGATACTCAGAGTCTACATACCAGTCAGCGCCGGATTCACCACGCTTAGAACCGACATATAAGTCAATGCAGTCTGTGCCGGGGTCGGAGGCGAATTCACCAAGCCGCATTCGAGTCCAGAGCTTGTCCCATATCCAGAGCCTCGCCAACGAAGAAATCGCCGGATCCCAGACTTCCTTTACCTCAAATGGGTCGCATCGACAATATGAGATTAGCTCCATGCCGGTCACGGAGATCATCGAGATGGTCGCGGGACTTCTGACCAGAATCACCACAACCAACGATACCCATCACGAACATGTCCATCGCCACATTCCTCCTCCCGATGGAACATCAAACCTCACCCCGCAGGCTACCAGTGTACTCGCCTTTCATGGAAAGAACGTGCCCAGCATAACTATCCTCAGCTACCTCACTCGTATTCACAAATATTGCCCCACGACCTATGAGGTCTTCCTAAGTTTGCTGGTCTACTTTGATCGTATGACTGAGCTGGTCAACCGGGGCCAGCTAGACCACCTCCACCACCGCTGGGACCGGAACGAAGACTCTGGCCTTTCCTCTGAAGCGTCGGATCATCCGATGCATGACTCTCCTATGGCGACACCACCCGCTGGACAGGATCCGCGAGGGTCGCATTCCTCCACGCCTGCTGGCTTCGCCGGCCTTTCGCCTGAATCAGATACCGAGGCCCTCTCCCATTTCTTCGTCGTTGATAGCTTTAATATCCACCGATTGGTCATCGCTGGCGTGACCTGTGCAAGCAAATTCTTCTCCGATGTTTTCTACACCAATTCACGTTATGCGAAGGTATGTTGATATGCCCTTTCGTCCAAAGCCCCAGCCGCTAATCAATGCTATCTCCAGGTTGGCGGTCTTCCTCTCGTAGAGCTCAACCATTTGGAACTCCAGTTCCTCTTATTGAACGACTTCCGACTAGCAATCTCGGTCGAGGAACTAGAGTCTTACGGCACAATGCTGGTAGAGTTTTATGCACGAGAGGTCGTCGCACAACAGCAACAACAGCATATGACCCTGCCACGATCCATCGACCCCATCGACCCTGCGGATGCATACTCCGACGCCATGTATATGCGCTCCCGCGACAAGCCTCACGACCACGCGGCATTCGGACAACCTCCGACCCCACCGTAGTGCATTCCGATCGCCGTCATTCCGCACAGCCACATGCATCTCTGCCCTCGTGTCTTCTTCTTCTTGACTCCTTTTCTCATCCTTATATTCCGTTGAGCGTCTGCTTACTATATGTATCCATTCTGATTCCCGTCTGGCGTCACATACCCTCCCCCTCGCCCTCTACACTGGATCTCCCAGCGCATTTACATGTTACGACTTGCATAGACTTTGGTTCCTGCCGGGCTTATCGGGTTGTCTCTTCAAAGCTATTTTGTCTTTTTTTCCGTCATACATGAACAACCACTGAAGCTTGGTTTTGGTCTTGTTGGTGTGTCTTATCTCTCGTCATGGGTTGGTGTTATGATTGAGCTTCCTTGCATCGCGTATTTGTTTAAAGGTGTCTCTTGTTCTTGTTTTAGGGGTAGCTTCAACTTCTCTTCTAATTTGATACTTGCTTGTAACTTTCTCGGTTGTAACTTTTTCCCCTCAGACCTGTACGTTTTTTGAATGGCTTTAGATCAAAGCTGGATCTGTCTTCGGTTTCATGGAAATATGAAGTAGTTTGCGAGGTCTATGGAAGTCATTCTGCATTCATTCAGGTGCCTCCATCATTTGTTGAAACAGCACTCATGTCCAAGGTTCCCAGTTGACTTTCAATTGAGAAGAGCTGGTGAATATTTGATCAAAGCAATTCTGATCCCGGGCCGGTCGAACTATACACTCTCGATAGTGGACGGTAAGAACTTTCCATTGCTGGGGGAACTTCGGAGATGCTGCCACTATTGCTATATGTACTAGTTCTCCCTACTGTGCGGCGTAGTATTCGACCAGTTGATCAAAGCAGGCCGTGATTACGTCTCTCCCAAGTTTTTATATAATCCGTAGTGGTGTCAGCTATGCATCCCAGCCAAATGATAACGGATGACCCGAGACAAAAGTTCGATGCCATGGACTAGCATTCTTGTATACCTGGTGTACTTAAGTATAAATCACATTCACACTTCTTTCAAAGTAGATAAATACCCCAGAAGATGCAGATCAGTTTTCCATAGGTCTTCCCTTTGAGATTGGGCACAGCATCTATCAAATTCTAGTGGGTCTTGACATCCAATCCCGAGAAGCTGAACAAGGCTTCCACGGTTTTTACTACACCACATTGCAATCAGCACCTCCAGGGCTAACAAGAAACAGAAAGGTCCTCGCTGTATTTATAGATACTTCCAGTAGCCACTCCTGTTATTTTAAATTTATCTCTGGCTGGTCTTGAATGGTTCAATCATTGAATCATAGTTCGGTGGCCAGTGCACCCTGCCTCTATAAATCTATGGATCCCGCTTAGGGCTAAGTGGTATCAGATTCCTGGAGGGTATTGTAGGTTGACTCGCTTCGGCTCCATTTACCGGCAGATCTTTGCATCCATGGATGTTTTATGTGAACCGACTGCAGCCTGTGGATATAGATGTGTTGTATCAGTTCATCATAGTCTCCAATATCAAAGACAACATCTCTGCGTCTGTCCAGTTCCTGCAAGTCATCTTCCCTCGTTTCTTCACCCACAACTGACTTTATGCTTATTTCCAATTGACATGAGTATGATCTACGTAGACACTAAGTGGTTGGCAGCTAGCTCAAGATGTAAGCCAGTGCTGGAGCTTTTGAGATGCCCCAGGCCCATACCCTCGTGCCTTCCCAAGTAAAGTATGGCCAACGTTCCTGCCCTAACTCGCACCTTCTTCTTTCGCGTTGTTGCTCCGTTGCCCCGTTGCCATGACCGTGTTATTTATTTCCTCCTCCTCTCTCTTTTCTTTCTTCCTTTCCTTTCTCCCCATGCCACTGGCTTTTATCATTTGCACTGCTTGCTCTGCTCTTGATTACTTTCTTCTGCTTCTGCTTCTGCTTTAGCTTCTGCTTCTTGCTTTCTGTTCCCTTTTCTCTGCTTCTTTTTTACCCTTCTTTTCCCTCCTTACCCCCCTCTTCCCCCTCCCACTTCCTTTTTTCTTTCAATCCGCCCCGCCTCACTTTCCTCTCCGCGTTTTTGTTCAGGCCATCCCGTCACGATGTCTGCCTTGTTCAACTACGCGCGAGACTCCCTCACCAGCGCTGGTCACGCTGTCGCGGAAACTCTCGTGGTTCCGTTCCTCCAACCCAGGACTGAGTCTGCCGGCCTCCGGTCCCTCATTAGAAGACATCCCACCGGGTGGCACTCTTGGGTCATGGTTTCGCCTTCCTCTTTCTCTACCTCTCCTGGACATCCCGCCACGATGCACTCCAGTCTTGAGGTCCCTAGCCCTACGAAGTCTTGCTTCAAGATTTCCGGATCCAACTCCCTTCCTGCCAAGGGGCGGAAGAAGGTACAATTCGGAAGAGTTGGCGAAATTTTCGAGGTCCCTGACGGTTTCTCCCAACACAAGACCCCTGAAAGGTCCGTCATGGAAATAAAATGGGCACTCTGGGCTGAGAGAGGGCGGATATTCGACAAGAAGCGTGTGTTCCGCAAGGCTCGTAGGCTGAGGAAGACGGCACGCAAAAACCCGGACTTATTCGGCCGCTCTTCACGCCGTATCAGACACAGGTCTATGCTTGACCCCAGCATGCGCAAGGAAAACCTCCGTCACAGGTTCCGTACCCCGACAGTTCGCCCCCTCCCGCCGACCTCGCCCCGTTGTACTAGTGAGTCGCCCTCGTGGCCAAAGCCCATCGAACAAGAATCTGAAGCACAGCTTGCTCTTGTCACCAGCAAGATGCAATCTTTGTCCATCATCTCTGGTCCTCCATCCCGACTGTCCGGTGTTTTCAAGAGCGTGATAGCTCCTTTGTCAATGGGACTACTCACACTTGGATTCTGGCACCCCGGCTGTTGGGACGTGCTCGGCCTGGCTTTGGTAGGATATATGGCTGTCCAGAAATAGATGATTACCCAAAATTCCTGGTGTGCGCCCCTCGTGGGCGGGTGGGAATGGGTTCTCGTTCATCTCTGGTCTCTCTGGTGTGCACCTCTCGAGGGTGGGCAGAGAATTGGCTGTATATCCCGACTTCTGGCACACATTTCTCATGGTTATGGTTAAGTACATGATCACCCAAAAGGCAATTCTTCAACCCTCGTTCCTCAGGTGTTCTCGGCTTTGGCAGTCTATGTTTGTATTTCCTTTTGTCTTTTCTTCTGTCTTTTCTTCTGTCTTTTCTTCTGTCTTTTCCTCTGTTTTTCTTCGCCTTTTGTTTTGGTTTCGCTTCTCTGTCCTTTGCCTTTTATTTTGATTTCCTGTGTATGATCTCCTGTGTATGATCCATGAATTGTTACTGGGCATTGATCCTGTGTTGTGCTTCTGTCTTGTTGTCTGCCCTTTGAAAAAAAAGAAAACACTCAAAAAAAAGTTTCGTTCCTGTTTTTGCTGTCATGTTTTGGGATGCCATTGCCGTTGGATTCTGGGTGACTTGCGGGGGCTGTTGATTGCTTGGATTCATGTCCACCTACCATGACTTGGTTCAGGGCATTCGTTCGGTAAGTCTTCTTCATGTTGCTGATTCACATGGCCCCATACTTACATCCGATATTGACAGTCTCTTCCTTCGTTCGTTGTCCTCGACCACTATTCCACGTGAGGGTCTCTGTTTCTGAGCCGTCGCGGAAATCAGAGCTCCCGAGGATAGGGTAACGCCTGCTTGTCAGCGTTGTGGTGGCTCAATAGTTTCAAGACTGCCGGTCAGTATACCATGAACATCTGTTTTGAACTCCACTAACAGCATCTCAGCCGTCTTCGAGCCGATATGTCTCTGTTTGCAACCGTGGAAGGCATCAGAGTACATGATGAAGGGGGAACGTCCGGCTGCGAGCCGCGGGCAGGCCCGACGTTGTGGTGGCTCAGTCATTTACGACTGACGGTCAGTATACCGTGGACCCTGACTATTGAGCGCTACTGATAATCTTTCAGCCATTTAGGAACCGCCGCCGTTTCCGAACCGAAGGGTCTCTGTTTGCGAGCCGCGGAAGGCATCAGGGCCCATGATGAAGGGGAAACGTCCGGCTGCGAGCCGCGGGCAGGCCCGACGTTGGGGTAGCGATTTTTTTCCAAGGGAAAGGTAAGCTGTTGTGTACCCTTGCATTGAGCTCGACTGACGTATTCAAAACATTGAAGCTGTGTTTGGCGTGTGGATAGCTTTGTGTTACGTAGCTTAGGAATCAACTCTGTTTCTCTCTTGCTTTCTCTTGCTTTTGCGTCCGTTCCGTAGACACTTAGTTATATTTGATGGTGTTTCTTAGTCGTTGAAAACAATCTTGGTTATTTGCATTTTGTATTTCGCTGTCAGCATTCGGGAAGCAGCAGGGTGATGGTGCTCAAGTGACAATGCTACATGAGCATTGCATTATGAGGTATTAGCTGCCTGTCCTTCATCCGGTCTTCTTATAAGGGGAAGCCTTGGTCTGTCCAACATGGCCGGTGGCACTTCGATGTCCACTTGAGTACGGATGCCAAACGGCATAAAGGGTCAGAAGTAAACTCATTTTGGATTTCTACTTATGCATGAGCCGACCTCGGGGGTGATCCCGAAATCACAGACAAATGTAATGATGGGAACACTTGTGTGATCGAAAGATGGTTTATTGAGCAAACTTCATGCATACGCCGCCCAGCCACAATATAGCAAAGCAAGGTTCTTCTCGTCGGTTGCCTGCTGGATCAACTCATTCACAGTGGCAGTGACACTTAGGGTTTTGCTTAGCTTTTTTGCTACAACAGTCAGAGCACGGTCTGCTTCGCTGGGCTCATTCTTTGAATCAGAGGCACCAGACAGGACTGGAGGCCCCTCTCCAGCCTCTTGATCGTCTTGCATTTTCTTCATGCGCAGAGGTGACACAGTCCAGCTGTACAGGGGATCGTAGCGAAGCACATCCAGAATAGTCATGATGCTGTATGACTCCTGGCGGAGAGCTTCAAGGGTGAATTCGCAACAGCGTCGGAATACACCTTCGGTTTTGGTGACGCCGAACCCATCTACCAGATCACGAGTTAAGCGGAATGGAACGACCTCGGGAACAGGCAGAATGCGTCCTTGTTCAAATGCAACACCAAGGTCAATGTGAACCACTTCTCCGGTCTTCTCGTCAAGGAGGATGTTGTGTCCATGTCTATCACCGAGACCAAGAACGTGACCAAGGATCGAGATCGCTGCTGTGCTTCGAGTGTATGATAACCTTCTGCTGAACCAGTCATCTGGATTATTGAAATTCTCCATGAAGAAGTACTTCATCACTGGATGGAAATGTTCAGTGACCTGTCGATAGGTTCTGACGCGATGCTCGAACGATCTGGTCTGCACATCTGCTATGTGTTTGCGGCAAGTGTTGGGTTTCATGTCCTTTGGGAAATATTTCTGATGTGCTGGCATCAAGTAGTCGTGGAGAGGAATGGTGTTTGGAACAAACTCAATGATTCCAGCATTGGCCGTCAAGGGGAGAACCTTGTAGGTGCGGATGCCCAAGTTACGTTGACGTGTGGGTTGATGGTCCTTGAGAAGACTGCTGACTTGCTCAAATACTTGCTCCATGATGGCATCTTGGCGTAGATCATCGTTTCCTCCCTTATACTTTGGGTAGGTCAGTCTAAATCCTAGCTGATCGCGGAACAGAAAGAAGAAAGGAGTTCGGTTTTAGTATACTTACCAATTGTTTGAATTTCTCACCGTTAGATGCAACAGCTGTCACAATCTTCGGGGCACTGACACCAGAAGCAATGGTAAACTCCGGGCTGAACTTTGAGATTGTTGGAACTTGGCTGTAGTCACAGTCCACTCGGAGGTTGATCTTCATCGTAGGTGGCGGCAGTTTGTAACCCGGGATATCTTTTGCTAATTTTTCGCCGGTATCTAAGCTTTTCAAGGGAACCTTCGCACCACTTTTGTATTTGCTTTCCGGTTTGTCGACTGCGAATCGCACATAGGTGATATTCGCATTGTGAACAACAACCCAGGTGGGACCAATCTCGCTATCGTTTTTGAGCCGGTTCACAAGTTGATTCGCAGCCTGGAAGCGCGACTGAGATGACTGATCCTTGCCTCCTTTCGACTTGCTACTAGCAAATATTTGATACATGCCGTGGAAGGGATGTTCAACACAGATCCTGTATACCAGCTTCGTGAGCAGCGATTGGAAGTCATCAGAGATATCGAGCAGTCGAGACGAAAGCTGATTCATCAGTGGCGCAAATTTGCGGCTAGGGACATCGGTGAGTCGCCGAGAGACAGCTGAGTTAGCAGTTTTGCTAGCCGAGTTGTCGAGCCAAAGTGCACAGAATCGCAAGGCATCATTGTTGTAGGTATCACATTCCCGCAAGCAAAGAAGATAGTTCTCGAGGCACTGTTCGAGGAAGGCTTCGCGGCTTCTCAGTAGACGTTGATACTCACGGTCATCAAGATCAAACCATTGCTTTGCTTTTGCCCGATAATTCTTGAGATATTCTCTCTCTTTACCAGTGGCACTCTTCATCATGTCTCCAAGGTCAACCACTTCCTGCTCCTTTCGATCTCGCAGTTGTTCGACTCGCTTGAAATCCTCTATTCCATCGGGATTCCGAAGTTGTTCGTCACAAAAAGTTGCGAATCCATGATAGACTCGACCAGCCTCTTCTCCTGTGTTACCCTTTAGGTCTTTGACCGCAGGATAAAGATATTCTTGCAAGATGAAGTCGGGTTTTTCTAAGCGTGCCTCGGCCACATGATGGCCCTATCAAGCCAGGTGAGCATTGTAATCATTTCGGGGGTGGATATGGAAAACAACTTACCAATGTGACGAGAAGTTCAGCACGACTGAGTGGAATGGCTTGATTGGGGAGGTCGTATTGCCCCTTCAACTGCTGAAGCATGCGAATTGAAGCGGTCATCTCGCCTTGGTCCCAGAGGACATTGGCAAGATCGAACTTTGCTGCACCATCAATGTTCAATTCAAATGACGGCTCGGCCATTTTTGAGAGGTTGATTGCAGACTTTAACGATGCTTGAGAGTTACCATGGCTCCTGGTGATTTCCAGAGATCGACGGATGGCCTTGGCCTCAAGCAACCGTGAATCCACAAGGCTCAACTTTGTCCGTGATTTGAGGACATCACTTTTCCTGATGGATGAAAACAAGGCTTCGTGCCAAGACAGAATCTCGCTAACCTCATGGTAGCTGGTGAAGTTAGATGCGAGTTCATGGAAACACCTTGGAGATATAGTAACTCACCTTTCTGTCTTTAGCCAGTGGCTTCTCGTGGTAATCTTACTCCACTGCCCTTCTATTTCCTCGGAACAGGAAGTGTGTAAAGTGTCGCTCACTTCAGTCATGATTCCCAAGGCCCGCATCGAAGCTCGCAACTGTATGGCAGATCGACCTGTTTGAACGGGGGATCCAGCTTTGATAAGATTATCAAGAGTCGCTAACAAGCCCTTCTCGACTGAGCTCTTCATTTCGGAAAAGGAACCCAATGTGTTCAGACCCTGGAATGTTCGGAACACGGTGGCTGAGGGTGATGGATCTGACGGTGAGACTGGCAAGTCCCATTTTTGAAGACTGGTCGCCGCTTGGAGTGCACTGTCAAAAGCGATCGAGGCACCATTTGTATTACTCGAAGCAGAAAGCATGGTGTTGGCGATTCCCTGAAGGTTGGTTGAATTTAATGCTTTCAACACTCCGTATGATTCTGCACTGTCAGTCATTTGGATCTCACTGTCGTATCTCGCACTTTGAAACAAGAGGTTCTTGAGTCCAGAGCCTTCGTACTCTAGCTTCTCCATGACGCTGGCCAGTGATGAGCTTCGCTCGATGCCATAAAACAAGTCCGGATCGTCTATGTTCTTGAAGACATCATGTAACAAGTCGGCTGGTGGCTCATACTTGACAACAGACGTCCGCCGAGAGCCTGAAATTACTTTGGATGTCTGAATCTCCAGAAACAGAAGAGATGTCTTCTGAAGCCCACATCGGTGAGCGGCCGAGGATGCTTCCCCAAAGTCAATATCGAGCCACTTATCACGCTGTACTATCGTTGACTCGTCTGGAACAGGCTGGTTGCGAAGATAAAGAATGCAGCTTATGACAAGCTGTGCATGAGGAATCTTCTCTTCGCTGATCTCACTTAAAACCTGTCCAAACGCCGCAGAGATGGTTTTCCGAACCTCTCCTTTTTCACCTTTGGCATATCTTTCTGAAAGCAGCACATCATGCGTCACATATGGCAGTAGCTGCGCGGCTAAGCTCGGCGTGACATTCATGATTTTGCGAAGAGGGCCAATGACAGGGTCATCTAGAGCCGAATTTGATAGAAGCAAGGAGATTTCACGAGCCCATTCATGAACAGTAAGCCCAGCAGTAGAGGATGAGGCATTTTCGCACCTTTCCAGCTCAGTGTGTGAGAGCGGTATATTGGGACACGAGTATGGACTCCAGATGAGTGCCTTCATCAAAGACTGGGGGATAACATTGTCGCAGCCTTGGAAATCTGGGTAATCTGCAATTATACTGATGATGGACTGCAAGGTGCGTTCAACAAGGCCAACTTCATCCTGCTGTTGTCTATGCAGCATGTCACAAAGAACCCTAAGAATCCGTGACTTGGAGTAGCAGAGAAGAGAAGATTGGTCAAACAGCTCGGAAACTTCGAAAAGAGAGATATCTTGTTCTCGGACAAGCAACTCATCAATCTTTCCAGTAGCAGCGAAAGACCTTCCAATAACCTGGGCGGCCCAGAGTCGATACTGAGAGCCCCCATCAAAGTTTTGAAGTGTATTCCATAGAGAGACGACATGGGGGGAAGCATCCAGATCACCAATGCCTGAAAATTCATCGCCGATCTCGAATGTCTGCTCGAACTCAGGACACACAAGTGACAGAACGAGATCTGCCACGGGCCTTCTGAGCAGCGATGTCGTAGAATCACGATCCTGAAGTACCTCAAAAGCCAGGTCTCTCCCTACTTGTCCGATTGAAGACTTTGGGGATGTCGGAAATTTCTCTGCCAGAGAGAGTATCCTATGGAATGAATCTTTTGTCTCCTTGTCCCAATCCGAGGAACCGAGGGTGCCAAAGAAATCCACAAGCCATTCATAAAACTTTTGCGCAGTTGCTTGCACGATTGTGATTTGACTCTCCTGGGTGCTATTTTCAGATGACGAAGAGAACAACGCGCGGAGGGTCAAGAGAATTGTGACAGCTATTCCCACGGCGAATCTTGGGGTTTCCTGAAGATATGACTTTCCGGCCTCAAGAAGATACCAAACAACGCCAATGGCATCCTCGGAGCAATAAATGTCACCAAGAAAGGGGCGTAAAGAGCCGAGTATCATCTCAAAGGGATAATCTTGCAGTATGATCGGGCCAGCGACGCAGACCACAATCCTGATTTTGCGAATCACTGAGCAGGCATGAAGCGAGCCTAGAGCGGGATGTATAGTTTCAAAAAGCGAGCGGCAGACAAAGGATGCCAGCGAAGGTGTCCAAATTGATAAGAATTCAAATCCGGTGCGATCGCAGAGTACCTCGATTTGGTCCAGAAGGTAACGTGCGCGAAAAGACGGTTGTTGGTTAGCTGGTAGTACGCTATGGGACAGGCTCCTGTCGTAGATCCGCGTCTGTATGTCTAGGGCGTAAGCGAATTCTTCTTTGCGCTTTGAGAATGCTCTCTCGATCTGGTCGTAGTAGTCGAGGGATTTGAAAAATTCGGCAATGATGGAGGGAAATTGTATTTCGACCTCACTCATGAAATTCTCGGCGCCAATCAATTTCCGCAGACGGGGTTCGACGCCCTTCGGCTGGCTGCTCTGCCGAGGAGTGCTTATGTCGCGTGCAATGCTGTATGCCTCTGCTTTGTGGAAAGAATGTGTCAAGAACTCAAGATGATCGACCTTCACTTGCTTGGCGAGCTCGATTGTTTCCTGTTCTTTTGCACGCATGATCATTTGACCAACGACCTCATCTTTGACATCCAGAAGCATCTCTTGGAGATTTTCATACCCAAAAATACTTGATGGCATTGACATGACATCCTGTGTCTCTGTCCATGTGTAAAGGATTTGAGAGGAAAAAAGCCGGAAAAGCTCTTTGGCATCTTGAAGGCCAAGTAACCGCGAGACCGATCTCATACACTTCTCGGCATACCACAGAGACTGTGGCACTTGAGCCGGGGTTTCAAACAAATGGTAAATGCTTCTTCGCAGCAGTGTGTGCCACCTCGAAGCTAGTTGTGAAAGCACAAAGAGGCGGATTGCAATACCCTCAATCCATTCTGGATCTCGAGGTAGAGTTTCCAGTATATCGTCAAATATTGCATCGTGATCTTTGAAACGAAATCGTTCGAATAGAGTTGGAATGAACTTCGCAATGCTGAACTTGACTCGTACGTCGCCTTCGCGAAGTATTGTGAACAAGCTTGTTCGCGGTGATGGAAGGGACCGCTGATTGCCATATGAGGAGGAGCTTCCCAGCACATCCTGAATGAGTCCAGCTAAAGCAATGGAGACCTCAGAAGTAGCCTGCTTCCGAGCCAATGGTACTTCCAAGAACCATTGATACAGATCCATGGCAGATTCCTTGAGATTTTCATCATTTCCAATTGTCCATGAGTCTTGAAAGCTGGCCATCATGCCAATACAAACGCATAGTGAGGCTTCACATCTCTCCATCTCATAAGACTGGAGGCATTTTTCACCCAAGTCCTCAAGAATTGAGAGCAGTTCAGGAGGTGTGAACCTCGAACATCTTCGATAAACCTTTGGTAATATGGATTGAGCTGAGAGGATGTCAGCTTCATCTAAGCCTGTCAGGTATTCAATGGCATGAGATCTTTGTGAAGTCTCAGAGGAACTGGAATCTGCATTGAATGCAAGATATGTCGATAGCTGAATGGTCACGCAGCGTTGATAGGTGTCTGCGTCAAGGAAAAGAGATTTGGAGTTGCGGTTTGTGGCAAGAATGGTATCATCAATTGCTGCTGACGCCTGTTCAGTTGAGAATCGATCATCTAAGTCCATGGGATCATCATCAGATGGAGCTTTTGAACTCTGGCGTAGATGCTCAAGTGCTTGTGACAATGGTGAAACAAGCTCCTTCAGGCTATTTTGAATGGCGGAGGGTGTTTCGTTATTCATCAAAGGCTCTAGAAGCGGCGATATCAACTCTAGGCAACTGTGGGCGAATGCAAGCTCGTTAGTTGTCAGGAAATTGCAGATCGATTTCCAAAGACTCGAGCAAGTTTGATGTAGCTCTTGTGATCTAGATTGGGTCGATTGAGGCAGGCATGAGGTGAAGAGATAAGTCACGACACAAAATGAAGCGAAAATCTGCAGGCTTTCTGGCGTGATGCGTGAATTCTCTTCGATCATGGCATGCCACGCTTGCATGAAGGATTCGGACCTCAAACGAAGGAGGTCCAATATCGCTGCATCTTCCGGATCTTCCCTAGACGATTCTTCCAGTGATAGTTCTTCCCAGGATCCCCATGGGTTGGGATATTGAGTAACGCCGGTGTGAAAATTGTATTCCAACAGCTCACGATTCTCATAAAGAAAGAACCAGCTCCGAGCGACATTTCCCATGGGTCCGGCCACATGATAGTGAGGTATGGGGAAGTATCGATTGGTACATGATAGTAATAAATCGAGCAGGTCCAGAGGGCGAGCATATACGGCCACTCGGGCTGTTTGGATGCGATCGGTCATCCCAAGAGTCCAAACTTCCCTTAGCCAGCCACAAATCTCTTTCACGGTTTCTTGAGCGGATCCAGGGTCAAGTTGTGTCCTTTTACGGGCAATAAAGGTCCATAGTCTAAGAGATGAGTCCGAGATGGCAGATGGCCCATTGGCGGAAGCCAAGGTTGAACGTGTTTTTTCCATGGCAACTGAGTAATCCAACAGATCTGACTGTAGAATCGTGCACAGAAGGTGACAAGCAGCCCTTGAAGTTAATGGAGATGAGAAATTACGAGTGGCAAGATCAACAACTCGCGGCCAGTGAGCTCTAATCTCAGGTGACTTCGCATTTGGCCCCTTCGCAATACTAAATTCGATCAATTGTCAGCAAAACCATGGCCTGGTATATCCACAATAGCTTTCGCTGGGGTGTTTCCGTGATTCCCAATGGCATTCACAGATTATCTCCACTTACCTTGTCAAAGCAACCATTGTCCACGATGCCACCGTGGTGTTGTCATCAGAGATGCTGAAGACGAGCCTCTTCAGGAATATCTCCTTGGTTTCGATATCGAGCTCAGATTCAAGGAACGGAATTAGTTGCAACGCACATGTCCGTCTTGTGCCTGTTGCCGAGACTGCATCTCGGAAGATGTCTTGAATCTCGGACTTAAGGCGCGTTTTTTTGACAGACTCTTCGCGAGATTCAGTGGCTTTGACCCGGCCATTTATGTCTTCTGAGAGCTTGAATAGCTCTGCAATCATCCAGATCACCGTCCAGTTATACTCCGATCTAGCGTTACCTAGACGAGGTCCATATACGGGCATTTCACACTCTTTGTCGTTCTGGCAGAACACTATCTCGTCGATTTGTAAACTCTTTTTGGCAGAATGCTCCACGTATTCCGAATGAAGCATACTGACCAGCTCCTCGATGTCATGTGCCAGTGCTTCAGATGGATCCTTTTGCACAGCATCCACCAGTATCACCATTGACAACATCAAAGTGACGAGTAGTTCATCCTTCAAGGCCTGTAGCTTGGTTGTAGCCCAAAGGCGACGGATTACTGGGACCAATCTCAACAGAGACGAACAAACAAGCTCGGATTGATCGAATAGAACTTTCGCAACGACTGCATTGATGCTACTGAACGCAAGCTGGTGTGCATTACCAGCCACGCTGATAGAAGGCGATTCGACGAGCCCCACCAGCCCGTGAAGAATGGTCTGGGCCGTTGTCTGAAGAAAGGCATTTGGAGCTGCTGTTAAGCATTGTATGCACAACATCACCTCCTCAATGGAATTCCGATTGGTGCTGTGTCTTTCTCTGTTGGCTGGAGCAGGGGTCATCCTAGAGGGCGTTGAACGACCGTCGCTTGCATCAGGATCATCGTACCCAGACCGAGTACTCCGAATGCTGAGCTGGCTCTCTTCATTATCCTGTTGGGCTATACTGGCAAGGCAAAATCCAATGAGGGCTTCCCAGTCGTCTTCATCAAGATGCTCCACATGAGGTCGGTAGCGCAGAAGTGATACCAGGCTCTTAATGTAATCTAAGCTCAAGGGTTCCCACAGACCTTCTCCGGGGACTGGGATAGTTTCGGTGATATGATCGATGATCGCACGGATTGTTTTGATCCTCAGATTTCTCAAGAATAGGTCAACGGCCATCCGGATGACCGATGCACATGTTGAGAGTCTTAATGCAGATGAGCTCCTAGAGCTCGTCTGACCTTTGTTGTATAATAATCTTTCTGCTGCGATGAATCGAAATAATGACTCGAAAACCTTATGGCAAGCTTTATCGTTGAGTTTTTGTCTATGGATGTGATGTGAACATCATTAGACAAACTTTAGACGGTCTTGCCGGGGACTCCATATTTACACTTACAACTTCGAGCCTGTGTTTCGCTGAAGGATATGCTTGAGGTCAGCTAAACCCTCTGAACGGGTCCTCTGTTTATCAGACGACAGGAGGCCGAGTGTTGTGTCGAGAAAGACTTCCCCCATGGTCGCGAGTAGAGTTGCATCAATTAGCTTAGCGCCGAGGATCTGACTCTCAATGAGGCTTCTGACAAAAAATCATTGCTGATCAAGTTGTGTCAATACTAGACTCGCGATTGTTTAGTGGAGTGGCAGTACTTTCTGGCCGCCCCGATTACTTCCCTACACCGCCCGGAATTTTGATCGCGTTCCGCCTTTTTGGGCCAAACAGAGCTTCGAGCTTCACTTTGCACTTCACTCACCCGCGCCGTCATGGCAGAGCTCCTCGGTATTCGGACTGACCTGCGTGGTCTGTACCAGGACCTTTCTGCTGTATCAGAAGGGCACCTTGACAATGTCGAGCGACTTTGTTTCGAACTGGAGACACACATTCAAGACTTCCGCAAGCTCCTAGACAAGCCAGCAAAAAACAATGCCAGTCGTCAGGCGGTTCTCTCAGGTGAGTCAACCCCCAGCATGGTTTTTTACTCATTCCAGGCTGTGGCAGTACGTTGACGTCAAGCGCGATGCTTTAGGGAAGATTACCGTTGCGGAGGTTGAATATTCGGTCAATGCGGATTTCCAGCAGGGCGCACTGCAGCTGGCAGATGCCTTGGACCTCGATGAATTACAGGCTGCAGAAATGTTTTTGGTCGCCCAGGAAGATTCACAGGCGATGGACAGACCCCCTCTCATCGCAGCCATCCTATCCTTCCATGAGCGCCGCCTATTTACTCTGGAGTGTCTACGCCTCATTTTCAAAGAATCAAACGAGGTCGAACACGAAACCACCCAGGGTGTCATGCAAGAAACACTATCCTACATCCTCGAAATCAAGAACAGCTCTTTACAAAACGCCTCCCTCTTTGCGCGAAAAGCTCTGAACTCCATGGCCGATATTGAAAGATGGATGACGCTTCTTGGGGATCAAGCTCAAAAGGCCACTCTCGTTGGCCAGGAGAACGACAGCGATGTCATGGAAGCCATTGATTTCCAGCGTGGCAGTCTCAAGCAGCAGCACGAATCGCTTGGTGCAATCATTTTCTACATGTTCAAGGGCACGTATACTAGCCCTGAAGACTTCCGTGCTCTTGTGGGGCAATTGAAAAACCTTGACCGGTTCGACGGACAACTATTCGACTACATGCCCGTTACAATTGCCGCTTTTGTGCAACACGGTTCCCCCGAGGGTTCCGGGTCCGAAAAAGTGGCCCGGGATCTGAACAAATTGATGACATCGACGCAAGAGAGCCAAAGCTGGAAGCTACCGAATTTCCATGCATGCATTGCTGTTTTGTGGATTTCGGTTTACAGCGGCTGGTATTTTGATGGAATGACATCCCCCTCAGTCGATGCCGAGAAAGAATCTGAAGAACGCACCAAGAGCTTCATGTCTTCCCTTGATGATGGTGCTCTTGACTTCATGCTTGCCATTTGCTCCACTGTTAATGATAAGGAATGGGCTGATCCTGCACGAAGTGAACTAGTTTCTCTCCTCCTACGGGAGAGCGTCGTCTCGTTGCCTGAATCCGAGTCCTGTTCCGTCTACATGAAGCAGCTTTTGATGGAAAACTTCGAGGTCTTTGTGGAGACGTGCATCGCCAATATGCCTGATGCAGTCCGACAATTGAAGTCTGAGGAGGACTCACAACGTCTGGAGCAAATTACCGCACTTCGCGATGGCCTTACTTCCAATCTCCACCGTGGATTAGTCGAGGCGCGTACTCATCTTGAGTCTCTCCTTATGATCATTACATTTGCATTTGAACACCGCGAAGAGGCTGCTCAGGAATTCTGGGGTGATCCAGATGGCAATCTTCATGGCTTCCTTCAATGGGCATCCAAGCGGCAAACCGTTCCTCGAGTGAGCGCCTTCTGCGAAATGCTGTGCTCGATTTCAGAGGGCGAGGAAAATGCACTCGCAGCGCATAAATTCTTGACAGAGGAAGATAAATTCATGTCTACCAAGTTCAAGCGATCCACGACCATGAGCTGGTCGCAAATGTTTGCCGAGCTCAAGCTGTATGCGTCTCGAGTCACTGAAAAGCCTTCCGGTGGTGCAGCTGGACAGGGACAGAACATGTATCGTGGACGCAAACCAGAGCCCGTCGAGATGAACGAGCCTGAAAGCCCTGTTATGTTGACATGCTACCTTCGGTTGATGGGTCATCTTTGCAAGCAGAGTAAAGCGATTCGTCGGTGGATGTTGCAAAATCAGTCCTTTGACGTGGCAAACATATTGTTGGATTTGTGCAGTGGATCCATTCCATCGCATCTTCGTGCAACTATATTTGCAACCCTCTCAGCTCTTATGACTGACAAATCTTCCTTTGTTGGGAACGAAATGTGGACACGTCTCGACGGGTGGTTGTCGGGAGGATCCATGAGCGCAGGCATTGGAAAATTGCCGTTGGTCTCTAATCCTGCTATGTTGCATCAACAACAGGCTTTGAAGACAATTGGAGAGAGCTTCGACCAAACCAATGCATTTGTTGCTCTCATCAATTCACTTGTATCCACTCCGCGGGACTTGGCTCACGAGTCCATGGCCCTGTCTTTCCCGGAGACATTGGGTGGAGCCTATCGCATGTCCGGTATTGAGCCGTACATTGATTTTGTCTTGGGGCATGCCTTTTCCCGGAAAATCCACGACCTCAGCGAGTATCAATCTCGTCTTTTGACCTTTGGCTGTCTGCAATTCGTAGTAGAAAGCCTGAGGTCATTCAATCAAGACCTCGTTATATTGTTGAGCCAGCCATCCGTGTCCGATTCTCCAGAGCAAACTTCCTCACTTGTCGCTTATGTTTGCTCTCATCCATTTGCCCGTGTGCTGGACTGGCTTTTCAACGAGAATGTCCTCAAAGCTCTGTTTGCAGTCTCCAAGAAGCACACGCCAGAAGTTGTCACTTCGCAGTCCGACTCTTTGCTCGTCTTAACCTTGCTTCGAAGCCTCGAGGTGATGGACCTGCTCGTTGACCTTCAATCAACTTACTTCAACATTGTTAAGCCGATAGTACATTCTCAGCCTGGGTCAGCCAGGACGTTTGTGGCCAACTCCTCACTCTCCTCTTTCGAGGATAGTGTGCTGAACAATTTGTCACTTATCACGTCCTTGTGTATGTATTGCAGTACGGGACATCAACAGCTCACGATAACATCAATGACCCTCCTGGAAAAGCTCACCAGCTCCAGGAAGCTCAACAGAATGAGCTCCCCGGAAATAACCAAATGGCAATCTTCCAACAAGATCGTGGAGGTGCTTGCGGCCGAGGTCAACATGGACAGCATCACCTATCCACTTGTTGATCAAATGAAAACAGATGTCCGAGAGTTTGCTTTCGGTCCTATGGCGGGCGGTTATGTCATTCGAGAGCGCCTTCTCGCTCTTCTGAATACCTGCCTGGCGTCTATCACTGATCGCCCCACGGTAGCTCATCTCATGCTAGGATTTGAATGTGTTGGTACTATCCTAGATGTGTCAGCAGAAGGGCTTTTCGCAAACCAGAAGTCTTTGTTGCATGCCCTCATTGATTTTCTGAAGACATACCCCGAGAATATCGACGGAACCATCATGTCTTGGGCGGTGCATCTGAAACGCATGGCTATTGAGGTCTTGAAACATCTCTGGTCATCTAAGTTATCCAGCTTTTACACGATGGGTGAAATGCGTGCGCAAGCATTCCTCCGCGATATGTTCACCAACCAAATCATTGTCGGGCCCAACACCTCTTGGGATGCATGTGCTGAGGACACTGGCTATTCGGAGGACACTGACTCCTCGGAGGACACTGACGAGTTCCGGCTCACGGATGGTCCAAATGCTATTGCAGAATTCCTTCTTTACCGAAGTCATCTCTTCAACTATGCTGCTAGTGAGGTTCGTTCGGCAGCACAAGCTCGATCACCGGCTTTGCATGCCCAGATTTTATCTATCTTGCTTGGAAACCCTGTTGGGGAGACTGGCGTGCCAAATTCCAGTCCGTCAATTTTCGACTTGTTCGATTTTGCGGACCTCGATGTTGGCTGTGAGCCCTGCACGCCTAATCTCTCTCTCCTGCATGAAGTTTTCCTACAAATTGAACACCAACAAAAGGAGGGCGTGTTCGATCCAGATGGTGTTGGTGAGATGATTCAATTGCGCCGGTCCCAACTAGAGGCATATGCGGAGGTTTGCCATTCTCGGTCGGCGGTCCTTCCTGATTATGAGGATGAGTTTAAACAAGAGACCAAAACCCTGAAATCTTACATTGTCCAATCCGGCCAGAAACGAGTTGTTCGGGAAAATCGTTACCTCGCCCTCCGATCCTGGGTGGAGCTTGTTGCCACGGTCATCACTTGCTCTGCTCTCGATGAAGAAAGCAAACCCGCCTTTATTCTTCACACAATCCAATTAATCACCCCTAAGCTCACGATGGCGATCGAGGCCGATCTTCCTGACGCGCTGGAATTGGCACGACTGGCTGAGCTGCTCATTGGTGCTCTTGCCTCCAGTGCATCGACAGGATCTCGCAGCGGAGATGTGATCGATGAAAAATTGCACCAGCTTTTCCAGCTGTGTATTCGCGGTACCAACTTGGCTGCAGGGAACGTACTGTTGAGGGAAACCCTCTACGGTATCTGCTCTCATTACATTATTCGCATCACATCGTCAGATAAGTCACATGATAACCTCCGACATCTTAGCCAGCAGGTCATCAAGTCGTCTGGGTCTAATCTCATCGAGACTATTTGCGATGACGCATATACTGGCCAAGAGTCTTGCCGTGCATCTGCCCTTGTGCTACTGAACAGTCTGGCTGTCTTGGATCGCCAGACTGATTGCGTTTTGGCAGAATTTATCTCGCGTTCAAATTACCTCAGTCTATTCTTGGATGTCCTCCGATCTATTCCCGTTGAACTCGACAATGCCCAGGAAAGCGGTAAGTCTGCCACATACAAATCACTATGTCCTAATACTAATTGTAATTAAAGACACCCCAGCACTGCTCAACTACTATGAGTCCCTGTTGTCTTTACTCCAGCGACTGTCTCAAACGAAGAATGGTGCAACCTGTGTTCTTAACTCTGGTCTGTTCCAGGCTGCTCACGCATCACGTCTTTTCGCTGCGGACCCCGACATTGGCATAGAAATCGAGAACCCCGACGCTCTTCAAAGATACTATGACCTTCTACTGTCAATCCTTCGCCTCGTGGTGTATGCAGTCTTTTCCCGTGGAATCGACAACGAGCAAATCCAGGAGCAGACCAGGGCATTCTTGGCTGCGAACCGGCCTTGCATGGTTGGTATATTCAAACGATCTGCCAATATTGGAAACACATCTTCTGCCCACCAGGCTACTCTTCATGAGTTGGTCAAGGCGTTCATTACTCTTGTTGCTGCCACCGACTTCATGGATGTACGTTTTCTTACTCCCACTGTGCCGGTTGAATGACTAACCTTTTTTTAGTTCGAGGATCTGGAAATGCAAGAAACCATCCGACCAGCTCTGTTCTCATGAGCGAGTTCTGGAAATTAAGAAGCAATGCATGTATCATTACGAGGTGGGTAGCAGGCGGTTTACAGGTTAAGCGATCATATTCAATTGAATTCATATCTATCATTCGTATTTTTCTGGATCTATATTTCCTATTTGGTCTCTGCAGTGAGGACCTTGGGGAATCAATTTCAGATCAGTAGATCTGTGTAAAACAAGCATCTCCCTGAACTTTAGAAGTTAACATTTGAATGCTAGGTGGTATGTATACCACCCAATTCCATCGAAAACACAACCGAGGTCCACTTCCCTGGGTAATCATACGGTTTTACTATGATCTACGTTCCGAGGTACAGCTACTTAAGTGTACGCATATGCACAAGTCTCGAAGCCTGATATTCATCCATCCGAAGCCCCGCGATTCGCCCCCGGGGGAGTTCCCCACATTCTCCTCACTTGGCGCGGGGGTTATATTGATCCATCCAACTCGGCTGTTTCTTCCATCTTCATTTACCTTGTCCATTGAGACTCACATTTCCATATCCATACTCGGATAGTTTCAATTTCACAATGGCCGACATCCCCAAGACGCAAAAGGCTGCGGTCTACGACCAGCCCGGGACTGTCTCAACCAAGATTGTGGACCTAGAGGTGCCAGAACCAGGTGCTGGTGAGGTCCTGATCAACCTGTACGTATGATTAATCTTTGGTTTGGCAGTACTGATCGTTCGCAGGACACACTCAGGCGTATGTCATTCTGACCTCGGTATCATGACCAACACATGGAGTCTCCTCCCATTCCCGACTCAGCCAGGCCAAGTAGGCGGCCACGAAGGTGTTGGCAAAGTAGTCAAGCTCGGTGCAAACACGGATGCTTCGGGATTGAAAATCGGCGACAAGGTCGGCATCAAATGGATTTCCAGTGTATGCGGAAACTGTCGTACGTGACGCTCCCCTCTCCAAGCACCATTGACCAGCCAGACTAAGACAGAATAGAGCCTTGTCAAGCCAGCGCCGATGGACTCTGCTTTAATCAGAAAGTTTCAGGATATTATACCCCAGGCACATTCCAACAATATACCCTGGGACCTGCGAGTTACGTCACACCCATCCCAGAAAGTCTCGATTCCGCCGAGGCAGCACCACTTCTCTGCGCCGGAGTGACAGTTTACTCGGCCTTGAAACGCAGTCACGCCCGCCCAGGCCAATGGGTCATCATCTCCGGCGCAGGCGGCGGACTCGGCCACCTTGCCGTCCAACTTGCAAGTCGCGGCATGGGACTCCGGGTCATCGGAATTGACCACGGCAGCAAAGAAGGACTCGTGAAGGAGTCCGGCGCCGAACATTTCATCGACATCACCCAGTTTCCAAAAGATGACCAGGCTGCGGCAGTGGCTAAGCACGTGCAGTCTTTGACAGATGGACTGGGTGCACACGCGGCGGTTGTATGCACTGCTGCCAATGCGGCATATGCGCAGGCATTGCCGCTGTTGCGCTTCAATGGCACCTTGGTTTGTGTGGGAATTCCGGAGAATGAGCCCCAAGCAATTGGGACGGCGTTCCCATCAGTGATGATTGGCAAGCAGATCACTATTACTGGATCGGCGGTGGGGACTCGGGCTGAAGCTATTGAGACGATGGAGTTTGCTGCAAGAGGTATTTTGAAGGCGCATTATCGGATGGAGAAGATGGAGGCTTTAACGGAGGTGTTCAAGGAGATGCATGAGGGTAGGGTACAGGGACGGGTTGTTTTGGATCTTTCTGGGTAGTCGCGCTTCAGGTACTTAGTAAGTATTTAGCCTTGGAAGTAGGTATTCGAGTACTTACTTGAGTAAATATACGTACTTAAGTATGCTCCCTGCGTGTAAATCCAATGTTCTTCCCATGCATCCGATCTATCGCAATAAAAGACTCAGGCTGCTATACTCAGGGCAAATTTGTAGCTCACCTAAAGATATATAAACACAAAGGGTGCACTTTAGAGGCATTCTCGGCATCTACCGACGTGGACCCTTGGATATAATACTTAAGTACAATGTATCACAAGTAGACGTGCACTAAATCCATTGAGAGGCACTTTATCATGGGGTTGTTTGTAACACATAAAAAGGATCCCTTTTATTCAAATCCATGAATGTGGAGCTAAAAAAAAGTGGATGGTCAAAAAATGAAAAAGCAAAAAAGAATTGACCGACGCAGGGATCGAACCTGCAATCTCTTGATTCGTAGTCAAGCGCCTTGCCATTGGGCCAGCCGGCCTTCAAGTGGAGTCACCCCCACTTCATCGGGCTAACCCAGTAAGCTACTGGGTTGTTCGATGAATGTCTTTGCCATTTTATGTTATATGACCTCGACAGCTTTTGATAATAATCCCAAGCACATATCAAGATCCAAGGTATGGATTCATTCCTCCCTACGAGTACATACTCCGTACAGAATGCTTTCCCAATGACAAAACCTTAATTTATGACAGTAATGTTCGGAACTTGGCCTCAGAGGAGCTTTAGTCACATACATACCCACAGTTGTTTCCTCTCCTCCTTGTCAAAGCCCTCTGAGCACCAAGGCCACCTGGGCATGTATGCAGGAGTTGTTCCTCGCCCTCAAACCGTGAAAATTTATAGCAGTGGTACGAGATAACAAGCCCTCTGTGCCATGGAGTATGTTTCTTGCAATTCCAACAAAAAAATGGTTGGGTTTTTCACATGCATCAATGTATTCCAATCGTGTACTCAAGTAATTACTATCTGTTATTTGCCAGCCAACCGACGTAGGCTGCCACAAGAAACGTTGGCTGTATATGCGCGTCCGGATATCTCGATAAATGTTCAACCACAGGACCTATAGTACTCCGCATTGTGTGCACAAAGTGATTGTCTGTACAATATTGAATGCTACATTGTTGTACTTGCACCTAAATGGGCACTAACAGACTGCTAGCTCGAAACTAACCGCACTAGCCCGAAAGTGACCCAGGAATGCTGCCGTGTGCACGGCCCAAATGCCCATCCCAGTCGCACATCAATGCTGATACACAGGGTACGGAGCGGAGTATGGAGTAAGAGGGGTTTTTATATAATTTTTTTTTATAAAACGTGGTCTGTCCACTTCCTCTTCTTTGATACGAGTGTGTCACCGCAAAAAGGTGGGTTTCACGTTAATTATTGGACGAATATTTGCATCCAAATTGCCGTTTTTGTCGATAATTAGTCTGACCGCCCGAACAAACCCCGAGGCTTACCTGCGCAGGCTTTGCACCTGATTCAATTCACGATCCGATCTCATTCCCGAGGTCGACATCTCCGTGGAATGACATCAAGCCCCAGATCTCAGTGGTATGTGGAAACGAGTATACCGAACATCTCCGGTGCGAGACATCCGATGTATGTAGATCCGGAACGTGTCTACGGATCGTGAGTATTTGGAATCCAAACTGTTGGTGGGCAGTGTATCCCGCGCCTCGTTTTTTGGTCCCCGATGGATTTTTGACCCAAGTAAGATCAAACATTTCGAGAGTGTGGATGACCCACACTCTACCGAGAGCTATTCCATGGTTCAAGATCTCAAATCAGGACTAGTCCGCCATGCGCAGCAGTGACACGCCCCGGGTCCTATGCCGGACCATGGATGCAGATTCCACGACCACAGTACTGGGTCTCAATATGACGACATGGTCATCGAGTTCGTATTTGCCCCCGAAGGTCATCAGTTCTGTGGCATAATTCGCCTTTGGGACTGACAGTGCTGTAGATGTGATGGTATCAGAGGACCCGGACATGGACCGAGGAAGCACATGTAAAACCGAATATAGGACTGTGATTGAAAATTCATCTAGATGATCTCGTAAACATGTATAGGCATCAACGCACTTAACTGATTGACATGATATGCAAAAAGCAGAACTGACGTTCATCGCTGGAATGTAAAGACAACATAACATGCAGGGGGGTATTGCAATGAATGAACATAGACACGATGACCTCCCAAATTGATAAGACACGATAACCTCCCAGAGTGATAAAAACAAAACAAAACGTATGAACAAATATGTACGGAACTTCAGCGGGTGCGTTTCGAGTAACCTCCCGAGTTCCCATTGCCAGCTGCTGGCCGTTTCTGCCCCGATGCCATCGCGGCACCGGACCTCGCAGTTTGCAGTAGAGAGCCAAGATTGAGAAGATATTGCTTTGGAGCACGATTGACTTCGAGCTTGCGAAGGATGTCTTGCAGCCGGTTCTCGAATTGGTAGAGGTCCAGCGGCGGCAGCGTATTTAGCGCGTGAAGCACAAAGTGCCGCGCGTCTGTTTCAGATTCGGTCTCGATCGAACCTATAAGCAAATGGTAAAGATTGCGCTGGTCTTCATCTTCGCCGTGAAATGAGTCGCGGAAACGATTGTGCTCAAGGGGATCGTTGTTGCGGGCCACAACCGACTCGAGTAGAGACACCAGAGCCTCGCCGGCGCCCTCACACCCGTGTGGACTCCGAGCTGCGATGTTGGCCGCAATTCGTGACACAGCAAGCTGCAGTTGTTCCACCACCTCGTTGACGTCTACCGCCCCGCCCTGGCTTGCAGGATCTGTGTGCGGCTCGGCTGAGCAGTATCGATCGAAGTCGTTCAACAGTCGGCGGGACTGGCCTTGGACTTTGTCGAAGTAGATGGCTGCACAGGCGCCGGGTGGCATGACCTTACACAGGCTGTTGAAAACGCCGTCGTCATGCACCGCCAAACGATAGATTGTGGCCTCGAAGTCTCCCTGAACAACACATTGCTCTGCGGTCCGTGCATGCTCGGTCGTCTCGTTCAAGTCTGGTCGGAACTCCTCAGGAAGAGTCTCGCTAAATGCAGAGAAGATGTCCTTGACCTTCTGAGTTCGCGTCATACCGCTACCTGTACCGTCACCTTCATCCCGTAGGCATTGCCACCTGAGGCGGGCTGCAACAGCCTCCAAGTTGCCCTCCAAGAGACTCTCCAGCCGGGGCTGGAGATCTGGGCGTCCATCTGGAGCTAGTGCCACCTCCATAGATGGAGGCTCTCGAACAAAACAGCCATGGAGTTGGTCAACGAGCCACTATTCAGGGGTAGTGTTAGTTTTGACCTGAATTCCTGATTCCTGACCCCTCCCGTTTCCCAGGACCACTGCCCCTCACGAGTATACTCACAAAGATGTGCTGACAAGCCCCGTCCGGGTGGCTTTGAAAGACGGAGCAAGTGCACGTAGATGAATCCGACCCAATATGGACCTGCGGGCGATCGAGCAGCTGGAATTCATACCCGGCGGTCGTGTGTCGACAGTTGACGACGTCGAAGCTACCGGTTAACCCCACGAGAGCTCTGGCCTCAGTCTCGGAGTCCAGGTGGCTCAGATCATATGTAATGCCCGAGGGGGCCAAGATCGATGCGCTGTTCGATTCGGCCTCTTCTTCCTCACTTGCCTCCTCGTCACTGGAACTTTCCACTGACGAACCGCTGTCATCACTGTCTGGAGGGTCCGGCCGCCCCGCGCGGGCAGGCAGTGTCTGATCAGACATATTTCGACCGATGGACAGCCTGTGAAATTGCCGTGTAGGGGCGGTCATGGCGAAAAAGAAACTACCCACAAGGCTCAGAGGGGGATATTGCTGCTGTCAGTACTCACAGAGTTCTTCCGACCCATGGACGGAAGCGGGTACAGTGAACCATGGAACGGGCTTCCGCTTTAAATAATTAGGCATTTTCGTGAGTGGCCCTGCTTGGGAGATCGTATTTGCGTCTCTCTCTGGTCCTTTTTTTTTTCTGAGAGAAAAAAAAAAATTGGCTTATGATTTTCCTTTTCCCCTCAAAATAATACTAATAAAATAATAAATAAAATGTCGTCTTTGTTTCCAACAGCGCTTAGTGGGAACAGCATCGGGTAGGTGGCGAAGAGGCGGGATTGAGGCTCAGGTTGGGACACGGCGAAGGGGGATATGATGGAGACTCTCAACCAAGACCGCGCCGTTTCAACTATGTTTGGCGATATTGATCAGCATCGTGCGGCGCACAGACGTCCACTAAAGGGGGATCTAGTGGAATGAAAGATCCGGGGTCTGGTGGTTGGGACCCGAGCACACTTTGTCGGCCCAGGGGCATGGGCTACGGGGATCTGATGCGGCCTGCCGGGCTAAGGCGTTGCGCAGTGAAAGCAATTGCATGTATATAGCCGACAAAGAATGTGCGGTGTAATGGGGAATTGACCTAAAGTTCAACCCGGTATGTTGATCCTCAATAGTTGCGAGAGATGGATTCTATAGTTGACTAATGCAAAGCTTGCATTGTAGAGCATGCAAAGTAGACGCCGTGAGGGTGACATTTGGAGCGTGACTGGAAATCGGTTTGCGTAGCAAATTCCAGGAACTCGGGAGATACTCCGTACGAGTACTGCATCGTCCGATACCAGTACCAGTATAGTCTGCATCTGATGCACAGGGATCACCCGAGCAAAAAGAGTTTCGAAATTCTTTCGAAGCTCCAGAAAAGCATCAGTCGGACCCGCCAATGGAGTGAGCTCTTTCTCGTTGGTTAGAAATGCACCCTAGCATGTTCCGTGGTGGAGAATTGCTCTGCCATCACTCTCGGATAGGTCGGTAGCGGTGACCCAATGGCTCGATTTGGCCCAGTGCCGCAGCTACTTCCACAGGGCCACCGCGCAACAAAGAAAAGCCAAAAGCCAAAAAGCCAAACCCAGAACACGCAGGAGATACCCTGCAAAACGTGGGAAACGTGGCCAACGTGGCCAAATTGTGACGGACTTTTGCAGATGAGCAGGGGTACTCGTAACTGCTTGGCAATGGTGTGAGTATTCCGGTATCCCAACGTCTCAAGATGGAGAACCCAGCCGACGAGAAGCAAGTCGCAGGCCACAGTCTTTGTCCAAGGCGCGTCATAAGTTGCCCGGGGCGTCGAATCTGTGATAGCGAAGCTCTGCATTGCATATCGCCCAGAAATCCACCGATGAGATCACCCGGAGTCCCCGAAATGGCAGGCAGGTCAAGGGTGATAAGGGTCCTGCGCGAAGGGCTCCAGCCGCAACGAGCCTAGCTTTGGGTGACATTTATTAAACAATCAAGGGCGCAGCCAATCTGCGCACAGCGCGCATGAGACAGCAGCAGACAGACCCGTCAGTTTGGGTATTGGGTTTCGCCATGCTCTGTTGGTGCGGCCCAAGTACCCCAGGCAAGCCCGGCTGCGGCGGAGACCTTGACTACGCAACACGGTTGATCGGCAGCATTTGGCGTTAAACCAAGCTTGGCTGTCTGCCAATCGCCATCTCCTGGCGCCTAATTTGGGCTCTGCGATCGCTTCTCATAGGCGTTGGGTAACTTCCATATTGAGCTTGGTTTGATGCTTCAGAGATATCGTCTGTGCGCTGCGTTGGAGCAATCACTTGACTTTCCCTTGGCCCCCAATGCAGATGATCTCAGTCATATCGAGGGAACATCCACGTCAAATCCCCTGCGCGATTCTTGCAATCGTAGCGAAGGATAAAATGTGTCGGTTCGAGGGTCGGTGAGCTCGAAGGAAAAAAAAAAAATACACCTGCGCAGGGCCTGGAATGTCAAGAAATCCTTGTGTCACAGGAAAAATACTCCGGTCCATTTCGGAATTCTGAGCTCAGATTCATGACTTGCTGCATTTTGCTGAGTATTGGAACATTGGAAGTCTTCAGACTTTACGGATTATTAAAAAAAGACAGAACAGAAAAACAATCGAGGGCTATGGAGATGGCGTGAAGAACCTGAATCTGCAAAATGTCCTAGTCATTCTGCCCTAGTCTTCATTCAACTAGTACTGCATAAAGTGGGTATCAACTAGGAAAATCACAACACAAAGCTGAAAAGGAGAGTATGACCAAGGTAAAAGAAAATTCGTAACGTCATAGACTTCATGCCTATTCCCAAATTGCAGATAATTACTGATTTCTGGAAGCATTGCGTTTCTTAGCTTCCTCTAACGCTCTGCGCAGCCTCTCCTTGTGCTCAGAGTCTCCATCTTGAGGGCTTACTGGCGGGACATTCGCTAGGACCGGGGCAACGTTTGTTGAGACCGGAGCGGTGCTCGAAGAACGAAGACTCGCAGGCAGAAGAACGTCCGGGGAAGGACTGGTCGGCGCAGAACTCGGGATAGGAGAGCGTCGAGCCTCACTTGGAGGGTTATTCTTCAGGTCAAGAAGAAGTTTCTCGACCATGTTTTCAATCTTCTTCGGCCCCTTCTGAATACTGTGCAACTTCGAGTTGAGCTCACTTTGTATTTTCTCGTCTTCTTTCTTCTTTTCACCCGCCAGCCGATGGAAAATCTCCGGCTCCGAGTTTGCATAACGCGCCTCGGCGACGGAGACACCATAGTCGGCATCGTTGAGGGCCATATCTGCGACCCCTGAGCTGCGAAGAATCGACTCCGAGTCGCTAAGGAGGGATGCTGCGAAAGTCGCTGCAGACTTGAGAATTTGTTCAATCTCAGAATCTGGCAGGCCAGAGGCACGGAGAGCAATGGGATCAAGCTGAGTTGCTTTGGTGGCAACCTCGTCTAGGAGACTCTGATTTGTACCTAGACCATGCAGAATGGCGTCATCGAAGGAGTCCATGAGTCGGTTAGCTCGTTCATCACGGTCCTTGCATGCCTCCAGGATATTACGTCTTTCCATCTGGTCAAACTCGGCATCTAGTTTTCGCAAACTAGCCATATCGCCCATAAAGACCAAGGGTCGCCGCTCGGCTTTCTTCCGACGCCGCTCACAGTCAAGTGCAATTTGAAGGCGTTTCTGGAAACGAATTTCGAGCTTGTTGTGAATATCATTGACCATTTTCATGGTCACAGAGGGGCTGAATCGCTCGCTCGCTGATCCTTTGACCTTTTGATCTCGGTCAAGCTGGCTAAGGGCTGAGTCGTAGGATTTGCGAAGTGCCGCAATATCATCCTTCAGACCTTCATCTAAGGGGTTGAATACCTCAGTGATAAAACATTCAAGTTCACACCGTTCTTCTTCCAGCTGAGCACGAGCTTCAGTTTGCCGGAATTCTTCCTCCAAGGTATTGATATCCGCATAACCGATTGACTTCCCATTGAAAAGATCATCAATGTGTTCCTCAGATTCTTCTTGGCGCAAGAGACGTTCTTGGTCCAGCTTTTGTCGTCTAGCTGCTGCCGCCCCTTCCCATCGATCGGTAGTAAGTTGGATATCTGAGAAGTCATCTGGGAATTTTGTAAGCTCTTCCCTAGTTGTGATGTGCCAAGAACTTTCAGACTGTTTATCCAAAGGTTTCCAGACGATAGTACGTAGGTCTTCTACAAGGCTATTGGGCCGACTTTTGCGAAGAGCTTCTGGTAGCAATGGAAGGGGCGTAGCCTCTCGCTCCACAGGCGTGATATAAGCGACACTCTTATGACGAATGAGACCAAGGAAGGTCTCGTCTCGTTCATTCGAGATCGGAGACATGGTCGATGTGTTGGATCTTGATGGTAATGCGAGGGCCTGTCCGTTTGACATAACACGCCCATTGACAGCGGCCTGTCGCAGATCGGAGTACGCTTGATATGCTGGACGATCAAATCTGAGATCGTCTGAGCCCCGCTGAGGGCCTTCCGTGTACTGGAATGGTGTGTATATGGGTTGAGGAGGATTCGTGGTGAGAGGCTCTAGTACCTGCTTCGGCACGTCCGCGGAACTGGGGAATGATGAAGTTCTCGCTAGACCAGATGCTGGTTCTGCGCCTGAAGGTAGCGTAGACAGCCTCGGGAAAAATTGCGAGCTGTGTCGCCCGGCGAAAATCGGGCGGCCACCTGCACTGTACTCACTGCCAGCATCGTCTAGATCTTCATCCTCTGGCATTGCTGTCGCCGATCGAGGTAATTCTTCCTCTGATGTCACTGGTACCAGGCCCGACTCGATAGGTACCTCGGGCTGAGTAGGATGTGGCGTCGACTGAGAATTGGAGCTAAGATCTCGCGGAGGCGACTGAGTGGCCTCTGGCTCATGTTCAATGCTATACAGTATTTCGCGAAGCTTCGTTTCCTTGGCCATGAATGCCGTGAAGATCTTGTAACGCTCTTCGTCCAGGTCAGCAACTGCCTCCTTGCGCAGCATAGCAACAAAACGCTCCAAAGATGACTTGGACCAAGGGTCGAGATCCTCGAATGGATCTGGATTCACCCGCGGGGCCACAGTGGCAGGCCTTTCAATGCTTTGCACAGAGTTATTGGAACTCGATCGCATATTCTGAACAGCCGATGGGTTGGCATGCACCTGCGAGTGTTCGATCGGGCCAGTTTGGGTTGCTTGTCCAGGACTCGGCGACCGATATGCCGGGTCTGCAGACAAATGAGGAGCCGGTTTGACGGCGGGTGATAATGGTCGAGTCCACGTATCGATCACATTGTCGATAGTGTTCGACCGCCCCGCCATATGCATGGCAGGTTCGGTGCTGTCCACGCGAACCACCGCGGGCGGGGTTGGCATCCTATTTGAGTTGCATGGGCTGACAGGAGAGTTCGAATTATCTTGTCCCAGCTGGGTGATGCCGGAGATGCTGCTCGAGAAGGTTTCATTCGTATCTGTTCTTGGGCGATAGTGTAGATCGGACGCGTTTGTCGCGGGCACATTAGGGATATCGGAGGGCTCTGGGGCTGGCCTCACAGGCTCCTTAGGCGAGGGCGTCCTCCGCGGTGGGAACCAAGCTGCATCATCGAAATCCCCTGGCGAAGGACCGAGGTGTTCCCAGTCTGACGGTGTTCCTGGCCCCAGAGCCGACGCGCCCGTGAATGATGTGTTTGTGTCGACTAGATGCGGTGGCCGAAACGCGTAGGATCCCGTCATAGCAGCTGGCCCTACACCTTGCGCAAGCAGAGGTGGACGCGTGGTCTGGCCATACGGCGCTGTCGGTGCATTTTGACCTTGTAGGATCTTCGGGGGCGGCGGTGGAACGGCTGGTGGTGGTGGTGCTGTGTATGGCGCTTGGGATGCATAGTTCACGGGCTGACCACCAAAGGGGTTATTCGGGCCAGGCAAGTTTGACTGTTGCAGCGCGTAGGTATACGGTTGCTCATTTGTACTTGAAGGCCGAGGCTATGCAACTGTTAGCTACCCGCACGGGTGCCTGCGCTGGAGTACTCACGGGCAATGGGGGAGCATGGTGTTGGTTGAACCGCACTCCCCATGTGGTCGTATCCGCACTGGGACTTGTTGTTGTCCTCGGTGGGTTTGAGATCGGTCCATAAGTGGCTGGTGTATATGAAGCTGGCGGACGCGGTGGGGGAGGTGGAGGGGGTTGAGAATGCGGCTGGGATGGGACTCGCCATTCTGGTTGAGAAGGATCAGAGCTCGACTGCGCATACATCCTACCGTTAGTCACCTTTCTCGAGGAATCGAAGAGACAAGCGCGGAGATTCAAATAGAAAGATAAACAAAGTCGGAATTCTGCCGGTCAGCCCGACATGCAGGGTCATGAGCCATCTCCCCTATACTCTATGCTTTTGACGGAGTACAGAGCAACTACAGATGACAGATTATTTGTGCCATGACCTCTAGATGTTGAACACCTGATTACTTACACTCTATTGCATATGATACATTCAGGCCCTGGGTTCCCAGGCTTGAGAACGTTGGCTCTCTTTGTCCGGTCCTAACCATCTCGTTTATCTGTGCAAATATGACCGGGACATTTTTCCTTTGTCTCGAGCCCTTGATCTATTTCTTTCATGTACGGGAGAGCCGAGAGATGCAGTTCACTCATATATTCGAGATGAGCGGCCCCGACTTCGGTCTGATCTATGTACTTGACATATCAGATCCCCAGATATGGCTTCGCCTATGCCTAGTCCCGCTGCTCCGAGACTGGCAGAGGTATACGACACCTTCGCCGATATTGACATCATAAACGCCCCTCAGTATCCGAAGGGACCAAATATTCATACCCAAGTGCAACTTGGCGACAAACTAACCGAAGACAATGCACTTCTTGCCCGTCGGCTCTGGGAAGGACCCGATACTCATCTTGGAGATGCCTGGAAAGCAAAAACCAACCGACCATATCCACGGGATGAGAATGAGCCCACAATCATGCACGTGCTTGCACACAATGTCTATGAGCATCTGATGAGCAGCCCGTTTCTTCCAGTCTCGCGTGAAGCTGCCATTGCCAATTGGAGAACAGAGAATCTTGATGTGACGTACGACGGCATTCAAGGATTGAATGCTTTGCGAGACAACATCTTCGTCAACGGTGTCAGCCCTCTGAGTGCACGACAAGAGCATTGGACAATACCAAAGCTCAAACAAGAGCTTAATGCTAGAAAGGTTCCTTTCGACGATAAGTCGAAGAAGGCTGCACTTCAAACGCTTCTTTTCGAGTTTGAACTTGACCAGAAGGTTGGGGCCTTAAAGCGAACTAAGCTCAGCCATTGGGGTATCAATCGTGCGCACACGCACATCGTCGCACCTGCCAGGAATGCAGCCCTGTCGGCACTCGATATGTACACTGCAGCAATCAGTTTGAGTCCATACAATCCCACATACTGGACAAGTCGCGCATATTGCCATTATTTGCAGGGTTTCTTTGATCTGGCCATCGGGGACGCCTACCGCGCCCAGCTTCTTTGCGAAGTATTGACGTTGGCACTCAAAAGGAACCTACGCCCGGGGCTCTACACCCGGGTCTGGGACGCAATTCAAATGCATCTCATGGCAGGGTGGAAAAGTGGCAGCAACGCACCCCCGGAGATCCTTCAAATGAGGAGGGCCAATGGTATCAACTATTTCATTCCAACGCTGAGAAGTGCATTTGACAACATCATCTGTCTCAGTCTTGCAGCAATGAACTGCTGGGATGATTTTAATATCTACATGGAAGAACACCTCAGAAGAGGCCTCTTGGCCCAACGTGAAGCTGACACTCCCATCCAACGCAAGAAAGCAGTCCAGTGTATCATAAATGAGATCAACGAACGAAGGACCCAGCCCTCTGCGGGACGCCAGCCTCTTTATGGGCACGAGTGGATGCGAGGATGGGTTTCAGGCGGGACGCGATATCCCTACGAGCCCACAGATGTGAATCGCGAAGCTGCGCCATTCCTGGCGACATTGAACAGGAATGTGTTTACCGTTAGCGCACATGCCACTGTGGACAAGGGCTTGTGCGAGGTGAGGCCAAAAATACTCTCAGATAATACTTCCAATGGGTTGGGGGTTTTCGCCACTACCAAGATTGCAGCAGGAACTGTTATTCATTATGAAGAGCCCGTTATCCGTGGACATCTCCAGCCTAATATCTTGGCAGATGGCCAAACATCAGCCGCGCACACCATATCACGTTGTGATAACTGCAAGCAGCCAATTCCAAAAGAGCAACTGAAACACATCATTGACAACCTGGAACTCATAAGAAATCCAGAGAAAGACACAGCAGGAAGTCATCCTCTGCCTTGTCCATGCCTGAACCTGATAAACCCACTCAAGGATGATCTTCGAAACGACGGTCAGCCTCCTGCTCAGTTTTGTGCCGACAACCAGAGAAAGGATGCGGCTGGCAACGCCATGCCCTGCAGGCAGATAGCGTCAGAGATATATGCGTTCTCAGAGTTCAAGGATATCAAATGGGACTGGCTACACAATGCCATGCGAGCTAATATAACAAGACATGCTAATAGAGATCACTTCTCAGCTCACCATGAGAAACACGGCACTGTGCTGAGTCTATTGCTGAAAAGTGTACTTGAGATCACTCTACATCGCCGCCACAGAGATCCCGATATTCAGCCACATGAGATTGACGAACTACTGATACTTGAGAACGGAGCTGATTCCAACCAGCCATGGACAGACAGTTGGTTCCCCTTCACCATGTCCGGCAACATTCGCGTACCGTTTGACATCCTCTCTGCGCTTGGAATTGACATTTTCCGAGATCTCGCATTCGACACATGGTCCCTTCAAATCGTGCTCCGGAAGTTGCTCATCAATGCTGTGCCTTGGGATCTTGCACGGCGAGCCAAACAAGACATGTACACCAAACATGATGGGCTCAAGAACGTGCCCCGGGGGAATGAACAAGTGAAAATGAAAAAGGGAAAGGAAGACTTTGCATGGCTAGAGCCATCTCTTTCGGATCTCTATCTCTTCCCTGGACTGAGCATGTTCAATCATGCTTGTCGCCTAAGCGAGAATGCAACCTGGGGATTCCACTCTACTGTTCTAAATCGGGTGGTTGTCTACGCAACCAAGGCTATCGCTGCAGATGAGGAAATTCGAATCCCATATGTGAATCTGGATTTCCCTGGTGCACGAGGCGGTGCGAATGTCGGTGAGGCGGTGCGACTTTTTGGGAAGAACTGCGACTGCGAGGGGTGCGCAGGCGCTGCAGCTGGGGATGGGGCCGCTGTCGCAATGAAAGGAGCTCCGGACCCAGCTCCAGGCCCAGCTGCACCACCTGGCCTTGGTGGACTTCTATTCGCTGGTACTGGCTTCCCACCTAGAGCTGAGTTCCAACCTGGAGCTAGCCCTGTACTCGGAGCTGGGCCTAGGCCTGTGTTTGGAGCTGGTGCTAGCCCTGCTGCCAGGGGTATGCTGAACAGAGGAGGTGATGGTATGGCAGGTGAGGTCGCATCCTCGGACGAGGAAATGGAAGATTACGAGACGAAAGAGTCTCCAGGGCTGGGATGAATCAGAAGACTTTGATGAAGCCAGTGACTAAAATAGCCACCTAAGTAGGAGAAATTGTGAGGATTTATGCAATTGGCTCCCGGAGTTAACGAGCTCGAGTACTCTCCGTGAAACCAGGTGTGAAGCCGGACTTAGGATTTTAGGGGATTAATAATTGACCCCGCATATGACCTCAATGGCTCTATAAAAACCCTGGGAGATCAGCTCATCAAGTTTCAATATCCTCATTATTCCAAGGCTCTAAGGTTATCACCATGTTTGCCCCTGCTAAAGCCCCCAAGTCTCACCTCGGCCGCTACCGCTTGCTCGCCCCCACTGCCGCCGTGAAGGTGAGTCCACTATGCCTGGGAGCTATGAACTTCGGTGAAGGCTGGTAATTTCTGTCCAAAATAATGTCAATTGATGTGTATTTGTGCTAATAATCTTTCAGGAAAGAGGCCCTTGGTGAATGCAACAAGGAGACATCCTTCAAGATTTTGGATACATACTACGACAACGGAGGTAACTTTATCGATACGTGAGTCTTTCAATTACCATCTACCTGTAGAGAAGTCTACTAATAAACAAAAGAGCCAACAACTATCAGAATGGTGATTCCGAGACCTGGCTCGGCGAGTGGATGGAAAGTCGCGGTGTGCGCGATCAGATCGTCCTCGCCACGAAGTATACCACTGGCTACCGTGCCCATGTCCCTACCGAGATCCAAGCCAATTTTACCGGCAATAATACCAAAAGCCTAAAGCTTTCCGTTGATGCCAGTCTGAAGAAGCTGAAAACTGATTATATTGATCTGGTATGTTCCAACATTACTTCCTATCAAATAAGAACTATGCAACCTGTTATATGTCAACGAATGCTGAAATGATCTATAGCTCTACGTCCACTGGTGGGACTTCAGTACTTCCATCGAAGAGGTAATGACCTCACTAAACCAGCTGGTTCTCTCCGGAAAGGTCCTCTATCTGGGCATCAGTGACACACCCGCCTGGGTAGTGACGAAAGCGAACCAATGTAAGTCGACTATATTCCTTACCGTAGCCACTTAAACCAGAGACTAACGAACAAAGACGCGCGCGACCACGGCCTTCGTCCATTCTCCGTCTACCAAGGCAGATGGAACGCCGCAATCCGCGACTTCGAGCGCGACATTATCCCAATGGCCGCGTCCGAAGGCATGGGCCTTGCACCGTGGGCCTCATTAGGCGGCGGCAACTTCAAGAGCCGCGCGCACTGGGAAGAGCTTGCCAAGTCCGGGAATCCAGGGCGTGGAAAAGCCGCTACAGAGCGAGACATTGCTGTGTCGAAGGTTCTTGAGAATGTTGCGACTCGGCACGGTACAGAGATCACAAGCGTGGCGCTGGCTTATGTCCTGCGCAAAGCGCCTTATGTTTCGCCTATCATTGGTGGGAGGAAGGTTGAGCATCTTGAGGGCAATATCAAGGCTCTTGGGCTTGATTTGTCGGATGAGGACATTAAGGAAATTGAGGGGGCTTATGAGTTTGATATTGGGTTCCCGATGAATTTCTTGTTCCGTGGTGATGCCAAGGAGGCACACCCTGCCAACTCGCAGTTTTTGAACTCGGCTGCGAAGTTCGATTATCCTGATCTGGTGCGGGCTGTCAGGCCTAAGGATTTGGACGCTTAAGTCTCGAAGTGGTTGGGTCACATTTGGACCTGCCTATGATAGAGCAGTTAAAATCACAGAATCAGAGAATCAATCATTCCCTTGACTCTCATTCAAAAGGGATGTGATGGTTAAATGCAAATTGTGCAAAGTTTCTTCCAAAACAAATTCATTATATGCATACAAAAAAAACCAGACCAAGTGAGATTTGTAAAGTACATGGGCGAACAACACACAAGGGATTCATCAGCATCTGATGTACAGTGTAGAGCCTCAAACAAAATATAGGAAGCTGGGGGGTGTGGCAAGAACGGAAGAATGCAAAATAGCCTGAAATTTAGGCAGATGCAGCGCGGAAGCGACGACCAAGCTTCTCCAGCTCGCCGATGATCCCGCCACCAGACAAGCTCCACCTTTCTCCAACCCATTGCTCAGTGATAGCATCGCGCACGAGACCGCTGCGGGCGAAGTACTCGAAGAAGCCACGGGCCTCATCGCGAGTAATACCATCCAGAATCTGCAACTCCAGAGGGCTGGCGGCCTTCTCGGCAGGCTTCAAGAATTCCAAGACGCGCTCATCAACGCCACTGTAAGCAGCAGGGTTGGGGTACTCGGGGGAGTTGGCACTGATTCCAGCCTGGTGAGCAGCCAAGCGATCCATGGCAATTTTGAGGGCAAGAGGGTTAGGGTTGTTTGACAAGGAGGTGGCGTAGAGGAGGAGACCACCGTTCTTCAAGGAATCGCCTTCCTTGAGCAGAGACAGGAAGTGCTTGACGAAGTATAGGTCGTGAGCGTGGATCTTGTTGTAGTCGACATCGCGGTATTCACTCTCGGTCATCCAGTGGGCCAAACCATCAACGGTAACAAGCATAGGAGGGCGGGCCACGAAGTCCTTCTCAAGTCCTGCAGCCGGGGCCGAGGCAGTAAGCTCAGCCCAGAAAGCTTGGAACACAGCCCAGGAAATGGCAGGGTCGTTGAATCCAAGCTTGGCAAGATCCTCGAGGGTTGATCCGGGCTGCAGCATCGGCAAAGACGGGTGCTTCTGGGACACCTTCAGCTTGGCCAGGAGGTCCCGGTTAGCCTCAACAGTGCGAACCAACAGAGCTGAAACTGCATTCGGCTGGATATATTGCAGAGGCTTGGTGCCCTCTACTGCGGTATAGGCAGTGTTGGCGCACACAAGGTCACGGGCTGTACAAGCGAGATGTCAGCAGCTATACAATTGAAGTAAACAGAGAGCGTTTCTTGCATAAAACTTACCATCAGGGACAGTGATAACAACCCACTTCTTCAAGAATGCCATTGCCATTGCCTGAAGCAGGTGCACTGACTTTCCAGAGCCCTTCATACCATTGACAATTTTCTTGACAACCTTGCCCTTTTGGGGCTTGTCGCCCTCCCCAGAAATTTGCTCGATCAAACGACCCATCTCAATAGTATCGCGACGGAGGACAGTTCCGGGGCGGCGGAATACAGACCAACCCTGCTTGGGCTTGAATGCTTCCACAGCTCTCAATTGATCAATCATGGGCATGGGCAAGCCAAGGACGGTGCCACGAAGGCGGGAATCGACCATTGTCTCCGCGGAGAGATCCACCATGCTCTCAACCTCAAGGGCATTGGGGTTGCTCAGGACAATGCGTTTCTTAAGAGCCCTGCGCTCGGCGGGAGACATGGCACGGCCACCACCACCACCACTTGAACGCTGCTCAGGCTTCTTCTTCTTCTTTTTGATACTAGCCGACACTCGATGCTTTTGAACATTGAGAGTAGTGTTCTTCTTCTTGACCGGGTTGGCATATCGCAGCGCGGTGGAATGAAAGGGGGCGTTCGAAATCCGGGGTGTTGCGGACGGAGCGAGTGCTTGCGGTGTTAGCCTCAGCCTGGAGAGGCAGTTCCAGCACCATGAGGAGGCCATTGTGGTTGTCAGGGGCACCGGGGTGGCCAGTGATAAGACAACCCGGGCTGAAAAAGAAGGTGGGTGGGAATTGAGTAGACAGAGGGCAAGACCGTCCACTCATGATAAGTTTGATGCGATTTCACGCTGAGCCAAACAAAGGCGGTCTGACCGACTGCCTTAGTCATGGCAGAAAAAAAAAGCGGCTCTGATACTGATAACCAACTTTTTTTTCACGAGCTAAGATTATTCTTGGAATCTCAAAACCACCACAATATCTGTGTCGTGATGTCTGATACCGAGATGGGAAACACCGCGCCCACTGCGGCTGCGTCTAAGAACGAGAGACTGTAAGTCATCTCAATCCCCGGACCGGACGAAACAACAGACGGTTCCGAAAAGAAAAACCGCAAAATCTAGATACTAACATGATGACTCCAGCCCCATTACTGTGTCTAAGCCTACTCCTTACACATTCGACCTGGGCCACCTGCTAGTCAACGACCCCAACCCTCTGGAGATTGACCCCAACGAGACCCTCAACACCTCACTGAAAGCCACCGCCCGCGACGGCGTGCAAGTTCTCCTCAACCAGCTCTTGACAACATGTGAAATCAAGTCCTCCGTCGCCGATGGTGTTCTGCTCACCCTGCCGGCCCCCAACATCCACCTCCCCCGGCACAAGCCCCTCCCTACACCCAAGGCACCCACGAAATGGGAGCTCTTCGCACGCAAGAAGGGCATTGGCAAATACAGCCAGAAGCCCGGTGCCGCAGGCCAAGACAAGGAGCGCCGCAAGAAGCTTGTCTACGACGAGGCCAGTGGCGAGTGGGTCCCTCGCTGGGGATACAAGGGCAAGAACAAGGACGACGAGAACCAGTGGCTTGTTGAGGTCGATGAGAAGAAGTGGAAGAAGGAAGAAGAGGCTGCTGCCCAGGGATCTTCTGTCCGTGGCATGTCCCGTACCGAGCGCAAGGAACGCATCAAGCGTAATGAGCGTAAGCAGCGCTCTAATGAGAAGCGATCGAACCCTGCTCGTGCGAAGTGAGCGGGTTTCATCCGATGGATTGAGTTGCCTCTTTCTCTTACTATCACTTATATGGCTTCGGCTTTGTGACTTTTTTCTGGCGTTGGGGTTGGGAGTCGAATGATTTTCGTTTTTTGCAGACGAAATGTGGCTCTTTGGCATCGTTCAAGGTCTTTTGATATTTCTTTGTACCCTGTGGTTGAGAATATGACTCGACCTGCAAGACGGGACTTTCAATTTGTACATGACATACCGTGATTCACCAAAAAGCACTCTTATTGCATCCTTCATTATTTGACTCGGAAATGTTTCCTTGTAATTTGATCTATTGAGATTATGCATAGATTACTGCAATATATAATTCCAAGTAACCAAGCCGAAAAGAAGGCCTTCCCAATTCTATTGTACAAACCCCCGTGAGGAAAACGCCCGCCGTAAGGACCAAACCGACAGGATCAAACAATAAGACAAGCATGGAAAAATAAGAAAAAAAATGTCAACCGCAGAGGGGAATCTGTAGATGTCGCAATATCAAACAAAGCGTAGAAAAGCATGTGCGGCGCTTCCAGGAAGACAGATACATAAAGATGGATAGATGAGAGGTGGAGGTAGGATGGGAGATATAGGTATGGAGAAATGAGAGGCGGGGGAGTCTGAAGGTAGCGGCCATGCGCCAATCTCAGTAGTAGATGTCGGGGGGAAACATGTACATATGGAAATGGAATGATCAGAGCACTGATCTCGACATGCCATATGTGCAAGTTGATAGCACCAAATGACGACAATGCCGCGTAGAGATCTTCAGCCAGCGAAGCGATTTTGAAAGAAATGATAGAGGGAGAAGGTAATCAATCCCAATTTGTCTGGTCCTATCTGGACCAGCAGATACGACCAAAGGCAGACCAGCCAAATGAGGACACAGCCACACGCGGGGGCCATTGGTATCCAAGACAAGGTTGGAGATCAATCAGATTTTGATAGGAGAAAGGGGAGGGCCGAGTTCAGGAAGTTGAGAGACACTTCGAGCATGTTTGATCTCGATGTTCCGGGGAGGGGCCTTTCTGCTTCGAGAGGTCACTGGTCGAGGGGGTTCCTCGCTAGCACTGCTGCTAGAAGATGAGATGGCGCGCTCATGACTGGCAGCAGCCTCTTGCCTTCCTTTGGCAGTTTCTTGCTTTTCACGGGGAAGCTCTTGATTCTCTCTGGCAATCTCCTTCTCCGCTTCTTCTGATACCCTCTGGTCGCGCTCGTCCATCTTCTTTTCTATTTCAAGATACTCCTTTTCAGTCCAACAGCCCTGCCAGCAGTTCTTCCAGTCACAGACTAGGAATTGGAAGCAGAAAGCGTCGATTTTCATGCAGGGCTGGAAACAGATACACAAATTGCGGTAATCCATTTTGTTCTGGTCGACGTAGGAGTGGAGAAGGTTAAGGTGACAGGTGATGGCGAAGAGGAGGTAGTAGTGGTATGGAGGTAGTTTTGAGAGTTCGTCTTTAAGGAGTTGTGGCGCTGTTGTGGCGCCTTCGCACTGCTGGGCAATCATCGTTTGTGTCGCCTTGGGGAAGAGCTCGTCTGGTAGTTCGCGGAGCCATGCTTTGAACAGAGATCCGACTGTGTTGATATCGTATAAATCTGGGACTTCGAAAAGGTCGATGTCAAGTTCTGTATCGAAGCGTCGCTGCCAATGCTTCACTTCTCGACCGCTACCGGGGACTCGGTAGAGGCCTTCTTCTTCGCAGCCCTTGAAGTTCAGATAATCAATCGAACGATAAGGCAAGGCGGGCATCCAAAACTCAGTCTTGTCTCGACAGTGTTCAAGTTTCTTCGCAATGCGTGTCTTGCGCGCTTGCTCAATAAGGGGGAGATTGATCACCGAACATGTATAAAAGTCGTCTGTGATCAATTCTCGCTCATTTGTGCTTCCACTGCGGGTTATTTTGCCAAAGAAACCCTTGCCAGCCTTGCCAATTCGGTCTGCGGCTCCGCTCGAAGACGATTTGAGGTTGCTGAAAATGGCGGCTGAGGCGCCGGAAACTTGGCTCAAAGAGGCCGATGCAACCATATTGCCATGACTGCGCTCCTTGCGCAGGGGATTGTTGTCTACCGGGCGCTCGGGGGGCTGCAGCCCCCCCCGCACGGTTCGTTCTGGTCGCGCAGTCGCTGAGCGGGGTTGACTCGCTGTTGCGCCCTGGTTGAACTCTTCGAGTTTAGCCAAGCCTGTAGAGGGTCGACGACCCGCTGCTCTATTTCCAGCCGATTCATCGACTCGGATAGAGCGAGACCGAGTCAGAAGATTTGCGAATCGTTGTTTGTTTTTCTTTGGTGCAGCGGCATCTGGATCTGTTCCAACCTTTCTCGTATCTGTTTGGTGCGAGCTCTTGCCTGAATTGCCATCTGTGGAATGACATGTTAGATAGGATGAATATGGGCGCAGAGACAGATGCTCACTAGTCTTTTCGGTTTCATTCGCGTGCGCGAGTGCACCGAGAAGATCAGGCGTAGATCCATACGACTTCGCAGCCATTGTCATCCTCCGCTCCCTGGAGCTACCTCTACTCTTAGGGGGCTCAGTCGAGTCCCCTGAGCTATCCGATCGGTGTGACTTATGTGATGACTTGGGTGCTTTGAGGGTGCCGAAGAAGGATTTCGATGCATCGCGTGAATGTTTGGAGTCTTTAGGGGAAGGGAAGTGTTGAGGAATGGCTGTAATCCCTGGTGTCAGAGGCTCGGTGGTGGCTGTGCCAGGAGAGAGCGGGATCGTAGGGCTGGTTGCCTTGCTGCCCGAGTCTTGCGTGACAGGGCGGATGGTTGCGCCTTTGAACAGCGGGGAGCTGGATGCTGACTTAGGCGAGCGAGGTGTCAGGGGACTCGGTCCGTCGGAGCTCTGGTCATTCGGCGTCAAGGGTGAAGAGATCTTGTCCTTTTTCGACTCTGTTCTGAACGAGCTCAGATCGAGGTTGGGTACGGTGGAACTGCGGTTTGGCATGGTGGACGATTGGGAACCCCCCAGATAGTGTGAAGGTTCGAGGAGGAGGGGGGGGGGGGGGATCAAGGTTAGGGATCTAGGCCCGTCGCTTCGGATGAAATAATCTTTGGGCTGCGGTCCAGCGCTGAAACCAGGTCACGTCTGCGGCTGAGGGTCTTGTACTGCCTGTCCTGGTATCAATGCGGCTCGGGGTCCGTGTCGTTGGGGCGAAGCGATTCGCTGGGATCGACGCCTCAGCGTTCCGGTATGATGACGAGGATTGCAGATTAAACTAAGTGAACAGGATCTGGAGCGCGAGATATAATCAGTTCAAGGTCCTAGACATGTGAAAGAAGACCAAAAAAAGATATGAGACCGCATATGGGTGACATATGCAGGCCCCGAGTTAAAAGAACTCCTTTGTTGGCTGGACAAGGCCAGGAACGAGATCGCAGAAACAATGGACGGACAGTCTGCCTAATCCAGCAGGGTCACTGACCAACCTCATATTATGGTTTTTGGATGTTTTCCGCCGTGAGACAAGTTCAATTCACCCCCTCTTTTGGGCGCTACGGGGGATCGGCAGGGCGGAAGGGGAGATAGGAGTCCAGGTCAAACAGAAATATGTCAGTCCATTCAATTGTTGTAGGGAGAGCCTGGAAAGAGAGAGAGAGACAGAAAGGAGGAAAAAGAGAAAATTAGGTAGCAGTCAACTCCTAATCCTTAGCGGTACACTAGTCAAGAGCATACCACATACTGATTCAAGCCACACTAGCCTCTTTTTAAGGAAACCATCTACGAGTACTCCGTATTCTTCTGATATGAAACACACGGATTTACATCGATTCTGATGGAATCATCTAAGTGCTCAAGTCTCGTAAATTACCCTGCATATCTGAATTCCCCTGAAGGGCGGACATGCCAGAACCAAGGGACACCGTGACGTGGATCGAGTGACGGTGGGTAAACATCATATTATTTTTTTATTTGGGCTTATTTGCTTATTGCTTATTTGCTTATTTGCTTATTTTCTTTGCGTATGTTAGGTACGTAAGTACTAAGTACGGAGTTAAGTACATCTACGAGTTGTGCACGGAGTATTCAAAGCATAGACTCTTAACGAGTCAAAAGCAGCTACGAGTACTCGTCGATGATCCGAGTCCACTTTTGTAGGTTGGAGCCATTGGGTCTGGCAGCTGGGCGGGATGTCCTCGCGTTGCAATCACTGTGGATTCCCTGGACGATCGGCCTGACTTCACATGGTTGTTCCGTGAGAATCGATATATACTTAAGTAGCAGATAGCTCTAACATTCCTATAGCATATACAGAGACTCAAATAGAAGAATTCTCCTGGCATGGAGTAGAGAATTGCTCAGATCAGATAGGCAGGATCAGGGGTAAGGCTGCAACTACTCGTACACAAGAACGTGTGTAGCGAATCCACTTTTGTCTAAATTAATTTAGCCTGGGTTTCGGATCAACCCATCTTTCCAACCTTTCCAACTCACAAAGATCCAACATCGACGACCAGACCATGGTTACGGTGTCGATTTTGTGGAGCTGTCTTGTTTGAGAGTCAATTTTTAGCAAGGTATTGCCATTTGTGGTACGGTGTGCGATCGTTTGTTAGGCCCGCCTGTATAACATGGGAATACTCGGACCTTGAACGTTGAAAATCCTCCGGAGCACACTAGTCTCCAAGGTTGGAGGATGTGCGCTCAAGAAAAAAAAAATACGATAATAATGTATCCCCCCCGCTGTGGTCCTCGGAGCAGCTCCAATGAGGCAAAAAAAACGGTTTGATCTGCCAGGTATTTCTGAGTGCGAGTACGAGAGCATGTCGCTATCCACCCTGGGCGAATTTTGTGCACTTGTAATACTTCGATAATTGTACAATTGCACTCCGTTCTCCGGATTCACGAGAACACTCTATATACTCCGGGAGAATTACGGTCAATTACGGTCAATTAATCCCATATAGTACTTGCGAGTATAGTAGACTCCATTCTCCGTACTATAGTGTTGTATATTTTTTAGATTGCCCGATTTCAACCATATGCTCTTCTTTTGCACAGAGCACACGAGGTTCCATCCAATCTGAAACATGGCTGGAGATGTCAAACTAGCGCCTCGGGGATGACAGTGCTTTGTACACTGTGCTCAAGTGGTGGATATTTTTATTCTTCCAATCAGGGGGAAAGGGGTAGGACGATCAACCTTCCATGGAGTACGGATTACTCGTACCCATAGAAGCCCCGAGCACCGAGCATTGAGCATTGAGCATTGAGCAAGTACTTCCAAGAGCGGTAGGAACTGCATTTGCCGAACCCTAAGGGCGGTAGCCATGCACGTGACTGGTGGCTTTAAGAGAAGCAAATCATATCGCCGCACGCACTTCTTAGCTTGAACTGCTCCAAGCCACCAAACATTGGGGGATGCACTAACCATGAATTGCAGAACTCACCGCTCTCAGTGACGCATTGCCTTCCCTTAGATCTTCGATCTGCTAACACAACCAATCATCTTCCTTCCTTCCACTTGACAAAAAATGGCACTAGTATCCGGTCCTGGTAGAGCCGGGGGCCCCGCAGATACTCAACTGCACACCTTGAAGCATGTGACTTATGTCAAGAACCTGGACACAGTGCGTGCTGCTTGACATAGTCTGACACAGAACGACGCGTCTGATCATCAAAACAGAGAAAAGATGAACTTGAGTATTGGCTGACTGAGCACCTTCGTCTGAATGGTGTCTATTGGGGGTTGACCGCCCTGCACCTCCTAGGTCATCCAGATGCCTTACCCCGCGACGAGACTGTCAACTTCGTTCTCTCCTGCCAAAGCGATAGTGGAGGCTTTGGCGCCGCTCCAGGCCACGATGCCCATATGCTCTATACCGTTTCAGCAATTCAGATCCTGGCAACCATCGATGCCATCGATGAACTCGAGAAGCGAGGCCGAGGGGGCAAGGAGAAAGTTGGGTCTTGTACGCCGTCTCACAATCACTCAAGGTCTGCTGGCATACTAACCCCTGGCAGTCATCGCAAACCTGCAGAATGAAGATGGCTCTTTCATGGGAGACCAGTGGGGCGAAACGGACACCCGATTCCTATACGGAGCCCTCAATGCTCTGTCGTTGTTGCGCTTGATGCACTTGGTTGATGTACCCAAGGCTGTGACATACGTCCAAAGCTGCGAGAATCTCGATGGAGCTTATGGAATTCGCCCGGGCACTGAATCCCATGCAGGCCAGGTTTTCACCTGCATTGGTGCACTGGCTATCGCAGGCCGCTTAGACCTGGTGAACAAAGATCGCCTTGGGGCTTGGCTCAGTGAGCGGCAGATTGAAAGCGGTGGCTTCAACGGCCGGCCAGAGAAGCTCGCCGATGCATGTTACACCTGGTGGGTAGGATCTAGCCTGGCTATGATCGACCGACTCCACTGGATTGACGGGAAGAAGCTGTCTGCCTTTGTGCTGCAATGTCAGGTTAGTTGCGGGGTTGTCCTGTGGAAAGACCAAAAACCTGCCCTGAATTTAGCTTACGGTTGCAGGATCCTGATGCTGGTGGATTTGCCGACCGCCCTGGCAATATGGTTGATGTTTACCACACGCACTTCAGTCTTGCAGGGCTGAGCTTACTAAAGTTTGACGGGCTCGAAGAAATAGATCCAATTTAGTGGGTGCTTTCTCGAATGTTCAAAGGTCTAACAGCTGACCTTATCTTTTAGTTGCATGCCCAAGTCTGTGACAATGAGATGTCTTGAAGGCTAATTTGTTGATGCACTGCAATCATGTTGAGAACCCTCCTGCAATCTAATAACCTGTGAACGTCCTTTACCCATGGACCACGGGATACAATGCAGGAGGAGAATGATATCCACTGTGACTTATTCCGCTTCATATCCCCCCACAATGGCCAAAGAGCTGTTAAGACACCGTGGTACAATTCTCCATAGCCTATTCAGCTATTTACCCAATTCCAACTGGTGAACACCAATTGATGTTCGGAACCCATTGATGTTCCCAATCCGTCACTTTCCCGTTTCGTTCCTTCCATTTCCCTGCACTTTCCAAAGTGCCTGTTAAAACCCAGCACGTGCCCCTGTGACCAGCTCTCTCCCCTCCCAGTACTCTTCTTTCCTTACAAGCGTCAATTGCTGCTTTGCTTTCACGCAACACGGCCCCATTCTTGCTTCGATATCGAGGTTTCTATTGCCCTTGCCATCTTTGATTCTAATCACCTCAAGCCCAAGACCAACCCGGGCAAGGTCCGCAAGACCACTACCGCCCTAAGTAGCTGCATGCTCAGTACCTCTCTTTTGGACAGCTCACTGACCGACATACCAGGCTCCTGCCATTGTTGAGCAGCCCAAGATTCTGAGCAAGACCAAGCCTCCAGGACCATGGACGACTCCCAACTTCAGTGCATCATCTGCAACAAGCAGCCCACCTTCAGCGACACTTCTCACCTGTTGACCCATGTGGCTTCCAAGGCTCACCTGGCCAACAGATTCGCGCTGGAGGTTCGCAAGGCGACCGACAAACGTGCTGCCAAGTTGCTGGAAGCATACGATCGCTGGCACGCCGCTAACAACCTGGACAAATTGCTGTCTGCTCGCCTCGCCTCCAAGGAACAACGCCGGAAGAGGAAGCCGGAGAACACTGCGATGCACTTGAATGCGCGGGCCATACATGAACCAGTATCCACTAACGGGCCCATTGGCTCAAACACCCTCGCCGCTCTTCCCGGTTCGGATTGCATCGACCCACGCTTGGCTAGCTCTTACGATGGTACCCATGAGAAAAACGCGATTTCTCCTGTCACTCCCACTACCTGGACTGCGATCAACAGCAGCCGAAAGACTCGATCAGGTCCGATCCGCCGATCGATGCGATCTTCGGCGAGTGCAAGTTTGAATGAGACGAAGCTGAAGATTGAGCCTAACTCGAACATTCAAACCCTCGCAACGTACCCCGTAACTCCCACGCAGCCTCGACGCAAGAAGGCCGCAGAGGAAATTACATGGGTTTCGGGCCTGGAGACTCCCGAACCCATTGTCGACTCCATCCCCCGTACCCAGGCATCGGGCAACGTTGGAAAAGAGAAGCAGACTCGAGCCCGTGCCGACGAAGTTGCACGACTCAAAGGTGTATATTGGCCCGGCATGGACTGCTTTGATGCAGCTACGGATCATATGCGTCGCCGCCGCAACCAGAAGAAGGATGGTACTGTGCTGAAGCAGATGGAGATTGGCTCCCTGCTCGTGGAGCCTACTGAATTGGTCTTCTCTTCTTCGGGAAACTTACTCAAGGAACGTGTCATTACGGGGAATGTCGAGGAGAACAGTCCATTGAAAGGAGAAACCCCAGTCCCTCGCCGCCGCCAGAACCGTTCCAAGAACGTCTTGGCGCCCAAGGACCTCAATGTCCCCCGCCCTGCGGACCGGACTCGACAGAGCCTTGCTGCACAGAACGCCCGCAATGTCACTGGCGTTGGATCATCCATTCAGAACCAGTCATCTCGTCATCGTGGCCTGATGGGTTCCCACAAAGCTCAAACTTCTTACGATGGCAAGTTTGACATGACCATCAATGCATTTGGCAAGCGAGCTAGGAGTGCCTTTGACGTATTTTCCGACGAGGAAGACAACAACCAAACCTACCCCAGCGACAGCATGAATGAGACACCCAAAGGACAAATTGACACGCTGACCCCCACTCGCCTTCTGTTGGACCGAAAGCCAGCCCCCCGCGGAGCTCGCCCCTCAAAGATTGCTCGCACAACAGCCGATAAAGAGAACATCGAGCCTATTTTGAATTCTCGTGGCCGAATTGGCTCTGGCATCGGTCTTCCCGGCTGGCACTCTTCATTCGCCAAGCCTGCGGTAGGCCCCGGTGGCTTTGGCCCTCATTACCTCAATGAGCACTCGCTCCCTGGTCTCGGCGGCTCCTTGAATGACATTGACATTACTGGATACCGATCAAACCCCTTGTTTGCCAATCCCAGTGCCTATGGTAACCAACTCAAACAGCAGTACGGAGACAAGCACGATGAGTGGTCTTCAACTGTAGATATCGCCGCTTCGGAGGAGACTGTCCCCGAGGAAGATTTCGAGTTCCCTGGGGTCTACTTGATCTCTTCGACCGACTGATTAAGTTCACCCAGCCTTTCCATTCAGACGACAATGTTTTCCACCTTGTTTTTTTGTTCCCCCTCCCCGAAGTCCACTTACAAAATACTACCCGTGTACTCTGTACCGAGTTTATCGACGATGATTCACTGACCAGTTATGCTGACCCACATGGTACGACACGATGTTTGCACTTTTTTTTTGACCTGACAATCCTACGGACTGAGATCCCAAGCCAATACCGGCTTCCTTGCTACATGTTTTCTTGGGCCAAAGACTGTTTCCGTCCTCATTCAAGCTGATAGACTCTACTCTACCGGTGGCTTTCCCCAACACAAACTGTATTTCTCCACCCCGTTGAGTTGTTTGATATGCTGTACACTATCATGCTTAGCTACTATCAATAACATGAACACGGCAGTTTATCAATGAATCAATTCTGAATTACCAAGTGAGCTCTTGAAGCCGTAGCTACTAAGATAATCACCTTGATCCACTACCCCAGACTAAACTCGACGAATAACATCATGTACCACAACAGGGTACTGGGGACATTCTAAGGCACTTCCGGGCTTATCATCTATTCTTTCAACAGCAAATAGAGAGGTGCCGCCTTCTAGTCAATACTCTTCCAAGGTTGCTTCTTATTTATGTGTAAATGAATGACTTTGAGATTTCCAGCTAGATTTCTCCATGCCAGAACCCAACCAAAGAGACAACGCGACTGGAACGTTAGGTCCAGGGCTACAACTTCCTCCCCAGGGCTATCGGATAGAATGAAGGGGATGTATTTTGACGAGTGCCCTCAGCATCGAGATATTATGTCAAATGATCAAAATGAGTCTGATCATTGAAGTTCCTCCCTGAGACGATATATCTACAGAGGGAAAGAGCACTTTCTTTACTCGCGTACTTTGCATTCGACCAAAATCGTCTGTTTCCTTCTGCAATCCTCATAAATTGATCAGTGTCGACACAGCACCCGACAAGTACCGAGCCAGAGCAACATCTGAAACCTATTGAATACATTACCCTTTCAATTCTTCCATCTCCCAACGGCATTTCGTCGAACAGGATGACATTGCTCGAGAGATCTACCCGGAGTCATTTTCTGGTCTCAGTCTTGCTCGGTCTACAAGTTCTCATTTTGTGGTCGCTTTTTCATGGCAAAGGGGCCTACAGGAAGTGGAGAATCGTACGTGATGTTTGATTCTGTCTGATTCTGTCTCCACTGATGCTAACTTTAGAAGGGCACAAAGTCCATGAGACAAGGAGCAGGATACCCACAAGCTACAGGACGAGTTCGAAGACACCGTCGATGCTCGCTTTCCAAAGGAATCAGACTTGGCCAGCTGTTACACTGTGTCGGTGGATCATCACGAGTTGTGCTTCATTGTGGATATCCACATTACGGTTCACTGCTTCTTGAAACTATATGGGAATCTGGAATCTACCGAGATACCATATCTTCTGCGGACCCAGCTTGCAAAAGTGAACACCAACTGAACTAAGAGCATTGTCACTCCGAACCAGTCACTGATTCTGTTAGAGGTCAGGTCACGTGACTAGCCTCTATATATCTCCCCTCCTCTTCACCCTCTCTCTTCCCTTTCCTTCCTCCTCACGCATTCAGAGATCTTCGTGCTGCTCTCCTTCCCTCAGTAGTAGTGCATCTCTATCAGATTACTAAGATCATTGTGCCTCCGACCCCCCACCGCCAATGGGGAGAGCAACCGCTGGAAGTCTGGTCGGGGTGGAATGGGAATGAAACCATAATGAGGATTTCCCATATAGCCTTGCTCGATCCGAACGTCTTTCAGACTGTCCACCACAAGATCAAACATCTCCAGTGGAACTACTCTGCTATCAGACAAAGAGACTTTGAATCGCAATGCAACCACACGCTTTGCTCACGATTTTCTACGATGGCCCATTGTCTCTCTGGGAGGATTTTGCTCAATACGCGGAGGACGATGACAAGTGTCGAGTCTGGCGTAAACCGAGCATCAGGCTAGAACAGCAGAATGATGCGTTTCGCGAGGAACGATTCGTTGTCGGCGACGAATCAGGAGTGCAAAGCCCGAAGAAAAAGCTACTCTACTCCAGGACTAACTGTCCAGATGACGACCGGTGGAGACAATCAAGTTATCTTCTCTTTTGGCCAAGCTTCCGAGAAAATCATTGAGCGCATGGCGCTTGACGAAGACATCCATCACTATGCGAGTGTTGACATTGCACCCCGAGGACTATAGTCGGGTGAAGTTGATGCTACACCATCCATTTCGAAGGATCGAGGACTTACTAGAATACGATGGGCATACTTTTCCCTCATTTGCCGCCGCATACGAGCATTGCTCGCTCCTGCATACACACCCGTTCGATGCCTTTAGCGACGAGCTGAACGACGATGACGAAGATCCATTCCAACTACCCGAAGAGACTACCTCTGATGAGCCTTCATCAGGATGGGAGACATTAGCAGCACAGCGGCCAGGGCGAGATGGAGATTGATGTCAAAGGGCAGAGAAACAGCCCGACAAAGCCAGGGAACCGCTCCCCCCTCCCAGCTGTCCCGAGCGAAATACGGTGGTTTTAGAAGTGGGCTTGTCAGAATCAAAAGCAAACTTCGCCGTGGTTTGATCTCTGGCTCCCCTGCCTCAGGAAGCCAACATTGCGATAATCAACAATGTCAATCCCAAATAGCAATGATCACCATTGACAAGTGGATGGGGGTCCTCAATACCGGCACATCTCTTCGGTGCCAACATTTTGAGGCTTCTGAAATGCAAGCCGATAGATCCGAATTGATAGAGAGCCTCAATTCTCTTGAAACAAGAGAGAAGTCGTTGTGATAGTCGACCCAGCTTGGCCGAAGTCGTCTCGACACGGGGTGCAGGATCGAGTCTCCCCGGCTCCGTTGAGCACGAGCAAGTCCTGGTCGGGGACGAGATCGGCCTCCAGGGTCGCTGGCAAGAACGCGCCGGCCAGGCCGTGACCGCAGCGCTGCAAGTGCAGCAATATAACCTCCGCTTCGGTGACTGGAGGGCGGCGGTACCACCAGCTGGTGCGTATAACCGGGTACCCGACTTTGTTATCACGGGGCCAGGGGGGGAGCCGCGAGCAATTGGAGAGTTAAAGGTCGACGACTTTATCGCACCGCCAATGTTCACACGGCTATCGGACCCTTACGTGTTCGAAATGTACCACCGAGCAAGTGTCAACGCAAGAGCCTGTCACGCAAAAGATTTCGCGCAAAATGGTGAGATCCGTCCCCAACGACCGGCAGGGCGCCCGGTGACCTCATACGCTTTCGCGTGGACTGGGTGGGTAGACCTCGCTCTGGAACAAGGCATCTATGACTCGGATATGGGCGACGAGATGCCCTTGCGCCATATTTTGGGTACGTGATCAGATATTATCTCAAACAAGCAAAGCACTGACCATCGTGACCAGGCCAACCAGCCCGATATATGCAAGAGCTGGGCCTGAAGCATGGCTTCATGACGACCTACCGTGAGACCGTTTTCCTACGGTGGTAGTGGAGCAACACGAAAGAAATTGCGACAAAATGACCATCCACCATCGGAACATGTGCTACATCCCAGCGCTAGGTGGGTCTCGCATTTGGTGACCGACGCAGTATGTGTCTCTGCCTTCAACCACAATATAACAACCCGCTCAATACTGCTTCCCTCATATAGAGTATTAATTTCCTTGCTAGCTGTTACGCAGTAATCTTGTGATTTGTCTTTCGATCCAAACAGTGTGCTTTGCACGGAGTAAATGGGTCAAAGTCTTATAGATCAAACCCTGCCTCGTAATCCTGGGTATGCTACTCCGAAGATGTCATGTTGAAAATATTTTCAAGTATCAGACTCCATACGAGTAGCTCTATCAATAAGAAGCAAAGACCAAGGTCGAGCAGAATATTAGATCTTTGTGAGGAGAGCCCTTGGGTATACTTGCCCGGGATCCACAAAGTGATTACTCAGAATCCCATTAACGGCTCAGCGCGTTCTGGACGCGTCGCCCGCTAATGAGCTTCTTTTCTAGGATCCTGACGAAGCTGGAATGAAGTCTTGTCTGCACTGGGCTTTCAACACACGGTCTGCTTTTCCCAGGCAAGAACACCTCCCCATTGCCAATTCCTTTCGCAAGGTGGGAACGTCTTAAACAGCCTCACCAAGATGGCGCCCCATTCATCACAGTCATCTGCCCCTTCGCCGTCTCTCAAGAGAAAACAAGCAAGCATATCCAGCTTCTTTACCCAGAAACCTGCATCCGCTGCGCCTCAAGACCCTGGAGCCACCCCCGCCAAGACACCGCAAAAGCGACAAGCGTCAACAATCGTGAAGACCAACGAGTCGAAGCAGGGGAATACAATTCCAACCGGGGATGATGAAGATGGCGAGGAAGACGAGGATATTGTGGCCCCAGCACCAAAGCGAGCAAAGACAAGCGGTGCAGACGCAGAAGAACCCATTCGAGTTGCGACGAGGATGCCCGCTGAACCCGCCTCCCAACCGAGCAGTCAACGAACCGATATCTTCAAGTTCCAAAGCTCTCCCGCGAACGCTGCAGAACCCACACACAATGAGAACAGCGAGGAAGAAGCTCGACGGAAAGAGAAGGAAAAGCTACACAAGCAATTCGTCCAGAAGCTCGGCGGAACAGATTGCCAAATTGGAATTGAAAGAAATGCAGTGAACGATGTCGCAAGCGCAGAGACTGAGGCTGCAGAGGCAGAAGAGGATGACGAGCCTCCACCTCCTCCGACGAAAGGAAAGGGTGCCAAGAAGACGGCAAGCAAGCTCACGCCTATGGAGAAACAGGTCATTGAGATCAAACGCCAGCATATGAGTACGGTGCTAGTCATCGAGGTTGGATACAAGTTCCGGTTCTTCGGAGAAGATGCGCGCATCGCAGCCAAGGAACTAGGCATTGTGTGCATCCCAGGCAAGTTTAGATTTGACGAGCGTAAGTGCAACCTATATTTCAAAGTAGAGACGATACTCATTATTTGCAGATCCATCGGAAGCACATATTGGTCGGTTCGCTTCAGCTAGTATCCCAGTACATCGATTGCATGTACATGTGAAACGACTTGTCACGGCCGGCCACAAGGTTGGCGTGGTGCGTCAAATTGAGACAGCTGCTCTCAAAGCTGCAGGCGATAACCGTAATGCGCCCTTCGTTCGCAAGTTGACCAACCTCTACACCAAAGGAACCTACATCGATGACACCGAAGGTCTAGAGGGTCCTGCCCCGGCGGCTGGAGGAGCATCACCTGCAACTGGATACATGCTTTGCATGGCCGAGTCCAACGCCAAGGGCCACGGGAATGACGAGCGAGTGAACGTTGGAATTGTTGCTGTTCAGCCAGCGACGGGTGACGTGATCTATGATGAATTCGAAGATGGTTTCATGCGCAGCGAAATTGAGACAAGATTATTGCACATTGCACCCTGCGAAATCTTGATTGTTGGTGAGATGTCTCGTGCAAGTGAAAAGCTTGTGCAACATCTGTCTGGAAGCAAAATGAATGTCTTCGGAGATGCTGTACGTCTTGAGCGAGCCCCGAAGGAGAAGGCATCTGCTTCAGAGGCACACAGCCATGTATCCGGCTTTTACGCTGGGAAGATGAAGTCAACAAGCAATTCAGAGGACGCCCAAGCTGCTAAACTGCTTGAAAATGTTCTTGGTCTTCCTGAGCAGGTGACTATCTGTCTCTCTGCCATGATCGAACATATGACCGAGTATGGCCTGGAACACGTCTTCGACCTTACGAAATACTTCCAACCCTTCTCAGCTCGCTCGCATATGATGTTGAATGGAAACACATTGGTCAGCCTGGAAATCTACCAGAACCAGACCGATCACTCGGCGAAGGGTAGCTTGTTCTGGACCCTGGATCGAACTAAAACCCGATTTGGACAGCGTATGCTGCGACAGTGGGTTGGGCGACCTTTGCTAGACAAGGTGCGCCTTGAGGAGCGAACGAACGCCGTAGAGGAGCTTATCGATCCTGCCCGAGCCGGCTCGGTGGAAAGAATTCAAGGTCTGTTGGGCAAAGTCAAGAGCGATCTGGAAAAGAGTCTCATTCGCATCTACTATGGAAAGGTCAGTAACTCCCCTTCGTTGAGAGGCTTTCAATTATACTAACCTGTAACATAGTGCACGCGACCAGAACTTCTCACTGTTCTACAAGCTATGCAGATGATAGCAATGGAGTTTGCCGATATCAAGTCACCAGGTCAGACTGGCTTTGTCTCTTCGCTTGTGAGCGAGTCCGTCGCCTCCCTACCGACCATCCGGAAAGACATCGTCAAGTTCCTTGACAAGATCAATATGCATGCTGCCCGCACCAATGACAAATACACATTCTTCCGTGAGGCAGAGGAAACAGAAGAGATTGGCGAGAACAAGCTACAGATCGGAAGCATCGAGCATAGTCTATCCGAACACCTCAAAGAGGCGGCGACTACCATTGGAAGAGGCAAAATCGAATACTCGACGGTATCTGGCATTGAGTATTTGATCGAGATTGAAAATACCTCACCGGCATTGAAACGTGTCCCAGCATCGTGGATCAAAGTCAGTGGCACAAAGAGAGTATCGCGTTTCCACACACCACAAGTCATTCAACTCACTCGCGAACGTGACCAACACAGAGAGGCACTTGCAGCAGCTTGCGACGAGGCATTCGCCGCTCTATTGGCCGATATTGCAGCACAGTACCAAGCTCTCCGAGACTGTGTGCAATCTCTCGCAACGCTTGACTGCCTCTTGTCTCTCGCGGAGATCGCCGAGCAACCCGGCTATGTCAAGCCTATCTTCACAGAGGAGTCAGGCATCCACATCGAGCAAGGCCGTCATCCCATGGTAGAGAACCTTTTGACAGACGCCTACGTACCCAACGATACCAATCTTCAGCACGATGAGACACGAGCCCTCCTTGTGACAGGCCCGAATATGGGCGGCAAGTCCAGTTACGTGCGGCAAGTGGCATTGATTGCAATCATGGGCCAAATTGGCTCCTATGTTCCCGCAGAATCAGCACGACTGGGTCTCCTGGACGCTGTTTTCACTCGCATGGGTGCCTTTGACAACATGCTCGCCGGCGAATCAACATTCATGGTCGAGCTCTCCGAAACAGCCGATATTCTCAAGCAGGCCACGCCGCGCTCATTGGTCATTCTCGACGAATTAGGCCGTGGCACATCGACACATGATGGTGTTGCTATCGCGCAGGCAGTGCTCGACTACATGGTCCGATCCATCGGGTCTCTCACTTTCTTCATCACACACTACCAACACCTTTCGCGAATGGTCCACTCCTTCCCAGACCATGCTCTCCGCAATGTCCACATGCGATTCACGGAGACTGGCAATAAGGATAAAGATGGGGAGGAGGAAATCGCCTTCCTCTACGAGGTTACCGAGGGCGTCGCACATCGCAGTTACGGGCTGAATGTTGCGCGATTGGCGAATCTGCCTTCAGGTGTGCTTGAGGTTGCTCGACAGAAAAGCACTGAACTAGAGGAGTCTATTCGTCGAAAACGGTTGGCTGGCCTTGTCGGTGCTGTCGGCCGTGTCCTTGATAAGGGCTCTGGCCAGTCAGCTGGGGATGAGCTGTTCGATAGGCTTGTGGCTAGTGCCGAGCAGTTATAGCCCTGGAGATTTTGACATGCATTTATGCGGGGCAATTGTGGGAATATTGTACAATAACATGGATATGAACGTATCAAGCATTATCTTTGAAAGATCCAATCAATCACAAGTACATTGATACTCTTCACACGTAGATGGCGAGTGAGTACAACTCAACAAAAAGGTCTCGAACATAAGTGATCAATTTGGTCGATCAAACGATCCCCAGACCGTCCACATGTTATCTGATCTATGCCACTACAGACGAAGCTCTACGAACGCCTCGAAACCCCCCGACAAGTCTGAACCGGAAATTTGCAAGTTTTTGTTTTTGGAATTCCATTGTTCTTCTTTGTCCAGGGCCGGTTCCAATCGGCGTTTTTTTTGTTCGTTTCTAGGTACCAGAAGGGATCCAGTAAGGAAGAGGGAAACAGCATCACAACCTCGTTTATCGCATTGAGCCCATGCAAGCACGCCCTAATGGACGTGTTTAATAAACACCAAAACCAGACCAGACCACACGAACCAGCCCTCGCGCAAGAACCTGATTTCGTATCTCGTATCAAAGTAAAAAAAAGGCTTTGTATTATCTTTTTGCGCTCTCTGCTCCTCTTTCTCGCGATCGGATATCCATAATCCTTCCGGGACTTTCGGCATCAAATTACCAAAAAGTCAATCCACCCAAGCATCACCCTCCAGTCGAAACATCGGTAGCAAGGCCCTCGAGAGTCGAAAGAGGACAAGATTGGGTAGCGCGGCGGCTTAGGGTTGAGGGAATTGGGAGGTTGAAGATACGGCAAAGAAGGAAAGCGGGGGAACTCGATTTTGGCCGAAGAGAGATCATAAACAACCGGTCGTGAGGGATATGCGAGAGAAGACGAGAGACAAAATAGACGACGCGAGCGAAATTTCGTTTTGGTGGATTTTAACGGAGACGGCGGGCCTCGCGCTCGGACTCGAGCAGGCAGAGGATGTCGTCAACGCGGACTGAGGGGGGAATTCTTGTTAGTAAATTGGTTCGATGTATGTGTGTTTTTTTGCGTCTTTGGGTCGTTCGTCAAAATTCAATATTTCGACATGGGTTCCCTTCATTTGATGATCTGAAGAATCCCAATTCATTTCCTCCTCTTGCAGCGATCCCATAGACGGTCGAATTGGGAAAGAAATAAGAAATCGATGTCGCATACCTGGGCCCTTGACGTTACGGATGATGGAACGGGAAGTGTCGTCCATGAACTCGACGCGGACCTGGGTGACACCACCACGGGATCCTATAATGCAAAAAAACCGATAGATTAGCCATTGTTCATCCTCCCAATGTGTGGTTTTCATTTGTGGTCGGGGCGATCTGGGGCGCAGTCCCCGCGGATATCGAATTGTGGGTTTTTGGGCTTCGAAAAAGCTAGGATAGCACATACCGGTGCGGCCGAGGACACGGGTCACCTTGACGAGCTTAACGGGCTGCTTGCTGGAGTCCATCTTGAAGGAAGGAGAGGGCGTTGAGCTCGAGGGTTGGAGTTGGTTGGTCGGGGAGGTTAGAGAGTGTTGAGGATTGAATTTGCCCGTTGTGGGTTCGTGCGAATTACGCGAGGGCTCAGGGCTGGACACCTGAGCCGTCAGGCAGGAACTGAGTCAGCCAACTCAGTCAGGCACCAAGGCATCCAGATATTCAGGCATCAAGGCAGAAACATCTATGTCCGATAGCGGCCATCCATGGATGACATGATGACTTGGGAATTGACTTCAGGGCTGGAGATCTCAATTGAAACCACTTGGAGTTATCGTAGCCATGGTAATGTAGCCTTCCAGTAACATACACCATAGCATCTTTCACGTGGGCGCATACTGCGTGCTTCAACCCGGTCCCGTCACTAGTTCGGCTCTGCCCCTCCAAATTTTGCCCAGCTCCGGTCTGGCTATCTCTGACTCTTCCGGGTTATTAATTATTCATCTTCTTGATATCCTTAATCTGGGACATCTTCACGGTCTCTACTCTTCAATTGACCATATATCCTTGTCAATTGCTTTAATTCCTCTCATAAAAAAGGAACCAGCCCCGCTATCGTCATGGATCTCGTCAACCAGTGAGTTAATCGCAAAAAGAGTGGCATACAAGACACCTAACCAGTCAATTCAACTACAGCCTCGAAGGCCGTCTTCTCTTTGCCGTGCCCAAAAGCAAGTGCCCTCTGCCCTCCCAATCGTGACTCAGAATGATCGAACGAACACAAAGAGAACAATGACTCAACGCAAGACAAAGCTAACGACACACCTATGTTACAGAGGGACGTCTGCAACAAGCAACCCTAGACCTCCTCGCAGGCTGCGATGTTCAGTTCCGTCGCGAAACCCGCCTCGACATTGCGCTGGTCAAGAACCTGCCCATCGCGCTGATTTTCCTGCCCGCCGCCGACATCCCCACCTTTGTCGGCGAAGGTCGCGTTGACCTGGGTATCACTGGCCAAGACCAGGTCGCTGAGCACGACGCTACCCTCCCCGCCGGCGAGGTCTCAGGAGTTGAGGAGGTCCTCGATCTCGGCTTCGGCGCCTGCAAGCTGCAGGTCCAGGCTCCTGAGAAGGGCCCCTACAAGGAGGCTAAGGATCTCGTTGGTCGCAATGTCGTGACCAGCTTCACAGCCCTGACAGAAGCTTTCTTCCGCAAGCTTGAGGGCGCTGAAGCCGGTGCGCAGCTCGCCACTAAGATCAAGTACGTCGGTGGAAGTGTCGAGGCTGCTTGCGCTCTCGGTGTCGCGGACGGTATCGTCGATCTCGTTGGTAAGTGATGGTTTACTGTCTTCTGTCTCGCGCACACCTGTCGCTAACATTCTTTACAGAGTCCGGTGAGACCATGAAGGCAGCTGGTCTTCAGGCCATCGACACCGTGGTGTCAAGCACAGCGGTTCTGGTCAAATCTCGCCAGTCAAACAGCGATATCCTCACCCTCCTCACCTCCCGTCTCCGCGGTGTCATCACCGCCCAAAAGTTCGTGTTGTGTCAGTACAACATTCCCCGTGCTCAGCTGCCCGTCGCCTCGAAGATCACCCCCGGCAAGCGTGCGCCCACTATCACCGCCCTCGAGGAGGAGAACTGGGTTGCTGTTAGCTCGATGGTGGAGAAGAAGCGCATCGCTACTGTTATGGATGAGCTGACCAAGGTTGGCGCAACTGACATTTTGGTTATGAACATTGCCAACTCTCGCACGGATTAAGAGTAAGACTTGATGATTTGTTTTTCGTTATTTTGATAGCATTTATGATTGGTTTCTATACATGGATATACTTCGGGTTAAGAGGTTCAATACACATAGAATGTAGGTTCCAGATATCCCCCGAGTGCTACGTATCATTTAGAAATACGTGAAGTACGAGGTCAAAAGGCATCCTCCTCATCTACTTTGGGGTTCTCTTTTTCTTTGTACTTCTTCTCCCATGCCCTTTCATAATTAGGATGTTCAGCTCTCGGCTATGCAGTCATGTCTTCTCTATTGTTCTATTGCTATATGCTATATGATATATGCCACAACTTCCAAGAGACAAGAGTACAGATCCTCATCTACACCCAAGTCATGGGTCAAGTCAACCCCAAACAAGAACTCCAAACGCACTGGTATCATCAAAGCAAGAAAACAAAAACAAAACAGAAAATCATCACAACTCCTTCTCACCAAGACCAACACCCTCCTTCCTTCCCCGATGAATAGCCCTCAAACACTGTCCAACTCCCTCAAGGTCACCAAGCAACCCCACATGTCCACGATCACTCTTCACCAACCCGCCCTTAATAATGCGATATCCAGGCGGCAACATCGCAGCACTAGCAAGACAAACACCATCACCAGCCGCGAAGGCAAGATCGTCATAAGCATCAACTTGCTTAATACACTCTGCCGAGACGATCCGCGCTCCATACACCGTCGGCACAGACTTGCCGTACAAGACCGCCGCGGGCGGATACTTGTTCTCGGAGTGGTGTGTTGGCCGGAATGCCAGATTCGATTTGAATCGCTTGGTGTCGGACAGTGTGCGCTGGAGATACTCCATTGCTGCGCCGCGTGGAATCGTGCATGTTGTTGCTGCTTTGCTGGTCCCTGCACTGCCGCGCGGGTGTGATTGTGGGCCTACGATTCCGTCGGCGGGGTTTTGGGCCTTTTCTGCTGCTTGTGCTGCGTATGCGGCTGGGTGGGGGATGTTGTGTGGGTTGTGGCTTGGGTTGCGGGCTGTGATGTCCTTGTTTGTTTCTAGGGTTGGGTTTGAGGGGTCGGAGAGGTCGAAGGTGTCATTTGAGTCTGGGGGTGGAGGCATGGAGAAACGTTTGCCGATGATGGGGATGTCTTTTAGGCCTAGGCCGTTGTTTGTTGCTGGTGGGACTGGGAGGGCTGGTTTGATGCAGGGGGAGAGATGGTGGTCGTCCCAGGTTTGGGCATTGAAGAAGTCGATGCGGAATTCCTTTTTGCTTTGCTTATCGATGAAGCAGTGGCCGTCTTCTGGGAGGAGGGCGAAGCTTGTGCGGAAAGTGAAGTTTACTTGGGCTGTTAGGACCCGTGAACTGAGAAGGACGTCGTCGCCGTTGCGGAGGGGTCCCAGGATGTTCACGCAGTGCTGTGGGACACCTGCGTATACAACACCAGCGAATAGATCTGGACGCTCGTTCACTGCATGGCGCGTGATGAGACCGCCCAGACTGTGTGCGATGACTGTTGCGCCGCGCCCAGGCTCCCCGGTTGAAGATTTCTGGTTACAGGGGAGACCCTCGAGGAAGGCAATGAGCCTGCGAGAAAGGAGCTCCGGGCTGAGTCGCCAGTCATAACCATAGTCGTGAACGCGCAAATCCCCTCGCATGGCATTGTCGCTCTTGCGGAGCCGTTTCATCAACCGGCGGCAGACATCGACGGGGCCGACGTGGGAGAGAACACCAGATGGGATGATTGTCTCTTCCATTCGCTCCTCGTCTTCCGGGTTCAACCCGACTTCCAAGTCCACTTTACGGAGATTCAGGCCGACCTTCATCGGCACCCAAAGCTGTCTTTGGGGTGGTTTTGCGGACCGCAGAATGGACCCTCGGTACCCTCCCAGGATCACGACATCTCCCGTGAGTTCTGCCATGGCCTCCTCCAGAATCGGATGTGTTGGGTCAGGGTTCCGCGGGGGAGGTGGGCTCGCAGATCGTTGTGATGGTAAGCCCCTATCGGTCGCATTAGTGTTACTGCTACTCGAGTTATTTCCAATCTCAGGTAGGAACTGGCGGGATCCCCAATCAGGACGCATGTCCTGCAGATGTAAAGCTGGCATGCTTAATAGCCTGCTACTGGAGTCTTGGAGACTGTCCTTGATGGCCTTGAAGCGGCTGTTGACCTGGGCGTGCACATTTTCATATAATGGACGCTGCTCAAGGGACGATGCCGTGGACGACGCGCGCAAGTACAACGATTGATCTGAGGAAGATCTTCGCAAGCTTGGCGGTCGGCCAGGCATCGCCGAGCTAGGGCGTCTCGCGAAAGAATGCTTCGCAGCCGAGGTCCCATCGGGCGCCCGCAGCTCAGGGATTGACTGATTGGACTCCTCGTCGTCATTGCTGAGGCTGTCCGGCGCAAGGGGCGACCGCGGGGGACGCCGATCGACCAAGGATGATGTCCGCTTCGGCAGACTGGTTGTTTGTTTCGCTGAGGGAGCCACGGTCTGACTGCGGGTTCGGTTTTGGCCATTGGGGACCCGGAATGAGAGTGAAGGGCGCTTTCGCAGTGATGTGAGGTCAGGCAGGAATCGCTTGAGCTCGCCGGACCAGGCGCGTGGTCGACGGGGTAAGGTGTTCTTCAATAGAGACCCGACGAAACCCGACCGTTGACTGAGCGCTGTATCTTTGGACGGAGGCTTTTCAGAAGCCGAGGCAAAGAGATCGCTTCGTGGGCCATGCGCCAGGTGCTGTTCGGGAGCTTTGTACCTCACAGAGGGATAGGTCGCCCGCTCCTTTTCCCCATATGTTCCTTCCCGGGGCTCCTGGGCCTGGGGCTTCTCGTTCTTGGATTCCTCAGACTCTGGCTCCGCCGTGAGCTCCGACACAAATAGACCATCTTCGCCGACTGTATCTGGGATTGCTTCGAAGTATCCGCCGTGATGTTCCAGGACCCGATTCTTCTCTTCCAGGGGTGTTGCGCGGGCCTTCATGCGACTCTGTTCGCGCCCAATGCTCACCCCCACCACATCACCGGCAGCATCTTCATCGGTAACCTCGGTCGAATGCGGAAGCGGTTCATCGCTATCGGAGCTGGAAAATGACGAGTAGTGCGAGGGGGAGTCGGAGACGGCCAGGTTCGAGGATGACGATGAATACAGGGCTTTGGGCGAGGCGACGGCAGCGCTCTCCGGGGCTAAATGAGAATCCTCCGATCGGGCGGCAGGAATTGAAGCCATGCTGTGAGATTGCGTGAAATTAAGAGCTTGGGGTTGATTCCACAGCAGTATACGGTGCAACTATCGGCCCCAAAACTTGGATGGGTTCATGTACAATGATGCAGATATGGCCCGGGCTTTAGGGCATTCAACGGTACCTGTCTATACAACAAAAGAATAAAATAGATGCAATAGTTCAAAAGATGTTTTTTTTTTCTTGAGCCAAAAGAATACCGAAAACAGTGGGTTCCACCCAGCACAGCCCGGGTGGCCCGGAAGGTCAAAAACGGTTGAAACTTGGATATAAGATTTGTTGGCCAAGTCTTGTGTCATCTATCTGATCGTGATCGATGTGATCTATATGATCTATATGATGTTGCACGAGTAGAACGTGTTTCGATCGACACATTCTCGTGGTTGAGCCCGGGAGATCGGTGCCCTAAAGATGGGACTCCAGTTTTATTTCTGTGTTTTTATTGTAGCATATTATTATCACAGTATTATGATTATTCAGATCATTTGGATTACTCATGTTAGAATGATATCGAATTACGGAAAAAGCAGCCGGAACTATAGAATTTGCTCTGAATAAAATCCCCTACAAGTATCCCTATTTAGCTCTATTCTCTAATTCGAGTGCGAGAACTGCTTCGAGCGAATCTCCTCCGCCCCTTTGTCGGCGATCTGTTGATTCCGCTCCGCCCCCTCATGAGACCCAAACGCCCGATCGACAGCCGTATTCAAGGCCCCACGCAGCGACTCCCCAGCCCCCTGCAGACACCATTAGCAACCCGAGAAACCATCTTCTACTTATACGAGTACAAAAACTCACATGAACTGAGGCGGCAGCCCCTAAAATCCCCTTGCCGATTCCATTTCCGGCCCGAGAGCCCCGGGACTGATCTTGGATCTCCGCCCGTTGCGCCGTGCTAGCCGTATGCGGCAGCGGTTCATCGGCCACGATGCGATCGTCGCTTCGTGCGGGCGAGGGTGACAATGGCCGTTGGTGGTTCTGGGTTGGTCCGCCAGCAGAAGACTTGGAGTAGCTGGCTCCTGTGGATGGGTTGACGCCTTTAGTGGTATCGTAGTGGGAGCGTTGGTCGCGGAGCCCGGTGGGAAGACCTGGCGCTCCAGTTGAGGACCCGCCGCCTACGGCACCTTGGGCAGTGTGAGTTGGTTCGTATTGCTCTTCGTTCATTATAAATTATATGTTTCAAATGAGTATCAAATGGGTATAGTAGAGAGAACAGGAGGGCGAAGAACTATATACTTGGTAAGTACCGAACACTCCCGGTGACGTCAGGATGACAGAGGCTAGCAGATCTATATCGCTTTCTGTCTTTTTTACATGCAGAGTATGCATCTATAGATCTATTTACTCTCATTGAACATTAAGTATACTGTTACACAGCATATCCGAATGCTCAGATTATTCAACTCAACCGAGCCGAGGTCCAAGGAGCAGTTTTCCTAATTTGGAGCATCTCCGATACCCCAGAATCCTTTTTCTTCGGCGTTTCCTCCCCATACTCTCCTTTCTTCAATTAATTTCGCCTTTCAAAATGTCTTACAAGCAAATCATCTACACAACCCCCCCGGCTCCGGCCATCAACCCCTCCCTCACATCAGGGACCTTCCGCGTAAACACCACCCCGATCCCCAAGGATGTACCCGCAGACAAAGTCCTCGTGCGCGCGCACTATCTCTCCCTCGACCCAGCCATGCGTCAATGGCTCACCGCCAAACGCTCATACATTGCCCCAGTCGAGCAAGGCGCCGTCATGCGCGGCCAGAGCATCGCCCAAGTCGTCTCCGTCGGCAAAGACCTGACCTCCAAATATGCCGCCGGGGACTGGGTCGTCGCCTACTCCGGCTGGCAGGAGTATGCGCTAGTGGGCGCCAAGGAGGCCGAGAAAGTCATTGTGCCGCCGGGCGGTCGGCCCACGGACGCCATGTCCGTCCTCGGCATGACGGGCTTGACCGCGTACTTCGGTATGATCGAGGTGGGACAGCCGAAGAAGGGTGATACGGTCGTTGTCTCTGGAGCTGCCGGCGCAACGGGTATGGTAGCTGGTCAGATTGCGAAGATTCAGGGCGCAAAGCGCGTTGTCGGACTGGCTGGGTCGAAGGAGAAATGCGAGTTCCTGGTTAAGGAGCTTGGGTTTGACTCTGCGGTTAACTATAAGGATGCCGATTGGCGGAAGCAGTTGAAGGAGGCTACCCCGGAGTATATTGATGTCTTCTTTGACAACACTGGTGGTGAGATTCTGGATGCTTGTTTGGCTCGTGCGGCTAGGGACTCCCGCTTTGCGATCTGTGGTGCTATCAGTCAATATAACTCGGCGAAGCCGCAGGGACCAGCTAGCTTTATGAGTGTTATTGTGAGTTCTTGGGTGGTTTTGGTTGGAAGATCTCCGCTAATACATTGCAGTCTCAACGGATTACCATGAAGGGATTCATTGTCTTTGACTTCGCAAAGCAATACCCGGCTGCATTGAAGCAGTTGGCAACTTGGCTGGCAGAGGGTAAGCTCAAGCGCAAGGAGCACATTGTGCCTGGCGGCCTGGAGGCTGCGCCCCAGGCCCTTATTGACCTTTATGCCGGTGCCAACACCGGTAAGATGATGGTTGAGGTGGCTCCTGTTTCCGAGGCGAAGGCCAAGTTGTAAAGAATAAAGCGACATCCACTTTCTAGTTTGAAAATCATGTTCAACACGTTATTTAAGCGTTCTTCACTATCACAGTTTATTCGAAAAAGACAAGAATGTCTTGTTTACTGTATTTATATCAGATCCGTGAACCTCGTAGCTGGGTTAATCAACAGCCCGTCTAAGTCACGCATACCATATGCTCGACTTAAGTAGAAGTAGAAAGCTTGGAAAATGCAAGATATATTCCTACGTCAGGCCATTCGTTGGCCATTGGCGCGACAAACGGACCAAAATCGGTTGATATCGTAGTTCTAAACATGACCATGTGATGTGCATTTATGAATTGTTGCCATGGCGAGAGGATGTTTTAACAATGAGTAGCTAATTTCATTTCATAATATCATCAACGAAGCCATGAGCAACTTTAGAATAAATCATATTTCAACTTGGTTCACCCAGCGTACGAAGAGGTATAGCGTCCAAGGGTCAGAAACTGTTTAGATACCTGAAGATGCCTGAAGATGCCTTATTGTAGACCGCCTTTTCGACCGCCCTTTACCGGGTATTGTAACAGGCGTTTGGCGTTTCAACCCGCTCACTTCGCATACATGGATAGATCCTGGCGTTGAGGTTGTACTATGACCCTGAAAACCACCTTGGGGGACCACTTTGAAGCTTATCAGACCACCCAAAAAGGTTACCCCGGACAAGCGTTTTGGCATTAATTCAGAGCAAGCTAGTCGACCACATTGTGACCCGTGGATTTGGGAAATGATGGTCCATTGGTTACTATGTTCTTGTAATAGTAATTCAGGTATTATACTTTTTTGCCGGAATATAGTTTGAGGCCTCAGGCATTTTAAGGCATCATAGCTAGTTTTTGACCCTTGGACGCTATGTTCCATCATACCCAGGATTGAGAAATCGCAGTGCTTAGTTGGTAGACATTTGAATCAACATAAACCGCAAACTAGATCCGAGTATGGACTTCGTACTCCAAACTAAGAATTTAACCCAAGTCAAGTATTTTATTCATTGACGCAATCTCCTTTTCACTCCCCCCAGATCATTGGGCTGTAGATGGTCGGCGTTAGGACCCGAGGATGAACCCGGACGGAGATGCATACCGTGAATGCTTTGTGTGGAACTAGCAAGTGTATGCTCCTCACTAAGTATAAGAGAACAGCGATACCTCATATGAGGATATTCTCTTTATCCCACATCGTTTTCAACCCACAAACTTTACTTAAATAAACATGTGTCAAATTCTAGTCACGAGTACTACATATGCCTGCGGACATAGGGAAGTGAGACGAGCACCGGCTCCGTGTCCTGAGAATCATCCCCAACCCTGGCCGGAAACAGCCACAGCAAGCTCCCATAACCGCCGATATGCATGTGCGCGATGTCGAGGAGATTCCAATGGTGCAAATGGTACAAACGGCACCCACGGCATGAACGGCAACAGCAACTAGGTTGAGGTAACTATATTCGTACTGGAGCCATATAATTCTTTATTAATTTTTATAGCCCGGGGCCTCCGCGGCATTTGGGCGTACATGAAGATTCAAATTCGAACTACAAAGTAGTTATGGGTTGACATCATTCTGACATCGAGGTCGGCGGAACAAACTTGGATGAAATTTACCTGCAGACAGGAATATGGAGAGTGATGACCTCGACATGAGATAAGTGAACCGAACAGAGAATATGAACAGGTTTGTTTGCTACTTACTGGTGCAGATTAGGGGAACACCTGTAGATAAATCCTGCTGACGAACTGGGAGCGTGAGCATAAATACCCTCAGCCATTATGTTGAAATCTCATCCAATTCAACTTATTTCACGGGCTCCCATCAAGCACCAGGCTCTTGTAATATCATTTACCAGGCCCGCATACAGTTATCATCGATTTCACACGAGATCGTATCTCGGAGGAAGAATGACAGCCCAACAAAGTAACCAGAGCTTCAAGCTGGAGAATCTTTTCAATGTGAAAGGAAAAGGTACCCATCCAGCCCTGATAAGTCATTAATCATAACTAATCGCGCTAGTGGCTCTCATAACCGGCGGTGGCTCAGGAATAGGTCTTATGGCCACACAAGCTCTATCCGTAAATGGGGCCAAAGTATACATCGTCGGCCGAACCGAAGAAAAGCTCGCCCGCGTAGCAGAGCTATACAGCAACGGAATTGGCGGCGAGATCATTCCTCTCACTGCAGACATCACCAAAAAGGATGAAATTCGGAAGCTCGCCGATGAGATCTCTGCCCGTGAAGGCCACCTCTCTATCCTCATGAACAACGCAGGGATATCCAGCAAGACGCAAGAAACAGAGCATGAAAATGCGGGGAAGTTGCGTGAGTCTCTTTTCGATGACCCGGCCGCTACATTTGAAGAATGGGACGATGTCTTCCGTACAAATGTCTCTCAGCTCTTTTTCATGACCACCGCGTTCCTACCGCTTCTCCAGCGCGGCTCAGAGAAAGAACGTGGTTGGTCCAGCACCGTGATCAACACGACTTCTATTTCAGGCATTGTGAAGGTCTCACAGCACCATTTTGCTTATAATGCCTCCAAGGCCGCGGCTATTCATCTGACTAAGATGCTCGCGCACGAGGTCAGCTCGTCTAATCTCAAAGTGAGGGTTAATAACATCGCGCCGGGGGTTTATCCGAGTGAGATGACTGCCGGAGAGAGTGATGAGTTGCAGAAGAGTTTCATTCCGGCCGAGAAGTATGAGAAGAAGGTTCCTGCTGCTCGACCCGGGCGTGATGAGGACATGGCTAGCACGGTGTTGTTCACCGTCGCCAATCAGTATCTGAATGGGCAGACCGTTGTTATTGATGGTGGCTATGTTCTTGCCGCTGGATCTGTAAATTAGTGCATTGGATATCAAAACAAACAGTGATTTTTTGAGTTTTGACTTGGCTAGGCTGGCTTCACAAGGACCATCCTTTTGTAATACCAGCGGTGACTTCATCTCCAGCGGACACCGTGTGCCTCCACGCAAGCGGAGGTCATGCTCGATCGGCGCACTGTTACTGCACCTGAGTCTCTTTCCGCGGCTGTGTGTTACCGGGCTGAATTCTGTAGCTCCCCCACGCCCCACGGAGCTCGGCGAAGCCGGTGTGGCCGACGCCTAAATGCAACAACAACGCTTGGGCAACATTGGCGCAGGAAACCCTTCAATTCATACTTGAGATGTCGGGCAAGTAGAGTCCGAATCGGGCGGCAGTTGCTTGGCCATCCCTCTTTTCGCCTTTCTGCTTCCTTCTTTTTCAACGTGAATAATTGAGATCATTCGCTTCTGGCACCATTGAATCCTGAGGGCTGCCAAGATGGATAAGAGAACGGAGTGCTCCGAAGGGAGTAATTGTTCGGAGTACTGCCGAGCGTTGTGCCATCAGTATCCCGCTTTTACTCCGCTTTCAGATCCAACTTCACGAGTGAGGTCAGCTCGTCAGGGGGATTGCTTTTTTCGCATACTTAAGTATGATTCACTGAGCTCAATAAACACGCTCGGAATGTTACCAAGGAGACATAGAAAGTGTGTCCACCAAGAGCTTCGAGCAAGGCATGATAACACACTTTGAGATGAGGTAGCTATATAGTGAAACCATTTTTCCAGGTGCCATAGGCAAGTGGCGAAGAATACTTATTCAAGAGTCCTCCTCATTGTCCTGAAGCTCTTGGTACGCGTCCACTTCTTAACCTTGAACCACTCATCTTATCGCTTTTGCCGAACACAAAGTAGCTCTTCCAAACATAACTATCACACCAAGAGTTACCATTGCAACAATGTTGAGCCTACAGGACAGAATAAGTAACTGACTGAAACCGATTGATTGACTACGGGAGAGAGAGAGAGGAAGAAAAGAGAAAGACTCGGGAAAGAGGGTTTATCTACACAAACAGCAAACGAGGGTTGGGACGAACTTCCCACACAACAGAATCACCGCTAAAAAGAAAATTTTTTCTAGAACCATTAAACTCTAGCCTTCCTTCGCCTGGTTATCCCGCAACCAAGCCCCTACATTACCAGACTCTGACTTGAGAAGGATATCAAGCCAACCGCTGGCCCGAATACCTTCACAATGGTTACAAAGGTAGCCCTGTAGCTTCCCAAAAAGCTTTCCAACATTCTCATTTATTCTCTTTATGTCTTTAGCCTCGGACTGCACGAGCACTTGGTACTAGAGCATCTGCAGAGTGGCGTGAAGACCTGTGCGGATTGCTTTGGAGTGGCACAGCGCAGTGCATTTATGCGCCCTATAGTTTGCTGTGTTCCCAGAGTACCCTTGGCATAGTACGTTTCGGCGATGGAGGATAAGCCCTTTTGCAAGGTCAGAGAGAATTATATTATTTCATAGGTCCCGTTGGCTATGTTTCAGCATCTCATCATATAATGTAACTGCTGGAGCTTGGAGGGAATTGAGTGACCATGTATTCGATATTGGTAAAGACGAGACAGGAGAGATTTCATTCCCTAACCAAGTGTCGTCGTTGAAGAAAACATCGGTGTCGGAATCAATGAATAGAGTGCCAATCGTCTCTGTTGATTCCCGGCTGGTCTTTGCTTCGACGTAGCAAGCTACAACATCATATAGTGACTTGAAAATACGCAGCTGCCTATTACAGCTGGCATAGCGCGACACCTGTACCAGAGACTGTAGACCGTCAACCATTCCCTTTAAACGGTCCAGGTCCGACGTGTCAGCAGTATCAACAACATTGCAGACCAGGATTGTGAGAGGGATGATTGGCACTAGGAGAATCTCGTTGACCCATTGGTGAAGGCCGGTTGGCCATTTTGCTGCATCCGAAAGTATGACAATGCTGGCTTCGCTCTCTTTAAGGGCTACTCGCGCAGCGGCGATGCATTGCGTGCATGGCATTGTACCCGAAGAACTTTCTGTTGGGATTCCTCGATATATGGACGCCAAAGTTGAGTATTCTATAGCTCTGTTGGCGTGTACCATGAACCGTAAAAGTTCTGGATCTAGCACATGGCTACTCCACAGATGTGGTCGATTCTGAGAAGGGCGGTTAGTCAGAGGGTTCACGGGCTGATTCCGTGTATTTGCTTCGGGTGGGAGCACAGAAAAAGATGTTTAGATACTTACATAGTATCCAGTTCTCGCGGCTATCATCCGCTCTAGTTCTGAAGCCAGTACACTGGCACGAGATATGCGAACGGAGCCAGTTTGTGCCAGCGCAGGCGGACTATACAGGCTGTCATACAAGCGACCGTAGAGACTAGCGACATCGATACAGTCAGGCAGCCGGTTATATGCTAGGGAGGTCATTTTGCGGTCCAAAGTGAGTCGTGGGATGGTAATATCCTGGTCTCTAATAGTCGATGGCCTGCCTAGCCGTAAAGCCACGGCTCTCTCCAGGACGTACACAGCCCAGAAAATGCATATATTTCGCTGCACTGTGTCTCCTTGTTCCATTACCATGGCGTGACTGCTATGCAATCCCAAGGCCAGGCACATAAGTGACGCTCTTGAAATAAACGTCCAGGCTATGCACACCTTTCCCTGTTGGAGACAATGAAGGGACTGTATGTTTGAAATCGCAAATCAATACCGTGGGGGGTACAATAATACTAAGAGGGAGAAACGCACCGCCATATACAAGGCACAGATAGAGTCAATATTCGTATCGATGTGAAAGGAAAGGCTCGATAGAATTGTCTCGAGGCTCTCCCTGCACGTTGCAGCTTGCACATCGTAGTCCTGTCTCAGCGTCTCGTCATCGGCACCAATCGAGAATTGGGTAAAGAGCGAGTAAAGGACATAGTGGACTTTGATCAGCTCCACATCGCTGATCGGACCGGGGGTGCAGGCTCTGATGACGGACTGAGTGAAGTCTCCTAGAGATCCAAATTCGAAGGGCCAGTAAATCTCGCTCGGTGATCGATCTGCGGTATGATTATCAGAACTAGTGCAACATAAGCCAAAAAGAGACACGCACCTTGAACGTTCCTGAGGCATGCCATGATTTTATCCACGGAAGGGATAGGCAAATCCCTGAGACTAAGACTGGAAGGTAGTGCCTTTATAAATGAATGTGACCCTTCCAGTGCCTCATTTTGCTGCTTCTGGTCATTCACTGTGCTCCGCAAGGTGTTCAACGCCGAAGTTAAATTGCCGACGGCCCTAGAGCATGGGTCATTCATCACAGCGATTTCAAGAGCTCCCGCTGCACAAATGACATGATCAAACAATGCGGACTCAATCCCTTCTGCTGGAGCTGGAGCATTCGGGGATGCCCGGAGTTTGCCAGATTGGAGCGCTGAATATGATGGTGCTCGTAAACTAAATGGGGCCATGAGGCTACTATCATCACTATGGCGCTCATCTTGACGTTGTCCCATGATTCCGTAGAGCTCCTCAACTCTGTTCGAAATATGCTCAAGTCTTCTTTCACTGATGGTCCATTAGTAATTAGTTAGATTTACTTGGGGGGCGGGCGAGAGACAACCCACAATACACTCGAGATCAGGACCCGTTGCCGCTTTTCCTTGGTTTTATGAGCCAGTTTGAATGTACACTGCGTCTGCGCCTTGGTACAATGTGAACACGGATTAATGCGATTACACTTGGTCTATCAGGCCAGCTCGAAAGTCAGTACCTAGATGGACCGATCTTGGATACACCTTATGATAACATTTGCTGCAGGCGAATAGAAGGATCGTACCTTCCGGTGACGGCAACGATCACACTGTGGAGCATGTCAGCATCTTATTTACATGTGGCGCGAATAAGGAAAGGTTCTCATACGGCCACTCTCTCCTTCACGACAATATCATGCTCGCCTACTCCATTCCACTGAGAAGCCAGGCCACATTCTTCCTCTGCTGCTTGGCCGGTGGGCCCGTAGTCGGTGCCAGGAAATGACATCATCGGTGTGTAGAGACGCTCTCAATGCGATTTGGCAGGGCAAATTGCATGCCGAATGGTGGACTATCAGAAAATGTAAGTCCGGACTTTTTGGAAGTCCTCCCCGACGAGATTGCCGAAAGGATAATTTGCAGGTTCGGTGAAATTCTCAGTCATAGCCGGACACTCGGGGCGCCAAGAGTCCGCAGTCCGAACAGTGGAGACACCTTCGAATGGTCATAGTATATACTTGAACTTCAGAATATTATGTGCGTCTTGTTTCTTGCCTGTTTGTCATTTGGACACGATTGTTATCCTTCCGTTTCCCACGGGCCTGCAGACACTTGCGCTTATCAATCCTTCCCAACAAACAGTCCACCATGAAGTATCGCGGCATCGTCTACGATGTCGGCCTCAACTTCAGTGGTACTGGATTCTCCGTCGAACCATTCGATCCTGCCCTAGTCAAATACGACATGAAAACAATCGCCAACGATTTGCATGCCAACGCCGTGCGGATTGAAGGAGAGGAGATACATCGGCTGGAGACTGCGGCACGATCAGCGCACTCGATGGGACTCAAGGTGTTTTTCAATCCGTGGATGATGAATGCTACCGTCGATGAGACCCGCGCATATTTCGAGGAGGCGGCAAAATCTGCGGAATCATTACGCAATGAAGGCATTGATTTGGTCTTTATCGCCGGCTGCGAATACACCATTTTCAGCAAAGGCGTCTTCCCTGGAGATTCTTTTAACGACCGTGCGGCGTTTCTGGGCCTGCAGTTTCCCAGAGGCCACATGATCGAGGATATATCTCAGGCTCTGCGTGACAAGTCTGTCGGGCTAAACAAGGTGTTGCGGTCTTTCGTCGGGGTGATTCGTTCCCATTTCGGAGGACAGATCACATATTCCGCTGGGTCCTGGGAAGTCGTGGACTGGGATATTTTTGACGTCGTCGGCATAGACTATTATCGCCGAGGAGAGACAGCAGAGAGTTATGTCTCGTGTCTCGATCGGTACAGGATTGGAAAGCCTCTCGCTGTTTTAGAAGTCGGTTGCTGCGCCTACAAGGGAGCAGCAGAGCGCGGGGACGGCGGTTTCATACTCTTGAAAGGCACGAACCCAGACGGCACTGGTATATTCGAGAATGATGTTGTCCCGAATCGGAGCGAGAAGGAACAGGCCGATTATGTTGGGACGCAGCTTCAGCTTCTCAACAATGCAGGAGTTGATGCGGCTTTCATATATTTGTTTTCGTTCCCCTGTATGCCGGCAGGAGAAGGGGCGAGGGATCTGGACATGATGTGTTTCTCGCTGGTAAAGACCTTTTCTGAGAACGATCCAAGATCTAAGGATATGCCTCCATGGGTACCGAAGGAGTCTTTCCATCATGTCGCCCAAGTCTTTTGTTCTATCGTGCAGAAAGAGCAGAGTTCTGCAGTAACTCAGTGAAATGCGCCTTTGGGCAATGTCATGCTTAGGATTTGGTATCGCACAGTACCAGAGTACCTGTGACTTTGAACAGACTGCGGATTCTTAGGTCACTGGCAAGGGAAAAAAATACGCGGTGAAACATGAAACGTCGGTAATATCCGGGCACTAGTTCCATGGACTTAATGACGTTCAAACGTCTTCACCTAGTTTTCTTCATTCAATGGGTGCATTTTCTCTGTTGTAGTTTATCCGTTTTGTCAAATCTACTCACTTAAGTAGTCATTGGGTACTAGTCTCCAATTGTATCATGTGCGTACAATGTTCCAGTGGCTGCTCGTACGGCACTTGATGTGGTCGTTATGGATTAAAGGAGGATGTATTCTTACTTAAGTAGTAGAAAGTTAATTTTCACGCATTATCCCAATTCGGATTAATGTATTTTTGGATACAGGCCGAGAAACAAAGAGTGTCTTGGGGATAAATTGTTTTCGAATTCTACTGTAGAAGAGCATACCATATGAATTTTAAAGCAAGTCCCAGTACTATCCAGAATGTCACATGGCAGGTAATCTACGACCTCTGGACAATTCAATAGATTTACATACACTTGAGCAGTCGACAAGGATACCCTTGGACCCTTTCTAGAGCGACTAGTATGTGTTAGCGGCGCAATGGAAAATTCACTTGGAAAAGTATATGTAGTTGTATTACTGTAGATCGAAGATATACTATACTCCGTACACTACTAAATCTTGCTTCTTTACCAGATTATTTTCGACAAGTCAATCACTGGAACAGTTGAGATTATTTACCCGAATGTTGGATCATCGAGGTATATAAGCTTTACATTCCTTATACATTATCTTTTTTGCACAGTCAAACTTTAGAATTGTATTATGATAGCACTACGGATTATATTAGAGTATAATATTGTAAGAAGTCCCGACTTCATACAAGGTCAATACGAATCCCTCGTGATACGTTAGGGACTTCAGGAACCTCCCACGGTTCGCTTTGGAGCCTCCCAGTCTGCAGACACCTGAGGTGCTTCGCCTCTACTCTCTCTCCAATGACATCTTTGAAACATTGTGGAAGGTTCCTGCTGCTCAAGTGAGACGGTTATCTCACCATGAATCGTCGAGATCTAGTCATAGTATAGTTAGCGGATCATCCTTGTGTCTACCTAAAGTTGTGATATACCTACAAAGTACACTCGCAGATCCCTACCCGAGCCTACCACGAATCTGTAGCGGATCCGAAGCGAATCGCAAACGGATTACTAGGGAATACCCCCCTGATCTCCTGCTGGGTTGACGGGCTGTATGCCTGAACCTGTACATTCCTTACTGTTGTGTAGGGAGTTTGTCCCAAATCCCGTTTGTAGATTAGATCTGCTCCCCACTTCTCTCTTCTTCTTCCCTCTCTCTCTCTCCGCAGTCAATTCAATCGGTTCTGTCCGCCCTTTCTCATGCCCTGTAGCCTCAAAACTTACACTTTGACTCAGTAAAAATCTCAATAAAATAGGATTTAAAACAAAAGTAACTAAAATTAAATTAAATAAGTTTCCAATATTTGTGTTGTTATTTTGTGATATAGAACTTTAGAATGATCGATCTTCTAGAGTTGTTTTGCTTCTATAGATATAGCTGATTATTAGAAGTTCTTAGATTCTATTTCTTTCTTTAAAATTTTTATTATCGGTATTGAATAACTGAATTTGAAGATAATTGATATATTATTTTTAAATATTTTAATTTTCACAATGATACAAAAACTTTATAAAAATCCAAAAACCTCTCCATACCTAGAGCATCTTTATAGCCTTATTCAACAATAGTAAATAGACTATCACTCCTGAAGTCAGATTCCTCTTCTAGTCTCAGTTCACTGTGACTTGAACCCTGTCATTGATAAAATCTTAGTCGATAACGGTCTACATTTCAAACTCAAGTTTGCAGTCACCAGAAAATAGCCGAAAAGTATTTATCTATTATTCAAGTAAAATGTTTGGAACCTCTAACGGCAATATAGTTATTCAATATATACGACATCAGTGCTGGATGGAAGAGATCTCGATGAGCCTGGAATGTTTTCTTTAGTCCTGTCGGATGGATTTACTGGGGTTATTATATATGATATGTCTCACACTTCTCAACAAATAAACTGACCAAAGTTCCTTCGATGTGGATAGTCAACATGATAGGGTGCTTTACACGCAAAGTATAACGTAGTGACATCACCCCCCTTTTTCAGCTGAAATTTGTCCTGCAAATGGTCTAAGTCCGAACCGAACTTAAATCCGTATCCAACTCCGTGAGCATTCTGGTTCATGGGAGAAGCTCTCCAAGCACAGATGGGAAGATCTCGAGATGTGTGATAGGAAGAAGAAGTGTTATGTACGAAGGTCCCAGTGACTGCTTGCCAAAAAGTGGGCCCCGTAGTTTGCATAGTTTGCACCACTGTAACTTACAAAGATAGTCACATGATTACTGCCTAATACAAAAAGGGACAGGATCATGTAATAATCAACCAGACTTTTCATCATGTTTTGACGGACCCTTGCTCGTTCCTGATTGGTCAGAGTTCTGCACTTTGTCGATGCTTTTATGCCTGATTTCAAGATACCTGAATTACCATTACACACCCCCTCGCGATCGTTCCTCCAAGTCGGACTTTGCGCTCCGATCAGAAGGTTGAAGGCTCAAGGCAACGAGTAATTCAGGGATGCACTGATCGATCGATCGATCGATCGGTAATCGGACTAATCAGGACTTGGAAACGTGAGATCAGGAGAGGTTTATGAGGAGGGCTCCCGAGATCTTGAATTACAATACCAGACATCGACTTCAAGGGTGGTACCCGTATAATGAGGCATCTTCAGGCACCAACCTTGGAAATTGGCCATTGGGCCATCGTGAAAAGTCTCGAGAGCACCCCTATTTATACACTTCCTACGATCAAATGAAGTGGAAGAATATGGAATATCCAATGCAATTGCTCTTTTGGTGTCAAAAGTCGCTAGAATCACGAACCGAACGCCTCATTTCTCATATATTTTAAAATTTCCCGAACCTCGAAGTATCAGGGCTCAGTATATTAAACAGAGATCCTTCGAAGGAGTAGGGCACTCCCCAAGCTCCGAGAGATCAGGGGCATCCAGGATCTGAACAACCATATCCTGCCCTTCTGCAATGTGTTGGACAAACTCGTCATCGACGACGATTTGAAGGTTGGCTTTATTGACGTGATAGATGCGCGAGTCCACTGAGATGGTAGGATCGCTTTCAGCTATCCTCTTTTTGAGTTCGAGGACCGTTCTCTCTTTGGGGTAAATAGCACGATAGTGCTTAGTGGGCGCTATATTATTTTTGGAGATTTTGATGTAAAAGCAAGCAACTGGGTTTAAGGGCCATGTTAGTCCCAAGACTGTTTTATGAATCACCGAACAGAAGAATGACTTACCAGGCTGAGCCAACTTTTTCAACTGTGAAACCGTTCTGGGCATTTTGAATTCCGAGCAGTCCGATGATCTGGATTTTGGCGAAATACTTTCTTGGACGGCCGGGATGCTCTGGTGCAGTGGATTATGGACCTGTATCTTCGACGTGTCTACTGACAAACGAGGATGTAAATCAGGATCGTCATGATGATCGGCTCGAAGACTGAACACAGTCTCTGGCTTGGATGACCTGAGAGCCCACTGGAGCGCATCTAGCTTCTGTTGGAATTTTTTAAGCTGTTCTTGTGTTAAGCCGTTAGGCAAAGATCCCAGCGAGTTGCCTCTCATCTTTTGATATCGATCATTGGGTTGTCCCAAGCCTCCAGCAGGAGTGCTGTCTCTCCGATGTTTCGATGTCCGGGTTTGATCTGGATACTTGATTTGCAGTTTCAACCGCTCCATTCTCTTGTGGATGATAGCAACATCATTTGACATCTTCCTTTCAGCTCCGTGGTCTCTAAACAGCTTCACCTGGCAAAATGAAATCTCCGGATCAGGTGCGATATCAGGACTCTGGATTCTCTCTGTTTTCACACAAAGTCGCACCGATTCGCCCTTCACGCCCTTTGCTAGCGTGAAGTCGGTAGACAGAAAGTTGAATCGAACAGGTATGCTACATCTGTTTGCACCGTTGGCCAATGTGGACCAGATGATTGAAAAACCATCCAGATTCGCCTGCTCTACAAGCATTTGATCGCCCTGGCCTGCATACTGGACTGCCATTGGAGGCAACTCACGTCTCTTGGACTCGGTCGATTCTCGGCCATCTTTCCACAGCTGCCATCTAGCGGCCGAGTTTCGGCGATGCTCTTCCTCAAACGAGATTCGGATGAAGGTTCTGAATTGTGCGGCCTCGGCCACGAAAGGTGCCATAGAGTCCGTGACTGTGATATAATAGACCTGGCTCTTGTTCAAGTACGAGATTGGGACTTCATTCTGGTAGTTTATTATTGCGGTTGGCGCTTGGAGCACGGTCTGGTAACGGAATCTAGTCACATCGTGTTAGCACTGGGCAAATAATAGATGTTTGAGACATACGATTCCTTATCACCCGAGTCTCTAGATTCAGAAGGAGCAGTGTCTTGGAAGCCTGTCTGCATTGTCATCCGAGGTGAGACGCCCATACCTCTGTCGAGGTTTGTTGAATTGGTAGTGTTCATTGACGCGTAATCGATGGTGTCTTGGGTAAATTGGGTTTGTAAAGAAGGAGCATTGATTTTGAAGGGGTCAATGCTGTCGAAAAGCTGTGGGAGCGCAGCATTCTGCACGCAGTTCGAGCTCGAATCCATGCTGGATTGACTCGAAGAGCTCCAATGGTCAGGAGGAGATCCTTCTGGAGCCCCCTGATTATTGAAAATTCCGAATGATTCTGATCCTGAGGGATACACCTTTGAGTGTTCAGCTTGAGGTTGCATCCATGTTTCATCGCCCGAAGAATCAACATTCACTGGCAATTGACATTGATCAAATGCAAAAGGATCGACGAAGTGGAAATCATTCGTGTGCGTTTCATTGTCCTTGTTTAAGGATTGGCTTGGCTGTTTGGTATCGGCGTTTGTGCCGGTGAACACTTTCCCGTAAAGGTTTTGAAACCGACTGATGAACCCATCGTCCGGTTTCTGCGACCCCGCACTGTGATGGTGTTAGGTTTGGGCTCATCATTAAGATTTCCAAGTACACAAAGGCGGACATACTGATGGTACAACATTGGGAAGGCAATTTCCTGGGCAGGAACTATTCAACAGAAGCGAAGTATGCAGGGCAGCTATCAAAGTAAATCGAACTTTGGTATTCTCAAGGTCAAAAGGTAACAACTCCTAGAATGGCAGACCTGAGTGGTCAAGGTATATGGTGGGTGTAAAAAATGAAGAATCAATAAAGAAAAAGGAATTGGAGGGGGGGGGGGGGGGGGGGCGGGTTAAATTCGATATGGGAGCTGATTTGAAACATACAATGAGAAGGCTACCCCATGTACATCGATGAAATCATCGTTATTTCGTGAACTAATCTTAAGACCCCAAGGAATCGGAGAAAACTCGTACATGCATAACTCAGGCCATATTGGCCAAACGGGGCTTTTGAGAGTGGATACAATATCCGTGGATGGGTTAGGATTCGAGCTGTTCTCCAGTGGATCCCAGAAGATGTTTGTTATCGGCGAACTTTAGAGCCAAATCAGAATTCGATCCAGCATGTTCAAAAGCCCAACCGCATACCCATGGAGTTCCATTGGCTACCAACCCTGACAGCTCCCGGTGTACCTATGTACGGATGTGTCTGTGTACTCCGAGAGAGTACGGATAAGTACATGGATATATGTACGGAGCCTTGCATATGACGTGGTCGGCTGTTCGATAGGACCCAATCAACGTGTGATATCAAATGCGGCACAAGCACATAATTTGGAACGCAACGTGATCGGCAGCGGCTAGGATTATCGTTGGTTGGCTGCTCCATCCGGAAAAGGTAGCCCCCGTCATAGTGGGGCGGGCCCGCGGATCCGCGGATCCACTCGAGCTACCTGTGTGGAGCTCATATCGCGTCTGATCAAACTGTCGCATCGTTTACTCGAAAACTCAGTAATATGTACAAGTACGAGTACTTTGGACAAATCCTTTTTCTCGGCAACCCAGTAGACGTAGCCCTATGCTGGAATTGAGTTATTACCGTGGATCTTTAGGTACTTTTGGTCTTTGTATGATGTCAAAGAGTCGATCCGCAAGTGTGTCACTCTTGCCACCGATGGAAGCTTTTTCCTACATGTACATACTCGTACAACACAAAAGGTGCATGATAATCCACAGGAACGTGGTTTGTCAACCTGGGTAAGAACGCAGCGTTACGTAAAATGTACCATCAATTGCTCAATTGATGGTACTGAAACTCTCAAACTCCAAATTGTTTCCAAGTTTGATAGTGAAACCTTGGTTGATAATCTTTTCAAATGGCTATGTGTACTTCGCTCTTGTTCATGAGAAAAGATGATCGTTTTGCTTTCATGGATGGAAGGGACGGAAGAAAGTGCCGCTGTAGAATGCTGCGTGGGGCTCAACCCACAGAGACACCAATCAAACCCCGTTATTGCCAGACAATGTTTTGCCCATCTCCACTGCGGGTTTGTACATCATCGTTGGTTGCGGATAAGGACTCCCTCTACAAAGATTGGGTCCTGAGTCATGTTCAACGTCTAGAAGTTCTGGCCGTGGAGATGGGCACGCCCGGTACCGTAGAAAAACGCCCGACATGTGCCGTAGGCGGGGTCTAATAGAACTGCAGACCCCGATCTTATGACGTATCTGGAGAGGGAATAACATGGTGTGCGAGATAAGTACTTTTGTTAAAATGAACTACGATAGAGCAAGAAACAGAGGCAAGACAATGATTTCGACATACCAGGCGTCGTTTGACTCGATTGCCAAATAGAGTGAATGGAGAGAGAAAATCAGAGATCCATCTGTATCATTTCTAAATCTTCCATACCACATCCCAAGTAATGCAATCAAAAGGTAGCATATGCTCGGTACAGTATCAATCCGGTCTTGGTTGAGAACTCAAGCTCAGCGTCTTTTGCGGTGAAATAAACACTTCCCAGGCCAATTTCGTGGACGGTTCCATCTCCCACCGTCATTTTTCCAGAGCCCTGGGTGACGACCAAGATGCTAGGGCTCCCCAGTACGCTGTGCTTCTCGACCTCCGTTGGAGATAAAGCCACAGCCAGGACATTGAACTCACTAAAAGGAGGAGCAAATTCAATCGATCTTCCTTTCACTCCGATTGAGCTCTTCTTTGATTGGAGGATAGATTCCTCTGGACCATGTGGCTTGAATGTAAGAGACTGTGTAAACAATTCGATATCATCACGGTCGGCACGTGGACAAAATCCCGTGTTGAGAACGTTGTCAGACCGCGCCATGCATTCGAGGATGTCTCCCGAAAGCCAGGCATGGATGCCGTCTGCCGGAACACAGACGGCTTCTCCAGGCTCCAGGACCAGGTAGTTCATCAGAAGCGCGGCAACCAGACTGCCGTTATCGAATGACGAATATTGCTTGCTGAGCCTCTCAAGGAGGGATGGAACGTTTTCACTATCCCCGAACTCAGATAGAGATATTTTTTTGCAATTCTGTGATGGTATTTGATACGGCCTCCGGTGATAAGGTCAGCAAGGTCTCGCATACTTTGCGTAGAGCATTATCGTCCAATTTCTCATGCGCTGGTAGCAGTTTTTGTAATGGATTCAAGCGTAGGAGCTCTGAAATTTGGCCCAGGGGTTTAAACCCTACAAACAGTTCGAATCGTGACAAAGCGATAGCAATTTCAGGCTTATGGTTGGCATCGCCGAATTTCTCGGGGTTCTTGGCATGCAAGCGCTCTGCAAGATCTTTGTCGGGATGTATTTGCAGTGGGAGTGCTTTGGCAAACGATAGTACCTGATAATTATTAGGTTGAGTACCATTTCAGCTTGAATGCTTTACCCACCTTTGGAAGAAAAGGGATGTCCGGACCGTATCTTTTGTAAACTGAATCACCGACAAGTTCCGGATTATCTTTCAAATGTTCGGAGAGAAGTTTCCCAGTTGAGTAGACCCGGGAGGGAACAGAAGGGTAGGTGCCCATCCACATTTCAGAATATGTTTCTGAAGTGTCCAGGTCTCCTGTGTTGGGTACATGCGACCAAAGCCGCCCGGCGAGCGAGCTCTCCCCTTTCTTGCCCCAGGGATCATGCTGAAATTTGATGATTAGGTTGGTCCGGCTGTTCCATGTGTAACGTCCTCACCTTGCAATCGCACACCAGTTGAAAGACTCCGTTGGCCATATTTGAAGATCTGAGAAATCAGTTCGTGATCTCGACACCTCGGATGTCTTGGTAGTCAAATAATCCCAGGGTCTGTTACCAGGTTTGTTAAGACCGTCGGCAACAGCGTGCCATTACGGTGATCTTCCGTCATCGATATGGTGTTTGTGGATAACCTGATCTCACATTGAATTGTTTGCATTGGGCAATACCCCGGACCCCAGTCGCCGTTCGAAACTTGGTTGCGCTAACACCGGGTCCCAACATCCGGCCGTTATCAGCCACAGATCCCGTCACACTGACGACAGAAATCATGTGAACTTACTCTTCTCTCGAGCTCCCACGAAATTCTGTGAGACAAGAGGAGATGACAGAGGGCGATATGAGGCGAAGAAGTGAGACACTTCCGAAGAGTGAGAAGAAGAAGAGAGAAGGGGGAATCGAGGCTATCTCCGAGTGATAATTCAGGCAAAAGAAGGCAGGAATCAGGCAGGAATCAGGCCGCAACGGACCTGGCAGTATGTCACCTGACCGGCTGACCCAACAAGATGAGAAAGACACATGGGGCTTGTAAGTACTGTCATGGATGATTCATCATGAGTACTGGGTCATCAAACCTGATAAGATTCATCGATAGATATACTCTCATCAGTTGGTTGGCAATGAGGTGTCGAGCCGGACACTTTCTACGTCATTGTGCCCCCGGGCCTGCGGGCATCTGGACAAGCCTAAATCCCACTTTCAAACAAGATTGTTGAAGAGTAAAACGGGTCAATTCTCAATTTCTTGCAGAGACTTGACTTTTCTCAACGTCATATTGACGAGACTTGAGGATATGATTTGAAAACTGATCACCAATTCAACTATATATTCCAGTCAACACAAGTCCACTGCTCGAGATTATTGGATCTTGAACCATCCATATCACCACTCAGACCTATTGAAAACCCAAACCTTGGAAGGCAGCTTCGAAGATTTGAAAATGCAACAGGAAGTGGAAAAGCCCGCTCGGGGCCCTCAGTCTCAATTTGAGCAAGGTAAACTCTCCAAATCATCCATAATCCGATTTCGCTATCTCCAGGCTCATCAGAATTACAGGCCACCAAGTTCCCATTGAGCATCACTCGAAGCCCGGCTTACAGGCGGAGATGGAAAATCCAAAGCCCATTTCAAGCAAGGTCGCAACTGACGATGGCGGTTATCAAACATACAAAGCAGCTGGGAAGCTTTCAGGAAAAAAGGCTATCATCACCGGTGGAGATTCAGGCATCGGCCGTGCGGTTGCGATTCTTTTCGCCATGGAGGGAGCCTCCAGTCTGATTACATATTTGCCCGAAGAGGAGGAAGATGCACAAGAGACTAGGAGACGGGTGGAGGAAATTGGGCAAAAGTGTTATTGCCTTGCCATCGACATTCGAGAGAAGAAAAACTGTCAGAGGGTGGTGGACACAGCCTTGAGGGACTTAGGTGGTATTGACATCCTAGTCAATAATGCCGGGACTCAAACGATGATTGAGGACATTAAGGACTTGGAAGAGTATGGTACTTCTGTCCTCACAGACCACAACGTTCTAACATACCCTCACAGATCCCAGTGGGAGAGCACATTCGACACCAACATCCACCCTATATTCTATCTGTCAAAATACACGATCCCACACCTCAAAAGCGGGTCTACCATCATCAATTGCGCATCTGTGAATCATTACATTGGTCGGCCAGATCTTCTCGACTATACTTCGACAAAGGGGGCAATCGTCGCATTCACCAGGGGCCTGTCAAACCAACAAGTCAAGAATGGAATTCGGGTAAACTGTGTCTGTCCTGGTCCAGGTATGTTACTGCCATTTCATCTCAACCCCATACTGACAAATGCCTTTCCTAGTTTGGACGCCTCTTATTCCAGCCACTATGACCAAAGAGGCCCAGGAGCAGTTCAGTGGCACACCAATGGGCCGTCCGGGACAGCCTAGTGAGGTTGCGACATGTTTCGTTTTCCTCGCAAGTCAGGATAGCAGCTTCATTTCTGGCCAAAGCTTGCACCCTAATGGCGGAGTAGTCGTCAATGGATAGCTTTGCTTTTGCATTTCTTGGTGGTATCATCTTTGGCAGCCCGCATGAAGTGAATGGTTTTATCAGGCTCATGTTGATTTGTCGTTTTCTTTTCCCGCGTTAATTACGCTTTTACATTCCTACATACGAGTACTGCATTATACCCAGATCACAACATTGATTGATAGATCCGGATCTTCCATGCATCCGTGGAGTGGGATAGACGGCTGTGAGAATGGGTGGGCTGCTCTGCGTTATGATGCATTTTAGCCACAGAGAAATGAAATTGACCCGCGGAAGGGGTTGAAACATGGGAAGCTTCAAGACCAGGGCAACGATCAAATCCTGCTGTTTCTTGTCCATGAACTCCGCGAAGATCAGATCATTAGCGATCTGCTGCTGTCTTTCCATTTCCCGGGCTTCTCTCAACACATGTTTATAGGCGTTTGCTTTATCCACGGCGCAGAATGAGCGATTGATTGTGAGAAGCACAGATTGAAAATTCGAGTCGAAGAGACGACGTGGTTACCAATGAGATGCGAGCGGTTGGAGGCAGTCCAAGCTCCAGAGGATACACGGAGACTGACGAGGGAGGCGAGCCTTTCAAGACAGTTCGAGCTCCAGTGAAGACGTGGAAACTGACGAGGGCGGGGAAAGCTCTTGTTTCTCTGAAACCGAACGTAAAGGCACCCGAGCATTACCCACCCATTCAGCCAAATGATTCTAATTGGCGATTTTGCTGTTGTAACTGGCCGATTGCAGCCGATCCAAGATTTGCGGATGACACCGATAGTTGATCTCAGGAGACTGAGATAGAGACCTCAGGTGACCGCTTTATCTGTGGGAAGATGCAGCTTCTTTGCCTCGCTCCCTCTTCGTTCTTCCCAGCAGATAGCCAAAGACACCGCGCGATTTGCCTTTGCATCTTCTTCCAGCTCTCATTATGTTATAATTGCTCTCTGTCGAACGTCAAGATTTTTTTGCGGAAATGCTTCGAGTTTCTTTTCGAGTTCCTTATTCTGGGATTCGAGGGTTGCGAAACGTGTTCGCAGTTCTTTTATTTCTGCAATGATTTCGAAGCCTGGTTTATTTGCGGCGATTTGTTGCTCGAAGTCATGTTCCAGAAAGTGATCACCACATCGATGTGTTCGTCGTTTTGCTAGGACGTATTCACCGCAGTTACTCGGATTTTCGATTGACGTCAATCGCCAATAGCCGTTTTCTAACAAGACCACTGCGCTTCAAAAGATGGATGGGAGCTGTGAAGGTATCCCAAGCGTTTCCCACTCGCTCAGCCGCGACATTTTGATCACTAGCGGTGATTTTGCCTTGGGATGTGGGCCAACTCAAGCTTTGTGGATGGCATCGATAGTTGATCTCGAGTAGACTGAGGGGATAGAGACCAGAGAGACGGGTCATTAAAGAACGACCGTAATAGAGTGCCTCTTCATTCTAACCTGTTGACATAACGGTTGGGGGGAGCTGCTCGGGGTCTCCGATATATGGGTTTTTGAGTATGAAAAATTTGCAAGCTCTTGAATTTTCAGTAAAGAGAGTGAGGAGAGAGGGAGAAGGAAGATACAAGGAGAGAGAGCTAAGAATCTACTCACATTGGGGGCAGCAGCCCCCCATAACAAAAGCAGCAGCAAATAACATCAGAAGGGGCCGACACCCGGAGCCACAATAAAGTTATTGACTACCTGGTGTGGATACACCCTCTATGATATGTTCAATGAGGGTGCCGATTTCCAGCAGTATCATGTCGAACATGAGGAGTTGTTTGATTTTTTCTTTGATATGCGCAGCGGCAGCAGAGTTGCGCATCAATGAGAACTCAGACAAGACAATCACGCTATTGAGGTCTTGACGGCATTGATTGAAGATCCGCTGGCGCTCATCATATTGGCGGTACTGGATCCACCACCGGTACGGGATCCATTTGCTGCGCGGGATCCATTTGCTGCGCGGGATCCATTTGCTGCACGGGATCCGTATCCTTCCCTTCGTTCTCTGAAATAGCGAGGGGTTCTTGGTTGTCGGGCTGTTGATTTTCATCGACGGTGCGACAGGTGCCCTGCCCCCCTACTTGAACTTTGTCGTGGCCGACTTGGGGAGGAGTAGTATCTGGAGCCTCGATTACTCGAGGTACGCCGGCGGCGTGGTAATTTCTATTCATGTTAGTCTCTGGGCCTTCTGGTAGACACTCTAAAGGACATCAGACCCTCCAGAGTTGTTTTCAGAGTCCGGTCAACAGGGCGGGGGACGTTGAGGTCCTTGGGCGGCAAGACATTCTTGGAACGGTTCTGGCGGCGGCGACGCATGGACTCTTGGCCAATGTGGATATGTCCACCATTCCGGCAATGATGGCTTCAATGTCCAAAATTCGCCTGTGGATTGTGAGAAAATCCTCGATCATTTGAGTGGTTTGCATAGCAGCAGCGGAGGGAATCGAAACAGACCCAGGGGAAGGGGTTTCCCTAGTAAATAGTCGGCAGACTTGAATCATAATCCACTCGCGCTCGGAGAGGAGCCTGGCCCGCTCTTTCCTCTTCTCCTTGGGTTGGCGGGAAATTTCCTGGTTGGGCCTTTCCCCTGCTAGGGCATTGACCGGGCTGAGTTGAGTGGTACTGAGTGTATCAGTAACTGCGTCTTGTTTAAGAACGGCGTCGGAGTCGTTTCTATTCATGTCAGTTGCTGGACCAATCGGTAGAGATATGTGAGGCCTTCTTACCCTCCTTCATCCATTTTGGGATGGTCCCTAGGTGGTGGGGGCTGAGCTGGAACTGGTCTATGCCCATATTGTCAGTCATCCTACGCATCAAATGATTGTATGAGACGAGATTGTACTCAGGCATTCTTGATTCGCGTTGCGAGGATGACGGTTGGAGGGAGAAGAGAAAGTTTTACTAGAAAGTTTGCTTATATAGCGGGAGAAAAGCGATTTAGGAATGATCTACTCCCCATCCACATCACATCAGCACCACGAAATAACTTCCTTGCCTCTCACTTCAGTCTTTAAAGCAACTACAGCCAACTGTAAGTCTCATGACAGCTCGAGAAAGATCATGAACTCTGGTTCTGCAGTTGGTCGCAACTTTGCCTAAGGGTGGCTCGGTGATAATGAAAGGGATGTTGGTATCATTTCTGAACCATCCAGATATTCAGCAGCTGGAGGAGTGTTTCCATTCCGACCAAGTGTGCCCGTTTCGGTTATCTGCAGATGTTCTCACGTAGCAGGTTTGGTCAGTGCGAGATGGTGGGCGTTTGTCTGAACAAGATGTCGGCTTTTCGAAAGTAATATTAGCATAGCACAATTGGTTACCTCTGTTGAGACCAGCAACACAGCCTCCGGAAGCCCAATCCCCCGGTTCTCAACTGACCTCTTTTAGTACAGCGGTTCTCATGCGGGGAACGTCATCATGTTATGAAGAGATCTGCTGTTGGAAGACATGAAAAGCAGATCAAACATTTTTGGTTGGAAGAAGAGAAAGATTAGTAATGGTACATGGAGAAAGGGAGGCGAAAGATAGAACGCTAGATGTCCTTGGAGTCTTGACTTCAACACTGTCGGTGGAACGCAGAAGCGGGCTCTACCTTCATGGTGTAGGTTTCTTTAGTGAGTGCCTAGGTAATTTTAAGCCATTTGAGGGAAGCGGAAAAGAACTCGAAACAATATTTTTGTGAAGAGAAAGACAGAGGTTGAAGCTACCACACAAGGAAACAAGTACCATGCAAGCATCACAACCCCACACAGCTGGAGGTTGCCGCAAACAACCCAATGATACTACAGTCGGTATCAGAGTCTGACTGAGCAGACTCCCTTCGGTGCCCAGCTACTTAGACCTCCGCAGCCACCAGCGCGCAGCCAATCAATCAGTCAGGTTTTGTCATCAAGCAGCATCATCAGCCTGCTCTGTTTCGTACTCTCCGGCCGTTGCGAGCTCTATTTGTATGATTCAGGGCGACAAATTGGGGTAAATCCAAGGCGATGGCGCTGGAAATGGCCTATGAGTAGATTTGCGAGTCAGTAAAGGCGGAATATGTTCCAGAAGGTCGCCCAACACCATTTGCCGGGGGATCTGTTTTTCTAGGCATTGAAATCATGACAGGTTACAGGGCTCTGGGGTTTGCGGATCTTCACTCTCTTGTGGATTTCCGCTCGTGGGGGCGTTCTTGCTCTCTTTGAAGTCTGGTGGACGAAAATGGAGATATTCACCACTCGACGTAATTTCCACAGTTCCCCCCTCCTCCTGTTCTTCTTCCCTTCTTCGCTTCTGATATTTCTTTTTTCCATTACTCTCAGCCTTTTGTGCTAATGGATTCAGTGACGAGTCTAGATTGAAATAAAAGGAAACCATCAATTTCTATGGAAACATGCGACACCAACGACTACCAGCTCATGGCTTGCGGGCATAAACATCCGCAAAAACACTGTCAATAATCTTGACCACTCGGTTCACTATCTCATCCACATCTTGTTTGTCAACAATTTATGGCGGTGCGAGCAAAAAGTGGTCGCCATTCCACCCATCCACCGCACCAGTGGCAGCAAACAAGCACATGTCATACCCCTTCTCCAATCCCCTGATCTGGATCCTCTTACTGAGGCCAAGTTTGGAATCAAATGGAGTTTTGGTAGCTTTGTCTTCCATGAATTCCACAGCCCAGAAGAGACCGCGTCCTCGGATATCCCAGACATGCGGATGATCTCCGAGCCGCAGTCTCAGTTGCTCTTCGAGGTACGCACCCATGATCCGACAGTTCTCAACCAGGTTATTCTCCTTGATGATGGTTTGGACTTCGACGGCTGCGGCACACCCTAGCGGGTGAGATTGGTAGGTTTGTCCGTGGACAAAAAAGCCGCCGTCTTCCCTCAACCCATTGACCACACGATCTCCGACGAGTAAACCGGAAATGGTTCCGTATCCTGCGGCAAGACCTTTGCCCACGAGCTGCACGTCGGGGACAACACCTTCCTCTTGCCAAGCATGCATGATACCAGTGCGCCCCATGCCACACAT